AGTCTGAGATATTTTAGAGAAAAAATTCTGACCCTGATTTTTGCCTAAAACAAAAATTCTGGCCGTATCTGGATTGAAAACAATAATCTTGTCCACTTTTTTGCTATTAGAAAAAAATATTTTCAACAGAATTATTTAGCATTACATGAACATGATAAATAAAAAACGGGCGTAATTTTTTTTTTGGGGGGGGGGGGGTGCATGTGAATCCCATATCTGACCGGAATGTCTGTTTAGCCGAACTGATATACTGAATACTTTTTTCAAGGCCCGACTGCAACCTGCCTGCTGGGTGTGGCCTATATGTCTCCATGTGTCGACCATCATTCACAACTTCATTGTCATTTCCGACTAATTCGTAGCCTTTGGTTGATTTGGAACCCCTCACTTCCCTTGTTGGGTAAAACATTTGAACCAAACATTTGGATGAAAATTGCTTGTTTGTCTTTCTTCGTGTCGGTCGTATTGTAAATTTCATTGAATAGCCGTATATCTTGTTTACAACAAGAAATCTGTGAGGTTATGCTAACTAACCATACAACAAACGAGAATTTTCCATGTCCATTCTTTACTGACAAATCCCACATCAAATATATTAATTAGTACATAGCTTTGGATCCATCCAATCGTTTCATAATAGACAATTGATGGAGAGAATACGGCACCAAAAATGTCCAACCCCTACACTTTAACTATAAAATGCATTTTACACTTATTTTATGTTTATTAGCCAAAAAAAGGTCCAAAAATTTTTTTCGCCTCGCTCCGCTCTGCGAACCTTAATACTACGCCCCCCTTTCCAAAATTCTGGATCCACCCCTGCCAGCTGCACTTGGCGAAGCAATTTATCTAATTTAATTTGGTTATTGGTACAGTTATCTTATGTAAATGAATACATCATTGAGGAGGTCATCTTGGTACAACCTGCTAAAATGTGTACAAGTTTCTTTCAGTTATGTTGAAATTTTTTGTTATTTCTCAGGCAGAATCCTTGGCCATTCATTGAACTCCTTTCTGATCAAATTGTTGAGGACTCGTGAGAAGTTCTAAACTTGCATGATTATGTCACTTTCCCAGATACTGTAATAGGTCAATTATAAATTAGTGAATAGAAAGAATGCAAGATATACTTGTTCATCTGACAAAGTACATACCACCGCAACCTCTTTTTCATGGTTCATTTTTAAAAGGAATTGGAATATATACCAAAATATGAATTTGTTGTATTAGTTTAAAATGATTTAAATTTTTTATCATGTTATCTTATTGATGAAGTTTTATATGTAAATAAGTATAATTTTGCTTTAAACTAAATGTTAGTAAATTGAAAAACTTTGCCTGATTTAGAAAAAAAACTTCTTGTTATACTATTCAAAATATCTCTCACCATGATATAGCCTTTTTGTGCTGATGCGGCGTAAAGCTCATGGTTCATTGGATAGTATATAGTTTTTGTCGAGCCTGCGACTTTTGTCGCAGAAAGCTCGACATAGGGATAGTGATCCAGTGGTGGCGGTGGTGGCGTTAACTAACTACTTAAAAGCTTTTATATTTTAGAAGGTGGAAGACCTGGATGCTTCATACTTTGCATATAGATGCCTTGTTACGAAGTTTCCGTCTGTCACATGTCCATTGTCCTTGACCTCATTTTCATGGTTCAGTGACTAATTGAAAAAAAAGTTAAGATTTTTTGTAATGTTAATTTCTCTTATTATGAGTAATAGGATAACTATATTTGGTATCTGTGTACCTTGCAAGGTCCTCATGCCCGTCAGACAGTTTTCACTTGACCTCGACCTCATTTCATGGATCAGTGAACAAGGTTAAGTTTTCGTGGTCAAGTCCATATCTCAGATACTATAAGCAATAGGTCTAGTATATTTGGTGTATGGAAGGATTGTAAGGTGTACATGTCCAACTGGCAGGTGTCATTTGACCTTGACCTCATTTTCAAGGTTCAGTGGTTATAGTTAAGTTTTTGTGTTTTGGTCTGTTTTTCTTATACTATTCGTAATAGGTCTACTATATTTGGTGTATGGAAATATTTTATGATGCACATGTCAGTCTCTCAGGCTTTATTTGACCTTGACCTCATTTTCACAGTTCGTTGCTCAGTGTTAAGTTTTTGTGTTTTGGTCTGTTTTTCTGAAACAATAAGCAATAGATCAACTATATTTTTAGTATAGAAGGCTTGTAAGCTGTATATGTCTGTCTGGCAGGTATCATCTGACCTTGACCTAATTTTGTTGGTTAATTGGTCAATGTTAAGTTTTCATGGTTAAGTTTGTTTCTTAGATTAGCAATAGGTCAACTATATTTAATGCATAGGTTGATTGTAAGGTGTACGTGTCTGCCTGGCATGGTTCATCTGAACTTGACCTCATTTTCATGGTTCATTGGTTAATGTTTAGTTTTCTTGGTTAAGTCTGTTTCTTAGAAACTATAAGCAATAGGTCAACTATATTTAGTGTATTGAATGATTGTAAGGTTGATAGTTGTAGTAAAGCTTTATATTTAGGACTATCAACATAATATCAATGGTTAGTAAAGAAGGCGAGACATTTCAGCGTGTGCACTCTTGTTGTAATTAGGTACCTTTCTCAGATGCGAAAATATTGTTGGGTATATTATATGTTCTTCTGACAAGGTTCATCCGTAAAACAATTTTTTTGTGATTAGGTATGTTTCTCTATGAGTAATAACAAATTCACAGTATATATGGTGCGTAGAATGATAGCAAGTTAGGTCTTTTTTTCAGTCTTGCAGGGTTCAATAAACCTTGACATCATCCATGGATTGTTGAAACTTTAATGTAGTTTTAAGTGACAACTCACCAACTTTCAACATAAAATTTCTATTATAATCAGTAAAGCAGGCAAGACATTTACCTGTGTGCACCCTTTTCTTATTAAGTTGATTAAGTCTACTGTATATAGATTAGTATTATTGTGAGGTGTATGGGTTTCTCAAAGTTACACTTGATCTTCGCCTTTTTTTTTTTTGATTCAGTTGTTCCTTGTTTTCATGATTGTGATCTTTTCAAATAAACTTTCTAGTTTTTAGTCTAAAGGAGTCATGAAGTGTGCATAAAAGATTGACCTTGAATTATTTTTGTCGAGCCTGCGACTTTTGTCGCAAAAGCGAGACATAGCGATCCTACATTCCGTCGTCGGCGGTGTCCATAAATATTCACTCTGTGGTTAAAGTTTTTGAAATTTTAATAACTTTCTTAAACTATCCTGGATTTCTACCAAACTTGGACAGAAGCTTGTTTGTTGCTTATAAATGGACTAAGCTTTTCTGCCAGTTAACATTACATTCACTCTGTGTTTAAAGTTTTAAAAATTTTGATAACTTTCTTAAACTATCCTGGATTTGTACCAAACTTGGACAGAAGCTTGTTTATGATCAAAAGCTAGTTAGTATCTAGAAGGAAATTTTGTAAAACTTTATTTCCTGTTTTTCCGTATATTACTTATAAATGGACTTAGTTTTTCTTCCAGTTAACATTATATACAGTCTGCAGTTAAAGTTTTTAAAACATTTATTAGATTCATAAACCATCCTGGATTTTTACCAAACTTGGACAGAAGCTTCTTATTTATTTATTTCATTAACTGTAAATCTATTCTGTGCATTCCCCTATCACACTGAAAACATGGACAACAGCAAAAGTAGGGGAGACACTGGTTTCCATGGAACCCTTACAAATTTTTTATTGTTCCTTCTATTATGCTATGAGGTAAGTTGCTAGAAGCATTGGATAACTGTTGTCAAATGTGTATTCATTGATTTCATGGTTTCTATAAGACATAGGTCAACTATATTGGAGTAATAGTATCACTGTAAAAGGTACATGTCCAAATGCTCATGTTAGATATGTTTATTTCAAGCTCTCTGATTGATTGATTATTGTTTCATCTTTGACAATAAAATTCCCCATTGAAATACTGATTAAGGTCATTTTTTGAACACTTTGTCTCACAGGAGATATTTTAATACATGAATAAACCAGATGTGGATATTTCCCAATCCAAAAACCCAATAGAACAAAAAAAAAAAACTAGAATCCAAGAGGTCTTCAACAATAAACAGTCTATATACCTTACAATTCCAAAAAAAAAAGGATAGTAGGAATTAAAAAAAAATGGATAGTTCAACAGACCATACCAACCACCAACACCTGACTTCTTCGAAAAAACCGGGATGTACAAACAAAAAACAACAAATGGTCCAGATAGCCATACTTGGTACAGGCACAAAATGTAAGGATAAAACAATTTTTAAGTGCACAAAAACCTCCCCTTTTGCCTATCTGGACCATATGTAATCAAAGTAAAACACAATAAATAAAGAGCTGCGCCATGAGCACATGATACGCCCGTTGCCCTTTTAGCTTGTCTTTATGCTTTAAATGAATTTATATGATTAACTAGAAATACTGTCATTCATGTCATATCAGAAATTTATAAAAAACAAAAGAGAGGTTCTTACAATAGATATAAACAGGTCACTAGTCCAAAGTTTCAGGAAATTGCTCAAATGAAAAAAGTCGCAATACTCCAAAGCGTAAATTTTTTGTTTTTTTTTTAATCGAAGGGGAACTTGTGTCAATATATATAAACAATTCACCAAAGTTTTATGAAAATTGCTCAAAGCATTTTTGAGTTATAGTCAGAAAACTGGAAAATCACCCTTTTTTTAAAAATAAAGTCCCATAACTCCAAAGTGTTGACGAGGGACGGACAACGGTATACCATTATACGTGCCGTCTTAGACATATAAAAAACTGCACATTGCAGCTACTAACAGGATGACTACTAACTTGAATAAGGAAATTAAAGATGGCACTCTTTGATTCTAGTTTTAGGCCATTTGACCTAAAAATGTGTTATATGCAATATTTTTAGGAATGTCAAAGATATACATTGTACGACACTGCATCATCTTTTTGATAACTTCAATGAAACTTAGAACACACGACTTTGTAAAGAGAAAACTTTTGTATGCTTGTGAGTTTAATAATAAGTGAATACAATTATTTTATTTATATATGTGAATACAAATATTTTTACTTAAATATGAGAATAAGTATTAATTTAAGAAATACTTGTAGAAAAATTACAAAGCATTAGTCATCAAATTACATGTTTACTAATAATATCTCAATATACCTGTCTGTATGTATCTGAAAAAAAAGAAGAGTTTTTGGAAAAAAAGAATTGGTCAAGTTCCTTAACCTTGATAAAAAGATAAATATTTAAGTAAACTGAGTAACTGTTTTATTCCATATTTACACCCATCCCCCTTTCAAATGCAGATAGACACCATATGTTAGTTGCTATGCGGAAAAGACATGAAAGTTCAATACGACTATTTCTGTTAAATCTTTAAATAACACCCGGCATGACAAATATATATAAAAAGAAGATAATACAAGCAAGCTGATGACAACAGTTCAAAAGTTAAAAAATACAAATCAATTATGTGTATAAAAAGTAAAAAGTTTTCTATCTAATATAAAATTAAAATCACACATAAAACTGTCAGGCATCACTGTCTCTCTCCTGCTGCTTCTGATCATTGTATCTACTGTAATCCAGATCTTGTGCTGAAATACCCTTTTTCTTAGTTGTCTTTTTCACTTTCCCTTCTTCACTTGCAGGAATAGGTTGTAAATGAAATGGTCTCCTCTCTGGGTTTGATAAACCATTTTGAGAATCACTTTCTGTTTCAGCTGTTGATTTTGGTTCACTACCAAAGCTCTCTGTGTTACCTTGATGTTGTAATTTAAACTTGATTTCCGGTGCAGAAAAAGCTGGCATGCATGGTCTTGATACAGGTTTCATTGTTATATGACCCACAGGTAGGTCATATGTGAGGCCAAAGTTCATATCATTGTCCTCTTTAGTTTCCTCTTTAACTTCATCTTCATGATTGGGTTTGGAAAAAGAGAAAGAAGACATTGGAAAGGATGATGGAGCAGGATGTATCTTGTTCTTTCTTGATGGGTTTAACAGTTGACCTATTTCAGGATTTAAAGCCTTTACCAGGTCCATAGAATCATTAATCTCATCCTGGTTCTCTTCAATATTAATTTGCTGTTTTAAAAGAAATATATATTGTAAACATTTGAGGCCATTATGGAATACAGGAATTTCTATTTTTTTAACCTAAGGGTAGATGCATTAATATTTTTTTATCATTAACATTCATACAAATTTAGTGAAGCACCAACATATTAAGAGTAAAAATAACATGTGTATCAATCTATTTTTAAAACCAATCCTTTTGTTACTATCAACAAATTTAATTGATACACAGGATTTCTGTCATAAGACTATATATATAAATGGAACATTTTTTCATATCCATTTTTCAGAACCGTGCACATTTATTTTGCATAAAGCAAGTCATCAAAAACTAACTTTAGGTACATGTATGCTATGAATACACAATTTAGTGTCAATCAACTTTGCACTTTCACTCTGTCAGTTTGATCGTGGAATAACAGCGATGTGTCCCTTAATTTGGACAAGGTGAATGACAGGAGCCTGTACTTCTGTGGTTGTGGTTTGTTGCTGTATATCATATTTTTTTCCCTTTGTTGTTTAGTACATAAATCAGGCCGTTGTTTTTTTTGTTTTAATTGTTTTTTACATTTGTCATTTCAATGTTTTTTATTGTTTGCTTTGCTCATTGTTGAAGGCTGTAGGGTGACCTATAGTTGTTAACTTCTACATCAATTGATCTCTGGTAGATAGTTGTCTCATTGGCAATCATACATCTTCCTATTTTCATTATGAAGCCAAAATGATCACCTCCTCTATGAATTGAATAAACTGACCTTTCAATTCTCTAATGGCTAAATAGCTATTTTTCTGCTTTAATAACAACAAAGATGACAAAATAGAATTGTAATTTAATTGATACCAGTATTTTGAATTTTGCTTTAACTATAGATGCTTTTATCATTCGACCAGACAATTATAATACATTAAATAGGAGAAAATATATCTTTGGAAACGCATTGGTATAACATAATTTTTTCCCTTATAAATTAATTGTGCCAAGAAATGAAGTTAAACCATACAGTTAAGACCTTTACAGACTTGGTTTTTATTGATGACATAATGCCATATCCTTTTTTGTTGATTACATGATGACACAACTCTTCCACTTTGTACTTAATTTGGCCTTATAACTTTTATGATTCAAGTGTTACTGATAAGGCTTTTGTAGAAGAAACATGCATCTGCGTACAAAATTATAAGTCTGGTATCTTTGTTGAGATTTTATACGACAGCAAAAAAAATTTGTGGTCGTATATTGGTATGACGTTGGCGTCGTCGTCGTCCGAAGACACATTGGTTTTCGCACTCTAACTTTAGTTTAAGTGAATGGATCTCTATGAAATTGTACCATAAGGTTCAATACCACAAAAGGAAGGTTGGGATTGATTTTGGGGGTTATGGTACAAACAGTTAAGGAATTAGGGGCCAAAATTAAGCATTTTTGTAACTTCCAGACATGACTTGTGTGTTAGTGTATAGATCTCTTTGACATTGTACCACAAGGTTCCATATCAGAAAGGGAATGCTTGGATTGATTTTGGGGGTAATTGCCTCAAAATTTTAGGAATTAGGGGCTAAAAAAGGGGCAAAAAACAAGCATTTTTCTAGTTTCATGACAATAACTTGTGTTCAGGTGTATGGATCTCTCTGAAATTGTACTGCAAGGTTCCATATCACAAAGGGAATGTTTGGATTGATTTTGGGGGTAATTGCCTCAAAATTTTAGGAATTAGGGGCAAAAAACAAGCATTTTTCTAGTTTCATGACAATAACTTGTGTGCAAGTCTATGGATCTTTCTGAAATTGTACTACCTTATTCATAACACAAAGGAAAGCTGGAATTGAGATTGGGGGTAATTGCCCAAAACGTTAAAGAATATGGGGCCAAAAATAAGCATTTTTCTAGTTTCCAGACAATGACTTGTGTTCAAGTGTATGGATCTCTCTGAAATTATACTGCAAGGTACCATACCACAAAGGGAAGGCTGGGATTGATTTTTGGGGGTAATTGCCTCAAAATTTTAGAAATTAGGGGCCAAAAAGGTGCAAAAAACAAGCATTTTTCTAGTTTCAGGACAATAACTTGTGTGTAAGTCTATGGATCTTTCTGAAATTGTACAAGGTTCCATATCACAAAGGGAAAGCTGGAATTGAGTTTGGGGATAATTGCCCAAAACGTTTAAGAAAATGGGGCCAAAAAGGGGCCTAAAATAAGCATTTTTCTAGTTTCCAGACAATAACTTGTGTTCAAGTGTATGGATCTCTTTGAAATTGTACTGCAAGGTTCCATACCACAAAAGAGAATGTTTGGATTGATTTTGGGGGTAATTGCCTCAAAATTTTAGGAATTAGGGGCTAAAAAAAGGGGCAAAAAACAAGCATTTTTCTAGTTTCATGACAATAACTTGTGTGTAAGTCTATGGATCTTTCTGAAATTGTACTACAAGGTTCCATATCACAAAGGGAAAGCTGGAATTGAGTTTGGGGATAATTGCCCAAAACGTTTAGGAATAAGGGGCCAAAAATAAGCATTTTTCTAGTTTCCAGACAATAACTTGTGTTCAGGTGTATGGATCTCTCTGAATTGTACTGCAAGGTTCCATATCACAAAGGGAATGTTTGGATTGATTTTGGGGGTAATTGCCTCAAAATTTTAGGAATTAGGGGCAAAAAACAAGCATTTTTTCTAGTTTCATGACAATAACTTGTGTGCAAGTCTATGGATCTTTCTGAAATTGTACTACCTTATTCATAACACAAAGGGAAAGCTGGAATTGAGATTGGGGGTAATTGCCAAAACGTTTAAGAATATGGGGCCAAAAATAAGCATTTTTCTAGTTTCCAGACAATAACTTGTGTTCAAGTGTATGGATCTCTCTGAAATTGTACTGCAAGGTTCCATATCACAAAGGGAATGTTTGGATTGATTTTGGGGGTAATTGCCTCAAATTTTAGGAATTAGGGGCAAAAAACAAGCATTTTTCTAGTTTCATGACAATAACTTGTGTGCAAGTCTATGGATCTTTCTGAAATTGTACTACCTTATTCATAACACAAAGGAAAGCTGGAATTGAGATTGGGGGTAATTGCCCAAAACGTTAAAGAATATGGGGCCAAAAATAAGCATTTTTCTAGTTTCCAGACAATAACTTGTGTTCAAGTGTATGGATCTCTCTGAAATTATACTGCAAGGTACCATACCACAAAGGGAAGGCTGGGATTGATTTTGGGGGTAATTGCCTCAAAATTTTAGAAATTAGGGGCCAAAAAGGTGCAAAAAACAAGCATTTTTCTAGTTTCAGGACAATAACTTGTGTGTAAGTCTATGGATCTTTCTGAAATTGTACAAGGTTCCATATCACAAAGGGAAAGCTGGAATTGAGTTTGGGGATAATTGCCCAAAACGTTTAAGAAAATGGGGCCAAAAAGGGGCCTAAAATAAGCATTTTTCTAGTTTTCCAGACAATAACTTGTGTTCAAGTGTATGGATCTCTTTGAAATTGTACTGCAAGGTTCCATACCACAAAGAGAATGTTTGGATTGATTTTGGGGGTAATTGCCTCAAAATTTTAGGAATTAGGGGCTAAAAAAAGGGGCAAAAAACAAGCATTTTTCTAGTTTCATGACAATAACTTGTGTGTAAGTCTATGGATCTTTCTGAAATTGTACTACAAGGTTCCATATCACAAAGGGAAAGCTGGAATTGAGTTTGGGGGATAATTGCCCAAAACGTTTAGGATAAGGGGCCAAAAATAAGCATTTTTCTAGTTCCAGACAATAACTTGTGTTCAGGTGTATGGATCTCTCTGAAATTGTACTGCAAGGTTCCATATCACAAAGGGAATGTTTGGATTGATTTTGGGGGTAATTGCCTCAAAATTTTAGGAATTAGGGGCTAAAAAACAAGCATTTTTCTAGTTTCATGACAATAACTTGTGTGCAAGTCTATGGATCTTTCTGAAATTGTACTACCTTATTCATAACACAAAGGGGAAAGCTGGAATTGAGATTGGGGGTAATTGCCCAAAACGTTTAAGAATATGGGGCCAAAAATAAGCATTTTTCTAGTTTCCAGACAATAACTTGTGTTCAAGTGTATGGATCTCTCTGAAAATTATACTGCAAGGTACCATACCACATAGGGAAGGCTGGGATTGATTTTTGGGGGTAATTGCCTCAAAATTTTAGAAATTAGGGGCCAAAAAGGTGCAAAAAACAAGCATTTTTCTAGTTCAGGACAATAACTTGTGTGTAAGTGTATAGATCTTTATGAAATTGTACTACAAGGTTCCATATCACAAAGGGAAAGCTGGGTTTGAGTTTGGGGGTAATTGCCCTAAATGTTTAGGAATATGGGGCCAAAAAGGGGCCAAAAAAACAAGCATTTTTCTAGTTTCCAGACAATAACTTGTGTTCAAGTGTAAGGATCTCTATGAAATTGTACTGCAAGGTACCATACCACAAAGGGAAGGCTGGGATTGAGTTTGGGGGTGATGAATCATAAGGGGGTTCAAAAAATTGGGGGGGGGGGGGGGGGGGGGGGGATTTTTTTTTCCTTTTTTTTCTTTAAAATTTTCCATTTTAAATTGGCTATTTCTGATTTATATATAAAAGCAATAAAAATAAAAAATTTTAATTTACCTATTCAAACCATATCAAGTTCTTAGACCACATTCATTCTGTGTCAGAAACCTATGCTGTGTCAAATATTTAATCACAATCCAAATTCAGTGCTGTATCAAGCTTGAATGTTGTGTCCATACTTGCCCCAACTGTTCAGGGTTCGACATCTGTGGTCGTATCAAGCTGCGCCCAGCGAAGCATTTTATTTTATAATACTACCTTCTTGGTTTTTTGTTAATGACACAATGACATAATCTCACAAACTTCAATTTATGGAAAAAATTAAGAGAATTGTAATTTTTTATGTGAATTTATATAAATACATTGTACATTAATACCTACATGTAAACCTGCTGATTCAAAATCATCATCAATGACTTTTGCCTGGAAAAAAAACAATTTGAAAGAAATACGTTTACAGTATTTAAACTATCTTCAACAAAAACATTTGAAACAATTTTCAAAAAGAATATCTCCAATAGGACTCCATGCCCTGTTACACTCTTAATAACCATGTTTGGTGAACTGTGAAATCATTAGTCAAAACCCTAATCTCATACATATTAAACAATTCACTTCATAAATATGGATGTATGGATTACAGTTTAACGTCCTGTGGAATGTCACCTTGTACCAGTACATTACAAAACCTGCTCAGCGTGTTAGTCTAGTACAAAGTAGGGTTCATATTTGTATCTCGTCCTGAATATGCATTTAATTTGCAAATGTAGGTTAAAGAGCCATTCATCCACCAATTAGTGTGAAGACATTTAATCCCCATGGGTATTTGTGACATGTGTGAAACATTTATGCATATGGATTTTGTTCCAATTCATGTAAAATTCAATTAAAATGGAGCAAATTCATAAATTAAGCACCTTTTCATTGCAACAGCAACAATTTGGTTTCATGTAATGTACCCTACAAATACAGTCAACTCTGATGATTGACTCAAAAGTCCACACGAGTCATATATATTTCTGCTGTCCTGGGCTCTTGGTCATAAAACTTTACTCAGTACTCGGGAGTACAAATTTTGATCTTGAAACACTTAATCCGGTATTTTGATTGGTTGATTTCTGAGTCTGAGTACGATAATGGTGCTCGAAATTTTTATGACCACAAGGCCTGATGTCAAAATAAAGTAATTTATAAAATTTGTAGTCCTTTTTGAAAGTTGTTTTAGAGGCATATTTGGAATATTACAGTAATAAATATTTAATTTAAAATCAGTTAATATTACCATTGTTTCATCTGTAGATTCTTCAGAGTCCTGAAAAAAAAATTGACAGATTAAGGATTATTAACATAAACATATTCTGACATTAAGTTTTATCTATCTGTCACACTTCTTAGTTACAGAACTACCAGATCAAGTTTTACTTGTCTGGATGGTTTTCTTACATTTTTTACTGCCTAGAAATCATTCAGCTTTCTAGCTCACATGTGAATGAAATTATTTATATTCAGAATACAACATATATATATCACTATTAAAAAGCTGTGTACCTTATAAATGACGTATTATAAAAATTATAAAGTATTATTGGAGTGCTCCCCTTAAAGCTGGTGGAAAACATGGAAATACTTGAATGAAACCTTGTAACTCAAATCAAAACAACTTTTGGATTTTAAAATTAAATTTTTTCATATAATCTTATGCAAAGAAAAAATTACCACATTTGTACCAATTTTGCCATAAATAATCTTTATTTATTTACACATATCACATTGTAAAAGGTGAAGGACCATTAGCAAGATGCACAAAGAGATAACCTGCATAATCCCAGAATGAACTTTGTGAAAGAGACGTAACAGCTTTATACTTTACCTGACTCACAATGTCTGCATGTCCTTCTTTCTTTTGCAATCTGGGGAAAAAAGAAAGAAAATATAAATAAATCAATCCAATTAAAGAAATATAACCAATCAGAAGAAGTAATGAAAGCCAATTCATAGATAGTCCAACCTGTGATGTCTTATAGATTGAAACAAAATTTACTTATTCATTTAGACTTCAGGATTAACTATGTGACATATACCCATTAAGATGTAATTTTTTTTAACTTACAAGCTTTTCTGTTATGCACCAGTCTGACTAAAGCCAGTCACCACAAACGCAAATGGATAGTGGGGCTGGCTTTAGTCAGACTGGTTATGTGCTAGCAAGTTTATTATGAAGAATATGTCAGTAACTTTAAGAATTCTTAATTTTTGTCACCTGAAGCCCATCAGATATTTCGAATCTAATTTATGTGTTTTTGTTTTTGGAGAGACAATCTGTAAATTTCTTTAAAAGACAAAATGAGTATTTCTGATGCTTTGAAATGAGCAAATAATTTAAAACAACATAAATCTATAAATTTTTCTAAATCATTGACATCTACAAACTAGAGGCTCTCAAGAGCCTGTGTCGCTCACCTGATTCTACTTTGGTTTTGGAAATCATGTAAAAATAGATTAAAATCATAACAGATACCCTAATAATGATTGAGGCATTAAAATCATAACAGATACCCTAATAATGATTGAGGCCAAATTTGGTTAAATATTGGCCCCGTAATTTAATCAAAAGCAGAAGACTTTTGTAAAGTTTACAGAAATTACCAATAAATTCATTACCAATAAATTCATTGAAATTGTAGAAAATGACTTTATAAGGACAATAACTCCAACAAGATGTCAATTGACAATTTTGATCAGTTTGACTTATGTGTAGATCTTCTTTTCTTGAAATTTTTGTGTAGTTTACAGTATATCTCAATCTATAAAGATACATGTATTAAGGTCTTCATCAGCACGTCATAAGGAACATTTATGCCATGTTTGGTTTCATTCCATTCAGTGCTCCTCTAGAAGAAGCATTTGTATGTATTTCCCATAGAGTCCTATGTTAAACTAAGTCCCTTGCTGACGGCCATCTTGGATGATGGTTCAGCTACAAAGTAACAACACTTGGTCAGTACCTCATTAGGAACATTCATGCCATGTTTGGTTTCATTCTATTCAATGGTTCTCTAAAAAAAGTGTCTCAGCACCTCAAAAGAAATATTCATACCATATTTGGTTTCAATCCATTAAGCGGTTTTCTAGAAGAAGACATTTGAGAATAAACAAGTGAGAGGTTTAGCGCTATAAAACCAGGTTCAATCCACCATTTTCTACATTTGAAAATGCCTGTACCAAGTCAGGAATATGACAGTTGTTGTCCATTCGTTTGATGTGTTTTGTCATTTGATTTTGCCATGTGATTAGGGACTTTCCGATTGAATTTTCCTCGGAGTTCAGTATTTTTGTGATTTTACTTTTTTTTTGTATTTATTTCCCATAGGGTCCTTTGTTAAACGAAGTCCCCCGCTGGTCCCCATTTTGGATGATGGATCAGCTACAAAGTAACAACACTTGGTCAGCACCTCATAAGGAACATTCATGCCATGTTTGGTTTCATTCCATTCAGTGGTTCTCTAGAAGAAGTTCAAAATGTAAAAAGTTAACGACGACGCTGACGACGGACGCCAAGTGATGAGAAAAGCTCACTTGGCCCTTTGGGAAACCAACAACAATCACAGTACCGAATTCAGGCTTGTATACGCCGCGGTTCTATTCTTCAAAATTGAACCTGCCAGACAGAGGTGCCGACTATAGAGTACAACAAGCAAGAAATAAGATTCCGCGAGGTGTTTACGTTCCCCTATGTTTGTTATTAAAATTGTAGAGGGCGCTCTTATCATTTTCAAAACTTATAATTTTACTTAATCCATATTAATATGCAATTTTTATTCAACATCAAATATAAACTGATAAATTTCAAAATTAAATGCTTCACTACAAATTTCTCATTTCTTTTCACTGCATTGCTTAAAATAAACTGGAATCTGCTTGAATTTAACGGAACGAAAAAAGTGAATAAGTCAACCGGGAACCAGCTTATGCATAACGATGTATAAACTACAAAACGAAATCGGTTATTCGTTCCGTTTTGGTTTTTCATACTGTGGCATGTGTTTTGTTTTAGCTTAAGATCCGTCAAACATTAATGTAATAGTTATGTTAAACATTATTTTACTTAAGGATGGAACTGTTTTACTTTCAAAGTCGTATACTAGTGATATCTATTAAGTACCGAGTTTCCTTACACTCTCACCGTATTTATTTTCATTTACATGTGCTATTCGAACTTCCGGTTTAAACATACACAAGTTTCTAAATTGTTTTTTTTTGTGATTTTGACTTATTTTAACACTCGTGAAGTGTTCTAGAATCATTTACAAGCATTTTCGACTTCTATTTGATTATGGAAAACGGGTTTTTCCATGAAAATACTGCAACGATCACACATGATTTGAAATTACCAGAGTCAATGTTTTCTAACAGTTACAAAGTTTTTTTACCGGAATTCTCATGGAGAGAAGGGGGGTGCGGACAATGTACCAGTGCGAACTATACAAGGCCATCTACGGTACTCTTGCTAACAATCAATTATACAAATTGGTATTTGTAGAGTGTTTCTGTTTACTTCAATGCCAGTTGTAGTAGCAAATACTTTGCACATATTCAGATGATGTTTTTTAAAACATGTCATATAGAAAAGTATAGATGGCATAATAAGTGAACTATAATGACCCCAGAATCAGTTATCAATCATTCATTCTACATGACAACCTTGTAAGATCAATCATGCACATTGCTTCAAACCAACATAAAATGTTTGCAACACATATTATATTTGATACATTATCTATCATCAAGCAAGATCAACTTACAGATTTAAAAAAAATAACCTTTTCTTCATATATCTACGAACTACCACAATGATGATTATTATAATAATCAGCAAACTCAGAACTATCACTGGGATGGTCCAAATCTTGAAATCAGAATGAGGCTCATCTGCTGGACATAGACAATCATACATGTTGACACCATCAATACATTCACATGGTTCTAGACATGGTGAACTTAGGCATTCATCAATGTTCTCTTCACAGTATACACCAGAATATCCCGGTAAACATATACAGTGGTAATACATGTCAAAACTGTCTGCTCTGCGAGTATTGGTGCAGGGGTAGTTACTACCATTCTTTGCTGAAATAATAAAAAAAAGGCAATCTGAATGATATTACTTGGACTCTTTATAGAGTTTTTTTGATACTTTATGCATTTGTATCTATAACTCTTTTAAAGCATTCTTTCATTTCTATTCTATTGTCTATCCTGCAATGTGTTATGAAATTGCGACATGTCCATTGGCTTTTCATTAGGTTAATGATGATGTTAACTACTTTCTACCCCCCCCCCCCCCCCCCCCCCCCCCCCCAACAACAACAAAGGCTTGTTTATTATTAAATCAAAATTGAATAACTCGAGTTAATGTCAAGCAATATCCAATTCTTACTTGTGATGAAACCTATAATACTTTAAACAAGTTTGGTGTTATCACTGTTATTGGTCCTTGTTATGTAATATCCATTTAATATGTTTCATCATTTCCATCAATAAAATTTGCTGACATTTATTCAACTTACGATGACAAGATCCATCATTTTGACAAGGCGACTCCATCAGGACAAACTGTATTGTCACAACAGATGATGAAGCATTCATAGAATCTGAGACATACAATTTCACTAAGTCATACCCAGATACATTCATGGCCTGTTTGTAGGTCAATGTGGAATAAATCCAGGACATATCCTCTTTATTATGTGGTAATAAATCACTGAAATTACCACATGGTTCAGTGGCTACCTGGAAATATAATGATAAAAATCATCAGTGGACTATGACTTGTTTAATTTGTTTTTCAATACAAATTAGTTTTAGTATCATACATCTGAATTTTTATATTTTCAAAGTGATACAGATTTATTAAATTTATATTGAATACATTTGCATATTGATCCTATGTTAATCAAAATAGAAAAAAATATTTGGGGGTGTTGGAAAGCACTTCACCCATACAATTGCATTTTACTTTGCATACATAACCACACAATTTGAACGTTATGACTTGCCCATGCCCATACAAAAATAATTAAAGTGCCTTCCAACCTCCCCCCATATATTTTTTTCTGGAATAGCCCTAATTTAAAGTAAAAAGTTTAAGTTATGATATCATTTTTTAACAGTTCACAAGGAATAATCAGTATTGCATGCTGCTTTAATACAAAGAATCATTAACACATTGTATATAGATATCAATGGTGTTATCACACGTTGATCATAAAATGTTTCCCTTGGAAAATTGTGTAAAATCAACCTTTTTTTTTAATTTGAAGGGGACCTATAAGACACTGCCTTTTGGCTGTGTTTTATAGGTCCCTTTCAAATATAGAAAGCATTTTTTAAACAAAGTAGCATGTTTTTCCCTTTTAAAATTGAAAAAAGAGCTTCTGACAATTAATAATCAGGGGCGGATCCAGGATTTTGGAAAGGGGGGGCGTAGTATGTATAATTCATAATTTTTTTGGACCTTTTTTGGGCTAAAAAAAAATAAAATAAGTTTAAAATGCAAATTTTTGTGACAGTTCCTAACGTGGGGTATGTATATTTTATAGTTAAAAGTGTAAGCTTGGGTTGGACATTTTTGATGCCGCATTCTCCGCATTAATGGTCTTTTATAAAATGATTGAATGGATAAAAAGCTATGTACTAATATATTTGATGTGGGATTTGTCAGTAAAAAATGGACATGGAAAATTCTCGTTTGTTGTATGGTTAGTTAGCATAACCTCACAGATTACTTGTTGTAAACATGATATACGGCTATTCAGTGAAGTTTATAATACGACCGATACGAACAAAGACCAACAAGCAATTTTTAACCAAATGTTTGGTTGAAATGTTTCACTCAACAAGGGAAGTGAGGGGTTCCAAATCAACCAAAGGCTACGAATGAGTCTGAAAATCAAATGACAACGGAGTTGTGAATGACGGTCGACAAATGGAGACATAAAGGCCACACCTAGCAGGCAGGTTGCAGTTGGGCCTTGAAAAAAGTATTCAGTATATCAGTTCGGCGAAACAGACATTACGGTCAGATATGGGATTTACATGCAAACCCCCCCCAAAAAAATTACGCCGTTTTTTATTCACAGTGTTCATTTAATGCTGAATAATTCTGTTGGATTTTTTTTTTCTTATAGCAAAAAAGGGGACACGATAATTGTTTTCATTACAGATACGGCCAGAATTTTTGCAAAAATCAGGGTCAGAGTTTTTTCTCTAAAATATCTCAGACTGCCCTATCAAATCAAATGGTCCGTACCTTAGACTTTAAATATATCTAGAGCTTACTGACTGGGGATCATTATTCAGCAATGTTATTAATTGGCTGGGGCGTGCGGGGTTAAACATATTTTCGTAGGTAAATAATATTGCCGTGGAACTTTTTTTTTCATGAGAGTGTAATAGAGTATTACTTTCTGTTGAGTGGAAATATGAAATAGAAGTCAATACGTTCTTGCTCAATCCTTTGTCGCTTTGAAGGCGTCATGCTTGTCATCCTCTGTCTATGCAATGTGTTACTGTAATTTGAATTTCAAAATGACTGAGTGACGTTTCAAAAGTACGGATCAACTCCACCGTAGCGAAAACACATGACTGACATAATCAATAAAATATTACAGTAAATACGAGCGAAAAATATCTTTATAAGTAAAGAATTGTCGCATAAAAGTTAAATACACGACCGGGAAATGGCATAGTTCACGAAGTGTAGTCTGATTCATCATTTTACAAAAAAAAAAAAAAAAAAAAGTTCAAGCAAAGGGGGGTGTACGCCCCCCCCTCTGGATCCGCCACTGATAATTCACATGTTTGGATATGCTACTTTTTGTGTTCAAATCAGATTGGTGGCCAACAGCATTGGTGGTGCTTTTGTTATATTTCTCACAGAAATAAGTTGTGCTATTCAAAGATTGTAAGAAATATTGAAATATCACCATGATATATGAACGTAGCATTTTTTTTTAATTACTGAAGTTTTTCAGACAGAAAATTAAGGTTATAGTGAGTTAAATGCTTTAAGTTTACAAGGTTTGCAATACAAATATGGCTGTTATATTTTTCTATACCCCAGCGATTTTCATAAAAGTAAAAAGTCTTACATTCAAACTTTCTCCACAATCATTAATATTCGGAATTGTTGATTTTTCATGCAAGAAAAGCACTGTGCCATAATTTGGTTGATACACTTCCATAAAAAGATCTTGTTGTTCCACATCAAATGCTCCTATTACAGCAGTGAAATCCAATGTCCATTTATTCTTGTTAAATATTTTCCTTTGTTCTAAGTATACCTGCATATAAATTTATTACAAAAATGTTTTCAGTATTAAATTATCAAGGTCACTAAATAATATATTTCCAAAGTTCTGATGCATCATTTTTAACTGCTGCAGGCAAACACATTTTTTATGAAGTTTTAACCCTTTTTAAATGCAAAAATTAAAAAAATTAAACTAGAAAACTGTTATGTTAGCAAGAGGTCTATTTGCACATTTTTCAATTATTAAGTAGTTAACATTCATTTAAGATAGTGCTTTAGAAGATATTGCAAAGTTTTGCTTAAGTCTTGATGATAATTATTGTTTTTTACACCTGGTCTTTTAACAATCACTTGGTAAAATATGATACAGGTATCTTAAAAAAGACCAGGAAATGATTTTCTTACCAAGACTGGTTCTGTTGGATCTGATGATAAAATAGATTGACCATATTGGGTTAGGAATATTTCTGGTGGGTCATTAGAATCTATTATGGTAATGACAAGTGTTGCTTCACTGCTGGCTGGAGGTATGTCCTCATTGGTCTGTAGTTCTTGAAGGATGATTGATAATGTTTCAACACCTGAACAGTCTGTGCATGGAGTATACAACAGTCTACAAAATAATATCCAAGAATAGTGTCACACCATGCCCTGCTCAAACTATCACTTTTCAGTGTTCAGTTAACTACATAATCTGAGTCAAAAGTTCAAAATCCTAATTTTGCATATATTCTAAAAAGTTCACATCATAATTAACATGAGTACTTGGTCTCAAGTTATGTTTGCCAGACAACCTTGCGAACTGATGTCTCTTTTTAAAGGGTCTGTGACATTTAGAAATTTTCAAATCGAGAATCAGATCAGTTTGTAACTATACAGTTTGCTTAAAAGTGACCTGAGGCAATTTTCAAACATGACCTTGTGACCTAAGGGGATAACCTACTGCAGCCAGACAGTTATTCATTATATGATCTATACTATTTATTCATTACTTACTATTACAAGAGGCTTTGGTACTACATAAGTTTAATGGTCACCATCACAAATTGTTTGATCGATATGATATGAATGTGCCTCGACACAATAGCGACATGATTTCGCAGTCTTAGATCTGTAGATATGATAAAAGTTGTCTAATCTGTTTATTTTATCCATTGTGTCCTATTCCTGATTGTGACATTTTGACCTAATAGATATAGGAAGATGTGGTATGAGTGCCAATGAAGCAACTCTCCATCAAAGTAACAATTTATAAAAGTAAACCATTATAGGTCAAGGTACGGCCTTCAACACGGAGCATTGGCTCACACCGAACAGCAAGCTACAAAGGGCCCCAAAAATTACTATTGTAAAACCATTCAAACGGGAAAACCAACGGTCTAATCTATATAAAAACGAGAAACGAGAAACATGTATGAACTACATAAACAGACGACAACTACTGTACATCAGATTCCTGACTTAGGACAGGTGCAAACATTTGCAGCAGGATTAAACGTTTTAATGGTACCAAACCTTCTCCCTTTTCTGAAACAATAGTATAACATCACAACATAGAAAGACACACTATAAAATATCAATTGGAAGGCTTAAAACTCAATCAAAAAACGTAAATTAACACACAATGAACGAATAAATTTGATCTGTGATACCTGAATGCAAATGCATAGTTAATAAAAATTATAAGGGATAAATAATTAAGGTCAAAAGTAAATAAACAGGTTTAAACAAAGTTAAAGTATGATACCACTGTGAAATGTTAAACAATATTTAGAAAATCATCACTTTTGAAAAAATCTGCGTCATATTATACACAGGTAAATGAAAATAATTTTGTTGTTAAGTATACTTCTTCTTCTGTGTGTATAAAATCTTCCGTTTAGGAATACCAAGAAATTTCTTTAATATCAATAAAACTAATCTAACACTTGGTACATATGGGGTGAATATCAACAATAAAACTATACAATTAGTGCTAAGTCTGGGTTTGCATGGCGAGTGATGCATGCAAAGCAAGAGATGCTTACCCTGTCCAAGCACCGGGTCTCCCTCCTTTTGGAGTTCATGCTATTCCTGCAGTTTTTTCTTATTACCATGATTTGTCTTCTTTATCTATGTATGAGATTTAAACATATGTGAACTACCGTTGCCTTAATTTTGGCCTTTCAGTAAAATATTATTGGAAGAATCACTTACATGCCATCTTCAAAAAGCAGTGGTTTTCCAAGAATGTTTGTTTGATTGCTTAGATAGAATGCAACCACATCATCTTCTTCATCTGTTGCCTCCAACTGGTATTGTAATGTACCTGAGAAATAGTAAAAACTTCAACATCATCAAGGGTTAAATATAAGACTTAGGAGAAGTTTATGTAAAATCCTCAATTAAATGTAGTTCAATGTTCCTTAAAGAAAGAAAGTGAAATTTTATTTCTAATGAGACTGCTTCCCATCAAAATCATGTTGCAAAATAAATATCTTTCAATATGAAATCAAGAAAGTATCATTCATAACTTGAACATTACTATATATAGAATACCTTCATCTTCTTTGATGGAAATAAATCTGTCACTAGTCAGTGTCGGTGGAGAATTGTACACTTTATTTGATACAATAAACACAGCAAATTGTGTCTCTTCAGAGAAATAGGAGATAGATTTGTCTGTTTGGTTGATTCCAACTGCTTCTTCTGTCCATGTCTTGCAAATCTAAAAAAATACAATTTTACATTGATAAGGAAAATAGGTCACAGTTTTGTATTATCAGCAAAAGTCTTACAACTCAAATTTGGTTGAGATATACTGGTAATTCTGGGTCAGAGCCATGGTATCAGGTGACAGGGGCCAATAACTGTAACTGTATATGTGCTCTATACCATTTTATTTTGGTAATTATCAATTTATTTTTTATGTGCTGAAAGTTGTTCTAAATAAGTGAGGTGTTGTAACCACAACTGCACATATAATCTCAGGTAATATGGATTCATTATTATTCATTGGATACCAATTTTTGTAGATTTTGTGGGTATAGGTAAATATGGAAATTAAATATTCAAAAAGTACAAATTTATTATAGGTTTGTATTCAGATTTTGACCAACCACGAAATCAAATATCCAAGAAACTACAATTTTTCCTCAACCCACAAAAATTGGTATCCGTGAAAATAAATGAACCCACAGTAATCTAATGGATAGTCACTTGAGTAATTTTGATTTCAACATGTAACAGTTGTTAAAATAGCTCCTGATAAAATTCAAACTAAACTGACAAATTGCAATAACTGGTCAAAATGTAGTTTGGGTTCAATTCCAAATTTCAATGCTGATCTGACCAAGGCACAAAAATTTGAAAGATTAATTTGTTCTTACATTATATTTACATTTCTAATGACAGATCAAAAGTATTACACCCATCAATTGTTGCCAAGAAATTCATATCATGAAAAATGCACAAATTAAATCTGATAAGAAGATTATCATTTTTTCACAATATTGGTATTGCAAAATATCAGCTGCTTGACACAATATGAAGCTGTTTTGAGCTTGTTTGCTGTCCTCACTCGACATAAAGCTCCATTTTGTGACTTGTAGCTGATATTTCCCTGTATCAATGTGCAGAAAGCCCAATAATCAATACATACATATATCAGGATCTAACAATATACAAGATATAATGAACCACCTTTTCGTTGGAGTTGCGATGACAAGGAGGGAGCTGGACAAGGCCAATGTTCAATACTTAAGAAAAACTATTTGGACTGGAATATCCTACCTACTTACTCATCTGCATATTAGGATCTAACAATGTACCAAATTCCATGTAGATATGATAAACCATGTAGGAGATGTAATGACAAGGTAGTTGCTGGACAATGCCTAAATCTAGGATTTTCCCTGGGAAAACTCAATGGAATGGAACATCCTACCCACACGCAAATCTTATATTAGTATCTAACAATATACCAAGTTTCCTGTAGATACATAAAAAAAAACATGAAGGCATTGTGATTACAAGGTTGGTGCTGGATAGGGCAATAATTTCTGTTGAAAGGGGCATAACACTAAGAATAAAACTCAATGGACTTGAACATCCTACCCACATGCACATCTGCATATAGGATCTCACAATGTACTATGATTAAGATAAATTATGTAGGAGTTAAGAAGGTAATGTTGGTTCTGAAAAGGGTCAAAATTATTAAGGCAAGAGGAGCATAATTCATGATAAACTAAACAAAATATAAAATCCTTCACATGGTGACATTTGCATATTATGATCAAATATAATACAAAATATGAAGTAAATAAAACAATGAAGAAAGTTGATCAGGACACAGAAAGGCTGATTCCTTTGTTTACAGGGGGTTTAATGAATAATTTATTGTCATGGGGATAATATTACCTGAACTGTCTTTGTGCCTTCTGCATTATCAACTTTCAAATCTGATGTTTCACCACAGGTTTTCCTAGTCAACTCCCACTGCTGTAGAACTAATCACCAAAGAAAAAAAATCAGAAGTTATCATATTGCCCCAATTGACAGTGGACTTAAAATGCTTCACATCTTGGTTGGTTTCAATTGGCAAAGTTGTTTTTTAGAATATATTTTACATTACTATATCATGAAAAAACTTCAAGCCAAATGCACTAAAAATTATTATCATTTAACATTTGAAATATCCAAATTTTTAAGAACGATAAACAGTTGTTATTTATGAAGTGAAATAAATAAAGATGTAGTGTAAGCTACTGCTCTAGTTTATACCTCAATCTTGCTATTGAGTGAAAGGAAATGTGTCACACTGGTATAGCTTACCAATATGAAGCTTAATTGTTAGTAAATAGGAAGAAGCTTTAATTGAAGTTGATGAGAAAAATGCAACAGAAATGTTATAAGAACTAACAGAAGGAAGGAAGAGAGGGCATATTGATATGGACATACCAGTATTCCAATGAGCCAGAACTGTTCTGTTGTCTTCATTCTCGCCAACAGTATCTGGATATGTAATATTCATTGGTCCTGGCATAGGCATGTGACCAACAGGTATCACAGAAAATGTCATTACCAAGGAATGTATTCTGTAAAATATAAAAAAAATAACCTGTTTAACAGAAAGAAATGTCTCTGAGACACTTACTAAATGCATCAAGATGATTTTCATAGATACTAATTTTGTGTGTTAAGAAAAAGACTACTTACCATGGATTGCTTAATCCAAAATTTTAAGAAACCCATTTCGACTACTTAAATTTGCCATTAAAAATTGGTAAAAATAGTGAAACAGGCTCTAGACTACTTAAATTTGCCATTAAAAATTGGTAAAAATAGTGTAACAGGCTCTAGGGGACACTTTCTAGATAATTAGTGGTAGTGATGAGCTGCTGGAATAGGTCACTATTTCAATCTTGGTAATATATGATAAGATCAAGATTTTATGATGAAGTATATGATAAGGTTGCTGAATACAAATGCACCTGTATATCAAATATCAGTTATCTATTTAAGAACTTATTTAAATCACAAAAACCAACATCAGGCATTGAAAAGCATGGGCAGTTGCACTATGAATATTTTTGTCTAGATATTGTGTGATTGCTATATTTTTTCAACATTTTAACAATCCATTGATAAAGTACTCTAGTTTAAACTTGGATACCTTTTGTATAGTAATCTTTCAACCATATCCTGTGTAGTTGATGGGTTGACTATATAAGGTTGAAAATCAGGAGAGGAGTCAGACCCATATTCTGTTGTTATATCTTCATCAGATATGGGCTGAAGTACAATGGTCTGTCCCTCTACCAATCCTATAAATCAAGTGTTTACATATCATTCAAAAGTTACTGAAACACAAAATTTTAGATGTAATCTTGCTCAAGTTCAAACTTTGTTAAAAAAAAACACATCCAAGGTCAGTGACAAAATTAATCTATGGCTTCATTTATTGTACAAGAACAAGATTTTGAAAGTAATAAAAATATCCTCTTTTTGTTAACAAAATTCAAGAAGTAGATATTACTCTTAATGCCTATATTATTGAAGCGTCTAAGTGCATATATACCACAAATGTACTTGTTCAAAATATTGTGATGCTTCTCACGGAATGACATTATGTATCAAATACACTGATTTGATATGGATGAAATGACATTTGCAAGGCAAGTGAGACTACACATTAATAATATAATTTTATAATAATTTATTATTTTAATAACAAAACTTTCTAAAATATGAATATTTTATTTGTAAAATAATGCAATATTAAGTGCAAAAAATGTTTTTTCTTTTTGTTTAAAATACAACAGCTAAGGAAGGATTAATATTTCAGTGAACTAGTAAATATACCTTCTGGAGTCTTCACTACAATCATGTTTGTTTCTCTTTTTCTCCTTTTGGAGCCTGTTTCAACAGACTGTACAAGTTCAATGGATTCTCCATGTTCTGAAGTCTTCAATACAGTTTTATTGTTTGTAATTAAAATACTCCCTAATGACTTGTTGGCACAGAGTACTGCTTCATTACAAACTCTCATGGTCAGAAATAATGTCCGTCCTGGTTCCATATGGAATATGCTAGTTTTGTTTTCAGCAAGCTGTGCAGATACGTTCCGAACAACAGTTTGTAGTTCTGACAGACGTCTTACTTTGATGCCATCAAGTAACAAATATCCATCTTTGATAGAAGCAGATCCAGATACATTGTAACCAACCCAGGTACAAGGAAAAATATTATCTTTATTTTCATCTGTTCCAATGCACAGATCTGAACAAAAAAGTAGAGTTATTTATTTTATGGTCTTGTTATAAAATATTAACTTTACTTCTGATAAAGATTTTATATACATAAAAAATGCATGATGAATACATGCAATCTTTTTTTAATAATTATCAAGTAAAGAACTAAAAAGAGAAAGTCTTCTTTCTCTTTATCACTACATGTATTATATGTATTCTGTAGAACTCATTGCACTTATACAGTGGTTCAATTTCAGATATCATCATCTGTTAATGTAACATTTACTGGTTACAGGGCATTGATGTTTGCCCATTGCAGAATAGTAGCATTTAGTAGTTCATTTTTATACGACCGCAAAAATATTTTTGCGGTTGTATATTGGTATGAATTTGGCGTCATCGTCGTTCAAAGACACACTGGTTTTCGCACAATAACTTTAGTTTAAGTGAATGGATCTCTATGAAATTTTACCATAAAGTTCAATACCACAAAAGGAAGGTTGGGATTGATTTTGGGGGTTATGGTACCAACAGTTAAGGAATTAGGGGCCAAAAATAAGCATTTTTGTAACTTCCAGACAATAACTTGTGTGTTAGTGTATGGATCTCTCTGACATTGTACCACAAGGTCACATATCACAAAGGGAATGCTGGGATTGATTTTGGGTAATTGCCTCAAAATTTTAGGAATTAGGGGCCAAAAAACAAGCATTTTTCTAGTTTCATGACAATAACTTGTGTGTAAGTGTATGGATCTTTCTGAAATTGTACTACAAGGTTCCATATCACAAAGGGAAAGCTGGAATTAAGTTTGGGGGTAATTGCCTAAATCATTTAGGAATAAGGGGCCAAAAATAAGCATTTTTCTAGTTTCCAGACAATAACTTGTGTTCAAGTGTATGGATCTCTCTGAAATTGTACTGCAAGGTACCATACCACAAAGGGAAGGCTGGGATTGATTTTGGGGGTAATTGCCTCAAAATTTTAGGAATTAGGGGCCAAAAAGGGGCAAAAAACAAGCATTTTTCTAGTTTCAGGACAATAACTTTTTTTCTTTAAAATTTTCCATTTTAAGTTGGTTATTTTTGATTTATATATAAAAGCAAATAATAATGATATGGATTGATTTCATCAAAAATTGATATATTGGGGTTTTTTGATATGCTGAATCTAACCGTGTATTTAGATTCTTAATTTTTGGGCCCGTTTTCAAATTGGTCTACATTAAGGTCCAAAGGGTCCAAAATTAAACTTAGTTTGATTTTAACAAAAATTGAATTCTTGGGTTTTTTTGATATACTGAATCTAACCATGTATGTATTTAGATTTTGGATATTGGACCATAATAGGTAAGTTAAAAAATGTTAAGTTCTTAGACCACTTTCATTCTGTGTCAGAAACCTATGCTGTGTCAAATATTTAATCACAATCCAAATTCAGAGCTGTATCAAGCTTAAATGTTGTGTCCATACTTGCCCCAACTGTTTAGGGTTCGACCTCTGCGGTCGTATCAAGCTTCGCCCAGCGGAGCATTTTATTACTAACCTGTATTGGTAAATTGCTATCTTATTGATTTTTACCCTGCATTTTTTTAATTCATTTAAGAATAGACTACCGGTACATTACAAACGAATTAATTTTGCACAAAGCAATAACAAGTTTTGGTCTTCAACTTCAATAATATGGCTTTCATGCAAATAACATTTGTTTGACCAATGATCTGCTAAACCACCAACTTTGTCACTGTGACTTACCATATCTTTTTACAAACTTATCTTCACTAACTGTAAAAGTAAATCCTATACTTGTAGGATCCGTACTCTCCATGGCATCGACAGGAACCACTGATTCTTCAAATGGTCTGACTTCTCCTAGGATAGTATTATTCAAGTTGTCTACTTCTGGTGGCTCTAACAGTACTATAACACCTTAAATGTAGATGTTGGCTAAAATTATCATTTTTTATCAATTAGTTATTGGTTGAATTGTTTTCTTGCTTCTACATGTAGCTTCATAACAAATGACTATCATGTAAGCATGCATAAGTCTTCCAATTAAATGGTAGAATGGTAGAGTCCTTAAACAAGGAATGGCTTGTATACAACTCTTGTTATCAAAAATGCTCTGTTAAATGTGATATTGAACAATTCAAAGAACAGTATACTCCACCAATGCACATATTTTATTTTTCCAAGGGCAACAACTCAAAAACCTTTTTTTGGGGGTTCTTTTAAATTTTTTCATAAAAGAAATGTAAGCATGAGATTGCTAACAATGTTGATCTGTGCTAATTATAAAACTCCTTTAAGACCTTGCTGATATACATTTCATTATTAACTGTTAAAAAAGAAATATTTCTCGCCTGTATATTATTTTGATAGAAAAATGCAAGTGTTGTTATCAAAATGGAAACGCTTTAACATATAAACTATGCAAAATATTAAAAATCAATGAACCATGACTGAAGGTGCAGGGCCAAATAATACCTGTTGAAACTTGAAATCAGAAATGCCAATGTCCATACATTTGCATACCAAATACCATTGACTTTCCATTATTGGTTCCAGTTAAACTGGCCTAAACATCAACTTAAATGTGTAAACAAAGCAAAAGTTTTAAAGTCAATGAACCATGATGAGGGGGTAGGGCCATATAATCTTCATGAAATTTAGACATGCATCTGCTAATACAATTCCATACCAAATATCATTGACCTACAACAAGTGGTTCCCCTTAAACTGACCTTATAACAAACTATTATATTGCTCATGATGCCAGCACTCCTGAAAACAGTAAGCCGAAATCTTGCTCTCTTGACTTCATTAAGGCGAGACAATAATCAACTATAATTGTAAATTCTAAACATTTACAATTTTTAAAAAATATGTAATAAAATTCAAGGTTTATCTGAGTGCATAAACTTCATGAAATCTAGTCCACAGTAAACTATGAACTCAAACTGGGGTTAGACTTTTGCTCCATATTGAAGGCCTCAATATAAGCACTGTTCCTTTGCTTTTGTTTTCTTCATGTTCCCGAAGTAATTTTGTGTCATGAATTAACACCATATTAATAGTTTCCATAAAAGTATCAATTACAAGAGACAATGAATTATTGAAATTATACATTTGGTGTTGATTTATTGCTTACCATAATTATCATTCCATTGTGTAGGTTTCCCACCACCATTGATACAGATAATAGACACGTAATATGTATGGTTATGTTGGAGAATGCCTTCAAATGATGAATTAATGCCTATCATCATAAGGCCAACTGACTGAAAACTTTGAAGTTCTTCTCCACCTGGAGTTTCACCAATGGCCCAAAGGCTCTCCTAATTAAAGATTTAACATTTCAGTTGGATTAACAGTGATCTAAGATACAGTAAAATAATAGAAGAATGTGTCTGAGGACACAAATGCCCCCCTCAAACTTCGCAATTTTCCAAGTTAAAAAGGTGCATAACTCTGGAACGGTAAATGACTCACTGCCCAAAGGCGAACTCTGTCTGTGTGTTGTGGATCTTAGCATTGTGTATGAGTTTAATAAAATATGCACAAGGCAAACTGAAGTTAGAGTGCAGAAACAAAAAATGGGATGGATGGAAAGACAGAAAGCTGGAAGGACGGACGGTCAAGGGTAACACTTAATGCCCCATCACCTACGGCGGGGGCATAAAAAATACAGAACTTATGCAACCCTAAGTTTATGATATATAAAGCCGGGTTATAATGATTCATTTTAATTGATGTTTATAGACTAGAAATAAAAGAAAAAAAATCAACCTCTTTTTGCTCATCTGTTTTACAATGTAACCATGGGCCAAATATGTTATCATAAATTCTAATAGATATTTGATATTAAAGTTTTCGACTTTTCCTTAATATTTCCCTTTATCAAACTTTTTTTTATAGTAGCCCTAGCTAGGGTTACTCGCCCCCAAGTCGACCAATTTCAAAATATTTTCCCATCAGATGACAAGATAAATAATATTGTGAAATTGACAGATCTTATATAAGAAAGATCTTAATTTGCTGCTTACTGGTAATACTAATATACAAGAAGATTTCACGGGCATTTGTTTTTCAAACTCCTCAATTCCAATGTGTTTTCAGCTTCCAGTGACAAATGATTATTGTGAAAGTTTTTCAAATAAATTAACTTAGTAAATAATATCGTTCATGTTCAAAATGATTTTTTCAAATCCCTCTTTTAGACATGTTATTTGATGGTGACCTTCTTAATAGCAAGTGTGCGTCTTAAAGGCTAATTTAGAGCAGTTCTGATAGTATTCAGAACATTTAATGATTTCTGAAAGTATTTCAAGAGGAATTTATAACCTATTATGTTAGCATGAAGAAACACACAGCATAAAGTGTCCTACTGAAGATCCAACACTTCAATAGTAGCTCTGGTTCATAAAAATTTATTGCAGATATAACCTTTACTCGAAATGTGAAAGAAAAGTATATATCAAAATAAGATTTTTTATTAGAACCTATTTCAAATTTACCCTTAATTCTTCTAATCAACATAGTAGTTTAGTTATCATTAATTTGCTAGCATAATTTCCAAATAATTAGGATCTTTTAAGTAGACATTTTGTTACCTTTACTAGACTCTCGTCATCAGTACATCTCCAAAAAGCTTTAATAGTGCTGTTTGATGCTTGATAACTTATAGGTTGAAACTGTCCTTGTTTTTCATCAAAGTAAATTGGAGTGGTCAACATGACATCAGGATCAAACACTGGTCCTGTGACATCGATATAAAACCCTGATGATGATGACAGAGCTGTGTCTCCAGAACCAGTCACAGCCCTTCCTGTAAAATATCATATATCTAAATATAGTATTTACATACATGAATAAATTTTCATAACAGTCTTAACAATAAACATAAATACATTTGTTCAATGAAGAAATTACAAAGTATCTACAACTAATATGACTTGGTATCATGATCTGTCATGTTAAAACAACTTACTCCTGCTGGTTTTTTATTTTAAGAATTTATACAAATTTAGCAATACAAAAATTTCTAAAAACATGGCCAAGCCATTGCTTTAAATAATACAATGGTTCTGACATAATATAACTTTACATGGACAAAAGTAATTCCTGATTTTAATATATTCCCAATTATATAAAAAAAAAAAAAACCCAAATTGGAACTTGTTTCTCAATTAATTTTCATATGATGTTCATCAAGATATATAATTGTACTTTCCTTTATAAATTTTCATATTTTTGTTTAAATATTGGTTTCCCGAATTCACAAGTTTAAACATGAACTTTTTTGACGTCACAAATTACTATGTGCATTTTAGAATTGAATGCTTCTTTTTGTAATTTTATTGGGATGTAAAAGTGTTGACAAAGTACATTTTGAATGAAGCCTGGAAATGTCCGCACGGCAGTAGCTTTCTGAGATTATTAGTGAAAATTTCATGAAAATCTGAGAAGAAATGAGGTCAAAATATTCAAAAAAAAATCTATTGATTTATATAAAATACCTAGGGAGGGTGGGTGGAAAGGAAAGATTGTAATGCAGAATGTAATTTCAATTCTGCAACTTATAATAGGTATTAGCAAGTACACATTTTTTGGAGGTGTTCATGTTTCTTAATATTCAGTTTTTTTCTAGTTGTGTGGAATGATGTCTTTTCATCTTTTTTCTGTTGGCCATGCATGGTGTTGTGTATCCTTATTCAACTTCCTATTTTAATTGCCCCCTTGGAATCCTTTTACTTTTTTACAGATATATTATATATTGGGAATATCTGAACAACTTTTCCAAAATGATTGATTGATTGATGCTTTTAAAACATCACTTTCAGCACTAATGGCTATTTCATGGCAGTCATTTCTTATTTGTGGAGGAAGCCAGAGTGCCTGGAGAATCCCAAACATTTAGCAGGAAAACAAATCCTAATCAATTAAGATTGGAGTTGAACTGCCATGTGGGGAATTTGAACTCACAACGTCAGTGTTGACAGGCTAGTGGTACAGTAGTTGAACTACTTAGACACTTGGCCACCTAGGCCTCTTTTCCTAAATGGAGTACATTTTATTTCATTATCAACATAAGAAATGAAAATAAACATTAATTTGAGCAAAAATCAATTTCCTTTGCCTTCTTATAAACTTGAATCATAGACTTTCTAAATCTCATAAAAGGAAATCTCCACAGATTTTAACATCAAATGTTGATCAAAGTGTTAATGTATAATAAACTTTACCTGTGAGATAGTATATTATTGTTTTATTATATGAATGTCCGGTTTCATTCAAATCCATGACATTTGGTATTAGGGTCAAGTCTGTCAACGTAAAACTGTAGTCTACAAGTTTATTATGGTCACAATCCTGGTCACAGTTGTATTTTGAACATTCTCCAAAGCACGGTATACAAGGTATTACAACTTCTCTGAAAGGTTCAATATCTGTAAGAAATTTGTCAGTTCCGATACCTATTTCATACTTGATTATAGGATTAGTTCCACCTCTGAATGGATCACCGTAGCGACAAAGGGCACCAGTTGGTGGTGGTAGTATCAGACTTTTAAAATATGCTTTCACAGAAAAAATGTTGAAGTGGTCTGTAATGTCAGGTACATAATTATCACGATTGAAGACATGCAGCACTAGTTTTGTTGTTTTACTTAGATGTGATATTCCACAAAGTTCTGTTATTTCCTCCTCATCAATAGATACCAAAAGACATAAAGACATCTGAAAATACCAAGACATAAAGACATCTGAAAATACGAAAAGACATAAGGACATCTGAAAATACAAAAAGACATAAAAGACATCTGAAAATACGAAAAGAAATAAAGACATCTGAAAATAAAATGAAATTTATTATCATTGTAATGCCATAAGGATCAATGAGGATTTTTTTTAATGATATCAATTAATTTTGAAATAAGAATAAATGTTTCGAAAAAACCAAGAGGAGCACTTGTAATTGTATTTTAATTAAGCTTGTTGTATGAAATCAACTCTGAAGTCCAGCTAGATGTTAGAGTGTAGGGCAGCATGCTTTCTATATATTTGATAATTAAGTAATTTTTATTTCCTTTCAGTAACTGCAAGTAATCTTTAAATTCAAATCAAATATTCATGAAAATAAAAATTCTGAACCAGTTGCAGATCACAAATGACTATTGACAAACAGAAAAATTAGAATTAAATTTACACAATCTACCCCTGCTTAACAAATAAATGGGGAATGTGTCCATGGGACACAGATGATGCCCCCACTTGCATATAATGTTATAAAGAGACTTAACTCAAGAAAGGTAAAAGTGAGGCTACCCAAATTTTTACTTGATCTGAGTTTTGTGGTAATAAGCATTGTGTATAAGTTTCATAACATTTGGTGGAGGCAAACTTCAGTTAGAGAACGGGAACGAAAAATTCAGCTATTTTTCCATTTGTAAAAGGGCATAACTCTAGAACAGTATAATTGACGCCACCAAAATTCAAACTTGATCTGGTGTTTTGTGGTAATAAGCATTGTGTATAAAATTCATAACATTTGGTTAAGGCAAACTTAAGTTATAGAACGGAAATGAAAAATTCAGCAATTTTTCCATTTGTAAAGGGGCATAACTCTAGAAAGGTAAAAGTGACACCATCCAAATTCTTAATTAATCTGTGTTTTGTGGTAATAAGCATTTTGTATAAGTTTCATAACATTTTGTTGAGGCAAACTAAAGTTAGAGAACGGAAACCAATTTCGGGACGTACGGATGGACAAGGGTAAAACTTAATGCCCCTCCGCTACGGCGGGGGCATAAAAAAATAAAAATATCTCCTTACATCTACTGCATCATCCATTTCTGGTTTAAATATTATCTTAAAGTTGAGATATTCTCCAGTGATGTTGTAATCAATCGCTGTCTTCATAATAGGCTGAATATCATTGAAAGATCTACACCATGTAACAATCTTAGCATTTGGACCTGAAAAAAAAAACCCTTTATTACCATTTTGCTTTTAAAAAAAGGCATTTATCATAATCTGAATGTCAAAAAAAAAAAAAGAAATGACATAGTATTGAATAAAATGCTTTGCTGAGCGCAGCCAGATACGACCACAGAGGTCTAACCCTGAACAGTTGGGGCAAGTTTGGACACAATGTTCAAGCTTGATACTGTCTGAATTTGGATTGTGATTAAATTTTTGACATAATATAGGTTTCTGACACTAAATAAATGTGGTCAAAGATCTTAAAAATTTGAAATGGGACATTTAATTTACCTAGAATGGTCTGATATCCAAAATCTAACAACATGGTTAGATTCAGCATATAAAAAAACACCAAAAATTTAATTTTAGTTGAAATCAAACAAAGTTTAATTTTAGACCCTTCAAACCTTAATATGGACTAATTTGAAAACAGGGCCCAAAATAAAATATCTAAATGCACAATAAGATTCAGCATATCATACAGCCGCAATAATTCAGTTTTTGATGAAATCAAACAAAGTTTAATTTTGGAGCCTTTTGACCTCAATGTAGACCAATTTAAAAATGGGGCCCAATATCCAAAAAAGTAATACAAGGTTAGAACCCCAAAAACTTAAAGACTTTAAATCAATCCCATTGAAATTGGTTAAAAGATTTGTATTTATTTTCAATTGAAGATTTCTTGTTATTGCGCAATACTGTGCAATTTAAGATTTCTTGCTATTGTGCAATACTGTGCAACTGAAGATTTCTTGCTATTGCACAATACTGTGTTGTTGCGCAATACTGGCCAATTGAAGATTTCTTTCCATTGCGCAATACTGTATAATTGAAGATTACTTGCTATTGCGCAATACTGTGCAATTGAAGATTTCTTGCTATTGTGCAATACTGTGCTATTGTGCAATAGATGATTTCTTGCTATTGCGCAACACTGTGCAATTTAAGATTTCTTGCTATTGCGCAATACTGTGCAATTGGAGATTTCTTGTTATTGCGCAATACTGTGCAATTGAAGATTTCTTGCTATTGTGCAATACTTTGCAATTGAAGATTTTTTGCTATTGCCCAATACAGTGCAATTGAAGATTTCTTGCTATTTTCTTTAATACCGTGCTATTGCTCAATACTGTGCTATTGCACATTACTGTGCAATTTAAGATTTCTTACTATTGCGCAATACTATGGAATTAAAGATTTCTTACTATTGTGCAATACTGTGCAATTGAAGATTTCTTGCTATTGCCCAATACTGTGGTATTGAACAATACTGTGCTATTGCGCAATACTGTGCAATTGAAGATTTCTTGCTATTGCGCAATACTGTGCAATCATTTGAAATTTCAAAAATTGTGAAGAAAGAAAAAATGAACCCCCTAAAAAATTGGAAAAAAAAATCCCACCAAACTTTTTGAACCTCGTTCCCCTTGGAGTAATTACCCCCAAATTAATCCCAGCCTTCCCTTTGTGGTATGGAACCTTGTAGTACAATTTTAGAGAGATCCATACACTTAAACACAAGTTACTGTCTGGAAACTATAAAAATGCTTGTTTTTGGCCCCTTTTTTGCCCCTAATTCCTGAACCATTAGGGCAATTACCCCCAAACTCAATCCCAGCATTTCCTTTGTGATATGGAACCTTGTGTTACAATTTCTGAGAGATCTATACACTAACACACAAGTTATTGTCCGGAAACTACAAAAATGCTTGTTTTTGGCCCCTAATTCCTAAACTGTTGGTACCATAACCCCCAAAATCAATCCCAACCTTCCTTTTGTGGTATTAAACCTTCTGGTAAAATTTCTTAGAGATCCATTCATTTAAACTAAAGTTATTGTCTGGAAATTAAATTTGTCTTCGGACGACGCCGACACCATAGCATTATACGACGCAAAAATTTGTTTGCGGTCGTATAAAAACCACCTTAGGTTTCATGGAAACTTTATTGCATGGACTTCAACATAAAATGTAGGTCAGTGACTAAAATTGACAGAAATGTCTTGTTAATTCCAGAAGCTTTTTGTCCAAGTCCAAGTCCAATTACTGACACATTAAGTTTCTATCAAAATTGTCTTAATTCAAACAGTTAAATGAATTGAACCTTTACAGGCACTAAAAAAACATTTAGTTTAGTTTTAACAGTCATTATGATGGTTCACTTTTAATAACATATTATGTACAAGTTATAATTATAATTATAATTTTAATTTTCAAAAACATATGGCACAGCAGATGAAAATAGTTATATCCCCCCCCCCCCCAATTCAATAGTATACATTAAAATATTCTGTGAAAAATAACTATAAAAAACCCAAATTTTTCAGAAAAAATATCGTCAATCCAAGGCAATTGACATTAAAACGTAAATGATAGAAATTTGAGACACGTTGGTTCACAATACTAGTGATCAAAGTATTAATTTGAACCCTTTAACACACTTGTACAAAAAAATGTCAAGGATACAAGACATAACCTAAACTTGTTGTCTTTAAAACTTAGCCAATTGATATAAGAGTATTGATAGGAACAGGAAGAAGATAAACCTTAATCTCTGATGTCTTCCTGACCTTGAATCTTCCATCTTGAAAATTAATAAGAATCACATTTTCCTATAAAGAATGGCTGACTCAGTGAAGTTGTTTGGTACAGATCACATTTTTAAATTTCTATACTGGTACAATGACCTAAGTCTGACTTTTTATATCATTTCAAATAAAAAAAATATTCTCCCATAATCAATGTTTAAGTTTCTTAAACAAAACTTAAATGTACACTGCAAAAAAAAAAAAATGAAAACAACACGGTATAAATTTCATGCGTCCGAAGTGCTTTTCTGGATTTACCTTCATCAGGACTGCTCAAAGCCAAATATTGGAAATCCAAGAATGTTTAAGAACTGAAACAATTGAAGAGCTATATAACCAAAAGGACCTAAAGCTAAAAAAATTGCCAAATCCATCTCAGATCAACATTGCAAGTTTGGGTTAATATTTTTTTACCATTAAAAATTTGAATGCCACATGACTTTTGTGCCTGAGGTATGCTAGTGTCTATGGGTTGTGAGACTTCACTTTTGTCTGGATGATTGACAACTTCATATGGCTGTGTTGTTGTCTGTACTGTTGTGTGAACTGTAGTACTAGGTACTGTTGGTAGAGTATTGTTTCCATATTTGTCAAACAAATATTTGGAGCAATTACAAAAGTTACAATCCTGGAAAATATAAAATAAATAAAATTGAAAGAAATTGAATGTAAGGAAATGTTTTCCTAATTAAACAATATAAAACTTTAAAGCTAGATACACTTACTCCTTAAACAGAAAGATAACTTGTATATCTTTTAATTTATTTAACAACTGCACAGAGTTTTAAAAATTTTCTATAAGAATAGTAAACAAGAGTGCACATGCTGAAATGTCTCACCTTCTTTACTAATCATTGATATTATGTTGATAGTTCTAAATATAAAGCTTTACTACAACTATCACATAAACTTAACATGATCCAAGAAAATGAGGTCAAGGTCATATAAACCAAACAAAAAATACATGCACACCTTACAATCATTCAATACACTAAATATAGTTGACCTATTACTTATAGTTTCTAAGATACAGACTTAACCAAGAAAACTAAACATTGACTAATGAACCATGAAAATGAGGTCAAGGTCAGATGAACCATGCCAGGCAGACATGTACAGCTTGCAATCCTTCCATACAACAAATATATAGACAAACAGACCAAAACACAAAAACTTAACACTGAGCTATGAACCGTGAAAATGAGGTCAAGGTCAAATAAAACCAGCCAGACTGACATGTACATCATAAAATATTTCCATACACCAAATATAGTTGACCTATTGCATAAAGTATTAGAAAAAAAGACCAAAACTCAAAAATTTAACATTGACCACTGAACCATGAAAATGAGGTCAAGGTCAGAAGACATCTGCCAACTAGACATGTACACCTTACAATCATTCCATACACCAAATATAGTAGACCTATTGCATACAGTATAAGAAAAACAGACCAAAACACAAAAACTTAACTATAACCACTGAACCATGAAAATGAGGTCAAGGTCAGATGACACCTGCCAGTTGGACATGTACACTTTACAGTCCTTCCTTACACCAAATATGCTAGACCTATTGCTTCTAGTATCTGAGATATGGACTTGACCACCAAAACTTAACCTTGTTCACTGATCCATGAAATGAGGTTGAGATCAAGTGAAAACTGTCTGACGGGCATGAGGACCATGCAAGATACGCTTATACGCAAATATAGTTATCCTATTACTCATTATAAGAGAGAAATTAACATTACAAAAAATCTTAACTTTTTTTTCAAGTAGTCACTGAACCATGAAAATGAGGTCATGGACAATGGACATGTGATAGACGGAAACTTCGTAACATAAGGCATCTATATACAAAGTATGAAGCATCCAGGTCTTCCACCTTCTAAAATACAAAGCTTTTAAGAAGTTAGCTAACGCCGCCACCGGATCAAGCTTTCTGCGACAAAAGTCGCAGGCTCGACAAAAATCTACAGATCTCTTATTAACATCATTGTTTTTAACACAAAGAGAAATTAATTACTATGGAGAGTTTCAACTGGTTTTGCAAGAGTGACTGTGCTTATCCTTAATGGTAAGGCATTATGCTCACTTTATTATATTGTTTTTGATGGATTACTGTCCGAATGCTTACAGCATCCTTATTCCATATTCTATGTTTCTATTTACCTATAGACATAACCAATTGATAACTGGCTAATGTAAACTGTTCACATCACATGTTTCAAATTTTGTCTCAAGTAAACAAGACCAATATAAGTCTGGATCTGCGTTGGTGCATGCAATTGATTGAGGTAACATGTATACTTTTAAGGGCATACGATACAGTTTTGATCCGGGAATTTTTTTTACGAAAATTTGCATACAAGCTATTTTTCACCAAATCAATTCAAATATGTAATAAATAAATGTGGATAGTGTCCACATGTGGACACAGATGATGCCCCCGCTTGCATATCATATAGTTATAAAGGGACATAACTGAAGAACGGTAAAAGTGACACTACCCAAATTTGAACTTGATCTGAGTTTTGTGGTAATAAGCATTGTGTGTAAGTCTCATAACATTTGGTTGAGGCTAACTTAAGTAGAGAACAGAAACTAAAAATTCAGCAATTTTTCTATTTGTAATGACGTATAACTCTAGAACGGTTGTGTATAAGTTTTACAACATTTGGTTGAGACAAACTAAAAAATTCAGCAATTTTTATGTTTATAATGGGACATAACTCTAGAATGGTAAAAGTGTTGCCACCTAATTTCGTACTTAATCTGTATTATGTAGTAATTAGCATTGTGTATAAGTTTCATAACATTTGGTTGAGGCAAACTCAAGTTAGAGAACTGAAACAAAAAAAATGTACTTGATCTTTACTGAGTTTTGTTGGAATGAATATTGTGTATAGGTTTCACAATGTTTGGCTGGGGAAAACTTCAGTTACAGAATGGAAACTAAAAATTTTGCAATCTTTCTATTTATAAAGGGGCATAACTCAATAATGGTTAAAGTGACACTACCCAAATTCAACTTGATCTGTGTTTTATCAGTGGTAGTCAAAATTAAACATTGCATTGTATAAAGCATTGATTGTAGTTGATTCAACTATAATCATGGTCAAAGGAAGATAACTCCAATTTTAAAAATATATTATATAAACTTGATATTTAGAAGAAAATAAAAATTTTGCAATTTTTCCTTTTATAAAGGGGCATAACTCTAGATCGGTTAAAGTGACACCACCAAAATTCAAACTTGATCTGTGTTTTGTGGTAATAAGCATTGTGTATAAGTTTCATAACATTTGGTTGAGGCAAACTTAAGTTAGAGAACGGAAACTAAAAATTTTGCAATATTTCCTTTTATAAAGGGGCATAACTCTAGATCGGTTAAAGTGAAGCCACCAAAATTCAAACTTGATCTGTGTTTTGTGGTAATAAGCATTGTGTATAAGTTTCATAACATTTGGTTGAGGCAAACTCAAGTTAGAGAACGGAAACCAATTTCGGGACGTACGGACGAACGTTCGTACGTACGTACAGACGGACAAGGGTAAAACTTAATGCCCCCTCCGGTACGGCGGGGGCATAAAAATATACCTTCATGTGCTACTCTAAGAGATAAATGGGGTCCAAATTTTAGACATTTACTCAAAATTTCGTTTTTTTTTTACATTTCTCTACTTTTGATACACATACCTAACTTTTTTGTTTCAAAAGATAAACAAAAGCGGATTTTTGTAAAAACATTTGGAAAATTATCTTTACATAATTATGCTCTAAATTTGAATAAAAATTCTTTGGAAATAAGTAATTTTTATCAAAGTTTCATGATTTTAGAAAAAAAAAAATGCATTTTTTGCTGTATATTTATCTAATTTAAAAAAAATTCATCTGTGACTTTTTCATTAAAATTGGTACAAATAATCTTCATACATAATCAAACCTAATAACATTTTAAAAAAGAGGGGGTCCATGAACTCGTTTTCAAGTTAAATCAGTCTGAATGATAAAAATCAGTCGAAAAATGCATCTTTTCCCGATATGTCACAGTTTGATGTTGCTAAAATAACATTTTACGTTAGCAACGTCATTTCCTCACCTGTAAAAGAGGGACGAAAGATACCAGAGGGACAGTCAAACTCACAGATTGAAAACAAACTGACAACGCCATGGCCAAAAATAAAAAGACAAACAGACAAATAATAGTACAGATGACACAACATAGAAAACTAAAGACTAAGCAACACGAACCCCACCAAAAACTGGGGGTGATCTCAGGAGCTCCAGAAGGGCAAGCAGATCCTGCTCCACATGTGGCACCTGTCGTGTTGCTTATGTTAATACAAATCCGGTAAAAAGTCTAATTCGGTAGGTCACATTCGTGAAAAGGGAAGGGTATTGTAGTTACGACATAAGGAACATATCTGATATCATCTGTGAAACGGTTATTCCATAACGGTCAACCAACTCGTGATGGCGTCCGTAAAATTTACGAAGGGATGATTTCAACTTCACCATTTGGAACTCTTGGTTTAATAGCTTCCTTGTGAGCAGCAATCCTCTATCAAGGAAATCATGATAGGAAATACAAGCCAGGGAATATCGTATCAATTAGGAGATTTATACTCCGTATGCAGGCGCTGCTGGAATGTTGCTACATAGAAATGGAAAGTTCACAATTGGGAAGCTGAAATCATATCTTTTGTCGTAAAGTATTCATATGCCCTTAAAGCATAATTTTCCTTGTACAATGAGTGTTATAAAATTTTAAAATTGCGGCATACAGGAAGTGGCTGCATGGTGGATTTAAAAATTGATTACTCACAAAACGTCAAACTTTCCTTGTACAACTAGTGCTGTAAAATTTCAAACTATTGGCAAAAAGAAATTGGCTGGACTGTGGATGTAAAAATTATTTACTCGCTACAACTGAACATTATAAAGCTGAGGACCAAATAAAAAATCATTCCCTTAAATAGGTACCAAGTAAAGTTTGAAGAAGATTTTTCTAGTTCAACGAGTGTTGTAAAATTTCAAACTATCCGCAAACAGAAAGCGAATGAGACTCTTGTGATACCTACCATGATGTAATAACACTTACCTCAGGTACTGGATCCAACAAACAGCACTGGCACACAGATGAAGCCCAGTCAATGTCTTCTTCATATTCATAAGTACCAATATTAGTATCTGGTCCATCCCAAAACAAAACTTCAGTCACAGCAATTCCATGTCCTTTTGCTGGTTTCACAGAAACCTACAAAAAATAAAAAATCTAGATGTGTTGGTATGACAGGAATACCCTCAATTGCAGCCTTATCTCAATAAACAGCTGCGCCATGAGCACATGATATGCCTGTCCCCAACTGGACAGTTTTGACAATTTTTCAACTAATAAAGTTTCATAATTCCGCAATGTCATAATCAGAGAGTTATAAAAAAAACCAAAAGGGAGCTTATTTCAATAGATATAAACAAGTCACCAAAGTTTCATGATAACTGCTAAAAGTGTTTTTGAGTTATTGTCCGAAATACTGGAAAATCCCCCCTTTTTAAGAATAAAGTCTCAATACTCCAAAACAGATGTTTAAAAATCGAAAGGGAACTTATGTCAATATATCTAAACAATTCACTAAAGTTTCATGAAAATTTTTCAATGCATTTTTGAGTTATAGTCCGAAAACTGGAAAAATCCCACATTTTTTTATGAATAAAATCCCATAACTAGGAAACATAAATTCTAAAATTTATAAAAATTGAAAGGGAGCTTACGTCAATAGATATAAACAATTGACCAAAGTTTCATGAAAATTGGTGAAAATATTTTTGAGTTACTGTCCGACATGTTGACGATGGACGGACAGAGGTATATCATAGTACGTCCCGTTAACGGGCATATAAAAAGTTCGAAAACTGAAACAAAATAAAAATTTGATCTACAAGTATTCCACCTTATTACACATCAATAAAAAAAATCAGTTCCAGAAAAAAAGACAAATCTTATACCATCTCAAAATATTTTTTTCAACTGGATTTAATATAAAATTGTGAATGGAAAGGGGGAATGCGTCAAAGAGACAAAAACCTGATCAAAGAACAGAAAACAGCACAAGGCCACCAGTGGGTCTTCAACACAGCGAGAAAATCCCGCACCTGGAGGCAGGCAATATTTATACTTACATGATATATGCCTCCATTTTCAAAGCTAGCTGATCTGTAATATGCTCCTGTAAACATCTGCTGGTTTTTGTGATCTCTTGCAAGTTTTACTGACACAATATCATCATAAATATCCTTATTAATGTTCTCTATCTTGTACAGAAGTGACCATTTCTTGCCACTTGGATCTTTAAGACCAACCTGTTGTAGTTCTCCCCAGTCAGGATCATTTACCATTGAAATGTGTCTTGATGGACAGGTTGACCCAACTTGATTGGGATAGTGCAAAAATGAACCTACAATATAAAGTGTTTCTAAAGCATGGTAGAATGTTTTGGCTCCTTAGGTGTACATATGATGGTTAATTGATGGATGCAGCTACATTTAGATTCTTTTAAAGTCAGCCAATCTATATTTTTAAGAGTTATAAAGCTAATACATTAAATGATCCGAACTCCTTTTTCTTTGGAAATCAAAAAAAAATTTACAGTCAAGATATATAAAAAAATCTTAAGAGGCATTTTATTTAGTTTTTTTGTGCAAGTGACTATCTTGGATTTCAAATCAGCACTCGTAATTCAATGTATTGGGAAACAGGAAGTATGTGTCTTGCAGATCAGAAAAGCAAACACAGGTTACAACTCATCATTGTTGAGGTGCTGACCTAATATGAAGTCATTCTGTTCAGGAGTTTTGAGAAAATCAACGTATCAGCAAACAGGAAGTAGGTATCTGACTAAGGTATCAGAAAAGTGTTCATGTTACAACTCATCATTGTCAATCTGCTGACCAACTATGAAGTCCTTCTGTTAAACAGTTTCTAAGAAAATTGTGAATAAAATATTTGCTGGCCAAACGGGCAAAGGTGATTGCAAATGCAGCCACTTTAGAGTGGGGGAATAAATAATGTTAAATTATTTAAATGACTTACTTAACAAAAATCAAAGTGATCAAAATCACTGGAGGAAAGATTAGAAATGTTGTGTGCATAATTTCAAATCATATTTTGGTCTTCCATATTGTTGTATTATAGCAGTTCTTTAGAAAGATAATCAACAGAATAAATGAAGTGCCTAGATCAAAAGTTATAAGTAAATATTTAAATCTAAAACATTTCTGATATACATTTTACATACTATATTGTGGTCAATAATTGTGTATCAAGTTGTGTAATAAAGTGTCTGTTCAATTGTATTAGACAAAGTTAGGTACTTTTGTAAATTAAAATTGACATTAAAAAGGATGGGATTCCAATTAAAATTCCACCTTTGATTGCAATCATTTGTCAATCATACTTGTATTGAATCAGTACCCTTACTTAATTACAAAAAAATGACTAAACCAGCCAGTAAATTGACAAAACTACAGACATAGTACTTGAATAAACTGCCTTTAAGATATAAACCATTTTTCATAGTTCATTTGTGCATATTTACATAGACATGAGAAGTAATTGGAAATAGGTTTCAGTGTGTATATATTTAATGGCTAATACTGGTTGATGATGCCAATACCTTAAAAAAGAATTGGACCAACAGTTTCAATCTTCCCAAAAAGAGTACCTTTTATAATGCTCGTTGAACCAAACCAGACTTGTCCTGTTGAAAAATCTTCACCATCGACCAACACTCCTGATACAGGTTTTGATGGGTCATATAATACAGGTGATGATAGCTGTTTGATCGAAAGTCCTGCAGCATTTGTCACCTTGAATCTAACTGTATATGGTATGTTCATCTGAAATGAATGATAAGTTATTACAGGTGCTGGCCTTCAAAAAGTTGTTGACAGAGAAATCATATGTGTAAATTTTTTGTAACCAGTTCCAAAACATTCCTAATGTTTTATGATATTTTTTTTATCTGCACCAAAAATGTCACCAGACATGAAAATATATTCCCAGATAAAATATAAAATTGCAGTTTGGGACATTGGCTAATGGTTTGTTTGCTTAATGTACAGTTGCAAATATTTCATGCATGTTTTGGACAAGAACAAATTAACAATAAATACAATAGTTGCAATAGGGGGTAATTGGGATGATAGGTAGGAATTTTTGGAATGTCACTGGAAAATGAGGGTTTATTGGGTAGGGACAAAAACTGAGCTTTATCACAGGTCTTACTGGCCCCTCAAATGGTTTTTAACGTTCAGAAGCGTGGTTAACTCTCTATATAAAGCATTAGATTTAACGTCCCCATTCTGACTGGACGTGACTGCAAATTTAAACATCCCGGACAGCCAGTAGGCAGAAGACCAAGGGATGACCATATTTCTATACCAAAGTCATGGCTATGTCTGGCAAATAAAAATGAATATGATATTAGGAACATACTGTGAGTTTTAAATTAACAAAACTGTATTCAGTGTAGTTGTTTGTCAACTCGATCCAGTCAACAAGAAGCATCTCCTCTCCACTAGAATAACATGAAGTATTCTGCCATAATGAAACTTCATAGGTTTCTATATCAGATTCTGGATCACTGTAATTTGTCCACTGAACTCTTAAGGTTGAATTGTCAGAAGTGTAGGCCAAATCCTGTTAAATAAAATGGCACATAATAAATCAATTCTAGTATTTTAATAATTTAAAAAGAAAACCTTTTTTTTTTATTAAGGTAAATGGCCTGAGATGCAGTTCTTCCTATTTGTTTTTAAATGTTGTCATCTTAAATGACATTGTGCAATTCACCATTCTAAACAAAATATTAATGCATTTTTCACTTTCAAAGAAATGCTAATTTTGTTCATGTTTCAATATCCTTATTTCAGTAACATTCTCACTTTTGAATAATATTTTGCTTCTTTAAAATTTCTAATTACGCATAAGAAAGCAGTTAAAAAAAAAAAGCAGCTGAACCAAGAACTTGTAAGTGATACAACATTTTTTTGCATATTGAAACTGTAACGAGAAGCAAAAAGGTATATTTAGAAGGCATTAAGAAAAAGGTAGTAAAATTGCTCTGTAGAAAAACATGCATGAGGATTATAGTAACCATAGGCAAATAATATTGTGTCAAATATACTGTGAAGTCCCATAACTCTGGAAATACAAACCAGAAAAATTTCAAAATCTAAAGTTTATTCTTGACTCTAAGGACTTAAGGGATGTAATGTAAAGCTGAAATGACCACTTATAAAGTAGACCATGTGACTAAAAACTACTATGTCTATTCTGTACAAGGTTTTTCCAGTGTTAGACGATACAAGGGATGTAGCAACACATTGCGATACATGTATTATATTCTTCTACGATATACCAATAATGATTCGTGTACCCTGTTATAGTTGATTCTTGTTTAGGTGTTCCTAACGATTTTTTAAACCCTGTTGTTGCAGTTCTTATATTCTGGTGTTCCAGGTGATTCTTTTTAAACCTTGTATTTGTAGCTCTCTATTTTAAAAGTGTTCTGGGTAGTTCTTTTAAAACCTTGTATATGTAGTTCTCTTATTTAGTTGTTCCTGGTGATATATTTTTCATAGATTTAAGACTTGTGACTTACCAAATATGACTTGAATCATTATACATGAACCTACTTCTGATGTAATACCTTCTGGCTCAACTGAATAGGATAAAACCTAATGTGTCAGAGTATAAACATGAACCTCACTGTTTACTTTAAGACATACTACTAGACATTGGAATAGAAACTCCCTGCATAACAAGACATAATTGAGTTTGCTGTTGACAACAAGATTATAAATATATTCATAATTTTATTGATATAAAATATAAATGTTTGGCCCTTGGGATTTGTACTCAGCGAAGGGAAATTTAGCTCCAGGCCCTGTCGACGACACTTGGTATAGATGGACCAAGCCCCATGGACATGGACACTTCGTCAACCAACCGGAAGATGAGTTCCTATAAGGGGATGAAGCAATGCTCCATCTCGTAGCAGGTGGCTACGATAAAAGGGGGTCAGATTGACGGTGGAGAGAGAAATACATGTAGATGTATTACATTTAATGACTTGGGGGAAATGAGAAATTAGACCAGTGGTCGAAAGCTTGAAGAAGTTTAAGAAATACCACTGGTTTGCAGAGACTACTCCCATATTCAGTGAGTAGTTGAAGGCAGTTGAAGGGGAGGTGGGTGGTTAATTTGTTTCTTTTTACGATAAAACTAATGTATGACTTTCCCTGTCAGCAGCAAAACTCAAACTGAAAACTACCATAACATCCTAGGGAAACCTGAGAAGGGTCTGTATCACTGCATGCCTCATGACCAAATAAGGAGTGCTCATACAGCCGGGGGCATGTCAGTACCAATCATGTGCTACACACATGCATCCTATAATGTGTCTTGAATAAACAACGCTTATATACATAATATAAGCTTCTATTTATTCTCGACTCCAAGGACTTAAGGGATGTAATGTAAAGCTGTAGAAAAATTTCAAAATCTAAAGCTAGTCTACATTCACTAATCCTAACAACTGTGTATCATTATCAAAATTTGTAGAAATTTGATCCAAGCATACTACAACTCATGCATTCTATGCAAAAAATTGCCTTTTTATTAATCTAACATCAAAAGTGCCATTACTCTTGAATGATATGTCAGAAAATTTTCAATATAAAAAGGAGCTTTTATCAATCCCAACAATAGTGTAAAGTTTTGAGGAAATCAATCCAAGCATACTGAAGTTAGTGTGTGATATGTGAAATATTGCCTTCAATCTAAGGGTTAAAGTCCTATTACACTGGAATAACTCAACAAAAAATTTCAAAATCATAAGAAAGCTTTCTCCTATCAATCCTACTGTTGTGTTAAAATTTCATGGGAATTGGTTTAAGCAAATTTGAGTTACCATACTAAGTGTTGACAAACGGACAGATATACTTAGGGAATACCATAATAAACCCTGTCTAAGATGGGCTTATAAAAATGGAAAAGTAGAGCAAAAATATAAAGTATAATACCATGTTATAAAAAGGTCCAGCAGTCATAGCACCATACAATGGGGGTGTTGTATCAACCATGAATTTGTGATAAATCATTCCACAGTCCCCTGATTCATCTGTAGCTGTAATTTGAAGATAGAAAAGTGTTGAATTGACGTGCTAGCAATCTATTCTTACACTGACTATTTTAAGAACATCCTCAAGTTTAGTATATTTGGCATTCTTTTTAAAAAAAATTACAATATTCAAGACTAAAATTGAAGCAGTAATGTTTTGGAAAATAAAATTGTATGAGGTACCCCTTGATGACAATGATGTATCCTAAGTCCCTGTATATGCATTTCAAATTAAATGATAATTGACAAAGAATGGCAATAATTTTAGTCATGTCAATTAAAGTGCTCATTAATCAAATACTTTTAACTTATATCTTAAATGGTTGCTTAGATTTATTAAAAAAAACATCCTAGCAAGACTTTTTTACAGAAGATCATGTCATAACAAGAAAAAAATTACATTGAATCACTACACTTGTCCCTTAGAAAAAAACTCCCATTATTGTTAACTGCCTTAAACTAATACTTTAACCTTTCACAGGATTGAAAAACGGATGCAGACAGGAAAATATAATTCTTCCTATTATTACAAAAAGGTTATAATGGTATAAAAAAATAATCTGACATCATAATTTTAATTCAACAAAGAGATTTTCTTACCTATTACCCATACATAATAAGTTCCTCCTTTTTGTAGTTCTAAGGATGTTAATGTGTAAAATGTATTCTTGTTTATGTTGATCAGTGGTGCTACGTTAAACGTGTAATCGTCAACCTGTTCACTTTTACGTCCATCAATCTTGAGGAAATAAAATTTTAAAGTATAGTTAAGAAGCAAAATACAAGTGAAGTATTGTTTCATTGAGAAGCATTTTCTGAATGATCAATATAAATAGATAAAAAATATGGGATTCCAAAAGGTACACTGTAAATTATGAAACTATTGTGAGGTTTAAATTAATGTGAATAATGGATGAGTATTGCAATAATGAGAACTCGCATTCTGATATCTGATACATATATCTGTATGCTGCTTTTCCCAAAATCGCAAAAATTAATCTCACATTTTTGTTCATTCTTAAAAAATTCGCAATAATTAATTCTAACATTAATTTCTGAATTTAAAACCTCACTACATATTCTTTTTTCTCTAAATCTTGCCAGATTTATCCTTTTCCTGACCTGTTAATTATTTTTATTTTATCAACATGTGGTTGTTTGATCTGAGTTCTTCATTGGTCAAAATTCGATTATGACGTAAAATGTTCTTGCTTTCCTCTGAATTACCTACTGTGACAACATGAAAAAAGGGACCATGCCTGAAGACCTCACATACAAAAAAACACATCTTTTAATTAAAATACTTAGAAAAATAGATTCCATCACCAAATCTTGTGCAATATGATACTTATCCACTCTCGATTCAATTTTAAAACTGTCTCCAGTGGATAAATATAGTATCACACTTGATGCAGTGGTAGAATCTATATTTATTATCTTGTAAACTTGCTAATTTGATTTCATAATTTAATTCAGGAAATTGGAAATGAATCTATCGATATACAAACATATCTTACATAAAGTTTACAGTCAGTTCCTACTGCTCCTGAATGATTGGACAGTGCTACATAGTACATCATGATATCTAACTTTGATGTAAACCCTTCAAACTGTATATCTACATATGTATCGGTATTGATATAGTCTCCCATGATAATGGATCCACCTATGTTTGCAAAAAGAAACAGCATGAGAAAACATTTATTTTCGGTGTGAGCCAAGGCTCTGTGTTGAAGACTGTACTTTGACCTATAATGGTTTACTTTTATAAATTTTGACTTGGATGGAGAGTTGTTTCATTGGCACTCATACCACATCTTCTTATATCTATAAAATAGTTTGTTCACTTCATGTAATTCAGTTTTAGTGTTCTGCCCAAGGTATAGTTTTGCATACTGTACGCTTGTTTCAATATTAAGCATAAAAATTAAGTACGTTATTTTCATGTGCACATTTTGGGTTGTCAACATTACCATAAAGTTTGTAGGTCTTTAAGCAAAAGCCAACTGGGAGTGATAGTCTGTACTTATTAATTTAGATTGTCTCAGTTTTCAGAATTCCCAACAATGCTCATTCAATTGTTATGCAATAACTCTGCAGTCCAGTAGCGATTTGGGAGAAATATCTTACTATCAAAGAATCATGGAAGGAGCTGCGGTGGTGTGTTACTTTTAACAGTTCTTGATGTTGCTCCATATAAGGCTCCAAGCTGATAGTCAATTATTGGAAAGGAGGCAGAGAAGAAGCTAAATTGTAAGGCCCTGTGGTATGTATTACAGACTGGCTAACAGGCTCTTTATATAATAAAGTATTAATAAGAGGCATAACAATCATTACTGATTTAATGACATTTACAATTTTCAGGAATAAAAAAAAATCTTTATCCTACCACGGTACCTTCTCCTTTTGTTTTACAGTTATGTTTACTATAATTTGAGTTCCTGGCATATATGATTTTCACCAGAGCTATATTTGAAACATTAATGAAAAAAAATCAATACTGTTTGACAATTCCTATATCTTACCATTCCAACAAGTTACAAGGCATCAATTGATTAATTGATTGGTGTTTGCTGTATATTCACTGGCAAATATTTCATCCACATTCAGGAGGAGAACAAATCAAATTTGAGATGGCATCAACTGACTTACCTTCAACACCACCATCATATCCTACATGGAAACCATTAGATGTCACCGTGGCAACAGAGAAAGACACACTGTAGGCTCTAACTGTGAAGTAATATATTGCTGTCCCTGATTCTAAATTGAGATCATAAAATGTGACAGACTTGTTCAAACCAACATTGGTAAACGGTACAATATTATCTCTGGTTTTGTGAAATCTTCTGTCTGTTCCAACAGCAACTTCATAAAACAATACTTGCTGGGTACCAGGTTGTTCTGCTGTTTTTGAATCATCAACTTGATAACCTGGGTTTCCTTTTAATAGACAGAGAATTGAGGCAATAATGTAGATGCATACTTTTTTTTAAGACACACACAACCCTATCATGACATTCATACCTTTAAGATAAAAGATAGCTTCAGTTGGAACAATTTCTGCTTTATTTTTAAACAGGAGGATGGATGATATCAGAGTATCTCCAATACAAACTTATTAACAACACATTGTAATTAAACATATCTTTTACTTCTAAACGATTTAATTCAAATTCAGGCCGGTTTCTAATAAATCGAGATGAAAGACTTGACACCAATTGCAATTGGGTCAAACTAATTTTGAATGAACTGTCATATGTGGATAGAAACACTTGCATTCAAATCATGGTAATTTATTTCTCTGTGGGTTCAGATTATTCTAATTTGGTGTTGCATTTAAGAAAATTAAAATATTAGAACACATATATTTTGTTGCTGTTGATTTTCATATTCGAACCTTGAAAAGTAAATACCTTCAACATCAGCTTGAAATGATGCAGAAGCTGGTAAACCAAAACCTTCCCAATTAGCTGTTACTTTACGTCTAGATGGCAGAACACTTAAATCAAATCCAGTAATGTAACCGTCAAACACTTTGCCTGGCAGTAGAGGATCTTCTTCAACTGTAACTCCATTGGACCTAATTATATAGGTGTAATTCAGAGCATTTGTCACTCTTAACAAAGAATAATACAATTCCCTGTCCTTAAGTTGAAGTCCATCAAGCATTGCATTTTCGGAAACTGAAAGAACAAATGTTTTCTTAGCATTATTTTTCTGCAAACTCAACTGAATGGTAATTAAGTACAACTCCATCATGTAATCATGCAGTAAGGGATGAAAGATTGACAAGCTTACATCAAATTGCCTATTGTGATTTTTGTATTGTTGGGTTGCTGTTTCACATAACAACCCACATTTCCTTTTATTAAAAATATAAATTAAAAATTCAATGGTGAAATAGTTTGTTTGTTGGCTATCAAAATTTCAAAGATGTTCATCTTTGATTTTTTTCTATTATAATTTCTTTATTATACATCTACATAGTTAGTAATAGGCTATCAGTACAGTTATTTCCTTTTATTATAATTATCAATTAGTAAAATAATTTCTTAAATCAGCAGTTTTGAATTCCTGCACCCCTAATAACAATTTGCTCATATAATCATTAAAAAACTGATAAATACAGTCCATATAATTAACATGCAGAGATATTTACAATTTTGCAAATCCAAAATTTGGGGCAGTGTGTGGTTAGGGTTGATTTAAAAAAACAGATGAAAATATGTACTACTTATTTTTCAACATATTTGCCTCCTGAATACAGGATTTTTTTATATAGATAATATCATACCAATATTTTGCCTGAAATGACTTTCCTAAATATCTTAAATTGGTAACCATAGCAACCATAAAAAAATTGAAATAAAATATAATCACCATCCAAATCTAGCCATTTTGAGATCACTTTTCCATCTAGCCTTTGTATCTGCCATTCTTTTCTAACTGATGGACAGGGATCACCTGACAGATCCCATGCTGCTCTCAGTGTGTCAAAACTTTCTTGGAAATCTCTACAATATGTAAAAAATGTACAAAAATATATGTATTAAAGTGTTAAAATAACTTCATTTTGAGACTTTGTTTTCAATTTTAGATGTGAGCCAAGGCCTTATTTAAAAAAAAAAACTCTTTCAAATCTGTTCTATATGTGTGCAGAATTAAACATTAGCAATATTGTTTTTGTTCTGAAATTATTTGTATTGTGTATTTCACTTTGTACCTAATGGTTTCCCCTGATTGTAGTAAAAAATGTATAATTTTATTCACAGTTTTAGTACATGAGAAATTCTTACACATCAACATCAGAGTTTTCCAGTACATCACTTATACCAACATGTGATAATGGTTGAAGATCCTGACTTAAATAAGAGATGTAAACTCCGTTAGAAGTGGCTACACTGGATACACCAGCTCCATTTGTTCCTCTGACAGAGACATAAACCTGTAATACAAAGGTTATATGTAACAAAAATCTTTATTTCATGTAAAAACACTTTTAAAAGACAAAAACAGCATTAAGAGCAAAGTGCTAAATGATATATTTTGTCTTTAAATTTCCAGTTAACAAGATTATATAATTTATCATAAGTAAGGTTGTAACTTCTTCAATTGAAATGGTCATTTCTTGTTACCATATGATTTAAGTTCAACTTTAAAATACCTTTCTATATCCCATCAGATCAAGACCAGACACTGTGTAATATCTTGCATCTTGTGGAACACCAAAGAAAGCTTTGATCTGCCCTCCCCCTGGTGTTGTACCTACTGCTATCTGGTACCTGTAGATATAAAACAACATCAGATTAAGACCAGACACTGTGTAATAACTAGCATCTTGTGGTAAATCAAAGAAAGCTTTGATCTGCCCTCCTCCTGGTGTTGTACCTACTGCTATCTGGTATCTGTTAATGTAAAATAAATCTTTAAAGGCTGACATTAGTTAATACGATACCCACATTGAAAGTATGAAACATCTACCCTCTTATTTCATTTACTTAAGTCTGAAAGTATTTATCCCTCCGAAAAAAAATAAAAGTAAAAAAAAAAATAGTTGAGATTTGCACGACATATGAAAATTTGTGTAAAATTTGATGTATAAAGTCAAAAGCACCTATATTACTTATTTAAATAAAAAAATGAAAATGAACATATATTCGTGAACCTTAACACGTTTTTAAAATTCCATTAAGATCTGTAAGAATATTTGAATTATAATGACACATGATCAACATTGTCAAATCTTTAGAGTCAAGTTCCATATAACTTTTGTAAAAATCCAATCAAGAACTAAAAGTGTAATGAATTTAGTCCAATTTCTGAAAGGAAAAAAATAATCAAAGAGCTGAAAGCTCTGAGGAAAAATGACGCCATTGTCTCCAATATTGGGATATTTTTGATGCAAGTCTTGATTTTCACATAATTTACCTACTGAATCTCAGGAGACTTTTAAGTTCATGGTAGGCAGGCTGACTGACAATAGAATAGATATGAATTGTTTTCAATGTCTATGGCTTTTTTATTTGCTTGTCAAGATATATATATATATATGTGTGAAGTGAAGATGACTACTGGTTGTTCTTTTGTACAACGAAATAGCTCAAGACTACCTGAACAATCTACAATATTCAAAGTAATATGTGAATTTGTTCCTTGCAATTATATTATTCTTAGTCAAGGATACATTAACAGACTTTCTCCTTCTTTGTAGAATTATTTAACAAAATGATTATGAAGAGCCTGTAGTAAGCAAGCTCTTGTACCCCACATAGTCCTTATTTAAGAGATAAGTTACAAGTGACCTAGTGACATTGTTATTTCTGTTACTTGAAGCATGATCCATTTCTGTAGATTTAGACAATAGTATTGTTATACTAGCTTGACAATTACAAACATAGTGACACCATTCATACAACCAAATTTTATTGTTGATATATATATAAACTGAAATCTTAAAATGACAACATAAATTATTGCAGAAATTTATTTTTTCGAAAGATTTAATGTTTGTTAGTCATTTGTTTCAAATAATTTACCCGTACTAAAATAAGGAGATGTGGTATGATTGCCAATGAGATAACAGTCTGATAACTATCCACCAGAGTCCAAATAATGTGGCTGTTGGCAGTTATAAGTCACTTATCAGACCTCAACAATGAACAAAACCGGTTCATTGTTTTCAGGCACCATAAGAAAAAGAGGAGTTGTGGCTTGGTGGCTTACAAGAAAATATGAGAAATATAATAATAATAATATAAATAAGAAAATAAGAGGGACAAAAAAGACAGGACTAAGCCACTGGACTATATATAAAGTGCTCCATTACTAATCCTTAGAGGAGCTGCTGATCAATACTAAGAAAAGAAAGTTGTTGAGGACTTAGCCAAGGCGAGCAGAATTTTGAGACTTAGGAACAACAGTGTAGATGTGGGGACACCACATATATAGGCCAATCTGCCCTATTTGCTGCCACCTTTTAAAATTAATGCCTAGGGTGGTAATTAAACCCATGTGCATTTAATCTGTTGTTCTCTATGTACATATATGATATTGATAAATGCAACAAATGCAGCTGTTATGTAAATATGGTAAAATTACGTCATTATAGCCTCATTTTTTTACAAGGACCTAGCTAGACCTATTTCTAAGGGTATTAGTGTATTATATAACTCTGAATAAGCAATACAATCCCTTTGTAAATACTAATTATATATTCTGCTGTTAACAATAATAACAAAATAGTGGTTATTTCTAAGTATGCAGTAACAACAACATGCATTTTAAGTAAACAAACATCAATGAAATACAACGTGTTTGTCTGTGTGCTTGAATTATAAAACAACCCATCAGCTTTATTTACACAAGTTTTTGCTAAGACAGACGGTTAACATTTCTGTTTACATTATAAGTTTTATAAACAATTATTTGTTGTTATGACTTGTGTATATATGCATGGAAATATAATGAAGATAACATTGATTTTTACCATAAAAAAATGGATACACAACATTCCAGAGATGTACGGGCAGTGACACCAAACACATCCTTCTTTTGTAACGATGGATGGTAACGTATAGCCACTTATATAACAGTAAATGTAGTTGGATAAGCTACCCGAAACAATAAATAATTTGTATATTAATGGCAGACATGCAATTGTGTCAGCTTTTGTTTTGATGGAAAAAACGTAAACATTGGAATCCGCCATTTTGATGTAGGAAACAAACTTATTTTCAACCTTGGATTAAAGGACATTGCGAACATGGTCAGCATATCATGCATAATCAGTCATGTAAAAATATCTTTTAATTTGTTTTCTACATTTACTATTTTATGTTTAAGTTAATTTAATGTTTTAATTTCCAATAGAACAGAACATCGTTCTTAAAGACGACGAAGAAAAAAATATAGGTGGCACTGTTTATAGGCATGAATATTTTACATACAGGTAGTTTTTGTGTCAACAGATTGACCTTTATCCGTCAGATTCAGGCGTTTGCTGTTCAACTGTCTGCAGCTATAACTTTGTAAACAAAATACATACGCACCGCATGGGTATAACCGTATTACTAATTTTCGATTCTTAAAAACTTCGTAAATCTTGATATAGAGCATCTTCGTATGGATATCAAGATGATTCTGATTATTATTTTTTTAATGATTTTAAAGTTCAACTGACAAGAAAGGTTGACATTCTTTCAAGAACTATTTTGTCTAGCGATTGGTTATCATTGGTATGTAAAAAGTTCAAAACCATAACAAAACCGATCTATTTTTATATTCTGATTTTTTACGGATTAATATTGTAAAGACATGCACATAAAAGCGAAAGCTTGTATAAATATGAAAAATATACCAAAGGGATAGCTCAAAATACCATTTAATAACAATAATCATATGGACAGGTTAAGAATGAAATTCTGTATAGTACATAAGTATGTAAAATACGGAACCGAGTTCGGAAAGCAGCTTGGAAGCGGTAAATGACTTCTGGTCAGCGGTATTTTCCAATAAAAAACCATAAACATTGAAACGTGCATGTCTTAATAAATATCCATATCCAGTTACTGTTTTTTCTTAGCACATTAGGGGTTAAGATAAACTCAAACATACCCAACAATTCCTGATTCATCATCAGTAAAGAGCTGCCATGTCGCTGATACTGAAGTAAGTGACTCTGAACATACAGCATCTAATCCATCACATTCTGTAAAATATAACATAACTATAATCAAACAACCTGCTATAATGTAATACAGCTGGGAACATCATCATCTGCATTTAAAAACTAAAAGTTTCTGAAACAAACAAAGGTTACTGGGCTAATCATAAGATTTAAGTTACCAAACCAATTTGAGAAATAAAGCTTGCTGTCTGTATATTTCATAGGATTTAAGTTATTAAACAATGATCCCAACTCTTTCATCTTAAACCAATTAAATAAAAATCATCAATTGTGTGTAGAACTATTATCATCCACTCACCTGCAAATATAAACCTAAATAGGTAGGGCTGATTAACATTCCTCTTTTACACATAATTCCTAAAGCGTTTTGATATTGTTAATAGTATGTATCAAATGGGGACATCTCTATTTTTCTAATTGTCAAAAAAAAAAGAAGTGAAAAAAAAGAAAGAAAATGTGTATATAGGACAGTTTTCACCCTGTAGAATTAATTTTTATTGCCATATTGTATAATTTGGATTTAAGCGAAGTAAAAAGTGATCAAGGTTAGTAAAAGTATTAAATTCCATTTTTGTGAAAATGTTAGCACAAAATAGTGTATTGCAGTTACAGACCCATAAGCTATATTCAACAAGCAGAAGCAGACATATCCAGTGCTCTGTTTCCAAACACTCTACCTCAGTTACTTCTGGTAATAGCATAGTTATCTCTGAACAATTTTAGTAGCTAAAAAGGAAAAAAAATGTTAACCTTCATCTGTACTGCATATTTTAGCATTCATTGCCACAGTTTCACTATTGTCATTGACATTGATTCTATAGACTGTATGTAGGTCCACCACTTTCCCATGTTTAGGTGGTGTTGTATCAATGGAGATGGGTCCAGAGAAGGCATATGTTTCCATGTCAACTGAATTGATGGCTGTGACTGTAGCATAGTAGGACCTGCCATGGCTTAGAAGATTATTAACTCCTGAAAATAATTCAAAATAAAAAATCTGAATTTTATAGGTGCTAACATAACTTCAATCTTAATGCATTTTAACCTGATCTGACAAGTTGGATACACTTTTGATAAACAAAACAATTTATTGAATTGTCAAGTTGGATTTTCCACCAAATTTGTTACGAATACTATACTTAGGTGTTTTTTTTATTAAATCATTAGGGAACTGATTCTGAAACTTAACCCCTATAGTTATTATATATATCCATTATCAATAGTAAAAATGCGTGAAAAGCCTCAAAATAAAATTTACCTATCTCAAAGGTTAAATATCATAATCAATGTTGTATAACAAATCTATATGTGTCTCATATTTTTAAACTAAAGATTTTAAGAGCGGTTTAATGAAAAAAAGTTTACAAATATAGATGTTAATTTTCTAGTATCAATGGGTGCCCAACAATATTATCAAAACATTTCGGAAATCTCTGTCTGAAGACCTGAGACCTATCTGAGAGGAAAGTCATATATCATCTTCAAAATTCAATTAATGCTGACTGTAAAAATTGCTGGACACTAATATTTACACAAAAACAGTATGATACAGTATCATTGAAAGCAATGTGTTCTACCATCAATCTCCTGTTAGAAATAAACTTTCCTGTAAAGGACATCTAACGTTTAAGGAAGCTAAAACAATTAGCATCTATTCTAAAAATCCACCAATATTATTTTTAATATTTACCTTTAATGCTATAAAAAGAAAAAAATCCACTGACAGTTGTTTCAAAAATATCTGAAGAACCTTGTTCTGTTCCAAGAGTAATGATAAATTTCTGTATTGGACTCTCTTCATCTAGAAATCCTGACCAGGAACATATAATGGGGCTCTCCATCTGCAAGTGTTAAAACTAAATGTAATTGCATTAAGAAAGCCTTGTGCATATAGGATTCTAACAAATGCATCAACCACCAAACTTCTGGTAAACAATACCATTGCACTTCAATATGATTTCCCTTAGTTTAAGCAATCAATATTTTAAGAGCCACAATATATGCCAATATTCATGCAATAACCATTTTATTATATGGCAATTAAAACTTTTAAAATTAAAGAACCTTAGTGAGCGCGCTCACATACCCCACGTCCCCACATTGTCACTGGAGAAATAAAATAACTGTAAGAAAAAAAAATTGTATAAGAAAAAAAAATTGAATCATAATTTCCTGTCGATATGCACATCTACATAGTATGTCCTTATTATCTACAAAGTTTCATGAAATTCTGTTGTGTGGGTTCAGAGGAGTTGCGATGACAAACTGTTGCAGAGGTATATTGAAGCAAATAAGTTCAAAGGGGCATAACTCCTAGAAAAAAAATTGAATCGTAATTTCCTGTCGATATGCACATCTACGTAGTATGTCCTTATTATCTGAAAAGGTATCATGAAATTCTATAGTGTGGTTTGAGAGGAGTTGCGATGACAAAAGGTTGCAGTAGTATATTGGGCAAATAAGTTCAAAGGGGCGTAACTCCTGGAAAAAAAATTGAATCGTAATTTCCTGTCGATATGCACATCTACGTAGTATGGCCTTATTATCTACAAAGTTTCATGAAATTTTGTTGTGTGGTTTCAGAGGAGCTGAGATGACAAACTGTTGCAGTAGTACATTAAAGTAAATAAGTTCAAAGGGGCGTAACTCCCAGAAAAAAAATTGAATCATAATTTCCTGTCGATATGCACAACTACCTAGTATGTCCTTATTATCTACAAAGTTTCATGAAATTCTGTTGTGTGGTTTCAGAGGAGTTGCGATGACAAACTGTTGCAGAGGTATATTGAAGCAAATAAGTTCAAAGGGGCGTAACTCCTAGAAAAAAAATTGAATCAAAATTTCCTGTCGATATGCACATCTACATCTACGTAGTATGTCCTTATTATCTGAAAAAGTTTCATGAAATTCTATTGTGTGGTTTGAGAGGAGTTGCGATGACAAAAGGTTGCAGTAGTATATTGGGCAAATAAGTTCAAAGGGGCGTAACTCCTGGAAAAAAAATTGAATGGTAATTTCCTGTCGATATGCACATCTACATAGTATGTCCTTATTATCTACAAAGTTTTATGAAATTTTGTTGTGTGGTTTCAGAGGAGTTGAGATGACAAACTGTTGCAGTAGTACATTAAAGTAAATAAGTTCAAAGGGGAGTAACTCCTAGAAAAAAAATTGAATCGTAATTTCCTGTTGATATGCACAACTACATAGTATGTCCTTATTATCTAAAAAGGTTTTGTTAAATTCTGTTGTGTGGTTTGAGAGGAGTTGCGATGACAAGAAACAGGACTGACGGACGGACAGACAGACAGACGGACAAACGGACGGACGGACAGGTCAAAAACATTATACCCTCCGCAACTCGTTGCGTGGGGTATAATAACAAGAATACCATGTCCACATCACAATTTTTAATCAATAATGCACTTTAAAACAATATTGGGGAATATTGCAAGCTAATTATAGTCTTTGGTGAGGTTATTCAGGATTTATTGCTGTGCTTAATACTTATATAGGGTTAGTGCATGAATATTGTTTTCAGTAGATTTTTATATTGCACCGTTTTAAACATAATTTTGTCACTGATGACTTCGATGATTTCAAGCTATATTTGCACAAGAATATTGCACGCTAACTTTTTTTATGTTGAGTGAAATATTATGTTGCTATACAATTATAAGTGTTTTTGTACAACATACATGTATACATAAATATGTATAAGAAACTTGTCAACAGCTGTGCCAGAATGACATGATGTGACAGTAAAATGCCAATAAATAAGTGCCTATATGTAGGTTCGAATACATCCAGTGACTCACAACTGTAGAACTTCTTATATGAAAATTATCAAAACTGAATTGTAGCTCGTCTTTATGGAACCAAACATTATGTAAAAGTTTGTAAAGATTCTTTAAAGCATACTTGAGTTACTTGGAAGTGGAGATGCACAGAATACAAAATTCGTAATATAACTGATATTCCATGGATAAAAAATAAAAGCAGACAGTCCTTAATCATCTGATTTTCGAATGAAAAGATAGTTGTCAACATCTTGAAATTTTTCAATATTTGAAATTTGAAAAAAAAAAAATATTTGAAGAATAATTCTTTTTAATTTCTGAAATCTGAAATGAGAAAAAATTGACCCCCCACAATTTCTTTTTAACCCCCCCCCCCCCCCCCCCCCCCCCCCCTCAACAATATCAGACAAAAAAATAAACAACTTTTGTATCCTGACTATAGATGACTAACCCCAATGTATTCTGGACAAGATACATATCCAGTTCCTGGTTGACTGGTATCAATGATAACTGAACCAAAAGTAGTTATACCAATCATACCAGCTTTGTCTTCTGCCCAGATACTGATTATATTAGGTTTGCCTACAATTAAAAAGGATAAAAAATAGATGCATCCTTTCAAATATTGAAGATGAATTAGGACAGATGAACAGAATTCCAATTAAATGTTTTTGAAAATATGAAGTCTGTAATTAGGAAACATTTTCAGCTTTTTAACAAACGATTCCAGAGTTGAACATTTTATCATAGAATTTAAATCGTAAAATAAAATATATACAGGTCATTTACCTGTAATGTCAGGTGTGATACTGCCAACCTCCAGGTGACTACTTTGTGTAGAGGATATATTCACTTCAGCTCTAGGTGATATGTCCTCAGAGTATGGATATGTTCCAACAGAATACCAGGCCCTAATCACTTCACTATCTGTGTCATTGTAGTGCCATGTGGCAGACAGGGAGTCAGATGTACTTTTATACATTGAAGAACTTGGTCCTATGTTACCATCAATTGCATTTTTATCTGTTAGCCTGCATTTTGAATTGAAAGAATCTTTAAAAATTACATTCTCAAGCTCAGTGGTCCTTAAGATGACAAATTTGGTATAATAAAAGTTTATTTCCTTTTTGGAAAAATAAGAATTTCATTCAAAATTGTTTATTTCAATTCTTTAAAATAATCTGACATATAGTTGTTATGGAAATTGCTACCAATTTATGGCAGGTATATATGTAGGACTCGGAGGTGAGATGGGGACACTGAAGTGCAACGGTCTACCAATAATATGGAGGTAACCTTTATGATGGGACCATGATAGAGCAACTATACAAGGATAAATCTCATGTCCCGACAAAGCATTTCATATTTCCTCTGGTTGCAGTAAAAAAACTACAGTGATCTATCTTATTCTTGCTGACATTCACAGCAGCTGAATAGATTTTGTGCCGTTCTGAGTAAGCAAGTGGTATTCAAATTTGTAATAGCTTCCTGGTTTAATGAACAATAACCTTTGCATGCAGCATCTATAGTGGTCAATTTCTAAACGCTTGGATGAATGTTGGATTTATCTTTGGTCCAAGCCTATTTACAAAGTAAACAACAACGTTTCAGTTATAAATGACTATGCATCATGACTATTTTAAATTAAACGGATTATACTATTGGTGATTTACTTAAAAACCTGAAAAGCTGCTTCTAACAAACAAAGCAACTTCTTCATCCAAATGAAATCATGAAAAACACTAAAAATATAGTTTTTGCCATCCATCGTACTTCAGCGTTACCACCAATAAACTTCTGCGTAGGAATCAGCAAGATAGCATCACAATGCCACCATCATACTTCTGTGAAATCAAAAATGCACTTCAGAGTGACCATCACTGTTGGGAGTGCTATCGAGGTTCAGAATCCGAAATATATATGCGGCAAGAAGACTAACAAGTCCCCTCCCCTCCCTAAAAATTACGAAAAAATAAATTCGAAATATCACACAAGTGAAATAAAACTATTCATAAATAAAAAAAAAACATAATAAACCCCATGATCCAATATTTACCTGTCTAACACTACTGTTGGAGGCAATAAATCTACAGTAATTCCATCTGATACAGACTCAATAATATTTCCAGCATTAGTGATACCTCTGATGGTAGAATAATATGTCTTTCCAGGTTCTAGCTGAGCATTTACTTGTGCATATCCAGAGCTGGTAATGCCTAGAAATATACAATGTTTCAAATAGCCCAATCTTTTAAAGTAGAGCATAAATTGTAATGCCTTTAAATATTCCCACCCTCTCATACAATCAATCCAGACAGCTCCATATCATAGTTTTTGCATGTTCATATGAATATCCACAACTTTTTATTAATCCCCATTCAAATTATTTAAGTTATTGGTAAATTTCAGTTTGTAGAAACAAAAATAAAATACCATCTCCAGCGATAGTTTTCTCTTCTACATGTAAAATTCCATCAGATGAAAATGTGGTGACATCTTGTCCACCTGGAGTTGTTCCTACAGCCCATTCATAGTCCATGACACCATGGAGGTGGCTCTCAAAGCCTGTGTACTGTACACTTAGGGTAGAAATGTCAGACTGGTAATCCACGTCAACACCAATGTCAAATACAGGATCATGGTCTGTTCCATCTGTACCATCAATAACTATGCCTACAAAACAAAGTAAAGGGCAAACTCTGTAAACTACACTGAGGGTAGAAATATCTAACTGATAATCAAAGTTAACTCCGATGTCAGATACAGGATCATGGTCTGTTCCATCTGTACCATCAATAACTATGACTAAGCACAAAATAGAAGATGTAAACTTAAATACAAACTAGCTTATGTTTGCAAAATGGCTATCTCAATTATGATCCCAAAGACAAAGAAAACAAGAAAATAACCTCTTCAAACTATATATAGTGTCTTTAAAAATTATTGATATTTATTTCAAAATATTGCAAAAAATAATAGTCATTCAGATTTTAGATTTCCAGAAAATTTAAAGGATCTTTATCAAAACTACTAATGCTGCTGTCAGATGTCCTATGGAATAAACTGTGGAAAAATAATGATTTCTGTCCAGAACTTCAAGACAAATATTTATTTCTTATTGGAAACTTAACAATAAGATCTTACCTAATATATAAACTGCCACGCAATATTATTTTCTTCTTCGAACAGAAATATATTTAAATGTTTAAGAATGTACGGAAAATAGATTATGTTCCTAAAGTTCTGAAAACTTTTGGATACCTGGTTGGTCTGCTTCCACCACCACTATTGGCGTTGACACCACAGGTGAACTTTCCAGTCCTGCTCCATTTACAGCTATCAAGCTAACATAGTACACTGGGGTCTTGGTGTCTATGTTACTAACTTCTAGAGACAATCCATTAATATATTCATCTGTCTTAAGTCCTACATCTGTCCAAGACCTTATTTCAGTTCCACCTAGGAATAAGAAAATATTTATATTAAAACCTGCCATAACAGACACCTCAAATCAGTGGTCATTTGGTTTGAAACAGGATAAAATGCTTGACAAAGCCTTGTACAAATAAATTTTATATTTTGAGACAAATTTATAGTTATTCTATATGTAACATATAATCCTTTTCAGAGAAAACAACTGCTAGGTAAGAGAACTATACCTGGTGAGGATCCAACAGCTATTTTGAATCTGAGAACACCTGACTGATGATCTGATGCTCGCCATGCTGCCTTAATACCATCTGTATCTGCTTGCCAAACATAACCATTTACTGCTTGTTCTTCATCATCTGATAAAGTGTTGACATGCAGCCAATTTATCTACACAACCAGAGTAATAACATTAATAATTGTGTTCAAAGGTGTGATTACACAAATGGAATTTTATGAATGTTTTAATGTAGTTTTTATTCATTTCCGTAAAAACCTTTGTTGAAGACCGTACAGTGACCTATAACCTGTTACATGCATGTCACTTGGACTCTGGTGGATAGTTGTTCATTGGTAATCATAAACCACCTATATATATCATCCTATTTAATTCAAATTTCAATATTTTCATAACTTATATTTAGAGGATCACCTGAACTAGCCAAAAGGACAATTCCATTGGTTATTTCAGAAATTACTATTTTCATTTGATACTTACTGCTGGAGGTGTTGTGTCTATTATCACACCATTTGATACTTACTGCCGGAGGTGTTGTGTCTACTATCACACCATTTGTTTCAAAAGCTGCCACAAATCCTGCTTTATTAACAGCTCCTATTCTGATACTGTATACAGCACCTTGTAGTAAATCTAGACTGGAGTCAGTGAATTCATTTATGGTCTCACCATCAAGCTGTATCCACTCATTCCGCTTTGCTTCAAAACATCAATAATATATTTACTAAGATATTATTAACCTCAGTATTTCAAACCCTTCCCATCATCCATCTCTCCTACTCAACAGGGATTAAGCTTTTTATAAAATTAAAACATGTCACAAATCCAAGACTTTGATAAGAGCTCTCTGGATGAGAAACAAATAACAATTAGTCAACTGACAGTATGTTATTGTCTGAAGATAATATAGATTAGTTTTCTTGTATGACGAAATATTGAAAAGGTATACTGTACAAGAGAACTATTTTTGTTTGTTTGAAGATGTTGATTTGATAGTTACAATCTAAACTATGTAATACTGTCCAATACATAGATAAACTTTTATTGTTGTCATTGAAATTTTGATGGCATTTCATTCCCTTGTCTTGTCTATATGAATATATTTATGTTTTCCACCATACTATCAGTTTACTACTGCTATATATAGGCAGCAAAGCCAAAATCGAAATTTTAATTTCTATAATCCCAACAACAATATAAAGTTTGAAGTAAATTGATCCATGCATACTGGAACATAAAGCAAGATATGTCAAACATTGCCTTAAATCTAGGGGGTCCAATAACTCTGGAAAGAAAAACATTCTGAACTAAAGGCTCTTAATAAGTCTTGTTTATCATGGCATATAAAAAGCTTATATATGAGGTAAGTAAATACCTGGAACAATTTGTGATCTAATACTTTGATGCCGTTGGTAAATCTGTATTTTAAAATGATCTAATCCAGATTCTTCATCAATAAACTTGAAATTTGATGATAACATGGTGGTATTGGACTACAAGAGAAAAAAGATGTATAAAATTCTTGGCTAATCCGTAGCATGAAAAGTATTTCAGCGCTCATTTTCTTCTAATCGACTGGTCCTTGAACAGCTGTAAAATTTCATAACTTTTAGCAAAGAGATCTCTTACATTGATACTTAATTCACTACAATAAAATTCTATGTACCCTTTTGATGTTAGAATATTCTTGTCTGTAGAATTTCAAATATTTACATTTATATAATAAAAACAAACTGCATTATAACACCTCCTGCCTTCATCAATTGGGGGTAAAAATGAAAGACGTTTTTAAGGCTGTTTGAAATTTTCATCACATATACTGTAGATTTTGGTAAAGTGTTATTTCATCAAAATGAAAGAGTAGAGCCCGTAACCTCAATAAAAGACCCTGTACAGGTGTATTTTTAATTCTTCAATTGTCTGGCTAAATTTAATGCATTTTGTATTGCTTATAAAGGTAGATGGGGGTCTAAATCAAAATTCATAGAATTTTTTAATAATTTTTCAAAATGTAGTTTATATCGTGCTTTTTTCAAAAATATAACTAGAGGCTCTCAAGAGCCTGTGTCGCACACCTGATTCTACTTTGGTTTTGGAAATCATGTAAAAATAGATTAAAATCATAACAGATACCCTAATAATGAGTGAGGCCAAATTTGGTTTAATATTGGTCCTATAATTTAATAAAAAATCCTGGTGGCCATCTTGAACAGTAAATCGGCAACAAAGTAGCAACACTTAATCAGCACCTCATAAGAAACATTTATGCCATTTTTGGTTTCATTCCATTCAGTGCACCTCTAGAAGAAGCATTTGTATGTATTTCCCATAGGGTTTTATGTTAAAGGAAGTCTCCCCATTGGCGGCCATCATGGATGAAGGATCAGCTTCAAAGTAACAAAACTTAGTCAGCACCTCATTAGGAACATTCATGCCATGTTTGGTTTCAATCCATTCAGTATGTGGTTCTCTAAAAGAAGACATTTGTATGTATTGTCCATAGGGTCCTTTGTTAAACATTGTCCCCATCTGGCAGCCATCATGGATGAAGGATCAGCTTCAAAGTAACAACACTTGGTCAGCACCTCAAAAGGAACATGCATGCCATGTTTGGTTTCATTCCATTCAATGGTTCTCTAAAAGAATACATTTGTACGTATTTCTCATAGGGTCCTATGTTAAACTAAGTCCTCTGCTGGCGGCCATCTTAGATTATGGATCAGCTTCATAGTAACAACACTTGGTCAGCACCTCATAAGGAACATTCATGCCATGTTTGGTTTCATTGCATTCAGTGGTTCTCTAAAAGAAGACATTTGTATGTATTTCCCATAGGGTCCTATGTTAAACTAAGTCCCCCGCTGGCTGCCATCTTGGATTATGGATCAGCTTCAAAGTAACAACACTTGGTCAGCACCTCATAAGGAACATTCTTGTCATGTTTGGTTTCATTCCATTCATTGGTTCTCTAAAAGAAGACGTTTGTATGTATTTCCTATAGGGTCCCATGTTAAACTAAATCCCCCGCTGGCGGCCATCTTGGATTATGGATCAGCTTCAAAGTAACAACACTTGGTCAGCACCTCATAAGGAACATTCATGCAGTGTTTGGTTTCATTCCATTCAGTGGTTCTCTAAAAGAAGACATTTGTATGTATTTCTCATAGGGTCCCATGTTAAACTAAGTCCCCTACAGGCGGCCATCTTGGATTATGGATCGGCTTCAAAGTAACAACACTCGGTCAGCACCTCATAAGAAACATTCATGCCATGTTTGGTTTCATTCCATTCAGTGGTTCTCTAAAAGAAGACATTTGTATGTATTTCTCATAGGGTCCCATGTTAAACTAAGTCCCCTACAGGCGGCCATCTTGGATTATGGATCGGCTTCAAAGTAACAACACTCGGTCAGCACCTCATAAGAAACATTCATGCCATGTTTGGTTTCATTCCATTCAGTGGTTCTCTAAAAGAAGACATTTGTATGTATTTCCCATAGGGTCCAATGTTAAACTAAGTCCCCTGCTGGCGGCCATCTTGGATTATGGATCAGCTTCATAGTAACAACACTTGGTCAGCACCTCAAAAGGAACATTCATACCATGTTTGGTTTCATTCCATTAAGTGGTTCTCTAAAAGAAAACATTTGTATGTATTTCTCATAGGGTCCCATGTTAAACTAAGTCCCCCGCTGGCGGCCATCTTGGATTATGGATCGGCTTCAAAGTAACAACACTCGGTCAGCACCTCATAAGGAACATTCATACCATGTTTGGTTTCATTCCATTCAGTGGTTCTCTAGAAGAAGTTCAAAATGTAAAATGTTAACGCCGACGACGGACGACTAACGCCAAGTGATGAGAAAAGCTCACTTGGCCCTTTGGGCCAGGTGAGCTAATAAAAAGTATGGGTCACAGAGGCTTTTTTTTATGTTACAGGTTGTGCAAAATTATCAGGTTTTGTATAGATTATACATGGAAAACCCAATTTTGTGTGATAAAAAGAAAACTACATTATAGAATTTTAAGATAAAATATGAGAAGATAGCTCTAATAATATACGTTCAGATAAGAAAAATAAAAAATGGGGTCACCGGACTTGTTTTCTTGCTACATAATAAAATAGGTAAATTCACAACACATTCTATTATAAAAGTTACTTTATCTGACTTATATCCCCTTATGTGGCAAAGTTGAAAAAAATGAATCAAAAAATTTTTTCTGTTTTTTGTAAAATAGTCATAAAATATGATAAAACACATAATTTTCTATATAAACTAACAGTCTTGCACATGAATTACATTCTGCTCTGGAAATTTGCACATTTCATTAAAGATCTAGACCAATCGTTATCTGCTATTTCAAAATCCAACATGGAGGAAGACACCCCAGCTACCTTTATGTATTCTTTTTGAAAGAATAATAAGAACTAGAGGCTCTCAAGAGCCTGTGTCGCTCACCTGACTCTACTTTGGTTTTAGAAATCATGTAAAGATAGATAAAAATCATAACAGATACCCAAATAATGATTGAGGCCAAATTTGGTTTAATATTGATCCCGTTATTTAATAAAATATCCTGGTGGCCATCTTGAACAGTAAATCGGCAACAAAGAAGCATCACTTGGTCAGCACCTCATAAGGAAAATTCATGCCATGTTTGGTTTCATTCCATTCAGTGGTACTCTAAAAGAAGACATTTGTATGTATTTCCCATAGGGTCCTATGTTAAACTAAGTCCCCCGCTGGCAGCCATCTTGGATGATGGATCGGCTGCAAAGTAACAAGTCTTGGTCAGCACCTCATTAGGAACATTCATGCCATGTTTGGTTCCATTCCATTCAGTGGTTTTCTAAAAGAAGACATATGTATGTATTTCCCATAGGGTCCTATGTTAAACTAAATCCCCCGCTGGTGGCCATCTTGGATGATGGATTGACTGCAAAGTAACAACACTTAGTCAACACCTCATTAGGAACATTCATGCCATGTTTTGTTTCATTGCATTCAGTGGTTCTCTAAAAGAAGGCATTTGTATGTATTTCCCGTAGGGTCCTATGTTAAACTAAGTCCCCCGCTGGCGGCCATCTTGTATGATGGATTGACTACAAAGTAACAACACTTGGTCAGTACCTCATAAGGAACATTCATGCCATGTTTGGTTTCATTCCATTCAGGCGTTCTCTAACAGAAGACATTTGTATGTATTTCCCATAGGGTCCTATGTTAAACTAAGTCACCCACTGGCGGCCATCTTGGATGATGGATCAGCTGCAAAATAAGAACACTTGGTCAGCACCTCATAAGGAACATTCATGCCATGTTTGGTTTCATTCCATTCAGTGGTTCTCTAAAAGAAGACATTTGTATGTATTTCCCATAGGGTCCTATATTAAACTAAGTCACCCGCTGGCGGCCATCTTGGATGATGGACCGACTGCAAAGTAACAACACTTGGTCAGCACCTCATAAGGACCATTCATGCCATGTTTGGTTTCATTCCATTCAGTGGTTCTCTAAAAGAAGACATTTGTATGTATTTCCTGTAGGGTCCTATGTTAAACTAAGTACCCCGTTGGCGGCCATCTTGGATGATGGATCGGCTACAAAGTAACAACACTTGGTCAGCACCTCATAAGGAACATTCATGCCATGTTTGGTTTCATTCCATTCAGTGATTCTCTAGAAGAAGTTCAAAATGTAAAAAGTTAATGACGACGAAGGTCGCCAAGTGAAGGGAAAAGCTCACTTGGCCCTGTGGGCCAGGTGAGCTAAAAATTAAATATCTGCTCCATATTCATAAAAGCCTGAATTATGAATAGATTTCATTCGAACTCATTTTTCTAAAAAATTATCACTTTAATCTACTTTTTTCATGATTTTATATATGGTGCCACCTCTCACCCATTGAAATTTTGGATAAAAAAGTAACGAATATGGTTCATAAAGAATATTTCAGCCAAATTCTTGTGGACGAGGGGTGGCACCACTGTTAATTTTTCAGAAAACTGTCATAAATTTAGGAAAATTATGCAAAACAAGAATGTGTCCATAGTACATGGATGCCCCACTCGCACTATCATTTTCTATGTTCAGTTGTCCGTGAAATTGGGGTAAAAACTCTAATTTGGCATTAAAATAAGAAAGATCATATCATAAGGAACATGTGTACTAAGTTTCAAGTTGATTGGACTTCAACTTCATCAAAAACTACCTTGACCAAAAACTTTAACCTGAAGGGGGACAGACGGACAAACGGACTGACGAACGAACGGACGCACAGACTGAAATACATAATGCCCCTCTACTATTGTAGGTGGGCCATAAAAATCAGGTTTAACTGTGATCCACCTACATTTAGGACGTCACAAATACATAACTAATGACGCAATTGGTGAAAATCTTATTTAACTGAAACAATAGGACATTTTAAAATATGTTTGCATCAAATTTTATCAAAGTTTTCAGATTTTTAGGGCCAAAATCATAATTTAATGAACCAAATCTTTTGGCATAAATCCATAAAAAATATATATGTATTAATTGATCTGAGGAGGTTTAAAAACAGGAAAGAGAGGCTCACTACTCTTAGACCGTCTACATATGTTTTTATCTTGCAATGCAAACAGATGCTAAAAAGTTTAAATTTTTAATATATACATGTAGCATAAGTTTAATTGAGCATACTATTTTTTATTTGTAGAGTAAAATTGATTTTTAGAGGATAAACAAACTAAAAAGAAACCTGAAATTCTAGATCCTCATGTTGAGTTAAACCATCTCCTAGATATACCAGTTTTGGAGGTGTCAGATCTACAATATAGCCATCTGTCTCATTTACTATTGAGTTAATAGCTCCATTTGTAGTACGCAAATAAAGTTTCACTCTATCCTTATGTTGGAAATGGAAATTCAGCCATTTCACACTCTCTGTCATATTAGACAATGTCACAAAATCTCTTCTAGTTTTAAAGTTTTCTGTCAAATTCCTGAAATAATGTAAAAGTTACAACAATAATGAATCTTGTTTTACATTTCAAATTTTAAAATAGAACTAAGAGCACTTCTTAACAATCCCTATAACAAAGTTTCACATGGGCTTTTTTTCTAATAAGAACATTACTTGTCTTGAATAAAATATGAACCCATTATTTACTTTTGAATAACTGTAAATCTTTATAAAAATTTATTAGGCAATTAATAATGAAACACTTTCCTACCTACACATAGTAACAAAGTTCTGTAGTCAAAGATAATGAAAAATGTTTACTGGACTTACAAATGTCAGAGTTAACAGGAGAGATTGTCTGACCCACCAAACCAGAGAATAGTTTCCCTCATGTAAATTAATACATTTTATCCTTTTTCATACATCTTTAAAAACGCAACATCTAAGGTTGAAAAACAAATAATTTAAACTTACGGAGCTACTTGAACTTGCACATCATACTGTCTGATGGTTGATTCAGGATCATGGTAATCTCTCCATTGAACCTCCACTTTAGCTGCACTACCAGAGAACTGGATATCTTCAAACCCTGTTTTGTTTCCATCAATTACATCACCAGGAACTGGCTTAGTAAGATCCACTGTAACTGTAAAACAGCAGGAAGATTATAAGATTAGTATAATGTACAATATATACCAAAAATCTTCACTTTTTTCCCGCAACATTGGTGACAAGCATTTTAGAACATTCAATTATTTTGGTCAATGATGTCCCATCACCAGATAACCCTTTTACTTCATAATTTTTCACCTACCACTGTCTTCATGAACAATGGACATTTCTCAGAAACCATTTGACAAACAGCCATATAATTTGAGAGGATGCATCTTATACATGTATGTGCCATTTTAAATTTCATTGGCCATAATTATGCTCAACCTTACTTCAATTTTCAAAAACTAATATTACCTATAACAATACAGTGAAACCTGCCTTAACGATCAGCTGCATCTAACGGTCACTTTCAGAACCTCCCAAATGGATTTTCTATATAATTTAACTCGTTTCAGCGGTCACCTGATTTCTGCACAATATCGTCATTTCAAAGTTTAACTATCAAAATATTTTTTACAAAATCAGTATCAAAGTCAAAATGAAAGTCGAAACCCACTTGCAAACAAGATCACACAATAGAAGGTGAATTCATGAATTTCCAGTGTTCCACTCCTTTCAATTTCCATTGATAACCCTATCAACAACTTAATACTCCATGAATATTAGCATATTTCAAATTTTTATTCAAATTTACAGCACCAGAATCCACCATTTATTTTTATTTTACTGCTCGCAAGTACGATAACTTTAACGATTGAAAATATTAAAACAATTTGCTCTGATCCTGGATAATGTCAGAATCGGAATTTTTTGGAACCTCATTTAAAAGGTCACCTCTCTTGAGCAGTCACTTTTGATACTTCCCAAGAGTGACTGCTTAATACAGGTTTGACTGTATAATCCTATGTAATGCAGACCTTTGATTAAAATTATGTTTTATGTCAAAGTTTAGCTAAAAAATACTGAGTCCCCTTCTGAAATCCAAAGAAATGCAGTGACCCACAATCATATATAAAGATGCATTAGGATAAAACAAGAGAAGATAACAAATTAAGTCACTATGAACTAAATTTCAAGTGTGATAGACAAACATAAAACTCACATTCCTGATAATAATTTTTTATCTATATACAAATTTTATGTGTTGCAATGGAGTGAAAACAAAAATACAATAGACACAATGCTATTGGAAGCTGAAAAACTTCTGAGAGTTTTAGTTAAATTAAAAGAAAGTGCATGGGGATGAACAAATATTACTACTGGCATATATCCTAACATGTAATCATTATAGATAGATATCTAAAAGCTTCTTTGGGAAACAGCTTTTAACCACTGAACTTGGGTAACTGAATACCTTCTTGTATTAAACACATATATAAAACTAAAATAAAGATCATGCATATAGATTCTGAAAATTAGTTTTAACGCATTTTACCTCCAGTTGAAATAGCTGATACATTTTTCTGATTGACAGCTCCATTAAATGCCCACAAAGTAATGAAGTATGTATGTCCATGTTCTAGATAATTTTCAGGAGTTAGCTCTACACAAGCTTCATGGGTTTTTCTGTTGTACTCTGTCAAGTTAGCAATGTCTGTTACATTTATCTCTTTAACAGAACTAACACTGATTAAGTATAACCCGATACCAGATTCAGGGTCATAGAAATGTAACCAGTTGGCACATATCTGAAATATTTTATAACATGAGCACTTTCATGATTCATCATTTAGTTGATCAAATGCATCATTTAAAATTTAGCTTCTAAGTTGTTTTTTGGTTGTTTTGTTGCTGTCTCATTGATATACCTCACATCTACTTTGATCCAACTCGTCTATTATGAACTGCTATAATATCATAAAGTAAATTCTATATCATGGTATCTAAGTTCCATTAGTTTAAAGTTTCAATAATGTCAGACTGAGAATTGTGGTCACAAATTATGACCCTTTTTCCTTCTTTTAAAAAGGTTGGCAGGTATGTAAAGTTTTATTAAGACCTAATTGCTCAGTGTCTATGGCATATGTTTAAATGTACTTTTGCACAATGTCTTTTGTCCTTTCACAATAATGGAAGTTAATTTTTTTTTGCTGTCTATTGATAAAATTCCATAAAAGGGTCTATCATTCCACAGGTCTAACAGTATTTTCGCATGTCATCCTCATTAAAATTACCAAAAGGTTTAAAAAACGTTCTTCAACAAGCCTGACAAGCAGAAACTTTGAAATGTTGTCAAAAATGATTATACTGGGCCAGAAATCAAAAAAAGGTTTTTGTGCAGTCCTCTTATCATATCAACCAAATTGTCTTCAATGTTATCAAATGACAATAAAGGAGCTACAATTAGAACCTGAAAATTAAAATTTTTGTTTTAACATAAACATTAAAGCTAATGAAATGAAAATAAAACTTTGGTTGACTTCTGTTGTAGCAAGTCCATATCAAACACTTACTTTATCAGGATATTTGGTATACAGCAAATCTTCTCCATAGATAGGCCCATCCATTACAACTCCAGCAAAAGGTGGTGTCTTGTCAACAATAATGGCATAATCAGAAACACCAATAGTACGCAAATCAACTAAAACAGTCAAAATATGAACACTATAAATGCAAGTATACTGTAAGTTCAGAAATTATTGCATGCATTTATTATTGCAATTTTTCAAAAATAGACAAGAATGCGAGTTTAATTATTGCAATTTCAGAAAAATCTACATACAGATCTATGTTTTAGTTATCAAAATGCGAGTTCTTATTATAGCGATACTCACTTAGTCGCATTATTCGCATTAATAAAAACCCCGCAATAATTTCCGAAAATACAGTACAACATAATATCATCGTATAAATCAATAATTCAGTTCATTGTATGACATTTTTGAGAGGCTTTTTCACATGCAATGTCAACATAACCTTTTAGTTTCATCAGTCTTCAGACTCAATAATTTTAAGCCTGGGCTGGCGTGCCTGTGGCTAAGCCTGAGTTACTGTGCCTGTGGCTAAGCTTAAATTACTGTTTCATATTTCTTTAATTGTAATTTTTTTATTGTTTTTCCATACCTTAAAAGAGGGAAGAAAGATACCAGAGGGACAGTCAAACTCATAGATCGAAAACAAACTGACAACGCCATGGCCAAAAATAAAAAGACAAACAGACAAATAATAGTACAGATGACACAACATAGAAAACTAAAGACTAAGCAACACAAACCCCACCAAAAACTGGGGGTGATCTCAGGTGCTCCGGAAGGTTAAGCAGATCCTGCTCCACATGTGGCACCCGTCGTGTTGCTTATGTTATTACAAATCCGGTAAATAGTCTTATTCGGTAAGTCACATTCAAGAAAAGGAAAGGGTATTGTAGTTACGACATAAGGAACATATCCGATATCATCTGTGAAACGGTTATTCCATAACGGTCAACCAACTCACTTTCCAGGGAAAATCTATGTTTATTTTTTTTTAATGACACTGAGTTCAACATAGCAATATTATGTGCCTATCTGGGATTAACAGTAGATCTAAACTTCTCTGACAATCCTATGAATTTTAATGAGACTAGGAAATAAATTTCAAATAAAAAGTACCATTATTAACTGCACGGATTTTCATCCACACTGGAACACCATCAGTCAGAATTCTCACAAGTGTAATGTTAGGATCAAATGAAAGTCTGGTCCATCTCATCTCAATACAATCTCGCCTTGTTCTTCCCAAACATACATCATTGAAGGCTAATCCTGAATGTGGATCACTTAAAAATAAAAATTGCCCGCTAGCATATATTTTCTTCTTAGTCCTCTTTTTGTACATGTTTGCCTACAAGGCCATATGTATATATTTTGCAATTTCAAATGAGCTAAAATCTCACAGGAACCTGATTTGCTATTTTTATGCTAACTTACTGTTTGTTAACTCAACAATTCAAACAACCATTTCAAAAGCATTTATTCCCTGCAGATTTATGCCCTCATATTTTACAGTTATGGGTTTTTTGCTTGTGAGAGAGCTGTCTACTGTTATTTTTTATTATAATATTTGTCCTCTTCATTTGAACATTTTTATATTTGTTTGGCCATCACAGGTTTCTTCAGATTGTTTTTAAAGAAATGTGGAGTCAAATTTCTACTTTTTTAAATGACAGCAGTCACATTTGATGTGTATTTTGAAAATCAGACAAAGCGTTTTAAGTTTGTACTCAAAGTCTGATAACAACTGGCTCTTTAAATGATTTTTATTGAATATATTTTGTTCTTTTTTTTTTCTATTTTTAGTAATAGTGTTGGTCATATTTGATGACAGTTAAAAGTCGTTAATAATAATTGTTTGAATATATCAAAAGAATATTGCCTTCAAAAGGTTTGGATGCACTTCATCTTTAACATGATTTTGCAAAATTCATTTTTTTTCTGTTTCCTTTTTTTTATTCTAAAGGTGTTGGATGATCAACCATTATTCCTAAAGGGAATCAAACAAGAATTATTTCCCAATTTTTTTTTATTGCAATTGGTCCTTTTTGTTCTTGAATTTTTAAAATATTTTTTATGATTGTTCTATCCAACTCTACTTTCTATATAACCTACTGCAGAGCAAGTGAAGACAAATTGTAAGTCTACAACCTTACATCAAAAGAGTAAGTAAAAAGAAAAGAATCTAGCAAAATTTACTTGCATTCCGGTACCCATTTGGTCTAAAAAAAGTATCATAAAAAAGTACCTGGAGTTATGTTTAGCTGTGAGGTTATATGTGTACTCATCATATCTAATATCATAAATTTCCCAGACATAAGGAGGTGAGTTGTCCACTAGAAGTGGTATTGAATGACAGACAGTTGTGGCTAGTGGACCTCCATATTCTACCTCATTTAGAGCTCTTACTGATATGTAATACTTGTCATCTACAATATAAAAAATAAAATTAGTAATTAGTCTTTCAATATGCTTCTTTTAGTAGAAATGAAATATAATTGTGCTAATTATCTAAAACTAGAGGCTCTCAAGAGCCTGTGACGCTCACCTGATTCTACTTTGGTTTTGGAAATCATGTAAAAATAGATTAAAATCATAACAGATACCCTAATAATGAGTGAGGCCAAATTTGGTTAAATATTGGCCCTGTAATTTAATAAAAAATTGTGGTGGCCATCTTGAACAGTAAATCGACAACAAAGTAGCAACACTTCATCAGCACCTCATAAGAAACATTTATGCCATGTTTGGTTTCATTCCATTCAGTGCACCTCTAGAAGATGCATTTGTATGTATTTCCCATAGGGTCTTATGTTAAAAGAAGTCCCCCCGCTGGCGGCCATGGTGGATGAGGGATCAGCTTCAAAGTAACAACACTTGGTCAGCACCTCATAAGGAACATTCATGCCATGTTTGGTTTCATTCCATTCAGTGGTTCTCTAAAAGAAGACATTTGTATGTATTTCCCATAGGGTCCTATGTTAAATTAAGTCCCCCTTTGGCGGCCATCTTGGATGATGGATCGGCTTCAAAGTAACAACACTTGTTTAGCACCTCATAAGGAACATTCATGCCATGTTTGGTTTCATTCCATTCAGTGGTTCTCTAGAAGAAGTTCAAAATGTAAAAAGTTAACGACGAGGATGACGGACGCCAAGTGATGGGAAAAGCTCACTTGGCCCTATGGGCCAGGTGAGCTAAAAACGTATACAAGTACAAAAAATTTTACAGAAATAGTTTTCATCAACAAAAATTCAGTTGTACATTTTGTGGGTCTTTCATTTTAGGCAACCACATAAAAGAATGGATTTATGGCTTCTAATTCTGATTCCTTTATAAAATTACTGCACAGTTTGTAAAAATGCTGTCACAGATGATTGATCATCCACAATAGTATTTAAACTAGATTCATTAAAGAATAATACAAAACTTCCTGCATTTGATGTAGATTTATGGATTTATTTTATCAGAATTTATCAAAACCAAAAGTTATATCAATACATGATGAATTGTATAACAAAGACGCAAGGAAAGGAAAACTAAAATCATCTTAGATGAACTTTGACTGAGAAAGTTGTAGTCTTAGTTTTATCAAAATTGTACAAACTAAACTATGGCCAAAGACATAATATTGGACATATTTACCTGGCAGCGTTTCATATGGAGCAGGAATTGGATAAATCATGGCATTGTGGGTCCACTGTGATTTCTCAAAGAAATGTTTATGTGGATCATGATGTGGATGTATCAAATCCTCACAAACTTCCATTCCAACATATATGGTATAACCTAACAGTCCACTCTCTCTATCATTGAATCCATCCCAGTTAGCTGTCAAATACATTACAATGAAACCATATATGAAATAAGATTAGTGAAAAAAGTAAAATAAAAGCTTTGCATGATGCTATCTTAGTGTCAAAACATCTTTTAATAATCGATTTCATATTACTTTTTCTGTGTTTATGGAAGAGACCAATATTAAAATTTAAAATTACCATAGAGACACTTTTTCAATTTGCAGTTTGAATTCCTCCCCCCAAACTGACCAATTGGTAAAAAATGTTAGCCTGACTGCAAATAAAGTTAGTGAGCAGTGTAATAAAATATTCTTTCCACAAAGTTCTAATGAATAACAATGAAGCTTTACAAAATACATTTGAACAAATAAAACAAATATGGTAGAGACTGCATCTAGAACCTTTCTTTGGTCTTTGAAAAGCTGAATTATAACATATGATAGTCATGGAGATCTTGTAGACTTTATATTAGAGACAGAAGATGAAGAAACCTGGTTCTTATTTGTTTTCATAATAATCAGAAGTGTGTATTATCTTTTAGTGCCCATGAAAGATCCATCCTGGGTAAAAAATAATAAGTACAAACACTATGATATACTTGATACAGTTATCAAATTTGACCTTTGGAAGTTACAAATTTTTTGTGCAGCTTTCAAATATATCTTACCTTCTTTTATTGGTATTTAATGTCTTACCTGTTATGTATGTGTTAATTCTTGTGTATTGAAGATCCGTCATTGGCTCTAAACCATTAAAAACTGCCTTAGATCCTTTGCCATCAACTATCAATCTGCAAAAATCCATTTCCTTTTTAAAAAGAGGCACTTGTTGTATCAATCTTTTGGGTCAAAATGCAGATCAGAGTTCAGGACAGATAAGATTACTAAGTCCAAATAAAAATGTTGACTTTCCTTTTGCCAGTCCATAATAATTGGTCACAACCCCTAAATGTTTTGGCAAAAAGCTTATGATCCTTCTAAAAAGTCAAAATCCTTGCCTGTATATACACAAAATTTTGCCAGTCTGCAAATAGGTTAAAGTTACCAAATTTGTTAAAACCTTTATCAGCTGCTATTGGCTACTTTTAGAAACACACTTAAAACAGTCAATGTGTAATCAATTCGTTTTATGTATAAAATAACACATAACTTGAAAGTAAATGCTACTATAGTGATATTTTTTAATACATTTTGTACGGTCACCTGCAATAAAAGCATGAAACTTAGATTTTTGTTCTTTTTCGGAAAATTGGGTTGGCAGATCAGTGATCAATAAATTAAATGCTTTGCCTAAATTAATCTGAAATAAACAGATTACTTGCAAGAAGATACATATCAGGAGGAAGAAGAATCTTAGTTACTAAGATATGTATCCAAACAAGAAAAGATTTAACTAAATGACTAACAAACCTGTGATTTTTAATGTAAGGATGCATCCCTCTACAACGAATAACCCAATCTGGTCTGTGTTTTTCTGGGATTAGTGACAAACAGTCAACTTGCTCAAGGTAGTCTTGGCTGGCATTTTTTATTTCTCCTGTATATAAAAGCACCAATCAATTTACATAAATACATCAGATAGCTGAAGAGGATTACTGCATACCTCTAACATACTTCATTATTTACAAAGTATGAACTTTATATGATTTTTTTAGTCTGGCAGCAGGACATTTTCTTTAAACCTGTTCTTCAACCCCTTTGATACCTAAGCAGAGCAGGGAATTTTTATCAAAATCTTGTACTACGGATATTTTTTCTAATCGGTAGGGCAATCTATGAGGTATAAAAAAATCAGTCAAATTTATGATATATCCTTCATTAATGTGATTAAACCATAGTTGCCAGCTGACATGATATTCTCGTGTAATACACGCTTTTTCAACAGTTAACACGCGAGGATTTTGTCACATGGCGTGTACACGCTTTTCACCACTTTACACGCTTTTTCATTGTTTTGATTTTTTGGTCGTTAGTGATATCGCAATTATCGGGTTTTTTCATAATTAGACGATAAATACCGAAAATATCGAAGTAATTGTTTGGTCACCATTGTTTATTTTTCTATATGGACGAACAGCAAAAAGCACTTAAGGTAAGTAGTTTGTGATTAGTTTTTACGATTTTGTGACTTTCTTTCTTTCAAATTCATGTAGGGGAAATGTCCACAGAAAGAGGTCGCTTTCAGGACCTGTACCGTCGTCTAAAGAGCTGACTGTTAAGTGAAAACGATGTGTACATCTGAGATTCAAGATTTATAAATTATATTTGGGAGTTCGAGTTTAAATGATTGAGGGACGAGTAACGCATTGTGCACCCTATGTGCAATCATAACAATACATGTGAGAGGAGAACTACAATGTAGCTATTTGATTAAGCATTTAACGTGTTTAATGGTAATCAAATAATAAAATATTTTTCTTTTTCAGTTTCAAATCTAGCCAACAGATTTCCACAGGCCATAGGGGATGGAAATATCACGAAACTGTTGGATCAGTTCTCATAGTACCAACTGTCTTCTGATGAACTACGTTATGACACTCGTTCTAAGCTTGATAAAGCTATTTTAGTTCAGCCAATATAAATCCTGACTGTGAGAGAGCATTTTCAATTATAAGGAAATTCACACTGAATTCTGATCAGAACTTGACAATGATATATTGTGTGCCTTGTTATCAAGTAAATGTAACCAAACTGGCAGTTGTTTTGAATTTGTACCTAGTGGTGTTGCTTTAAAAGCAGCAAAATCGACCACTGTTGAATACAATAAAAGTTTATAGTAGAATATTGTTTTTTATATTAACAAATTTGTATAATGTGAAATTATGATCATTGTTCATATTAAAAAGTCTGCATCTATGTCGCACGTTTTCACACGCTTTTTGACATGTCATGTCATGTCATGACATGATTTCTCATTGTCAGAGGTTGGCAAGTATGGATTAAACCAGGAACCTAATTTTACTTTCATTTTAATATTTGTGTTTCTTTTATACCGTTCAAAGATAAAATCAAACTAAATAACAAAACTAGATGTGTCGGGAACGAAACGAATGGCCGGATTGCAAAAAAAGTTTGAGCCATTTTTAGATAGGAAATTTCAGAATGAAAATCTGTATAACTGTTATTTTCATGAAATTTTTAAAGTCCAAAGCCCGTAATTTTGGCAAAAATCAAAGGAGCCGAACCAAATGTAAACTAGATCTGTAACTCATCCTAGTAGACTCACATACTAAAAATCAGCCTAATGTGTGAGGATGCTTAGAAAAAAAGTCTGTACAACTGTTATTTTTCACATTTAATTTTGCTAGTATTTCTATGTTTATAAATTAGGTTTCACTAAGATCTATTTATGATGAAGATACAATAAAGGAGCAACAAATAAAGAATACATACCTGTTGTGGGTGGAGTCAAATCAACAAGGACACCTTGAGTGTTAATAAAAGACAAATATCCAAGGTAATTAACAATACGGAAATTTACATACACCAGTTTATAATGTTTTAATTGAAGTTGATCAAAGTTAAACTGCTTTGTTTTTCCAACACCAAGTCTTTCATAGTGGTAAAAGTATCCTGAATGAGATCGTTTAAAATGATGTCCTTCTATCGCTTCAACAAGTTCACACATTCCATTTCCAGAGTTGTAATTAAAACTCATACATTTGGTTGGAGGTAAATCAGCACATGCTCTGGCACAATCTCCAGGTGAGTGTTGAAAAGAATCTTCACCTACTTTTGGTCCAACTAACTTTCCTCTACGTTGACTGGTGAACATCCCCAACACCTGTCTATTCAAAGGATCAGACTCTAATTTAAAAGAAAATAACAATTTATTATTAAAGAAGTGTGCACATGCTGAAATGTCTTGCCTGCTGACTTTAAATACACAATGAAGTACCAATTTTCTACAGGCTTGTATGCAGACTTTGGCAAAACCATGAATATATCCTCATTACCATCTTTTAACTTGGTTTTAAGGATGTGTCAAGATGCAGATAATTGCTCCAATCAAAAGTAGATAAGTTTGACATAGTACAGTTAAATCTGCTCTAAATTAAACTAGCACTTGAATCTTCACAAAAAAACAAACTTAAAGCAGAGTAATAATCATGTATTTTAAACCATTGAACTTTTGATATGTGATAAGGTTTGAAAAATATTATTCATCCATTATATAATCTTTATATAAAATGTCACCAAGCTTTTAATTTTGTGCACAGCTTTTTGTATTATAAGGTATTGTAAAGTAAATAAACAGCTGCGCCATGAGCACATGATACGCCTGCTGCTTTTTCAAAGAATAACATTCCATAACTCCTAAATGTCATATCCGAAATTTATAAAAGAACTAAAGGGAGCTCACGTCAAAAGAAATAAAGCAGTCACCAAAGTTTCATGAAAACTGCTGAAAGCACTTTTGGGTTATTGTTTGAAAACTGGAAAATCCCCCTTTTTTAATGAATAAAACCCCATAACTCGGAAAGGTAAAATCTAAAATTTATATAAATCGAAAGGCAGCTCATTTCAATAGATATAAATAATTCATGAAAACAGCTTAAAGCATTTTTGAGTTATTGTCTGAAAACTGGAAAATCCCTCCTTTTTTAATGAATTAAACCCCACAACTCGGAAACATAAAATCTAAAATTTATAAAAATCAAAAGGCAGCTCATGTCAACAGATATAAACAATTCACCAAAGTTTCATGAAAACTGCTTAAAGCATTTTTGAGTTAGTGTCTGAAAACTGGAAAATCCCCCTTTTTTAATGAATAACACCCCATAACTCTGAAACGTAAAATCTAAAATTTATAAAAAACGAAAGGGAGCTCACGTCAATAGATATAAACAATTCACTAAAGTTTCATGCAAATTGGTTAAAGCGTTTTTGAGTTATTGTACGACATGTGGACGACGGACAAGGGTATACCATAATACGTCCCGTAAACAAAACCTGTATAAAAACCATTGCATTCACTTATTGTTGTGAATATTGATCAATGGAAATTTGTTTTTAATCTTATTGCAGGGTTGCCAGTCTTTTTCAGAAATGAAATTCAAGGGGTTTTCCAGAATTATCAGTAGTTTGAAATTGAGCTTGATAAATAACATTGCAAAACATTTCAAGACCATTTGCATCAAGTGTAAACGAGATCAGGATTCACCTCTATCAAGTTGTCCCATTCGTATCGTCCCACAAAATGAGCTCATGAGTACCTGTTTAACATACGGATACCAATTTTTGAGGGACGAATCAACAAGCACAAGAGAGGTATTTCAATTTGTTTTTAAACTTCCAGTATTTTTACTTTCAAGGATTTTCCACTCATTTTTTTTGTATTTCCCCCGGCCTTGAGCACATCAAATAAAATTCCTGGCTTTTTCCCGTTTTTCCTAGTGCATGGCAACCCTGTTATTGTCTAACTGGGGACAAATGTAAAATAGGGATGCTAATATGGCAGCAGCAGCATAACTTATTTGTACTGTTTATAAGATACTATAAGCAGTAGGTCAACTATATTTGGTGTTTGAAAGGATTGTCAGGTGTACATATTTTTGTTTTTGTAATAAGGTCCTTTGTTCTCAGATACTATATTCAATAGTTCAACTATATTATAGTGCATTGAATCTTTGTAAGGTGTACAAGTCTGTCTTGCAGGATTCATCTGACCTTGACCACTTTTTCATGGATTGTTGTTACTCTCCAAAAGCTGTTTGTCACTCTTGAATTGTTGTTTCTCATCAAAAGCTGTTTGTTGCTCTGGTTTTATCCACTCATAAATAAGATTCCCTTGAAATTATATGAATGTAAAGAAAGTAAAATAAAACCTGACACAAACCTGCTGTAACATGGTTGATGTTGCCTTGGTCTAGTCTGACATCATGCCAAGGAACAACCTGATCACCCCATATGTCCTTCCCAAAACCTAATGCCACTTTCGTTTCTACAAGCTCTGAATCTTCATAAACTGTTATTGAAGCTTTAATAACTGATGGGTTACTGGTTGTCTTGTAATCTTCATCAAGTCTCCCACCAGGAAGTGTTATGTCATATGTTGATAGGTAACATGAAGCTTTGGACTTTTGACCCGAGTCATTCTCAGCAGTTACAGTAAAGTAAAGTGGAACACCAGTTGCTTTTAAAACCTAATACAAATAAACCAATATTTCAGTCTGGGAAAACAAGGGTTATCCACTGGATGAAGTTGGGCATTGAACTAGCTGTCAGTAACCGTGAATATTCTAAGGTTTGTACTTCATGCCTTTTGTCATTTTGCTAGATTTATTTTCGTGCTTAGTACCATTCTGACTTTAACATGTGTTTTATTGTTGTACTAGAACACGACTGATCAAGGTTAAAGGAAGGGTGAGCACTAACAAACATGTTAAACCTGACTACATCCTATATGTGTCTGTCCCAACTCAAGAGCCTGGAATCCAGTAGTTGTTGTTGGTTGTTGTATGCCACATTTTTTGTTGTTGTTGATCCAAGCATAATTCAGGCTGTTAGTTTTCTCATTTGAATTGTTTCCTTACATTTTATTCTTAATACTATACAGTGTGGGTTTTCCTCATAATTGAAGATGTGCAGTTCTTTTTCTTATTTCCCTGCTTGCAAGTACGATAACTCTACCGATTGAAAACACTTAAACAATTTGCCCCTATCCCAGTCACAGCAATGTCGGAATCAGAATTTTTTTTGGGGGGGGGAACCTCATTCAAAAGGTCACCTCTCTTGAGTGGTCAGTTTTGACTGTAATTAATGTTTTCTATTTAAAGAGGCAGAACTCTTTTAAAAATGATTGATCAGCACTGATTTTCAAACTCGTCCAAGACATTGCTGAAATAAACGTACAATATATTTTTCATAAAAATCTGGCAAGAATTGTACATATGGAAGCGCTAACAATGCAATTTTCCATATTAGTATTATTTCTAAGGGCCATAACTCTTTTAAAAATTATTGATTGGCAATGATTTTCGAACTAATACGAGACATTGCTGATATAAATGTACAATATAAGTTTCATAAAAATCTGTAAAGCATTGTACCCATGAGAGCGCTAACAATGCAATTTTCCATATAATCAATGTTTCCAAGGGGCATTATAAACTCTTTTAAAAATAGTTCATCGTCACTGATTTTCAAACTCATCAGAGACATTACTGATATAAACCTATGATATAAGTTTTATAAAAATCTGGCAAGAATGCTTCATGTGAGAGCACTAACAAGACGGGACGGACAGATACCCAGTATTTCTATGACCCTCGCAATACATCGCGCCGGGGACAATAAATTGGCACAAATGGTTCTTAAGAGGTTTTATCAAAGACAATATTGAAGCCCGGAAGCCCAGGAACAAGGATGGGCCACCACCAAAAAAAAAAAAAGATTGTTGCCATAGAATCCTTATGAAGGATCATAAATTGGTTTTATTTTTGCAAAATAAAATGTCCCCTACTGGTTGTAATGTAAATAGAATAAGTTTAAGGGATAAGCATTAAATTGTTACTGATGTAAGTGGGAATTTCTATCTTATCATTAATACAGTAAAAATGTTTAATTAAAGATACAGATACTGTCAACAAATGCAGGCCAAACCAAACCTCTGAAACATCAAGGTTTTTATTCCTCTAAAAGATTATACTCTTAAGCAGTTATCCATGTCCAAGGGAAACAACTTCTGCAAAAATCCCTCAACCAGAATGGAACTTTAATATAATCTATAACTTCTTATGATATGACCATGGATGGACAGACTGATGTACTGAAAGACAGAGTGCAAACCTATAGTCACTAAAAACCAACTGACCTCTGACAATATTGTAGCAGGACCTGCCAGCTCTTTCTTGTTCAATACATCTGTTCCCCCAGGAATAGTTCCAATATCCAGATATAAATTAACACCACTTCTGTCATCACCAGCACTTATTGACACTTCAAACTTGGGCTCAGTGTAATCTTCATATGGAATCTGTCTTACCAGACACTTTGCTGATGATCTCTTTTTCTGAAATTGAATTTACATAATTTTCAAACCAAACATTTTTTAAAGAGGCTCTGAGTGAATAATTAAGTGAATAATTAAGTCTTGCTTTCTCCAAAATGCAGCCTGCTTAGCCAAGCAGCGGCTAATACCAATACTTATGCAATCTCTATGAAACAACTCTTTTCATTGGCTAAAATTTACCATCAGCTTGCAAATATCTGTTTTACTGTCTTCGCTATGCGTTGCCAGTAAAACTGCATTTGTGACCGTCAAATCGCCAATTGATGGTGGCAACTCTTCAACTACAGAACCAGATTTCTTCATTTTCCCCATCTTTTATTTGACTGGAGATCATACCTACAACCTCCTACACTCAAAGTGAGCAGGCTGACATGAGAAGATAAATCTGTTTATCTCTATATATTAACCTTTTTTTTCATAATACAGTGCTGACACTTCTACTCTGATTTGATTGCACAATTTTATATTACCGGTACTGTAAAAAAAAATAAGGTAAAGACCAGGAGATCTGGACATCTGAAATATCTTATACTATTGTCAGCACAACTGTTTTTAGCAGTAGAAACAGATAGTGTGTGTCCTAGAATTTTTAATCTGTTCGCTAGCTCGCAAAAATTACAACTGATTAGAATACCTGTATATTTACCTGTATTGGGGTGTGTAACACAGGTAGGGTGATCGGACATCCTAGGGATGTTTTTATTTCTAGAACACCTAGATGTTTGCGATGAGAACTAGTTAAAGTGAATTATATTCTAATTAAATAAATGTCATTTTTCACTGGTAGGTATAACTCTATTATTAAAAATCTCCACTTGGGAACAAATTGTTCCATTTTATAGTAATTTTCTTCATAAGGAAAGTTAACAAATAAAATTCCTAGGTTCCAAAGAATAAGGTTTAATGAATATTTGCCTTAAATGTTAAATTGACTTTTCAGGACTTCATTTATTCCCAAAAATTTCATTTCCAAGATAGTAGATTGTAATGTTGACAGAAAATATTAAGTTCATTCAACATATTGAAAAATTCAAAGTACTGGCAAACAGGAAGATGTCCGACAGATTAGAACTAGATGTGTCGGAACGACACGAATGGCCCCGTCTCAAAAAGTTGAAAAATCTGCAATTTCAACAACACATGTGGACACAAACATGCATGGATAGTATCAAGCTCTCAAGACCAATACTAGTTTGATGAAAAATTTCTTTGATCAATGAGTAGTTAAATTTCAAACTATCAGTAAACAGGAAGTGGATGTACTGCAGATCTAACAAGATGTGTTGAGAATATAGCATAGCGGAACGAAACATAAACTTGATATGTAACTCATCATGGTAGACTCACGTAATTTAGGGAAAAATTAGCAGAGCGTAACGAAACTTAAACTTGATCTGTACTCCTTACAACTCATCACTGCCAAGCTTCTGAAAAAATAGTTGTTAGTCAAAATGATAGACAAAGTGATTGCAATATAGCTCCTGCTCCTAAAGTTCGGTTATAATATCATCATTAATACATGTAGAGGGATTACATTTTGACATCTTTGTCCATATCTTTTGTCTATTGAACATACAATATAAATCTAGTTTGGCTTTCATATCTAAAATATCAACTAATTACCCTTCCACTGCCAGGTTTGTCGATATATTCTGAAATAGCTGGTGCAGTTTGATCTTTTTCATCCTTCCTCTTGTCAATGATCTTTGCTCTTATGGTTGTAGTTGAATAAGACCAAAGAGTTGTTTTGTACAATACTTTGGTTATTGAAAATTTCCAAAATTTGATCTCTATAGTCACTAAAGCCAGCACCTTTATTTGCAATGGTGTCAGCTCCAGGTTCATAGTAATTCTAGAAAAAAAAAAATAATAATAGTGTCAATTTGCTTTCATTAGCTTAATTTTTATCATTTTTTAAAAAATTTAATAAGTACTTTTAGGTTAAATTCATTTTGATTTTGAAATTAATATGGATTCAATATAGTTTCTCACTGCATTGCCATTTCTGTACTTACTGTGCTAGTATTTGGGAAAAATTAAGAAGTTTCCAAATAAATTCTAAGTTTCCAAAGAGTTTAAAGGGGCATTAGCTGTCAAATACATGTTCACAGATTTTACTCGAATTCTCGTATTTGATTTATAACATACAAATTACAAAAGTCCAAAATAAGCAATTATCAATGCATGGACTTGTTATAATTACCATCAAATCAACCATTCAAATGACCTCCAAAGAACGCCTATGGTCTATGACATGATATCAACATAAATATAAATACACAGACAAGCAAGTGCAATCCTATAATGGGGATTTTTCTAGGTCTGTGACTTCATGTCATAGATTAAAATGAACAAGTAAATCATCATTATTACCTGCATAAGACTGATATTTTGTGGGTCAAATCAAATAAAAAAATAATTCTTCACATAAGCTGCCTTGTTTCACTTTTCATTGAAATAACTGAACGTGCTAAGCTCATGCCTAACCCATCTCCAGCTAAGGGTTAAGCTAAAGCTCAATTGAAAAAAAGATTCAAATGTGGATGAATTATTGACTTGCAAGCCAATAATACACCAGCAATGTTTTTTGAACTTATTTTGACAAAATTAAACCAATCTGACTGCTTACCGTTAAAAGGCTTGTATAGTCCACGGTTTTCTCCAAAATTGAACCTGCCAGCAGGGGTGCGGACTATAGAGTACAATAAGCAAAAAATAAGAGAAAAAATTCGATTTCGCGAGGTGGTTTATTTTCGTTCCGACATGTTTGTTATTGATATTGTAGAGGGCACTCTTATCATTTTTCAAACTAATAATTTTACCTAATCCATATTAATAAGTTATTATTCAATATCAAATTAATATTGATAAATTTAAAAATTAAACGCTTCATAACAAATTTCTCATTTCTTTTCAATGCATTGCTTATAAAATAAACTGGTATCTGCTTGAATGAAACTGTACAAAAAAAGTAAAAAAGACAACCTTAAACCAGCTTACGATGTGTAAATTACAAAACGTAATCGGTTATTATACGTTCCGTTTTGGTGTTTCATACTGACTAATATGTTATTTATTAGCTTAAAACCCTTCAAACATTAATGTGATAGATATATTTAACACTATTTTACATCAGGATGGAATTGTTTTACTTTCAAAGTAGTATTATATTGATATCTAGTATGTACGGATTTCGACTCTCACCGTTTTTTCTCTTCTTTTTCATGTGCTTTTCAAACTTTCGGTTTAAACATAAACAAGTTTCTAAATTGTTTTTTGTATGATTTAGACTTATTTTAACAATTGTGAAGGCTTTTAGAATCATTTACAAGCAGTTTCAGCTTCTGTTTGTTGATGAAAAATAGGTTTTTCCAAGAAAATACCGCATACGACCACACACAATTTGAAATTACCGGAGTTTCATTAGACCTTTTCTAACAGTTACAAAAAGTTTTTTTACCAAAATTTTCGTGGGAAGAAGGGGGTGCGGACTATGTACCAGTGCGAACTATACAAGCCCGATTACGGTAATATTAAATATAATGTCAAAATTCTGTATTTTATAAATGTTTGAAACAACCTTTTAATTTTTTGTCTAATTTATAGCTGATGCCCCTTTTAGGTAATGTACACATAATTTGGTAATATTTTAAATAACTGTAAAATTTAGTATGGATTAAAAATTTGTTGAACCACATCTGACAATTGAAACAATGATACATTTAAATTAAACATTTGTGTTATAATTCTACTTATGTATAGAATGTACTAAAAAGTGTCGAGAAAATGCAAATTTTTCACTTTCAATTCCGATGTTTACTTGAACACTCTAACATCATCAGTGAACTTTTGTACAGAAATTGTCAGGAATAATTATCTAGGATAATCTGATAGTAATATATTTTTTGAAATTCAACTTTAATTTTTGTATGATGTATTAAAGTATACTTCTCTGCAGGAAAAATTAAAAAGAAATAAAAAGAAAAACAAGAAATGATTGTAACAGGATGCTGTTACGAAGTCTCCCAAACGAAGCTCCCATAATTCGTAATTCCCAGGGTCGCCTGACATTGGGCAATGTCTAGTGAAAATTGGTTTGGTCAAGTAAAGTTATATGCATTAGTGATGCCTGGGGACTAACCTTGTATATCATTCAAATCATCTTGGCATGACAAACCAGAATATATATGGTTTACGGGTGGGGATCTCGACCATTTACAAGATACTAGAACATTGGGGTGGGGAGGAACCCCTGGGGACTGGCCCTATGCGTCATTCAAATGTTCATTACATGACGAACAGGAATATATATGGTTTAGGGGTGGGGATCTCAACCATTTACACGATATTAGAACACTGGGAGTGGGGGGAGCCCCTGGGGACTGACCGTATACGTCATTCAAATGTTCGAGACATGACAAATAGGAATATATATGGTTTAGGGGTGGGGATCTCAACCATTTACAAGATATTAGAACTTTCTCAAATGGCAGGGGGTCGGGATGACCCCTGGGGACTAACCCTGTATATCATTCAAACCATCTTCGCATGACAAACCAGAATATATATGGTTTAGGGGTGGGGATCTTTACCACTTAGAAGATATTAGAACTTTCTTAAATGGCAGGGGGTGGGGTGACCCCTGGGGACTAACCCTGTATTTCATTTGATGTGCTTTATCATGACAAACCAGAATATATATGGTTTAGGGGTGGGGATCTCGACCATTTACAAGATATTAGAACTTTCTCAAATGGTAGGTGGTCGGGATGACCCCTGGGGACTAACCCTGTATATCATTCAAACCATCTTAGCATGACAAACCAAAATATATATGGTTTAGGGGTGGGGATCTTGACCACTTACAAGGTATTAGAACTTTCTTAAATGGCAGGGGGTGGGGGTGACCCCTGGGGACTAACCCTGTATTTCATTTAATGGACTTTATCATTTAGAACATTTTCAATTAAAAAGATTGTCTATATCACAAACGGTTTTCAATTTATAATCATTTGAAAATTTAAAAAAATAAAATCCCATAGGGTTCTATAGTAAAACCCTCTTTTCTTTTTGCCCCTCAAAGTACCCCTTTATAAACCCCATTGCACAAACAAAACCCTTATGGAACCACTAGACATGTTAGTCTAACATATTGTGAAACCCTAAGTTAACCTGACAAGCGGTTTTGGAGAACGGGTGCGGACAAGTTCAAATTTAAAAGCGGCGGAAGAAGAAGAAGAGAAGAAGAAGAAGAAGAATAATAATAATACATGTAATAATAATAAGAACTGAGCAAAAACAATAAGTCTTCCCAAACTTCGTTTGGGAGACTTAATTAAGTAAAAGAAATTAAAAACTGTTTTTCAAATTTTTTTTCATCATTTTTCTTCAAATCATAACCTGTGTATGTTTTGCGGTTGTGTATGTTGTATATGTAGTGTATGATCAGTCACGTCTGTAGTGAACAATCAGTGAATGTTATGTATGCAGTGTACCATCAGTAAATGTTATGTTTATAGTGAAAAACAATTTACAGTTTTTGAAGACAGACATTTGTAATAAAAAGAATTGATACCCAACATCCAGTGGAAACTTGGAAAATGTCACTTCTGCTCTGGTGGGAAACTTCATATCCATTATCTGTCCCTCTACTCTCAGTTTGCCAAACAAAGGACCAATTCCAAGTCCTACTTCAGCATAAGCTGTTATTCCCGCATATGGCACAACTTCTGCAATTCCTTTCATTTCCAAAATGTTAAGCCCTGCTCTAAATTTTACACCAAAATATAGGCCAATACCAACTCCTGCAAAATATTATAGAGATGGGCACTACTGCAATAAAAGTATTTATGAAGGCACAATTGCATTAAAAGTGTTTCTATTTCAAGGAAATTGACTTCAAACCAACATTATATTATATACTGTGGATCATTTATTTTTGTGGATACCAATTTTAGAGGGGGGTAGGAGGGGTCCTGATCCCGAGATCCCGGGCTTAAAAACATGGAATCCCGAGGTCCCAAATTTAAAAAAATTTAAATCCCGACATCCCGAAATTCGTAAAAAGAATTCCCGGATCCTGAAAGGATCAATCCCGAAATCCCGAGCTTAAAAACACCCGATCCCGGAGTCCCGATAAAGGTTCTACCCCCCCCTCAATTTTCATAGATCAAGAAAAAATTGTATTTTCGCAGATATTTGATTTTGTCATTTTGCCTAAGTTTGCATACAAGTCAGAACAAGTTTTGAACTTTGTTGTTGAACATTTAAATTTGTCATCCACCTTAACCCACGAATATTGGTATCCCACTAATAGTAATGAAATATAAAGAGCTGTCCAAAAACAGTCTTACTTTAGGCTCTATTTCTCTTTATAGCAATTAATTTCATGTAACATCCACATTGAAAACTCAAGGATAAAATGAATCAATTATATGTTTCAAATAATGAAATTTAGTAATAAATTACTTTTCTGTTTAAAGAAATAATTAAAGTCAGTTAACATATCTAATTTTCAATGTATCATAGACCTTTACGCACAAAATTCAACTGAAAAGAATAGAGCAGTTTTCAAATGTCAACCATTAAACAGTGTATCTAATAGAAACATACACCATATGCACAAAATTTAATAACAAAAGTATTTTCTGCAATCTTCTGTGAATGAAACTAAAATCTCAAATTAGGGGCATAAGTACACTAAAATATGCTGGTGAAAAAAATTATAATCAATTTCATTTTGTAGCTGCAACAGCAATTTCAAAGCTATTTTTCACAAAATATAAATATCCATGACTCAAATTAAAATTTGCAATCAGTATCAATTTTTGGAATTTAATGAAGTATTTTGTATCAACTTTATAATTGTGATAAAATTTAGTGAAATTTTTGCTGCTGAACTCCACAGGGTCTCATTATAAATTTGCTACCTAAAATATACAAAGATCCTTATAAAATTCATTTTATATCTACATCCAGTAAATGTTCAACTACACCTGTTAATATTCAGAAGAATTATAATCTTACATACATACTGGAACCAGGGAAGGCACTTTGAAATCTCAACTAAGGGTGGGTGTCAATTTTTTTTGTACAGTGAAAATGAAAGTAAATTTCTAAAATTGCATCTATAGGAGGTTACCCCATTTTGAGAGTGCCATCCCTGGGTACCATATATGATTTAATGGAACAGCCCTATGAAAATGGCTTGACTAATCAGATTGGCACCAAACACAAAAAAACAACTAACATAAAGACAGAACACATAGTATTGTAAAGCCGTGGGGCTATGTTTAGTTTTTGTGCACCTCTAACTGTAGTGTAACAATCAGTATCAGTTTTTGGAATTTAATAAAGTATTTTGTATCAACTTTATAATTGTGATAAAATTTAGTGAAAATTTTGCTGCTGAACTCCACAGGGTCTCACTATAAATTTGCTATCTAAAATATACAAAAATCCTTATAAAATTCATTTTATATCTACATCCAGTAAATGTTCAACTACACCTGTTAATATTCAGAAGAATTATAATCTTACATACATACTGGAACCAGGGAAGGCACTTTGAAATCTCAACTAAGGGTGGGTGTCAATTTTTTTTGTACAGTGAAAATGAAAGTAAAATTCTAAAATTGCATCTATAGGAGGTTACCCCATTTTGAGAGTGCCATCCCTGGGTACCATGTATGATTTAATGGAACAGCCCTATGAAAATGGCTTGACTAATCAGATTGGCACCAAACACAAAAAAACAATTAACATAAAGACAGAACACATAGTATTGTAAAGCCGTGGGGCTATGTTTAGTTTTTGTGCACCTCTAACTGTAGTGTATTAATCCGTATAAAAGTATAAAAGACCTCGACTGTTTCACGTTTTACTGGTCAAAGTTACACTTATATACAGGAAAGAACTACACTATCAAGACAAGGTTACTAAATGTAGGAAGAACTATTACTATAGCCACAGCATTGTGTTACTCACAAGGGATCATCAAGTCTCTGGTTTTTGGTGAATATAAATGAGAAAGTTGGATATACAATCTGTATATAATTTATTAAAAATGTATCAGAAACAAATATAATTTGCTACACCTTAAAATGTCCTATTATCGATGATATAATTTCTGGGTAGCTGCATGGTCCTATTGTACAATGTATTTTACTGAGGATAATTCTGGGAACCTAATATGAATATGGAAATGAAAACGGTTAGTCATCTTGTGGGGTTACTATATACATCCTTAAATGGACAGCATCTTCCTTTAATTAAAGGTCGTTAAAAAGTGGTTAATATTTTTTGTTGTGTAGTTTTATTAACTTTAACAATGATATATTTGCTTAATACTATACCGAAAAGCAAGGTATCCTAATTTTCAGTTTTTCCGTGTTATAATCAGCTGGGGAGTACAAGTATTCTAATAACTTGAATATTTTTATCTCGTCAAAAAAATAGATTTGATTTCTGTACATATCCTAATGTATCTCTAACCAGACAGGTTCTTATTTGTACAGTAATCAAGGGCCGTATTGCCACAATTATTCTACAAGTATGCTAATTTGTCCATTAACAATTATCAACGTAAATAATTCTTACCAGTTTTTGTAATATCACTACTTCATTCATTTATTCAAATTCCTTGTAATAGTGCAAAGAACTTGAAAATAATTTATGACTGTCTCAATCAAGACAAATAGATATATCCTTTTACATCTAAGCACTTTCTGTTACAAGAAATAAATATGTATTTCTTTAATACTACTTATTTTTTTTTTAGCAAAATATCCTTATTTTAAATTATGTACTTCTGAAGCCGAATAATTGTGTGTGAAACTCTGTTCACAACTTACAAAATATTTACGGGACTAGTGAATAACCCCCATTTTGTTCTATTAAATTAATTTCTTTTCAGAAATATTCTATTTTGTGAAACATTTCTATGTTAAGGTGAGGTAAACTACCCTCTTTTAAGAGTAGACTAGTCCGACAGATAACCAATCTATCTGTCTGTAGGACTAGACTACTCCGAAAGGAGGGTAGTATACCTAACCTAATAATGACTTCACGGTTCAGCTAACAAGCAAGCTAACCAAAGATAATACCTTTACCTACACACTCAATGCATTCTGCTGTAATGCAGAATAATTATTTTGTGTTCTTGTTACCTATTATACGAGGACATATAAAAATAAGATGTGATATGATTGCCAATGAGACAACTATCCACAAGAGACCAAAAGACTCAGAAATTAACAAATATATGTCACTGTACAACCTTCAACAATGGGTAAAACCCATACTGCATAGCCAGCAATAAAAGGTCCCGAAATGACAAATGTAAAACAATGCAAATGAGAAAAATAACAGCCTGATTTATGTACAAAATAATGAACGAAAAACAAATATGATATACAGCAACAAAGGACAAACACTGAATTACAGGTTCCTGACTTGGGACAGGCACATACAGAATGTGGCGGGGTTAAACTAGTTTGAAGGCGCCAACCGTCCCCCTAACCTGGGACAGTGGTGTAACAGTACAACATAAGAACAAACTATAACAAGAATGAGTCCATAGTACACGGATGCCCCACTCGCACTATCATTTTCTATGTTCAGTGGACCATAAAATTGGGGTCAAAACTATAATTTGGCATTAAAATTAGAAAGATCATATAGGGAAAATGTGTACTAAGTTTCAAGTTGATTGGACTTCAACTTCATCAAAACTTCCTTGACCAAAAACTTTAACCTGAAGCGGAGCAGACAGACGAACGGATGGACGAACAGACAGACGCACAGACCGAAAAACATTATGCCCCTAGGTGGGGCATAAAAATCAGTTGAAAAGGGCTTAACTCATCAGATGGATACAAAGCAGAAATATATCTAACAAAAAACACAAAGTGGAGGTGGCAGGGTACTTATACATCCCCACAACAAAAAGACACTAAGTACCGGTACAGATCTGAGAGTAATCACAGTTACTGACAGCTAGTTCAAAGCCAATAACAACTAATAAAAAAAATCATGCATCTAAGACTAAAATATTAATCAGTATACATCCAACATCCTATGGATTAATGAAAACATGTCATTAACAGTCAAAGAAAACATGACCTTGTGCAATGCCAAGATACAGGACAGACAGATTGTAGAGCCATGAATGTGCATATGTATATACAAATAATATTTAGTACGATTTTAATTTACTGATAACAAAATCAATATTAATAGATATAAAAAGATGTGGTATGAGTGCCAATGAGACAACTCTCCATCCAAGTAAAAATTTATAAAAGTAAACCATTATAGGTCACAGTACAGTCTTCAACACGGAGCCTTGGCTCACACCGAACAGTAAGCTATAAAGGGCCCCTAAAAATTACTAGTGTAAAACCATTCAAACGGGAAAACCAACGGTCTAATCTATATAAAAAACGAGAAACGAGAAACACTTATGAACCACATCAACAAACGACAACTACTGAACATCAGATTCCTGACTTAGGACAGGTGCAAACAAATGCAGCGGGTTTAAATTAATACCAATAAAAACAATATTCCAAGATCTAATTATAGTGTTGAATTGGTATCCTTTTAGAATAAGTTTATTTAAAGGATTGATAGGTTCACCCGGATCTTATCTAAATTTCCCAGCTCGGTAAACAACATCTCCGTAAAAATTAGGATGTGCTATCCTGTTTGAATTAAGTTTTCTACACGTGCAACCAAACTTCCAAACCAAATCTTTATATTTATGGAAGAATTTGGTAAAGGTTTTAAGTAATTTGTGGTAACGAAATCCCTGACTTAATAATTTACCAGTAATACATAGATTACGTTCATTGAAATCCAAAACGTCACAACAGACAAATAATGCCAACCCCCTTTTAGTGCAATCAGTAAAAAAGTATTAAGATTTCCGTAATTTGTGTCTTTTTTCAGTATTAACATTTTCTTCGTAACATTTTATAATAATCATAAAAACAACTAGGCACACAGTGATATGATTGATTGATTATTGGTTGCTTAACTTCCGGTGAAAAATATTTCATCCATGTTTAAGACATGTTTAAGACGAAAACAAATTAACAATAAATACAATAGGAAGGTCTTTTAGTAGAGGCCATGCAGGATGTAGCTCTGGGAAATTTAGACTGCCACTGGAAAATGAGAGTATATTGGATATGGGACAGCAGTTTAGCATTGCAACAGGCCACCTATGGACCCTCTGAGAGTTGATACAACGGTTCTTTACACGCTGAGTGCATGGCATTCTTTCTTCACGATTCATTGGATTTAACATCCAAATTCTATTCCGACGTGGCTGCGTATTTGTATATCCCGCACAGCTAAACAACTGCTTTACTATGGCAAGAAGAAGAAGTGGCCATATTTCTATTCCTCGGTCACAATTGGGGCGTAATGTCCCGGTTTCTGATTTCGTTGTCTGAGTATTCTTTCCTTGCTTCAAAAATTTAATTGTTCCACCAGACATTGCAAAATAGAAAACAGATTTGTTTCGTTCATTAATCATTCAGAATTTAACAAGAAATGGAAAGATTGTTTTATACTGGTAGATAGTCCCAAGAAACCCAAAGGAAAAAAACAGTCCGAATCAATGAAGCGTTTAATGTTACACGATTCTAACCAAAAACGAAGCGTCACAATGATAAAAATGATACTTAAACAGACAACTGTTCTGGACAGTTAATGAATGAAATCCATAACAAACAGACTGTTAATCGTAACACCGTAATTTGGGTCCAAAATTCGTAACAATTACGGAAAAATTGTAATGGGTGGCATCTATGCAGACTCGGGCATAGCGAACAAGTTGTGATATATAAACACCATAAGATGGTGGCAAAAGAACATCACCGTCCAAAAAAGGAAAATTAACAATAGGGAACAAAAAATCATCCCTTTTGTCGTACATTTTAGTATAGAGTTTCCAGTGTAAAACTGAGCAAACATAGCAAGTTCTTATATAACTAAATAAAGGCTTAATTGTAGTTTAAAATTTTAAGTTCTGTGTCTTAAATACATTCTTTTATAATATAAATACATACTATAGGAAAGATTAATAAATCCACCAATTGGAATTATTTTGGGGCCGTCTTTAGGGAAATTCTTTTTTTTTACTCTTCTTGGAAGTGGAATTTCTCCCCACATAACAAGATCCTCTGATTTGAAAACATCTGATTCTCCTCCAAGTATCTTCCCCAAAAATTCTGATGTCTGAAAGAAAAAAATAACAATATAAAATGTATGAATAAAAAGTCTTCAATTGTTATATATTCACAAAATTCAGCACACTTACAACATAGAAAAGAAAGTTAAAAAAGTATCAACTAAAATTAAGTATCAAATCAGTCCAAAAAATACTGGTAAAAATAAGAAACAACATAAAAGCAGCTGATGGTACAATGTAATATGACTGGGATATATTCCTGACTTATTCAATTCCAAAGCGGCGTTTTGCATTTGCACCAATCTGCACTTCATTTGCGCCAATTTTTGTTTTATTTGCGCAAATATTTTTTCTCTTCATTTGCGCCAATTTACAGGTAGACACAAGTCACGAGACATATAATTTGTACAGAATTTAATTATATAATAACAAAAATAGCACTTCCGGCTGCCACCTGCTCACCACGGGCAGGTGGATGTGGGATTTAGTGCAGGATAAATTTATTGTAACAGTTTCTAAAACTATATACATCACACGTAAATTGCACTTATTTAAGTAAATTAGTAACAATAACACGGATCAGTTTTTGCCTCAGTCTTGTGGTCATCTGCAACATGGTTATGCTTATGTAAAGTTTTCACAATTGTCATTCCATCACTGTCAGTCTTCATCCTAGCTTTACATGACTTATGTTTACATCTATTTCAAATTTTTGAGAATGTTTGATTGCCTTTAAGATTGTCCATCAAAGAATATTGACTTATTTCTCTGGTTAGTTTCTGTGTGCAAAAGATCCATCTTATCATACAGAAGAGTTTAAATCAATGAGCTCAACATGTATGTATATACATATACATATAACACAAAAATGAACTCATTGAACACCAATAACCTGTTACGTTGGGTTAACTTAAGTAACGGTAATTATCTTAAATGTATCAGATCTTACCTGTTCAAATTAAATTGGCGCAAATGGAATATTGATAATTGGCGCAAATGAAAACTTTGTTTTGGCCCAAATGAAAACAAGAGTGCACACGCTAAAATGTCTTGCCTGTTTTACTCACCATTTATTTTATGTTGAAAGTCTTAAAGATAAAAGTTTTACTACAAGTATCACATAAACTTAACATTTTTAAAGATCCATGACAATGAGGTCACAGTCAGATAAAAACTGTCACACAGACATGTACACCTTACAATTATTCCATACACCAAATATAGTTGACCCATTGCTTATGGTAATTGGAAAACAGACAAAAACACATAAACTTAATGTTAACCAATGAATCATGGAAATGAGGTCAAGGTCAGATGATACTGGCTAGACAGACATGTACACCTTAAAATCATTACATACACCACTTATAGTTGACCTATTGCTATTAGTATTTGAAAAACAGACCAAAACACAAAAACTTAACATTGACCAATGAACCATGAAAATCAGGTCAAGGTCAGATGACACCAGCTAGACAGACATGTACACCTTAAAATCATTACATACACCACTTATAGTTGACCTATTGCTATTAGTATTTGAAAAACAGACCAAAACACAAAAACTTAACATTGACCAATGAACCATGAAAATCAGGTCAAGGTCAGATGACACCAGCTAGACAGACATGTACACCTTACAATCATTCCATAAACCAAATATAGCTGACCTATTGCTTATAGTACTTGAAAAATAGATCAATACACAAAAACTTAACATTGACCAATGAACCATTAAAATGAGGTCAAGGTCAGATGACACCAGCTAGACAGACAAGTACACCTTACAATCATTCCATGTACCAAATATAGTTGACCTATTGCTATTAGTATTTGAAAAACAGACCAAAACACAAAAAATTAACAATGACCAATAAACCATGAAAATGAGGTCAAGGTCAAATGTAACCTGCCAGTCTGACATGTACCTCTTACAATCATTCCATACACCACATATAGGTGACCTGCTGCTTGTAGTATCTGAGAAACGAACCTAATCACGTAACTTTAACCTTAATCATTGATCCATTAATTGAGGTCGAGGTCAGGTTAACCCTGTCTGACGGACCTGTAGACGTAGCAATGAACCCATATACCAAATATAGTTATCCTATTACTCATAATAAGTAATTTTTTTTCAAGCAGTCACTGAACCATGAAAATGAGGTCAAGGACAATGGGCATATGACAGACGGAAACATCATAACACAAGGTATCTGCATACAAGATATGAAGCATCCAGGTCTTCTACCTTCTGAAATAGAAAACTTTATACAAATAGTTTATGCCGCCGCCGCCATATAGTAATACCTATGTCTTGCATACTGCGACTTTCATCGCAGGCAAGACAAATGATATTTTCAAAATTGGTAAAAATGTCGTACACCCTTTAAAGTGGAAGCTGTGGATTTAACCAGGTTTTATGACATTCGCCATATACATGTATTATTAATATCAAACACTTTGAAGAGGAAAAGTATATTAAACAACATCATTTATCCTATCTCAGCAATATAACTGTCATAAAGATGGAAAAATATATGAGAAAATACAAATAAACATTTAAAAGCAATGCTTCAGACTGCTATACAATTTCAGAAAAAAGAAAAATCCAGAGTACTGGTAAGTATAACCATCTTGCATAATATCCCATCCAATTAATAACTAAAAAAATTACTAGAGCTCTGAATAAATCTCTAAGCTGATCCATTAGCTTAATAATTTCCACTGGATCGACATTCTTCACATCTAGCAGATTTTCTATATCTCCAATCGTCATGTTAGCAAGCTTCTGTCCAAGCAGTTTTACTCCTTCATTTGTCAAACCATGGCCAACTACATATGCCTGTTTAGTTCTTCCTTGTATGTCCAATGTGGTACTCCCCAACATATTAGTCATCATTTTACCTAAAGGGAGATTATAAGGTATATTCATTTTTGTTATTTTTTATATACAAAATACAAATGACCAATAGAAGATAAAGGTAAATAGCATTGTTGCAGCAACCTAACAATACAAGTTACAAAGAGGTCACAGTACAACCATCAACATTGAAACACTCTTCATTGGTCAGGATCTAGAACAGTTGTCTGAACTGCATTCAACTAACTTAGTTTAAAAGCCACAACTCTAGTGACAGTTATTTGACATGAACATTTTATTTGTATAAAAATAAAAATAGTGGCAAGAAAATATCAAGTTTCATTCCATTTCGTAATAAGATATTTTGCCTCATTTATATGCCCGAACTTCTACGAGTTTAAACTTATACCAAAATTCTTTACTACCCTTCCCTTGACTTTGAGTCTTCCTCAGAATTTAATTTGAATGTTATCCATGTGTATTTTCACTGGTAACAGTTTGTGAAACAGCTGTATTTACAAAGTGCAACCTTTAGCTGATTCATGTTTCTAAATTTACCTCCAGTTACAGTTTCAGTTGTATCTATGTCAGTAGCTATAGCTATTGTAGCAGGATTGTTCCATCCAAGAGCTTTCATTGCAGACTTCACACTTGTTTTTGTGTCCGTCCCTGGTAGAACTGCTCCAATGAGATTCTGTTGTATTTGATTCAGCTAAAGGAAATTACTTAAAGTGCTTACTAATCTGATTAAAATCACTGTGTATAGTTGTTTTCCTAGTCTGAATAGTAATTACAACTTAAAACAAGCTTGATTCATGGTCTGGAATCATTCTACAGTGGCAATGTCGGCTGTTTTTAGTTATATGTAAAAACTACCAGACCCTTCTATTGTTTCTACTTTCAACTTTTTTTATATTCTTTATGTTTTACTTATTTAGTACAGATAATTAAAAGTTCCAAGAGTAAATAAATTTTTTTCAAATCAGATGAGGTTACATATTTATACATCCCATAGAGTTAAATTCTACCCTTATTACTGATATATTGTCACCTTAATAAAAACAGATCAGGAAAACTGCAGAAAATAATCACCATGACTAATGTCGTTCAAATTGTCAGGTAAGTTGGGCTCCCGCTAACTGCCACATTCTGTATGTGCCTGTCTCACGTCAGGAGCCTGTTATTCAGTGGTTGTCTTTTGTTATCATATTTGTAATTTTTTTTTTTTTTTTTTTTTACATAAATCAGGCCTTAAGTTTACTTGTTTTAAATGTTTTACATTTGTCATTTTGGGGCTTTTATAGCTGAATATGCGGCATGGGTTTTGCTCATTGTTGAAGGCTGTACAGTTACCTATAGTTGTTAACTTCTATGTCATTTGGTGTCTGGTGGAGAGTTGTCTCATTGGTAATTATACCACATCTGCTCAGCTTTATATCAGACAGGCAGCTTTTTTAAACAGTGTAATTTATCAATCATACCTCATAATTCTTTACTTTCTCAAGATATTTCTCTATTCCCTCTGAGGATACTTGTTGTTCTATCAACATTCTGATACTTTCTTTAAAATTTGTTACTGTTGGTCTAAAAACAAAGTACAGAAGTATAAAATATTTTATTGAAGATAGAGGAGAATGAAATCAGACTTAATACAAGTAAAATCATATAATTTACTGAATAAAACATACAATCTATTTCGATTCAAGTAGCCTTTGTTAAGCTTATTACTATCAAGTTAGATCTCTGCAGCTCTATAACTAGCTACCTTCATAAAAGGACTTGTTTCAACAGCACTGGAGCCAACTCTCATGAAACTGTTCTGCATATAAAAATGGGTCAAAACCAAAAAGTGAACTGAATTGTTATGAAAGTATATATGTTTTGAATTCTGAATAAAAGGAGACAGGTAGTTTATATCAACAAGATAGAAACCATCCAAACAAAAAAAAACAAAATGACTTATAGAGGTCACCACTTAAAAAGTTATGACATATGTCAACTCTATACAACTTGTCAACAATTCAACAAAAGTCCAAATATCAAACAATTCTAATGCACTTTAAACACTACCATTTAAAAAAAAAAAAAATTTTCTTAGAACTGTGAAACAATATTGCCTCAATATTATATATACAGATTTTTTACTTATCTTTACAATATTCTATGAAAATAATTTATCCAAGTTATCCAAATGCATTGTTTGCAGTGAAAAAGTCTACAAATTGATAACATTAAACTGTTTTTTTATTTTATAACATACTCTGTGATAGATCTTCGTCGTCTCTTTTTCCTTCTTGTTGTTGATGAACATTTCACATTTGCTGCTTTCAATAATGATGTTGTTTTACAAAATTCTCCAGCAAGATAGCAAACTTGTAGGTCAATATTAACTAAATATGTATTTGGATTCAGCCCTGCAGCTAAGGTATAGTTATACTGGAAAGCATCGCCTATATTCTCTGTCACCACTTTACCTAAATACAATTCAAATAATAAATATCTGTTTTCTTTAATAATAATAATAATAAATTCTTTATTTAAAGAGGGTAAACTCAGTTAGTTACAATAAAATAATCATCCCTGAGGCCCTCACATACAAATTACAATACAATCAAAAACAGATATTTACACATAGTTAATTTACAGTCAAGTAGTTCAATGTAATATTATTAACATGATAAGATATAAAGCTGTTCAAGATGTACATGTAGTCAAAAAATCAAATAACAATAAAAAAACAAAAAATATACAAATACATTGTAGAAAACATAATCTTATCAGGACTGTGTTAAGTACTTCTTTGTTTAAAAGTATAAGTGTTTTGAGCTTTACGCATTTTTTGTGGTAGTCCATTCCATAACACTGATCCAGAATAAACAAAAGATTTCTTAAATAGCTCAGCTTTTGGCTTAGGAACTATCAGATTACCTTGAGTGACACCTCTCAAGGAGTAACCATTATTATCTGATTTCAGTTTAAATTTTTGAACTAGGTACATTGGTGCTTCCATATGCATACATTTATATAGCAGTAAATATTTGTGGTATTTGATTCTATTGTCAACTGTCATCCACCCAAGTTTTTTAAATAAGGGAGCTGAGGGGGATAAAGGATCTGCATCTAGAATTAATCTTGCTGCCCTTTTTTGGAGTTTTAAAATTCTTGTTATCCCTTCATTTTTACATTCTCCCCAAATAATATAGCAGTAGTCAAGTAGGGGCAGAATATACCCATTGTTATATGTTTTCCGTGCATTTATATCTAAAAATTTCTTTATTTTAGAAAGAAGGTATATTCTGGATGATATATTAGCACAAACTTGGTCAATTTGATTTCTCCAATTAAGTGTGCTGTCAATTTTAACACCTAATAATTTTTCACATGAAGAATTTTGTAATACTTTTGAATTTATTATCAAGTTTGGTTGATAAGTCTGAATTGATAGTTTCTGCTTTGTTCCACATTTTTTTTATATATAAATATTACTGTTAGTTTTCTCGTTTGAATTGTTTTACATTGTCATTTCGGGGCCTTTTATAGCTGACTATGCGGTATGGGCTTTGCTCATTGTTGAAGGCCGTACGGTGACCTATAGTTGTTAATTTCTGTGTCATTTTGGTCTCTTGTGGAGAGTTGTCTCATTGGCAATCATACCACATCTGCTTTTTTATATCAGAGATAAACGTCGTAATGTAACTAAACATCAGTAAGTAAAATATATTAGGATGCTAAAATATAAAGAATAGAGAAAGAATAATGAGAGAAAATAAATAAAATTTAGAGAAAAGTGACATAACAATTTAAAGTATACAGAAATAAACAACACCCCTAATCCGGACCCTCATGGTATACACGAGAATCTTGATGGAGATGCAGAATGTAGAATAATAGATAAGGACAGTCGAGAGTGATGCATTGCTAAAAAAGAGAGAAAAATAACAACTGTTTAAGAATACAGACATGAAACACCCCTTTTTACGATTTAGACCCTCCAAGATGATTGTTAAAACAATTTTGGCATTTATTCCACATCTCCTTATTTTTAAATTAATAGTATACTAAGACAACGATATCTATATAGATGCTTTGCAATTTTTTTTTACTGTATACCACTTTATGTTATTTGAGACTGGAGTCCGATAAACATTGGCCTCCTGTCAACCGCTGAATCTGATAGCTCAGTAAATATTGTAAAGTGCAAACAAAACAAAATTTCAGGGAGAGGGGGTGGTTGAAACAGTAACGGATTGCGATGTACTCAAACTGGTGACACGTGCTAGAATTTTACAAGCGCACAACTGCAGTTCTCCTCTGCACTTATGTAGAAATGAACTAAATGGAATAAAATGAATTAAAACTTAAGATAATCAAATGTAGCTGCATTCGCTTCTTTCCATTTACTTCTTTAGAATGTTTTGTAAACAACATATGATTAAGTAATAGAACAAAAGAACCAATTGGATGATGCTGACCAATAAGGGTTTAACGTCCAGTGGCAAATATCATGTCCATATGAGAACGACAACACGTTATATGTACCCGGTGTTGTATAAGACAGACACTTTCAGTCGGATTTTTGAACGTGCTTCTTTGAACAGATACAAAAATCAAGGCTGATTGAAAACGTTAATAATAAATTCATGCATATTCCAGCGGCCAATCTATATCACGCTATATTGCAGTGACACACCTTTCAATAAAATGCAAAGAAAGTCAAAATAAAAATGCTCTTACTACAAGGATACTGTTGCACCGTATTGTCATTTTTTTTTACTCAAGTACATCTCATTCTTAACTTTTTTAATGGGAAATTATAAAGGTAGCAAAACTATTGTCGTGGCTAAATAACTCTTAACTGACACAATTTTAATTGTCCAACCCATTAACAGACTTTATTCCCCTAATAGTCACTAAAACGTGGTATTACTCACGTTATATTACAATTATGAAATATATACTAATGTCAATTTATTTTTTAGAACCAAAGTACTATTTTGTGTCCTTTAAATGGTATCTAAAAATTGTTTGTTTCGCCTTTTATTAAAACAATTGCTATGTGTATAAGCATAAATACCACATACTTGCGCGACGCCTTTTAGTTTTACTGAAGTTTGCGCAGACTATGAAATGTTTCTACAGGTGGAAAATGTTCTATGATAGATATCATTTTGTCAGACACTTTTCTTTTTTTTATTTGGTTCTTATAATATGCCAAAAATCTGTATATTTAACAGAGTTGATCATTTAAATTGTGCGTTTTACTCTTAACAGACGTATAACCGACCCGATTAACAGACCAACCGCCCATATAGCCGCATACTCAATATAGATTAACCGACCAATCTCTCGGTTAGCCGAGTGTCGGCTGTGTTCCAGTAACCAAACATTTTGTTTTATTTGCATTAATGAACATGTTATTCATTTTGCACCACTCTTCAACCCTGTATAAATCTTCTTAATCATCATCATGTATATTTTCTATGTTTTTCCCTGATTTATGAAGAGTGGTGTCATCAGCATATAGGTCTGTTTCACAATTTTCAATGCATAAGGGAAGGTCGTTTATAAATAGCACAAACAATATATTAACAAGTATAAAACCTTGGGGGACACCAAATTTTACATGTTGTTGTTCAGAATAAACATTACAAATGTTTACCTGCTGTTTTCTGTTATTCAGGTATGACTTGAAAAAACTAACAGTAGCCTCACTAAATCCATAAATTTCAAGCTTTAAACAAAGAATGTCATGATCTACCAAATCAAAAGCTTTTTTAAAATCTAATAAAATTGCTAGGTCTAAATTACCACCATTCATTTCTTGCAACCATTTGTCAATGATATTAATAAGTGCAGTTTGACAAGAATGCTGCGGCCTGAAACCAGATTGTGTAGGGTGTAAAAGTTTAAGTTTAGATAAGTATTTGTACATATTATTAGAAACATGTCTTTCTATTAATTTTGACAAAGTTGGAAGAACAGATATAGGTCTGTGATTTGTTGCTAAAAGCTTGTCACCATCCTTGAAAACTGGTGTTACCTTAGCATTCTTCAGTAAAGAAGGATATATGCCAGTATCTATCATTCGGTTAAATATGTATGTGAGAGATGATGCAATAAAAGGGGCACTTAATCTTATTATTTTTGGTCCAGTATTATCCATACCAGATGCTTTGTTTATATCAAGTTTTGTTAACTCATTAAATAGCTCATTCATGATCACTGGTGGTATAGAAAATTTATCATGTTTATGTAATTTATTTTTAACAAATTTATCAAGATTACTGAAATCTGCTTTGTTTACAGGTGTATAGCTTCCTTGTTCTCTTAATTTTTCAGCACAGGAAGTGAAAAAGTTATTATTAATGTCTTAAGCATATTGGTAGTAACCTCATTTTAAGCATGGACAGATCAGTTTCAACAGTTGTTTTCATACCACATGGTTTATCTTTCATTTTGTTATTGAAATGCTGTTCAGCAATGTTCAAAGTTAAAAAATTATTCAAACTTATTTCTCCTCATGATGGAATTACTCTTTCATTTCACAATTGTCTATGCACACTAACACCCTCTTGAATATTGTAAAGTATTGTGTGATATAAACTATAGAGGTGTTTACCCCCATTTCAGTCTATCAGTAGTATTAACCAATTTCTCAGTTTTTTTCAGTAGTATCACGGGTAAGTGGTAACTTGATAGGGGGTCTGGGCATGCCCCCACTCATAAACATTTTGGATAATAAGATGCAAAATACTGCAGTCTAAGAGCTTTTAGAGTCAAATTTTGACATTGATCAAATATATAAATTCAAAGGATTTATTTTCTAAATTAAAAAAAAAAAAAACTACTTTACTGTAAATTCAGAAATTGTTGGGAGGTTTTTATTAATGCAAATAATGGTGATTATCAAAATATTAAAAAAACTTGCATTTTGATATCTGATACATGTAGCTGTATGCAGATTTTTCTGAAATAGCAATAATTAGTCTCGTATTTTTGTCTATTTTTTCAAAAATCGCCATTATAAATGCATGCAATAATTTCTGAAATTTACAGTAATTATTTTAATTAGACTTTGGACAATAAAACTTTAAATACAACATGTAGCTCTTGTTTAACTGTCATTTACTCTAACTAAAAAGCACACGAATACACAGTGCAGCACACCATGCATTCTCCACGTTTGGACAAGATCAAACAAGGCCAAGGTTTGGAATACAACTCCTTGAACTTCTGATTTTTTTGTTGTCTTTTCTTTGGAGTATGTTCATCATCCAAAAAGTCCTAATCAGCCAGAGTCATTCGCTTTGTAGCTGACATCTTTCCAGACTTTTAAACCACCTTTCATTAAAAACTTTGAAAGATTACATTTTACAAGTGGTCTCTTACATCGCTCATTCAAGCACTTTGGTGAAAAAAATATTTCTGAAATGAACCAGAAGCTGCACTTTCGTGAATAAAATCTGTGGTCCGTATTTTGCATTTATAATCTGTAGTGGTAAACACCATTATTTTTTTTCACATTTTCTTACTTTACAAGTGTCCATGACACAAAATTAAGTTTTATTTCTATTCTGATCAATGTTTCATTTACCTTTTTCAGGAGTTTTCTGCCACAGTTTTCTTTCAACACTATATTCTAATAAGGAGCAGGAAATGAAGTGGAATGTCACATTGATATTTCTTTCTCCATTTATAAAAGTAAGTGGCAGACAGCATGTTATACCCTGACAGTCAAGTGTGGCAGTACAACTTGTAGATGTTGAACTAAAGCTACAACCTACAACATCAGAGAATATCAATTAAATCATCATAGGTGATAAATTAAGGATTAAAATATGATTCTGGTCATTGAGGTTAATACGGATTAATACCTTTCATACATTAACTGTTAAACTTATAATGAAAAACAAGCCAATCTTGCCATAAACTTTTCATACAGTCCTAAGCAATACCAAATACCTAGTCAGTATCTCATCCAATTTTTTTTTAAAACAGAGTGCACATCAAAAATAGCTTTGTCTGGACAATGAAATAGGTAGTGCTGTTAATCCAATATCTTAAACAAACACAATTTCAAGAAATGTTGGTTGGAAAATAAACATGTTATGGTAAAATAAATACACAAGCAAATTATACATGAATGTACAGAAAAAAATCCAAGTATGCCTGCTGAATATTTTAAGACCATTTTTTACTGCTTGTTTTGTGATGTTTTAAATTAATGCTTACTACTTGAAACAGGTGATGAACATTCAGTCTGTTGCCACATATCAAACGAGATTCCTGAAATATTAAATTATCAGAATATAATCACTGATAACATATATTCAATTTCTGTTATAATTATTAACTTAAATAAAATGCTCCGCAGGGCGCAGCTTGATACGACCGCAGAGGTCGAACCCTGAACAGTTGGGGGAAGTATGGACACAACATTCAAGCTTGATACAGCTTTGGATTTGGATTGTGATTAAATATTTGACACAGCATAGGTTTCTAACACAGATTGAATGTGGTCTAAGAACTTAAAAATTTTAAATTGGACATTCACCTATTATGGTCCAATATCCAAAATCTAAATACATGGTTAGATTCAGCATATCAAAGAACCCCAAGAATTCAATTTTTGATGAAATCAAACAAAGTTTAATTTTGGACCCTTTTGACCTCAATGTGGACAAAGTTGATAACGGGGCCCAAAAATCAAAAATCTAAATACATGGTTAGATTCAGCATATCAAAGAACCCCATATATTCAATTTTTGTTGAAATCAAACAAAGTTTAATTTTGGACCCCGATTTGGACCAACTTGAAAACTGGGCCCATAATCAAAAATCTAAATACATGTTTAGATTCAGCATATCAAAGAACCCTAAGAATTCAATTTTTGTTAAATTCAAACTAAGTTTAATTTTGGACCCTTTGGACCTTAATGTAGACCAATTTGAAAACGGAACCAAAAATTAAGAATCTAAATACACGGTTAGATTCGGCATATCAAAGAACCCCAATAATTCAATTTTTGATGAAATCAAACAAAGTTTAATTTTGGACCCTTTTGACCTCAATGTGGACAAAGTTGATAACGGGGCCCAAAAATCAAAAATCTAAATACATGGTTAGATTCAGCATATCAAAGAACCCCATATATTCAATTTTTGTTGAAATCAAACAAAGTTTAATTTTGGACCCCGAATTGGACCAACTTGAAAACTGGGCCCATAATCAAAAATCTAAATACATGTTTAGATTCAGCATATCAAAGAACCCTAAGAATTCAATTTTTGTTAAAATCAAACTAAGTTTAATTTTGGACCCTTTGGACCTTAATGTAGACCAATTTGAAAACTGAACCAAAAATTAAGAATCTAAATACACGGTTAGATTCGGCATATCAAAGAACCCCAATAATTCAATTTTTGATGAAATCAAACAAAGTTTAATTTTGGACCCTTTTGACCTCAATGTGGTCAAAGTTGATAACGGGGCCCAAAAATCAAAAATCTAAATACATGGTTAGATTCAGCATATCAAAGAACCCCATATATTCAATTTTTGTTGAAATCAAACACAGTTTAATTTTGGACCCCGATTTGGACCAACTTGAAAACTGGGCCCATAATCAAAAATCTAAATACATGTTTAGATTCAGCATATCAAAGAACCCTAAGAATTCAATTTTTGTTAAAATCAAACTAAGTTTAATTTTGGACCCTTTGGACCTTAATGTAGACCAATTTGAAAACGGAACCAAAATTTAAGAATCTAAATACACAGTTAGATTCGGCATATCAAAGAACCCCAATAATTCAATTTTTGATGAAATCAAACAAAGTTTAATTTTGGACCCTTTGGACCTCAATGTGGACCAATTTAAAAACGGGGCCCAAAATCCAAAAACTAAATACATGGTTAGATTCAGCATATTAAAGAACCCCATGAAATCAAGAATAAAACCCCATTGAAATTGGTCAAGAAATAAGCAATTTATAGGAAGTACCGTTAAATTCGTTAAATAAGCCGCAGGTTTTTTTCTCTGTCATTGTCCCTGCGTGTTATACTCAGGTGCGCTTTATGTATGTATTTTTTTCAGTTTCAGGGCAAGCGTGAAAAAAAATATATATCTGTATTTTTTTTATGGAGACCGTCAGATTGTCAAGTGCTTGCAGTGACTTGATAAATTTTTCATGTGGCATATTTTGTTATGAATAAAAATATATATACTTTATCATTTGTTCTTTATTTCATTGTTGGCTTACGGAGTTGATAACCATGTGTTTATTACATAAACAAAGAAAGATAACCGTGTTTGAAAGAGGTACCATACAGGATATTAATTGTGTATTTACAATAAATATGTAATTGTTTGTTGTTGTAATGTGTTTTTAAATAAAATCTTCTTTAGAAATAATAAAGAAAGTGATTGTGTTTCTTTCCAATATTTCAAGTCTCTTTTAATGACGATGGTGATAACCATGTGCTGAAATGAACCCTTTAAAGTGTTTCATAAACAAAGAAAGATAAGCGTGTTTGAAAAGAGGTACCATACAGGATATACTATTGAGGAGTAACTGCTTGTTGTTTTATTGTTTCAAAATGAAATATCTTTATGAAATATTGTAGCCACATATTGGTGTAAGAAATAAAAAAAATGAATATTAATTTTCATAATTCAATATGCTAAGACATTTATATATCGCCGTCTTATTTGAATTCCCCTTTCCGTGGCCCATCTCACTTTCAGTTAAAAATAGACAATGACTTGCAGAAACTGAATGGTTTTGTTGCAGTTTTCAACCAAGTTTAAATTGAAAAATGTTTGTTACTTATAAAACTTGAACTTTTATTTTATAAACAACAATAAAATTCTTTAGATTTAATTTAATAATTTTTTTTCCTGACTTATGGGTGAACAGTTTTCACACGTGGGTACAGGTAATTAAGTAGGTCATAATCAAGGTAAACAATGGCAGTTTTATGGCTTGGGTAACTTTTAATGAATACCTTTTCAAGATTAATTAAAATCCTTGATTCCAATTCAAACAATAAATAAGCAATCAACACCGAACTAATTTTAATCAAAACAACAAGGTTCAATGGACACCCAAGCTGTCAACACATGGCCATTGTTGACAAAAAACAACTAATGAATCTGGCATGATTAAAACAATAAGAAAATTATAATAATTTTATTAACATTTATTTATTTTAATATGAAACAAATAAATATATACAAAATGTCTTTCAACTTTCTCAACAATCTGAAAATAAAAATGAAACATGTTACGGAGTGAGTTACAAGAAGGAGTGAACATTCATTACGCTAAGGTCAGTAGAATGCATGTACGTTTTCATCAGGGTGCGCTTTATATGCAGGTGCGTTTTATGTAAGGAAAAAAACAATCCTCACCCCCAAAAACGGCCGTGCGCCTTATTTAGGGGTGCGCTTTTTAATCCGCAAAATACGGTATCTTCTTTTGCACAATCCTGTGCTATTAAATATTTCTTGCTATTGCGCAATACTGTACAATTGACAATTTCTTGCTATTGCGCAATATTGTGCTATTGGATATTTCTTGCTATTGCGCAATACTGTGCAATTGAAGATTTCTTGCTATTGAGCAATACTGTGCAATTGAAGATTTCTTGCTATTGTGCAATACTGTGCAATTGAAAATTTCTTGCTATTGCACAATACTTATTATATAATAATTTACACATCCTGTTTGGTGTGTATCTCCTACCATATCATTATTATTTGATTTTAAATATAAATCAGAAATAACCAACTTAAAATGGAAAATTTTAAAAGAAACAAAAAAGGAAAAAAAGAAAAAAAAGGAAAAAAAAATAAATCCCCCCCCAAAATTTTTTGAACCTCCATTACGATTCATCACCCCCAAACTCAATCCCAGCCTTCCCTTTGTGGTATGGTACCTTGCAGTTCAATTTCAGAGAGATCCATACACTTGAACACAAGTTATTGTCTGGAAACTAGAAAAAAATGTGTTTTTTGGCCCCTTTTTGGCCCCAAATTCCTAAACGTTTAGGGCAATTACCCCCAAACTCAAACCCAGCTTTCCCTTTGTGATATGGAACCTTGTAGTACAATTTCAGAAAGATCCATACACTTACACACAAGTTATTGTCATGAAACTAGAAAAATGCTTGTTTTTTGCCCCTTTTTTGGCCCCTAATTCCTAAAATTTGGAGGCAATTACCCCCAAAATCAATCCCAGCATTCCTTTAGTGATATGGAACCTTGTGGTACAATGTCAGAGAGATCCATACACTAACACACAAGTTATGTCTGGAAGTTACAAAAATGCTTATTTTTGGCCCCTTTTTGGCCCCTAATTCCTTTACTGTTATTACCATAACCCCCAAAATCAATCCCAACCTTCCTTTTGTGGTATTGAACCTTGTGGTAAAATTTCATAAAGATCCATTCACTTAAACTAAAGTTAGAGTGCGAAAACCAATGTGTCTTCGGACGACGCCGACGACGACGCCAACGTCATACCAATATACGACCACAAAAATTTTTTTGCGGTCGTATAAAAATGTGAAAGTCTTACAAGAAAGACGTATATTACCTGCTGTCTCCAAATAATATAAACAAAATTGTGTAGTCCCATGTTTTTGTATGGAAAACCTTAAAACCATGGAGATCTAAAATAAAAGGTCACATCTTCGCCTCCTGTAGAAGAATTAATTTTAGTACAAGTCTGGGTGAATTATGGCAGCCAGGATTTGAAGATTCACAAAGTGTGACAAGGACAATCATTGTCAATGCAGACAACCAAAGAGAACAGATGCGGTCCCTTTGAGCCGTTGCAGCTGAAACCTGTCCGGCAACACCAAAAAAAAATCAATTTTTATACCTTTTGCATTGATCTATGGAATGGATGTTTGTTTATATTATAAAACTGAGAATGGAAATGGGGAATGTGTCAAAGAGACAACAACCCGACCAAAGAGCGGAAAACATCCCAAGACCACCAATGAGTCTTCATACATATATATTTTTTACAAATGTTTGTTAAATTTTGGTTTTTGGTTGATAAATACCATTTAATGAAATTGTGACATTAAATATACAGCCTAAGAAAGCATTTAGGATACAGTTTTTATTTGAGTATAAGCAAGATCATCATTTGATAATCTGTAGGTAACTGACTAATTGATTTAGAAAATAATTATATATTATACCTTTAAATGGAGCTCTTTCTATATTGAGATCACACTGAGAGTACAGAAGATTGGAATCCTCCATAACTGTGAAGTCATACAAGCATACAGTACCATTCTCTTCAAAACATGCCTTGATTTTCACATCCAATGAGAATAACTTTTCAGATGGAATGTGATGGATAGCAAATCTAAATAAATAAAATTAATTTGAATATGAGAATAAGTTCCATTAAATGAAAACTACACAAATGCATCCCTGCCTACACCCCTACTGATAAGAGTCAGGCAACTGGAAAGAAACACAAACTGGACTTGTCATCATGATATACTAATCTATTAGAAATAAGCTTCAGATTGGCAGTCATTATGAACAAGTCTGAATATGATTTTCCAAGGACTATTATTCCATCAGAAATTGTCAATTGGAACAAAACATATTCTTGAACTGTAAGTCATCTTTATACACTTGTACAAATAATCAGCTCATTCCCCCCATAAAAAAGGTTCAGACTAGAACAATTTTCATTAATTTTTTTATGTCCAACTGGCATTATAATTATGTCTGCCAACTGGAATGAAACAAGAAACTTGACCTGAAAGTCATTATTATATATCAATGTACCAAAAATCAGATCAATGTTTGCAGGCAAAATAAAACACAACTCCAGATAACTGTTTGAAGGACAGAGAGGTATAGTGGAATCCCCCGTGTCTGTGTGGCAAGGAATACCTCGAATTACCTGATTTTGTCATATCAACAATTTATAAAATAAACTCTTTCTTGTGGTTGTTTTAGTCTTCCAAAGGGACAGAAAAGATCAATATTGATAAGTTCAAGCATAATTTAAACTTACAATGCCACAATTAACCAATTTAAATAAATTAGATAAACCTGGTTTCATTACTTTTGCTCAGCATCCTTTGCAGTCTTTTAGATTCAACCTTAACTGTATTTCATAGTATTTAATCTTTTGTTTATTATACAAAATATTAAGGGTGAAATCATAGATTAAGAAGATTTCATGAAATTAAAGTATGTCATATATTTGCACACAATATTATCTGATTATTGGTTTCATTATTAGTTAACCAAAATGGAGCCAAAAGACTTAGTTGCGTGTATACACCAAACTGTTTTAATCTTATCAAAATTGCAACTCATTTACCTAGCAAAAGAAAATTCTACCAAGTAAAAATGTTGCATGAATCTGTTCTGATCTGCTTAAAAAACTTTGTATAAAAACTTGATTAAATTAATTGACACATTCTTGTCAAATCTGGATTAAATTTTCTCTAAAATAAACACACTGCAGCTTGACTTGTCAAATAAATGGTCCTTATAACTATGTAACTTAAGATCTATACTTACACAAGCTGTAAAACACCATGAATCTGTACATTCTCTATTTTACCTAAAATAAATTTATCATTCAGTAAATATCACATCATTATACTGCAAATAGTTCCATTATTTAAATAAAACAATATGTTAAGCATACTGTTAGACATCTATGTACTTAATATGGAGTGCATAGCTTACCAACTTTCTAAAATATAAAGCTTGGTAAAAAAATTAATGCTTTTACCACCAGAATAGCAAATGTATGACTCACATTCAGCAACATCTGCTGATAGGATGGCATGATCTTTTGAGTTGTTGGGTTGCCATGTCATTCATTAAAACCCTATACCGTGGATTCATTTAATTTCGAGGATACAATTTTCTTGGATTGAGTAAAAACTGTATATATGTGGATATTCAATTTAATAGATTTGCCAATATATATAAGAAAGAAGATGTGGTATGATTGCCAATGAGACAGCTATCCACAAGATACCAAATGACACAGAAATTAACAGCTATAGGTCACCATACGGCCTTCATTTATGAGCAAAGCCATTACCGCATGTTTGCATACTTCGTTGGGACATTTAAATTCATTGTTTACCTGTACCCATCATATATGCAAAAATTAGTACCTAACGAATAGTAATCAATCCGAAGTATATTAATTGTTCATGATTTAAAAGATGTTCTGGAACAAACCTGGGTTTGTTTTTACTATTTAATAAACTAGGTGTCGCTCACCTGTATCTACTGTGTTTTTGGAAATCATGTAAAATAAGGTTAAAATCATAATAAATAGTATTAGATACCCTAATAATGATTGAGGCCAAGTTTGGTTTAATTTGGCCCAGTAATTAAGTTAAAAGCAGGTCATCCTATTTTAGTCTTACAATAGTTACTGAAGACCCCTTATCATTATTTAAATTAGTTTTCAAGTTGTGACCATTTGAAATTGTTTTTTTTTACAATTTTCCCTTAGACTTCTATAGTAAACCCCTATGTTCTATTTTTAGCCATGGTGGCCATGATGGTTGGATGACAGGGTCATCATATACATTTTTCAATCAAGATACCCTAGTGAAAATTGTGGCTAAGTTTAATTCTATTTGGTCCAGTAGATTAAGTGGGGAAGATTTTGTAAAAGATCACAAAAATTTACGAAAAATTGACTATAAAGGGCAATAACTCCTTAAGGGGTCAATTGACCATTTTGGTCATGTTGACTTATTTGTAGATCTTACTTTGCTGAACATTATTGATGTTTACAGTTTATCTCTATCTATAATAATATTCACTAGATACCCCAATGATGATTGTGGCCAAGTTTGGTTAAATTTGGCCCAGTAGTTTCAGAGGAGAAGATTTTTGTAAAAGTTAACGATGGACGACGGACGCCAAGTGATGAGAAAAGCTCACTTGGCCCTTTTGGGCCAGGTGAGCTAAAAATAGATTATCTGCTTTTTAAGTAAACTATTCAAAACTGAATTATTATAATATAGCAGTTTTTATCTACAGTATTTTTCTTTTCCATATTAGTTATAAAGTGAAAAATAATTTCATAAACATACCCCATTCATAATTCATCAGATTGAATTCAAAGTGCTGTTCCTCTAGATATACATCAAGTATATAATCACACGTTCTGATATTGACAGAAGCATAGACATATCTTTTAAGAACTGGAATTTCAGCACAGCATGAAACTGTATCACAAGTCTCAGTAATGTGACATGCAACACTCTGATTTAATTGGACCAAAGGTGTTGTGATATTTGAACAATCTACAATAAAAAATGAAAAGCTAAACTCACATTTAGGCAAAAGATTGAGAGTAACAAATACATTTGTCCAAATACTCAATACAGCAACTTTTTAAACAAAGAACTATGATAAAGTCATCAATAGCAATCACAGAGCACTCATGGTCACATAAAAAGTTCCTTACTAGGTATTTTTGACATAGGTGTGATCTTCACAGATATCAGTGATTTATGGAAAAATTGGGAAATCTTGCTCTAAAAATAATATATAATTTACCATTACTCCATCCATCAATAGAATCATTAAATGGTGGGTTGTAGATATTGCATTTATTTGACCATCCCATGTAATCAATAAGTCCCATTTCTGTAATTAAGTCATTTGCAGTGGCATCATCTATATTTTCCATGTCAATATTTTTATCTGATAACCAAGATTTCAATGAAAACGCTGCAAGAATAAAATGAAAATGTAAAACACCTTATCATTTCTACATTGTTAATACAGTAACAACTAAAATGAATGTATTTTTATACATTTACTTGTACTCAGGAGAAAAACTGCTTCTTGAAAAAAGTCCTTAGTACAGTAGAGCTTGATTAGTCTGATCTAGTCTAATAGTCAGTGAAACTGCCCTTCAAATATTCCAGTTCATTTTAATACCATTTGGAGTGTAAAATGACATCTGCTGTGGTTTATATTAATTTCCAGGAAATTAACAATGTTTCACATATTTAATTACTGTAAACTCAGAAATTATTGCGTGCATTTATTATTGCAATTTTTCAAAAATGGACAAGAATGCGAGTTTAATTATTGCGATTTCAGAAAAATCTACATACAGATCTATGTTTTAGTTATCAAAATGTGAGTTCTTATTATTTCAATACTCACCTAGTCCCATTATTAAAAACCTTGCAACAATTTCTTAATTTACAGTACCTCAATTATATAAAGAAATAGAAGTTCCTTGTTCTAATGAATGTTATGCATTATGTTAAATCTGCCATTCAAAGATTATATACCGAAAAATATGGATAGGGCAGTGTTTAAATATACATATTTACTGCATTTCAGATTATTACAAAAAAGATTGAGCATTGTACTGTATCAACCTTTTGGACACTGCAAAGAGTAAATATAGTACAGTGCATAAATATTCTCTAAGATATGCATAATGGAAACTATTTTGACATTGATAAAGATCGCCAAAAATATTATTTTGACATGAACATTGATTAAGCTATTTTCTGAACTAAAACTTCTTCTGTTATAAGATTGTACATACAAGAGTTCAAGAAGCCAGGAGCTTGGTCACAATGCTGACGATTAACTGTAGTTTCATTAAAGATCTCAATCTCTAATTCACACTTATTATCTGGTTCAAAGCAAACATTTATATCTAAGTGCAAGCTAAATGTTGCAGGCGAGTCTTTTTTTAAGAAGTACCTAGAATAAAACAAATTTGTTACAAAATACATAGGCTCACAAAGAAATAATCTGCTTTAGCATGTGATGCAAATGTATAAAGATTCATTTAAATTCAAAAACAAGTCTGAAATGCATTGCACGTTATACCAAGAGAGAGTCTCAAACCAAATATTTAAGAAGTACGTGAAGAAATATTTGTGAAAAAATAGGTTAAAGTCTCAAATGGCTGGGTTGCAATATTTGTGACAAATCAAAGTAGAATGTTTGCAATGTAGTTGCAATAACATGAAGGTTGTAAATTTTGCTGGAAAATGACCAAGTTTCCAAGTCCGGTAAAATGTGCAAAAGTAGTTTTGGACTACTGACACTACAACAAGGATCCGGAAATTTTTCCAGACAATTTCGGTCATTTTGAGATGTTTGAAAAGTTGGTGCCCCTTTTCAAATTGTCGATATCAAGTTCAACTTGACTATATTCATAGCATCAACGAACATGACGAGCTTGTATTGCTGTTTCATCGCATTTACTAAGTAAATGTCTTACCGTTACCATGAAGGACAGTTTAGGGAAGGCAACAGTCTAAAATTGAAATGATTTTAATGACTCAAAATGGGTAATTTCTCAGACATTGCTTGCGTTTCTTTCGACTTGACAGAAGTTAAAACCCGAAGTTTGCGATATTTTAAAGTACGAATAATTCTGGATTCATTTCCGGGATTTGTTTTGTTTATCAAAAATTAACAGGAAATCACCGGCTTGTTATGGCTTTTTTTATTTTATTACCTTTAAAAGTGTTTGAATATAACAGATAATAGTTGCACTCGTTTAATTTAGCATGAAATCAATTTGCATTTTACGATTAAATATTAAATTTGCTGAAGACAATTTCACACATGCGTATTACATAGTAAATAAAGCACATGTGTTACTCATGAAAAAATACTTTTTTCTACGTAAATTTAGATTTAATTTTTAAATCAGAATTGATGACTGTCTTTGATGAAAAGTAAATAAATAACAAGAAATGATTGTAACAGGATGCTGTTACAAAGTCTTCCAAACGAAGCTCCCATAATTCGTAATTCCCAGGGTCGCCTGACATTGGGCAAAGTCCAGTGAAAATTGGTTTGGTCCAGTAAAGTTATATGCATTAATGATGCCTGGGGACTAACCCTGTATATCATTCAAATCATCTTGGCATGACAAACCAGAATATATATGGTTTAGGGGTGGGGATCTCAACCATTTACAAGATACAAGAACAATGGGGGTGGGGGGAACCTCTGGGGGACTGACCCTATACGTCATTCAAATGTTCAAGACATGACAAACAGGAATATATATGGTTTAGGGGTGGGGATCTCGACCATTTACAAGATACTAGAACATTGGGGGTGGGGGGAACCCCTGGGGACTGACCCTTTACGTCATACAAATGTTCAAGACGTGATGAACAGGAATATATATGGTATAGGGGTGGGGATCCAGACCATTTACAAGATATTAGAACTTTCTCAAATGGCAGGGGGTCAGGATGACCCATGGGGACTAGCCCTGTATATCATTCAAACCATCTTCGCATGACAAATTAAACCAGAATATATATGGTTTAGGGGTGGGGATCTCGACCACTTACAAGATATTAGAAATTTCTTAAATGGCAGGGGGTGGGGGTGACCCCTGAGGACTAGCTCTGTTTTTGATTTGATGTGCTTTATCATGACAAACCAGAATATATATGGTTTAGGGGTGGGGATCTCGACCATTTACAAGATACTAGAACATTGGGGGTGGGGACTGACCCTTTACGTCATACAAATGTTCAAGACGTGATGAACAGGAATATATATGGTATAGGGGTGGGGATCCAGACCATTTACAAGATATTAGAACTTTCTCAAATGGCAGGGGGTCAGGATGACCCCTGGGGACTAACCCTGTATATCATTCAAACCATCTTCGCATGACAAACCAGAATATATATGGTTTAGGGGTGGGGATCTCGACCACTTACAAGATATTAGAACTTTCTTAAATGGCAGGGGGTGGGGGTGATCCCTGGGGACTAGCCCTGTATTTCATTTGATGTGCTTTATCATGACAAACCAGAATATATATGGTTTAGGGGTGGGATTCTCGACCATTTACAAGATATTAGAACTTTCTTAAATGGCAGGGGGTGGGGGTGACCCCTGGGGACTAACCCTGTATTTCATTTGATGTGCTTTATCATGACAAACCAGAATATATATAGTTTAGGGGTGGGGATCTCGACCATTTACAAGATATAAGAGCTTTCTCAAATGGCAGGGGGTCAGGATGACCACTGGGGACTAACCCTGTATATCATTCAGACCATCTTCACATGACAAACCAGAATATATATGGTTTAGGGGTGGGGATCTCGACCACTTACAAGATATTAGAACTTTCTTAAATGGCAGGGGGTGGGGGTGACCCCTGGGGACTAGCCCTGTATTTCATTTGATGTGCTTTATCATGACAAACCAGAATATATATAGTTTAGGGGTGGGGATCTCGACCATTTACAAGATATCAGAACTTTCTCAAATGGCAGGGGGTCAGGATGACCACTGGGGACTATCCCTGTATATCATTCAAACCATCTTCACATGACAAACCATAATATATATGGTTTAGGGGTGGGGATCTCAACCATTTACGAGATACAAGAACAATGGGGGTGGGGGGAACCCCTGGGGGACTGACCAGATACGTCATTCAAATGTTCAAGACATGACAAACAGGAATATATATGGTTTAGGGGTGGGGATCTCGACCATTTACAAGGTACTAGAACATTGGGGGTGGGGGGAACCCCTGGGGACTGACCCTATACATCATACAAATGTTAGAGACATGATGAACAGGAATATATATGGTATAGGGGTGGGGATCCAGAGGGTTTACAAGATATAAGAACTTTCTCAAATGGCAGGGGGTCGGGATGACCCCTGGGGACTAACCCTGTATATCATTCAAACCATCTTCGCATGACAAACCAGAATATATATGGTTTAGGGGTGGGGATCTCGACCACTTACAAGATATTAGAACTTTCTTAAATGGCAGGGGGTGGGGGTGATCCCTGGGGACTAGCCCTGTATTTCATTTGATGTGCTTTATCATGACAAACCAGAATATATATGGTTTAGGGGTGGGATTCTCGACCATTTACAAGATATTAGAACTTTCTTAAATGGCAGGGGGTGGGGGTGACCCCTGGGGACTAACCCTGCATTTCATTTGATGTGCTTTATCATGACAAACCAGAATATATATGGTTTAGGGGTGGGGATCTCGACCATTTACAAGATATTAGAACTTTCTCAAATGGCAGGGGGTCAGGATGACCCGTGGGGACTAACCCTGTATATCATTCAAACCATCTTTGCATGACAAACCAGAATATATATGGTTTAGGGGTGGGGATCTCGACCACTTACAAGATATTAGAACTTTCTTAAATGGCAGGGGGTGGGGTGACCCCTGGGGACTAGCCCTTATTTGATTTGATGTGCTTTATCATGACAAATCAGAATATATATAGTTTAGGGGTGGGGATCTGGACCATTTACAAGATAATAGAACTTTCTCAAATGGCAGGGGGTCAGGATGACCACTGGGGACTAATCCTGTATATCATTCAAACCATCTTCACATGACAAACCAGAATATATATGGTTTAGGGGTGGGGATCTCGACCACTTACAAGATATTAGAACTTTCTTAAATGGCAGGGGGTGGGGGTGACCCCTGGGACTAACCCTGTATATCATTCAAACCATCTTCACATGACAAACCAGAATATATATGGTTTAGGGGTGGGGATCTTGACCACTTACAAGATATTAGACCTTTCTCAAATGGCAGGGGGTCGGGATGACCCCTGGGGACTAACCCTGTATATCATTCAAACCATCTTAGCATGACAAACCAGAATATATATGGTTTAGGGGTGGGGATGTTGACCACTTACAAGATATTATAACTTTCTTAAAAGGCAGGTGGGGGTGACCCCTGGGGACTAACCCTGTATTTCATTTAATGTGCTTTATCATTTAGAACATTTTCAATTAAAAAGATTGTGTCTATCACAAACGGTTTTCAATTTATAATCAATTGAAAATTTTAAAAAATAAAATCCCATAGGGTTCCATAGTAAAACCCTCCTTTCTGTTTGCCCCCCAAAGTACCCCTTTATAAACCCCATTGCACAAACAAAACCCTGATTGCACCACTAGACATGTTAGTCTAACATATTGTGAAACCCTAAGTTAATCTGACAAGCGGTTTTGGAGAACGGGTGCGGACAAGTTCAAATTTAAAAGTGGCGGAAGAGGAAGAAGAATAATAATAATAATAAGAACTGAGCAAAACCAATAAGTCTTCCCAAACTTCGTTTGGGAGACTTAATGAATACACTTGTCAGGGAACATTAATGTTTAAAAGATTTTATTCTGAGCTTGTGATCACTGTCAGGTGTGAATTAAAACCACAGGTAAAAAGTGATAAGGGATCATTAGCCAATGTTTCCCGGAGGCATTGATATAGATATTAGGAGGGCCCTCAGGATTATCAAACTACTGTAGTGGCAGTTTTATTACAGGAAAGGGATTATAAACAAAAACAAGTGATCACAAGTGCAAAATGGCGATTACGAAATCCGATTTCAAACATTGAGTCAATGAAATGACCGAAATTACTTTTGTAAAAAAATTAAATTTGTCCTAAATCCCAATTACTCGTTTAGGACAAATAGTTTCATCTTAGGGCATGACTAGCAAATATGACCGTTTCCGGACCCTTGCACTACAGGATTTTTTTTTCAACACTTCAAAGGAAGAAAATGTATTATTTATTACCTGAACATTTTTAAATTAAGCATCTAATAAACAGGCTCTATTGTTAATTCTTTACTTACTCTAGTTTCACTATCCCAAATAGTCCAAAGGTGTTCTTTTGCCCTAAAAAATATATTAAAAATCAATGATCCATTGACATTATTACAAGACAGATAATAATATGTTCACAAAGGAGTAAGTTCACGAAGGATTAAAATTGGCCCTAAGATTTTGATGTTTTTTTTTAAAATCAGGCCAAAATACTACAAATTTCACATAGATATTGTTGTGATATTACTATTAATACAAAATAACTTCATTTTGGCACAGCACATTAAAAATGAGTATGCCTTATTTGTGTTTTAATGTCAGTTTTGGTCAAATTTTCAATTATTCTTAACAAATTTTAGCATAATTCACTATGGCTAATGATCCAGAAAGAATTGGTGTCTATGGATTTAATATCATCATTGGCAACTTTTGGTTAGAGAACATTTCGAATCCCAGGTTGCGACCAAGGGTTTCCTCAAGCTTTTAGGTCCAAAAAATGCACAAAATCATCGTATTTTGACAATATATCCAAAATGTGCTGATTTTGAAGCCAAGAATGTACTCTTATGAAGAGATTTATTTTAACAAAGAAGTAAGGCTTTTGAAATAGATCCATTTAAGAACCAAATTATGGCCATTTTGACATCTTATGATAAAGTTGAAATTCAAGGCCATATTTGGCCTAAAGTGAACCTTGTCCTTTCACTTCTCATTATTTAAAGTATCAGAAAACAAGAATTAGGGGCCTGACTGATAAAAAAGTGCTAACACATTACAAATTTTCATTGTCAAGCTGCTAACAAAATATGAAGTCATTCTGTTCCACAGTACTGTAGAAATGTGTGACAAAAGAATGCAAAGTTCATTCAGCATATTGTAATTATCGAAGTATTGGCAAACATGAATAATTTGTCTGACAGATAAAATAAATATGCTCACACATTACAAATCATCACTGTCAAGCTGTTGACAAAATATGAAGTCCTTCCTGAGACAAGTGTGACCAAAATATTTGTTGCATGAACTGACAGCTGGTCCAACAGACAGCTTAAGTTGATTGCAATATAACCCCCTATTCTTAAGAGTAGGGGTATAATAATATCCCTTAAGGATGTACACCTCCGAGGAGCCAAAAATTTCTAGAATTAAACTTTTTTTCTTAACCTGATTTTTGGGTTTATATGACTGTAAAAAAATAATTGGTGAAGAAAAAATCATATGGTGGTGCAGTTCTTTTTTTGCTACAGCCATCTGAAAGTACCCAATTTTGATGATTTTCCCATTTTACGTCAATTTTTACCCATTTTTGGGCTATTAATATGAAAAAAAATCAGTTTAAGAATTAAATTTTTTTCATACTTTCACTAAAGATGAAGTGGATCATTCTGAATAAATTTAACTTAAAAAAACTATGGATAGGTGTTAATATAAGAAAGTTTTATAAAATTTAGCTTTTTGTGTCAAATTTACCATGTTGTCAATTTTGTAAATTTGGGATTTTTCTCTTTTTTTAGAACAAAAAGCATATTATTTCAACTTCTTTGTTATAAATGATTGAAAAAATACATATCTATGAAATTTGAGAAGATAAAATTGATATGGGATGTACATGTATCTGGTAAAATCATTTCTTGTACCCCTAACCCATTTTCTCAACATTTTGGCTAATGAGACTGACTTGATTGGTTATAAAATTTGAAAATTGTATTACTCAAAAACTGCTTATTGTAAATACACAATTTTTTCACAGAGTTAAGTTTGATTATAATATTTTTTAAATTCATTGATATTTTCCACTTGTATCACATGTTTTTGAAACAATTCCAGAACGAGATTTCAACGAGACTGAAATCCTTAAATTAAGGCATTTTGGTCATAATTCTAAAAGATTGTTCTTAAAATCTGGTTCATGCAAGGATTTCTTAAATGTTTTTATCAGGCTCTGATAAATATTGACAGAACATATTTTTTCTAAACAATCATACCAAATAAAACTTCTGACAACTTCAAGTCTTGTTTTAAGTTGTCTATTTGCAACCTTAAGTTGTTTCTGCATTCATTGATTCCAACGACAATTGACACTGATGTTCCTAACATAGGTAGACTGACACAACATTCAACACTTGTACAATCCGCTGATATCCTGCAGGAAAATCTATCATGTCTGTCTGTTGGTACTACTTTTATAACTGCAGAACCACAATCTACAAAAAAATACAAAAGATGAGTAAGATTAGCATCTTTTAAATAAGCTTTTAGTTGTGTTGTAAGGACAATGCACTTTGTATGTCTTTTTCTTCCCTTTTCTTAATTAAATTAATGAAAATTTATACAAAATTAAGTATTTAGTGACAAAAATGTAAAAATTTCATCATCACCGCAACTGGTGTTTCTGAAAACGTTGGTCAAAAGAAAAATTTTCATTTTCAAATAAGTTATCTGACTAACCATTGCTACTTTCAAGTTTATGACTGCAAGATTCTGGTTTGAGAAACTTGTCAATGTTCAGATCCTGTTTTAGTTGAACTTCTGCCCAAACTGGTAAACTCTCTAAAGATTTTGGTAAGCCCTTCTCATCAAGCCAAGCAGCCAGGGAAAATTCTGAAACAAGCAAAAGACCTTGATATACATATCTGTATCTATTTAAATTACGATCAATACTTCAATTTTTAATAAACAGCTGTGTCATGAGCGCATGATACACCCATTGCGTTTTCAAAGAATAAAGTTCAATAACTTCTCAATGTCATATCAGAAATTTATAAAAATCTAAAGGCAGGTTATCTTAATAGATATAAATCAGTCGACAAAGTTTAATGAAAATTGCTAAAAGCATTTTTGAGTTATTGTCCAAAAACTGGAAAATCCCCCTTTTTTTAATGAATAAAACCCTGTAACTCGGAAACGTAAAATCTAAAATTTATAAAAAACGAAAGGGAGCTCACGTCAATAGATATTAACAATTCACCAAAGTTTCATGCAAGTTTTTGAGTTAATGTCCGACATGTTGAGGACAGACAACGGTATGCCATAATACGTCCCGTAAACAGGCATATAAAAAGTATCTATATAAATTTCTTTAATAAAATTTGAATACAACCATCTCATATAATTATTGTTTTTGTGCAAATCTTAAATCTTGTATATATATATATATAAAACGTCTGAATAATAGTCAACAATTTTTCCCATGAGGGCGGGGGATAGTTACGAGTAACGATACATGTACACAATAAATAAATTATATAAACACCTAAAAAGTGTACACAACAACACCAATAACAAAAAAAGAAACTATAAATGTAATTATTTATAAATATTTCGGATAACAGATATCCTTCATCAGTAAATATAATTGTGATGTTGAATGAATCATATATCAGTCTACTTAGATTAAACTATAACAATCTTGAAATTTATACAATAAAAAAGTCCAACCGAACATCAGGTAAGACGCTTGCACAAAAGATGTAGTTCGACTCCATGCAGTGCTTCACATTTGGGTTATATTACTTATTATAACAGTCTCTGTATCTATTTCTTTACCTTACTCATCTCTAAAATAAATCTGTTGAATATACCAATTTAAATTGCCTAATGTTTTGAGGGATGTAAAAGTACCAAGCCACGTTCAACTAGTTAACCTTAGTCAAAATTTATTATTATATTTTAACGGCCGTTTGTTTGCAATGTTTAAATACGCAGACTCTGTTGTAACTACTCTACCGTTGTCAAATTTGAAATATTTACAAATTTAGATCGTTCAGTGCTGTTTATTTGGAATTCTTATTGACGCAATCGTTCTTGTAACATCATAACTGTCGTCACCGTTAAAGCTTTAGAATTGTGATAGTTCATATCGAACATTATTATTTTTATTTAAAGCATATATTTGAACTCTCTGTTGTAACTAGTCATATAACCTATGTCGTGTTTAACACACATTTAGAATTGTGCAAGCGTCTTACCTGATGTTCGGTTGGACTTTTTTATTGTATAAATTTCAGTTATATAGATACAATGGATAAGCGTGGATTCTTGAAAAAGAAACCATGAGCCCGGAGGGCGAATGGTTTGTTTTTCATGAATCTATGCTTATCCATTGTATCTATAACTTAAACTATTGTGTTAATTTCTTATAAAAATTAAAGCCTTTCTTAATTAGAAGGTATTGTAAGTGAGTTTAAATAACCATGTTATCGTTTCCAACGATGCATTGATAAATCTCAGATCACAATTAATTGGTTAACAAAATACAAATAAAACACTTCTACTTTTAAAGATCTTTATATTACTAGGCATATGAATATTATCTGTTTATACAAAATAAGACATATTCGAAATTATTTCTAATAAAATTGAAAATGGAAATGGGGAACGTGTCAAAGAGACAACAACACGACCAAAAAGCATATATAAAGTATATATAATAAGTATGTTATCGAAATTTTTCTAGCACTCTAGGCACATCACGATTTTCTCGCATAGGAATTTGCGAACAAACCTTTGTAAAATTATGTAGTATAACAGATGAAATCATACTATATTTATAAAACAAAAATTGACAAATAGAATGTAATCATTTTTGTTTCAAACATGTGAAATAGCCAATAATAATAAAAAAAAAAACCCGGTAAAACTCGGTATTATTACAAAAATATCCACTATAACATGCAAAATTAGAAAAAAAACAGGATCACTTAAGAATTGGAACAACAGAGAGAATACAGGGATTCGAACCTAAACTGACAAATCCCTATCTTTAACTCATTGATTTTAACCATGCTAACCTCGCTGCTACCAACTCATACTATACGACTGCCTATTGTGTCTATATAAAGGTACAAGCCCTGTGTGTCTGATGAACCGATGTATATCAGATGTTCATTTAAATATATAAAATAGACATCTATAGTGTAACCCATTGGTAGACGAGAGGTTTCGTCGATGTGTTGATGTCAGTCACGCATAACAGATTTCAAGGAAGGGTTCAATTCCCAGTGAAGGCATATAAAAATTACAAAAAATAAAGGTAAGTTTTTAAATTAATTCCATTAGTGAACAGAAATCAGTAAATTAGCCAATTCAAACTTAATGAAATGAGGCACACAAAGGAAACAATTGAATATAATTTGGTGAGTCAATTTCAGCGGCAGATTTAGGAAGCGCTGATTCTAGAAAAAGAATCCACGGTAAATGAATAGGCTGACGTCACCACAATGGTTTAAAGATTGTTATAGTTTAATCTAAGTAGACTGATATATGATTCATTCAACATCACAATTATATTTACTGATGAAGGATATCTGTTATCCGAAATATTTATAAATAATTACATTTATAGTTTCTTTTTTTGTTATTGGTGTTGTTGTGTACACTTTTTAGGCGTTTCGCAAAGTTTTTGTTCTTCCCTCGCCTGGATTCGAACTCATGCTACTGAGATATCGTGACACCAAATCGCCTGCACTGTATCCAACGCGCTAGACCACATGACCAGCCTAGGCGATTTGGTGTCATGATATCTCAGTAGCATGAGTTCAAATCCTGGCGAGGGAAGAACAAAAAATTTGCAAAAGCAAATTTACAGATCTAACATTGTTGGGCTGATGTTTAGACGAGTTGTATATATATATATATTTAAGAAGGGCACTGTCATTAATTTAATTTGTAAATATTTGTTGCAAAGCTCTTCACCTGAGACAGTTATTTCATACTCTCAGTTTCTTCTTACTCTAATTCAAATGTTATGAAGAAATTAATTCAAGGAACTTCTGATGGAGTTAAAAATCAAACTATTACTTACCATTTTCCATTGATCTATCACAGATTTCCTTAGAAAATTTCACACCATCTAGTATGACTTCATCAACAGAGCAGGTATCATTTGATTCTAAGCATACTAAAACAGTCATGTACACCATGTAGTTATTTTCTGCTGCTAAGTTGTAGATAATAGTTCTAAAAACAAATGCATAAGTATTTTAAAACTTCAGAAGCTGTCTTAAATTTAAAAAAAAAGTGCAATGGCATTTAAATTCAAGCTTTTTTTTTTCCCAGAAAAAAAATCGATTAAGGTACATGTTTGTCATTTTGACAAGAAGTAATCTAAACGAGCAATTCCTTACAAAGGGTTACAACACTGGAAAAAAAGAAGAATATATCAATATGAAAATCTGAGTGCACAACTAAACATACTGGAAACTAAACTTCAGAAAGCTTAATTTCATGTCAATACAATGCACATTATTTTTTTTTAAAACAAATTTCTAAGTTACAGAGGCAATACTTGCATGCAAAGTAGAAAGCCATGGGAGTATGTAAATTCAATACGCAAAACTACGTATTAAAACAAACATGATAGGATGTGCTGGTAGCGATTGATATATCTGTTGTAAGTATAAGGTTAGCAGGAAGTTGACAAGCAATGTATGTGAAAAGGCATTACACTTCTTAGCATAAATCTTAATCTATATTTTCCTGTCAGAGCAAACCCACTAAAATTTCATTAGACTGACAGACTCACCACGTTAATAAAGCAGTAAATCCAGAGTGTGGGTATAATTATCTATAAAATTTGGTGAACATCAACTAGGTGCAGTAAATTGGGCAATCTCCTATAAAGTAATATAGGACTGTAACTTTACCACAAATTCAGAACCCGTCTTCCAATTTGCATAAATATAGAAAAGGGCATGTTATTTTTCTGCCAAACCATCAAAAGAAATATGAAATTAAATATCTTACTCAGATTTCAATACCCCTACAAGTCCATGCTCCAGCTGGGTACCTAAAATACAAATAAAAAGCACTATATATTCAATTATACATAATAATATAGCTACAACTAGCTATTTTAATGTTTTGTGATGTTTAAATTTTACAGTCAATGCATCTTGAGCTGGTTTATAAGCCTAAATATTAAACATTTTCATTCATTCAGAAATGAAACATAAGTTATGTGATACAAATTGTCACTTTATATCACTTAAAAAAAGATCTTTTGACACTTAAATTTAACTATTTAATGATACAGCTAATCGCTCTCTGTAAAGGTACAGATCTGCAAATCTTATTTCACTGTTCTATTCAGACAACATTAGTCTCAATATGCTTTATTGACTTTGAAAGTACACTTATAGTTACGATACTGTTGTCAGGTCATTAAAGATTGCATATTTTGGCTTAAATATTGATTCTCTTATAGGGCCTTTGCATCGGAATTAAACATATTTATTCTAAAACCAGTTGTTGGCATGACACGTGTTCTGTTCTTCTCATATATTTTATGATGGTATAATACTAAACCCCTAACAGGAGGGATTGTGCCTGATATTCATATGATGAAGACATAATCTTTCAATCAGTTTAATTGAGGTCTGGAGCTGGCATGTCAGTAACTGCTAGTAGTCTGTTGTTATTTATGTATTATTGTCATTTTGTTTATTTTCTTTTGTTACCTATTCTGACATCGGACTCGGACTTCTCTTAAACTGAGTTTTACTGTGCGTACTGTTGTACGTTTGTTTTTTCTACATTGGCTAGAGGTATAGGGGGAGGGTTGAGATCTCAAAAAACATGTTTTACCCCGCCGCATTTTTGCGCCTGTCCCAAGTCAGGAGCCTCTGGCCTTTGTTAGTCTTGTATCATTTTTAATTTTAGTTTCTTGTGTATAATTTGGAGTTTAGTATGACGTCCATTATCACTGAACTAGTATACATATTTGTTTAGGGGCCAGTTGAAGGACGCCTCCGGGTGCGGGAGTTTCTCGCTGTATTGAAGATCCATTGGTGGCCTTCGGCTGTTGTCTGCTCTATGGTCGGGTTGTTGTCTCTTTGACACATTCCCCATTTCCATTCTCAATTTTACTTGAATATTTTTTAATCCAATTAATTCATGTTTCTCAGACAAACTCTTCTTAATTTCAATAGTGGGGCTCAATTTCTTAGAGCTCTTAATAATGGTCCACCTCACTAAAGGTACAAGTTTGAAAAGATGTAAATTTCTGAATCAACACATTCAAATGTTTGGCCTATGACATATTCTTACCCCACTTGTAATCTACCAGTGAGACATCTTCTGACAATCTTTCCAGTTGTATAGTCAGTCTATTGTTACAGTGGTCTATAGACAGTGATATTTCCATTGTTCTCTCAAGATTTTCTATATCAATACAACAGCTGATCTTGTTACAAGTTGAATCCAGGTTACAGCTTACAGGACCAGTCAGATTTGTTAGGTCTTCATTATTATTGCATACTAAAATTGATTAAATCCAATTATAAGTAAGTAATAACAAGTATTGCTAAATAAAAGATAAGTCTTGCAATGATATTTCATTAAATGAATGCTCCTATTTTAAGTGACAAACTGTATGTTAGTACCCGTTTCCTTTGTAATGTAATCTAAAATTGTGTTTTATTCATTTGAAAATGAATATGCAGATGCAGAGACCAATTAACTATCTGCCCATTAACTCGATAAAGAAAAGGAGGTGGAGACTATAGAGGGTTGGCAGTTGCATAGGCATACAAGTTAAACTTGTAACATTTTTGCATTATTTTTTTAATTAGAAATCTCTCAATACCTTATTATAGAGCTTCAAATAATTGATTCATTTTGTATTGAAATGACTGTCCAAATGCAAAAAGGGAGTACAAATTTTGTGAAGTCATTAAAAATTCCTTTGTCACTATAAATTATTTTGAATTTTTGTAAACTGTTTATTGTCTGAAGAAATGTATGTTGTTGTTTAAAATAAATAATGTCTTCACAAGTACAGAATTTTTTTTCAGAACCTTTACTGTTGTTTAAAAATTTGGAAGATATGTGGATCTTTTGAGCAAAATAAAATGTTCAATATATTTTTATTTAGATTCAATAACAGAAACAATAAATCTGCATATTTCTTCAAATACCACTTACAAAATGGGGACACAGTTTGACAGTATTTTACAATAAACTTCTATCAGAATACCACCTCTGTATTAATTTGCATGTGTTAAATATGTGCTACGGGAGAAACATGTGAGAAGTCATTTTAATTGTATGTATCTACATTATCAAAAGTTTAAAATAACTATATTTTTCTACTACTTACATGAATTCCAGCCTTTGACAGATGGAATATATGGATCACTGGAACGATTACATCTTGTAGACAGAAGGTAGTAAGATAAGCCAATATATTCAAATAACTCAGACACATCAACACTGGTCAAGCTGTCATTCTTGGAAAACCCACTTTCATTTCTCCATCTTTCTAAGGAAAAACCTGAAAAAAATACTTTTTTTTAGCTTGAATTATTTAACAGTATTTTTTTTTTGTTTAAATTAAAATTGAATTAACCACATCCATGAATATTTGTTAACATATATATGGAGTTGATTAAAAAAAAGAAATCTACTGTATAATCAATTAGGAGGGTCACCCCAATTTTCCGACACCCAATTAGTCTGACACCACATTGGTCCGACATCCCATTAGTCCTCCACCTCACTGGAACGACACCCCATTAGTCCGACATCCCAACAGTCAGACAAAGGGTCAATTACTGCCATAATAGAAAATCTACTTCATAGAATCGTTGTTAGTGTGGTATTTGAACTACTCTTTCAGGTCTTTCTCACAGAAACAGATAATACCATATACCACCTATCTGGTATTAAAAGAAATACCATGACCATATGCATATTAAGCAATCAAGAATCTTTTAAGTTTTGGTTTTAGGTGTGTTCTAAGGGAAAAAAATTGACTAAAAAGAAATGTAAAGATCAGTCATCAGTAGTGCAGTCTCTCATCATAAAGAATAATGTTCATGTGATTTAGTCTAGGAAACTGTCCAAACTGAAAAAGTGTCATTTCACCATAAAAACTGAAAAAGTGTCATTTCACCATAAAGAGGGACTACTAATGTACATGGACTTAAAGATCGAAAACTTTCAAAACTGAGAGCTCATGAATTGTTAATTGATAGTATACTCGAAAATTGGTGAGTTTAAAAATTTGTTTGTAACATCCATAATAAAATTTTTCAATCGGTGATAATTATTTCTACATAAAAAAAAAGACTTTTCAGAGGATAAAAACGGATGAAATGTGCTCTCAGAATGAACTTGTATTGTATAGTCATGAAACACTTGCCACTGGACATTAGACAAAAAAATAAATATCAACTATGTACAAATAGCCGTGTGCATGTACTGTTTACATAAGCGATAATATTTGTAACTGCATATTCATATAAGAACAAACTTTTTTTCTGTACATAGTTATTTTCATTAGCGTTCTTTGTTGCCGCTTTAAAAACACAACTTATCAGTTGTCTTTTGAACAGCACAAGCAAACATGCAACGTGAAAATAACTGTAGCAACCCACACCATTTCTCTTGACATTGACACAGGGATGTACCTGTTTTCATAATTACTATTTACCAGCACGTTTTTTGTTTTTATGAACTTGTATAATCAAAATAGATTCCTTACAGAGAATGCCCCAAACTTTACAGAGTTCTATTTGGATTACCAGTTTTCCTTTAAATGTCTAAAAAGTTCAAGAAATTAACTTTAAATAAATCACTCTTCAGTTAAGTACAACCATTGGTGAATAAAGACAACTAATTCTGCACACTGAACAAAGCATCACACACACAATCGTGTAAGCAGTATAGCCTAATTGGAGCCTTAACTTTCTTAATTCTCTGCTTTGGGACAGTTAAGTATCTTCATGTTAGTAATTCGACAAAACTTCACGAAGTACATTTTTTATGACAAAATGATTACAGTTAGATTGATATTCATGTTTTAGTCATACAAGATATGAGGTCTTTGTCTCTATCATTCTATGTGTTGTTTGAGTAAATATACAATGTATCCCACTATTTTCTCTAATACATGCCTACCAACCTACCTTGATAAATTGCATTACCTGTTCTTGGTCAATTGATGGACAGGGCCAAGTGAGTCCTAATGTATATATATAAAATGCACAATGGTGAAGGGGAATAGAAATATAGTCAGTTTGGTCTTCTTCCGACTGGCAGTAAACCCTTGCCTATATAGTTGGGCGTCCGTTTGGCTGTGCAGGATGTATGATTTTCAACTACAGTCAGACTATGGGCGTTAAATCAGATGCCTTGTGTAGAGAGAGTGACATGCTCTCTGCACGTTAAGAACAATAGCAACAACTCTTTGAGGGGCCATCGGTGGCCTGTTGTCTGAGCCTGTTGCAAGGCATAATTTCTGTCCCTTTCCAATATACTCTCATTGTCCAGTGGCTGTCCAAATTTCCTTGACCTTTTTTCATCCAAGACGGCCTCTATTACAGAACCTACCTATTGTATTTATTGTTATATTTTTTTCGTCCTGAACATGCATACATTTGCCACTGGAAGTTAAGCAAACATCAATAAATTAATTATTATATTAAAGTCTTTTAATTTAAAAAGATATAAAATGTTCTTCAATTATTCCATGTCGGGCTATTGGGGCGTCAGACTATTGGGGTGTCGGACCAATGTGGCGTCGGAATAATGGGCAGAGGTGGATTTAGGGGGGTGTGTGGGGCTGGGGCCCAGCCCCCCTTTTGTGGGAAAAATTTTGTTGATTATTTAGGGAATCACTGAAGCATGACTGAGAGGACCCCCTCTTATGGCAGTCAGTGGGCCCCCCTTATGAAAATTTCTGGATCCCCCACTGATGGGGTGTGGAAATAAAGGGGCTGCCCCTCAATTAGTTATACAGTTTTCAGGACATACAATTTTAGTTGTTGACTCCAGAGAAAACAGAAACTTAAGTCAGAGACTATTACCTTCTTTGACAAATCCACCATTATTACTGCACTGCATTATTGGTAGCATCATATTCTCCAGTATTACATAGTACTGTTCACAGGAATGTTGACTCTCTGTACATATACTTATATTCTTTGATATCAGATATGAATGTTCCCTTTCTAGGTAGTAGATAATCAATCTAAAAAAATAAAATGTGTGAGCCTTCTGTCAGGAAGACATGTGTCACCTGCAGTCTCCAAGAAATACAAGCTTCAATGGCTAACCCATGTTTTTGTATAGGAAATCCAAAACTCACTCAAGCAAAAATTAGGTGGAACTGCTTTAGTGGATAAGTCAATTGGTTTTCTATTTTAAATTGTTATACATTTTGTCATACTAGGGTCTTTTACAGCTAACTGCACCATCTAGGTTTTGCTCATTGTCTAAAGCCTGTATGGTTGCCTATAGTTGTTAACATTTTCTTCCTTTGGTCTTTTCTGGATAGTTGTCATGGCAATCATACCATATCACTTTATTATTTTTTTCTTCTTCATAAAACTTATATCTCCCCTCCATCTAAGAAGATATCCAGTAATGAAAGGGCACAACAAGCAAATTTCAATACTGGAAAGGTACCGTCATGGCAAATAAGAATATAAATGGTTAATAGGTTGGAGTCTAAACTGATTTCAATATATCTATTAATTTATGATATGAGGAGGATAGGGCATGACTCCCAATCCAATCTATTTTATGAAGACGTTCATTTATCATCCAGAATTAAGCCACATCATTTTGAAATTTTCATATAATCAAGAACCATATCTATTGAAGAGGAAATGTTAAAATGTTGAAAATAAAACTTGAACTATGTTTAGTGGTCCAAAACACTCCATTAATATTTGTATCCTGCTTGTGTATTGTTTCTAGATTAAACATCCATAAAACACCAAAATAATTCAAACAATCAAGGTCCATAACTCCAAAACTGTAATCACAAAAGAAAAAGACTAAAATCTAACTATTAAAACTAGTATTTAATGGTCCAAAACACTCTATGAATACTTAAATCAATATCATGAAGTAGTTCTCTGTTTATAATCTCCAAACCAGTGACAAAAGATGACCAGAGGTAAACCAGCACAGTCCTCCCTTACAGAGGGTAAACCAGCACAGTCCTCCCTTACAGAGGTAATAGACATCTATATAAGTGGAATGAACCAGAAAAATCAAACCAGTTTTTACAGTTATAACATTAATATTAATTAATTGTTATAGGACATAACCAACAGGTAAAGAGTGACTACTGGATAAAACTTAAACATAAGATTTTATTCTTATGTGTTGTTGGAACCAAATTAAAGCCAACCATAATGCAATGTCTAAATATGAAGAACCTCTGTATACATACTCTATGTTAGCAATTCCTGCTAAAGAAAACTGTTGAAGTTCACCTAAAATATACAAAATAATAAAATTTTATGACAACTGATTATATATTTGCATTCACATTAACATTTGTATAATACTAGCATCGCCTTTACAATGTATTTATTGGTAAAATGCAACTATGATAAGAGAGAGAAAATTGAACTAAAAGATATAACTAATGCATAAGTTTAGAATTCATTATTCAAAGGTTTAGAATTCATTATTCAAAAGGGATTGCAGTCAATTTATCTATTACAGAAATTATAAAAAATATTAATTACTTCTTTTCTGTTTCTAGATGAAATAGTACTAGTATATTGGATAGTCAAATGTCTCAAAATCATATATGATATGTATCACCCTAACCAATTTTCAATCTTAACTGACTAATGAAAGACATTTCACAAATTTTATATTCTTTTCAGGTTCAAAATACAAGTAAAATGCTGACACTGTCAACTGATGTTCTCTGAACTGCACATTCTTTTAGAAAAAACATTTTTATTTCAAGGGATCAAAATACTTGTATGCTTGGAGGGACAAATAAACATGTACTATACAATGTATTGAATACATCGCATCCGAAATCAATAGTCTTCTTCCCTTTATCTCAATCTGTATAAATTTCATTCCAATTAAGCAAGGAAAACTCGAGCTACCATCCACAAAACATCTTCCCCTTTTAATTTTTAATTTAAGTAACTTTGACCTTTGACCTATATTATTTGCATCTTTTCCTTCCCTTTATTTTCAATCTGTATAAATTTCATTCCAATCAAGCAAGAGAAATGCAACTTATCATCTGAAATCCATTTGCGTGGGACACAAGGACTAGGGACTGAGCATAAAAATTAAACTGCCTAATATTAACGAAATCATACATTAACCAACTGAAAAACAAATTAACATTGTTGTGTAGATTTTTTTATGAATAAAACTTACCAAAAGAAAATTCACTTATAGAAGTGTTAAACGCAAAGTCTTCAATGCCAATAGTAACAACATAAGAACATGGATCAATTAGAACTATGGTATGGAAGTCTCTGTTTAACTTGTTGGAATGGACACAACACTCAATACCAGTACATAATGCTGACAGATGACAAGGGATCTCAACCAAATCCAGATCTGATACATTCAAAGGACATGCTGCAAAACAATATTACATCTCATCTTTGAATTACAATTATCAATGTTATCAAATAACATATCTGCATGACTATGGCTGTATCTTTTAAAAATATAATGAAGAACCAACTAGTTTTCTTTACATTGATTACAAAATTTTAGGTTCACAATATGTCAGATGGAAATATAAAAATCAGTTCTCCTGTTATGACATATTATATTGATAAATTAATAATACATTGTACTATAAATACCATTTGTGAAAATTGAGTGTTTGAACTTTGAAATATTTTCCCCACATTGATCATCCTGTAAATATGGAGCTATGCCAGTATCTTCAAACAGTAGTAGCTGTCCATAAACTGGCAGTGGTAGAGACATATTTTCTTTCTCCAGCCAGTTTGTTAGGGAAAAGTCTGAAAAAAAAATTGCTTTTAATGTTCTATGCTTTAAATTTAAGGTTTTGAGAAATCCAGCACCAAGTAAAACAAGCAAAACTTTTCAAGGCAGTAAATAAAATGAAGTGTTATTGATCAGGTGCATTTCAATATATTATCTTAGAATGTTTGACACAAACTGGCCAAATCAATAACTTAAGAATTTTCAAAATATTTAGTTTCCAATAGTTTACTACAAGCTGTGATTTTACTGGTTTTAGGCTTGGGAATGGACTATTATAGGATTTCAATATTTTGCAACAGAAAAATCCCAAAATTGTTCAGACAAAGAAAAAAAAAACAAAGAAAAAAAAACAATCATAGGGATACAAAGCATAAGGCCTTCAACCAAGAAAAGTTTGGCGTATTCCACAAAAATCCATCTATATATTAAATAAATGGAGAATGTGTCCATGGGACACAGATGATGCCCCACTTGCATATAACATTATAAAGGGACACAACTCAAGAACAGTAAAAGTGACGCAACCCAAATTGGAACTTGATTTGTGTTTTGTGGTAATAAGCATTGTGAATAAGTTTCAGAACAGAAACTAATTTTGGGACAGACAGACAGACAAGGGTAGCACTTAATGCCCCCTCTGCTATGGTGGAGGCATAAAAAAGACCTGAAAAACAACAATAACTTACTTGATATATAATAGCTGTTATCCCATGCACACAAAGCCTTGGTAAGCCAAGTGTTATCAAGTATCTGTGTTGACACATGACAAGATTTGTTGTTTTCAAAACAAATGCTCATGTTTAGGCTCACTAAGAACTTGTTCTCTCCACTGAAATCATCTATCTTATAAGACAGACGCAAAACACCAGCAAGCCAGAAATCTTCCTGTTTACCTTAAAAAAATAAAAATAAATATATAATAACAAGAATTACATTTCAATGTCCCTGTTAGTCGATTAAATAACATTTAAGTTAAAAAACAGAAATGGTTAAACTGGATTTCTTACATAATACAGCCATGTTAAATTTAAAATCATTATATAAAATCTACAGCGGATACCATGGAAATCTGCAACAAACCAGTGTACAATCATTGTTGTTCTTCAATTAACCATATCAAATATCAGTCAAGATCAGGGCTTCCAAAATTATTTTTAGCCAGCCGGACATTTTATATATTATCCCGATTTTAATCCCTTAAGACTAAATAAATAAAAGGCAATTATGGTAATCAGTTGCCCATCCCAATGATTGACATTAAAAAAAAACGATATTAAACTTTCTTTGATTCAAATTCGAAGTTCTGACGTAAACTGTTAAATTGGCAGTGCATCATTCGAAGTGTGCAACATCAGCGTACTTATATCTGCTTAGACTCTTTATTTGTGCAAAATAACGTTGTCAAAAACTTTACTTTCGTTTTTAAATCTAAACCAGATGTTATCTTGACAATGGTAAAACATGGACCAGAGACGGATACGTAAATTCCGTGTACGTTCGCAAAGCATGAATGAGTGTAAGTAGCTCTTTCTACGTTATTTCTTCAAGAATATATTCGAAATAAACGTGAGATAAAGGTATCAATGACAATTTAAGCATTTTTTGAAGAAATTAGGTTGCATAATTAAATTTCACACCTGCGCACACGTGTACTAGTTCAAACAGAGACATGTCTCTGGTTCAAACAACGTGGTTATGACGATTTTTCATTTTCACCTTTTTAATTTTTTCATCAAATCATATTTGTAAACGTATGTCTGATAATTTAAATCTTTTTAACTAAATTAATTAGATACAAACCGCTTAAATGTAAGAAAATAACTTTGAATAGACCGATCAATGTTAGGTTCAAAATAGTTTACCTGTCACCTGAACAGGTAAATTTCAGCTGTTCGACAACTAATTAGCCTTGATTAAAATGAGAAGGTATTAAAGTAGGGGTTGTTTTGATAGTACTTAATTATCATGTCACTTTTATGACCGGAAATGTGTGGCTGTTAAAGGCAAAATGTTGGGTCAAAAAGATCGCGAATTATGTTAAAATGACCGTTTCTTAAGCCTTGAAAATTAAAAAGTAGATGTCCGTTTCATGCTTTGCCCAGCCGGACTTTTACCGGACATTATACAATGTCCGGAATATATGACCGTTTTGGAAGCCTTGGTCAAGATGTGATGTGTTCCAATCAAGTACAAAGGATTAGTTTTTACAGAAAAAGAGTTTTAAAAATATATTCATATAACATACCCCATTGATAGTCACTGAATGAAATGTTTCTGTGAAACCTTTCAGTGCCCACTGTGATGATTTGTTTACAAGAATCTATATTTAAGTAGGTATGGAAGGAGTATGGAATAAAGTCTACATCTACACAACATTCCACTTTGGTACAACTTGTATCTAAGGAGCATGTGGTTGGTTCTGGAATCTGTGAAAGGGTGATACTGTTTGTACATCCTGGAATAAATAAATTAAAATTGAAAATTTAACAACATTTCTGCATAGTTCACTATGTTGAGCAGGTAGATTTTAATTTTTTTCAAGATTTGTAATTTTCCAAGTTAAAAAGGGGCATAACTCTAGAATGGTAAATGGTGTGTTATCTAGGGTAATTAGTCTTCAACCTCTGAAAATTTTTAGTCTGCCCTTCCACAAAATATTTAATTAGAATTTTTTTAAATATTTTTGAACTTTCGAAAATTCCCCCTGACAACCGATCAGACAATAGTTTTAAGTTGACCAAATGGATAAAAGTACATTAAATAATGCTCAATAGCTAGTATATACAGTTGTCTTTTAAAATACGACAGGCATATATAGATCGTAATGATACTATGTGGATAAATTTATCGGTTTTCAAGAGCTAAATTGACAGCGCGTCATCACTACAATGGCTTCCATTTTTACGATTATAAAAATTAGGTGGCGTAATGGGGAGATAATTTTGACGAAGGGGAATCCTGACTGTGTAAAGGGGCATAATTCTAGAACTGTAAGTGACTCACTGCCCAAATTCGAACTCTGTCTGAATGTTGTGGATCGTAGCAGTATGGATGAGTTTCATAAAATTTGGATGAGAAAAACTTATGTTAGAGTGTGGAAATGAAAAGATTTACAATTTTCCAAGTTATAAAGGGACATAACTCTAGAACGGTAAGTGACTCTCTGCCCAAATTCGGACTCTGTCTGCAGGTTTTGGTTCTTAGCATTGTGTTTGAGTATCATAAAATTTGCATGAAGCAAACTTAAGTTAGATGGCAGAAACCAAAATGAGAGGGACGAAAGGGTATCACTTATTGCCCCAGTTGCCTAGGCGGGGGCATAAAAATTTACAATCAAATATATACAAATACGGAATATAAATTGTTTACCTTTATTCCAACCAAGGGAACTTGGGTAAAATGGTGATGAATGTCTTGAACATTGTTCAACATGTAGGTATGATGAAATTCCTAAGTCATTTAGTAGTTCAGAAATCATCCAATCTTGTAACTGTGATCCAGGAGCCATTAAATGCTGATGATACCAACTCTCCAAAGAGAATCCTATAAAACAGATGTTAGTCTTGACATATCTTCAAGTATAATATGATGTTTTATTCTGAACTCAGTTAAATAAAGTTTGACAATGAAATTAATTTAAAACACAGCTGGCAACAGTTACAAAATAAAGTTCAAACAAAGTGACAGCCATTTTATGTCAAAACCATACCTTATACTGACTTGTGCTGAACAATTCAGCATACCTTAAATTGCATATTAAAACCCACTGGTGGCCAGAAGTTTTGTAGCACAAAAACAGGTATTTCTGATCTAAGGGAAAATATGCCCTCCTATTTCAAACTTTCAACAATGGTTCTACAGTGATCCCCAGTCCATAAGCTTATTTTTGATAGGAAAATTACCCAAGTATTTTACTTATTTACAAAGTTACAGCTATGTGTAGGAACTATTTTGTTTAAAATATGTACTATTTCATGTTCTTTCTAACTGGGCCCAAATTAGGGGTTCTTTACCAAGAACAATGGCCAATGCATATAGTTTGACTGAAGACTTGGTGTTGAATTATAGGTGTTTGAGTCAAGAAAGTGTGAGAAATTGAAATAATTCATCTATCCTCTGTAAAATATTATCAAAAAGTTGCTTTTTATAAACATTTTTATTTTAATACCTGGAGTTCTGAACCCACTTCTCCATTCACACTGCTGTTTTGGTAATTTAATGTTTTGTAGAATGGTGTACTTTTCATCACATTGAGACTCTGTACTCTCATAACAAAACCTAATTCTCATATTTACAAGGTAATACCTCTCTGTGTACAGGTCTTCTATGCTGTATCTGTAAAAAAACATTTTGTGGTTTGTAGATTGGACACCCCAGATCATTTTTCCATATTATACTTAATAAATTCCATGTACAATGTTTAACTAAAATCCATAAGACCATTATCTTAATGTAATGAAGCTTTCTATATTTTCATGGACTATTTCATTACACCTTCAGCAACCATGCATGTTGAAGGCAGGAATTATTTAAAAAATAAAAATGAAAAACATAAAATTATTGGAACTAAAATAGAAATAGATGTACTCAATAAATATGCCTCTGAATTGTAGCAATTTTTCATGTTAATATTTAAATGACTCTCAAAGTAAATACATTTACTTACTCAACTCGTACTATTCCTTGTAAGCTAAAGGAATAATGAGCACCTGACATAAAAAAGATAAAAGAAATCAGCTAACAAATCTCATAAAAGGACTTCTACAACTTAATAAATATCACTAGATTAAAAAATATATGGTAAATTCAGAAATTATTGTAAGCATTTATCAATGCGATTATATGTATATTTGTATCCGATACCAGAATGCCAGTTCTTATTATTGCAATAATCGCCCAATCCAAGTAGTTGCAATAATAAAAACCTCACAATAAGTTCTGAATTTACAGTAACTAGAACTTTAATCTATGTTGTAAGAACAAGATATGCCTGTCACCAAGCAATCATTATAAAGTTTCAAGTAAACAATTGGAAAAGTTATACAAAAGTGAAAATATTTATAAATAAAAATTTAAGTTTGGGTTTTGCTCATTGTTGAAGACAATATTGTGACCTATAGATGCTTACAATCCACATCGTTTTGTCTCTGGCGGATATTTGTCTAATTGGTAATCATAACACCTCTGGCAGATATTTGTCTAATTGGCAATCATAATACATCTCCTTATTTTTATATTAGTTTCAATTACAAACCAGTGGGGTGGGGATGTTATCCTAAAATAAAAACACTTAAGATTATTTCATTAACCATTGATCCTACTTATATTGTTTTCTCATATGCCCTGTTTAAAAAAAAAAACAGTTATCATAATTGTTTGGCAGGTTTATAGGATATGCACTTATAATTTAACTGAAAAATGTGTATGTAGACAAGATTCAGTCTGTCCAGGCATTGAGACATAGTTGACAGGGTATACATGTAATGGGATGACAAAATAATTCAAAGGCCATATAACCCACTTTACCAGTGAATAACATTCAGCTTTTAACACAATACAGATGAGTATCTTACCCCATTGGAAATCCAGTAAAGTGTCATTGTACTGTACTTTCTCTATACTAATACTTATTCTTTTAGAACAGCTGTCCAAAAGAAATGAGATTTCAAATGTCTGTTGTAACAAAGTATTGAAGACACAACACTGAATCCCTGTGCAGGTATCTGTGATATAGCAGGAAACTTCAGCTGGTAACTCCATTAAAGTCATGTTCATAGCACAATCTACAAAAATAAACAACACTGTGAAAGTACTTGTATTCATGGTTTACATTTTTAGCTGCGGCAAATTGAATGCTTCTTCCTGTAATTTGATAAAAGAACGGCAATCATATCTATACAACAGCTGTGGAGTAGGGCCTAACTATCCTTTATTAAAACAAACAAGTTATTTTGGTATTCAAAGTACATTCAAAATACATTGAGTCAAAACTGATGCACTATCCAATTTCAGGAAAGTGTAACTTTCCTAGAGTATTAATTTTTATTTAGTTTAGTTTTGGATTTTCCCCTCCAAATATTTTCCCCTGTTCATCTTAATAGGTATGAAGCTGGTTGATAGATACAGTAAATTCAGAAATGATTGCAAGGTTTTAATACTGGGTGAGTATCTCAAATCAATAATAAGAACTCACATTCTAATATCTGATACATATATTTGTATGCAGATTTTCCTGAAATCGCAATAATTAATCTTGCATTTCTGTCCATTCTTAGAAAATAGCAATAATAAATGCACACAATTATTTCTGAATTTACAGTAGTACTAGAGTAACAGAACTGAATAGATGTTTACATTTTCAGTGATTCTATAGCTGACTAGCTAACATATACTAGCTATGTAATTGATTCAATTCATCCATTTAAATGAAATTCCTTTTGTTTGCAGTTTACTTGTGAATTATTAAATAAAAGAATAATTAACACATACCTTTAGTCCAGCTACTGTTTGATCTTGAGCATTTATTATCTAGAAAGTAATGTCCTATATTTGTCTCTTCGTACAGTTGATATAAAATATTCCATGGAAGAGAATCTACAATTTTATAATGTTTCTTCTCTAGCCAGTCAGTCAGTGAAAAATCTGCAATAAAAAGAGAATGAAATTGAATAAAAAAAATGGGGAATGTGTCCATGGGACACAGATGATGCCCCCGCTTGCATATCATATAAATTTATAAAGGGACATAAATGAAGAAGGGTTAAAGTGATGCTACCTAAATTTGTACTTGATCTGAGTTTTGTGGTAATAAGTATTATGTATAAGTTTCATAACATTTGGTTGAGGCAAACTTAAGTTAGAGAACGGAAACGAAAAATTCAGCAATTTTTCCATTTGTAAAGGGGCATAACTCTAGAACAGTACCACCAAAATTCAAACTTGATCTGTATTTTGTGTTAATAAGCATTGTGTATAAGTTTCATAACATTTGGTTGAGGCTAACTTAAGTTAGAGAACAGAAACGAAAAATTCAGCAATTTTTCCATTTGTAAAGGGGCATAACTCTAGAACGGTAAAGTGACACCACCAACGCTACGGCGGGGGCATAAAAAACACAAAGGAAATACATTAGACACTTCTGACATTAGAGGCAATCTCCATGAAAGTCCACCTTACATGTCCTGTATTTAGGTTATATTAGTGAATCATTTTCTCTAGTCTCGAAAGTAATGAAACAAACAAGAATATATAACATTATGTATTAATAAGCATATGTGCTTTGGTTGTGAATAGTAAACATGCAACATTAAACTACGGTTTAAGATATAGGTTCCAACTTGTGGTGGTGAACAAAATAACAAACCATGTATCATAAAAATTAAAGAAATTTCTCAGGTACATGTAAAGCGAATTCCTGTTATATTTCATTTGAATAAATTATCTGGACGTACAAAAGCATAATGTGCATGCTTTTTTGATTTTCATGAAGGATTGTGTTTCTTTCCAATAATTTTCTTCAAAAACAAGAATTGTAACACAAATTGTTTTTTTAAATTTATTCTAAAATGGGTAAAGAAATAAAGCTATATAAAACTAGAGGTTCTAAAGAGCCTGTTTCGCTCACCTTGGTCTAAATGCATATTCAACAATGGACACTCTCCAACATTGTAGACGAGAATAAAATTCATGACAAAAATCTCTGTTTTGTTGATCTTGTATTGCTGATCATTTAGTCTGTTTAATTTCTCTCTATCTTCTTTAGTTTGTGTTCAAAACACAAAAGAGGGTAAAAAGTAAAAAAAAAAAATCCTCATTTAAGGGCAATCACTCCTATAAAGAGTGAGTCTACAAACTATATCGGCAAAATTTGACTTGTTAGTAGATCTTGCCTAGCTGATAATTTTTGTGATTTATAGTATCTATTTATCTATTATAATTTTTATCATATAAGGCTTAACGCAAAAATAATGGTAAAAATCGTCATAAAAGGGCAAGAACTCCAATAAGGAGTCTCTCGATTTCCTCCATATTATCTTAGCTGTAGATCTTGTCTTGCTGATTATTCTTGATTATTTAAGTTTGTATCTATCTATGACAGTTTTTACGATATAAGGCAAAAACGCAAAAAATTGGTAAAAATCGTCATCAAAGGGCAATAACTCTAATAAGGAGTCGACTGACAATTTCAACCATGTTAAGACTTATTTATAGAACTTGTCTTGCTGATCATTTTGCAATTTAAAATTTCTCTCTATCTATTATAGTTTAAAGATAATAGGCAAAAATGAAAGAAATGGTAAAATTTGTCATTTAAGGGCAATAACTCCTATAAGAAGTCGTCTGACAGTTTTGACATATATGAACAATTGGTAGAGCTCAACATTCTAAATATTTTTGCTCCTGTCAGATCCTCTATTTGTAAAAATTTTTAACGGTTTTCAAAATAACAGACAAAACTTGCATTATACCACTATGTTCTATTTTTAGCCTTGTCTGCCATCTTGGTTGGCAGGTGAGGTCTTCTGACACATTTTTTAAACTAGATCCAATGATGATTATGGCCAAGTTTGGTTAAATTTGGGCCAGCAGTTTCAGAGAAGATTTTTGTAAAAGTTAAGAGACTATGCTGGACACCAAGTGATGAGAAAAGCTAAAAATGTACAACTACAAACAAATTTAAATAATTTTAAAACTTTTGAAGTGAAATAATAATTCTTGCATTTAATCCATTTTGCATAAATGTGCAATAATCAAAGGTGTAAAATAAGATCAATTTGATTATTTTCACACTAAAAATGTTCGATTATAAAAATTAAATTTTCACTGCATTCTTAATCTAAACTGCTGAAGTAAAAAAAAACATTGGACACCTGTTTTTTTACGCCCCTTGCTCTCAATTCAATGCAATGGGAGACAAAAAAAATTATCATAAAAGCAACCTCATCCTCAACCCTCCCCAAAAAATCAACAAAAAAAACACGTTCACAAAAATGTACACATACTTGCAATATAAAAATCAGATGTCCAATCACAGGCTGCTTTTGGAAGAAGGTCGTTGTTCATTATAACACTATATACTGGTTCACTTCTTGCATCAAAATTAGTTGATGCATTTAGGCTGATAAGATATAATTTTTCTTCATACAAATTTTCAATTAAGAACCTGTGAAAAAGAAAAGAAAAGACAAAATCGTAAATATGCCTATGAACCACAACCAAGCACGACTAACTGTTTGCACACATTTCTATAGTCACCAAACAGTTGGATTGCTGTGTGAACCGTTTTATGAAGGTCTTTTATAGTATTACTGTACTATATTATCATTATTTTAGCATTAATCCATTTTATTTGATGTGTTAGACATGAAAAAAAAAAAACCCCAAAACATGCAAAATTTTATTCTAACATGGTTAAAAATGTTGCATAACCAATTCAAATTTATCCAAACATTATTAAAAGATATCAAGAGTGTTTTGCTTTACTCAAAAGAGATCTTCTAAATGAAGAGATTGCAATTACGATTTACCCTCTATTGAAAAGTCCTTAAAACTGACTTAGTTAATTCCTCAAATAACATTAAATCTCCTATCTGAAAGACCAAAAACTGAAACTGACTGACAATACAAATGAAAATAACAGTTAAAAAATATTATTATTGGTCAAATACCAAGATTGATTTTTCTGATGAAAATGGACCAATAATTAAGTAGAGCCTTGCCCTCAATTTGCTTTAATCCTCTTAAACTAAATTCAAAAACTTACGATATCTGCATAACACCATACAGATCTAAAACTTTCTGCGATCCTAAAAAAATAAAAATGAAAATGGTTTGTACAAATTAAAAAGGATTTATTCACAAAGGAGGAGGTTCACTAAGGGCTTAAAATGGCCCAGGCAAAAAATACTACAAATTTCACTTAAAGAAAGTTGAGATATTACTATTATTACAAAATAACTTCTTATTGTCACCTCACATTAAAAATTACGAAGTAATGACCACTTAGTTATGCCTTATTTGTGTCGAAACGTCAGTTTTGGTTCTTTTTTTCACAAACTCACATGCAGTATTTGATTTACATTTAAAAAAAATCAACCATCCAGACATTTGATGTACAAAAACGCTGCATTTTATTTTATTCTAAAATGTGAATATGAAAAGATGATTTGATTTTTGGTGTTTTAACGCCACTTTTAAGCACCGCTTTTGGGCTATTTCGTGGCGGCCAGTTTTTATTGGTGGAGGAAGCCGGAGTGCCCGGAGAAAACCACGACCTTTGATAGGAAAACTGACAATCCTAGTCAATTAAAATTGCAGTCAAGTGCACCTGCACGAGCGGGGTTCGAACTCACAACCTCAGTGTTGACTGGCTAGTGATTACAGTAGTAACTACTTAGACCACTCGGCCACCGAGGCCCCGTTGAAAAGATGACGAATAGTTCAAAGCACACAAAATTAACCTATAAATAAAAACTTAAGCAATGACAGAAATGACTTGATTTGATATTATTGATTGTTGTTTGCTTTATTCCCAGTGGAAAATATTTCAGGTATGCTCAGAACCAGAACAAATTAACAATAAATACATAATCGATTAATTGCAGTTTGCTTAAAATCCAGTAGGAAATATTACATGAATTTTTGGTACTTGAACAAATCAAAGTGCTGGATAGCACCTGTGGAAAGTTTGCAACGGTAGATGTGTAATATTTCAAATAGGTTGTAAATGTGTAGATTGGGTGTTTAACTTTTTTTTCTGACTTTAAAAAAAAATTACTTAATACAAGAAATAATTGTAACATGATGCTGTTACGAAGTCTCCCATAATTAGTCATTCCCAGGAAGGGAGAGGGAGTGACCCCAGGGGAATCGCCTTTTATTTCATTTGATTTGTTTTATTGTCCCATACAAGAATATATATGGTTTAAGGGTGGGGATCTCGACCGTTTACAAGTTTTCAAAAAGAAGGGGGGTGGGTTGACCCCTGTGGACTTCCTCTATATTTCATTTGATCTGTTTTATTGTCCCATTCAAGAATATATATGGTTTATGGGTGGGGATCTCAACCGTTTACAAGTTCTTAAACAGGAAGGGGGTGGGAGTGACCCCAGGGGACTCACCTTTTATTTCATTTGATTTGTTTTATTGTCCCGTACAAGAATATATATGGTTTCAGGGTCGGGATCTTGACCGTTTACAAGTTCCCAAAACAGGATGGGGTGGGGGTGACACCCAGGGACTCCCCCTATATTTCATTTGACTTGTTTTAATGTCCCATACAAGAATATATATGGTTTAGGGGTGGGGATCTCAACCGTTTACAAGTTCTCAAACAGGAGGGGTGGGGCTGATCCAGAGGGACTCCCGCTATATTTCATTTGATTTGTTTTATGATCCTGTGATCATTACTGAAAACCGTGTGTGTTTATCACTAACTGTTTTCAAGTTATAGTCATTTGAAAATTAAAAAAAAATAAATCCCATAGGGTTCTATAGTAAATCCCTCCCTTCTGTTGGCCACTCAAAATAACCCTAAATAGACCTCAAGAAGAAAAATAATAAGAATGAGCAAAACAATAAGTCTCCAAACTTTGTTTGGGAGACTTAACAGCAAGTGGTATAATTACGAATTTTGTTATAGTCCGATTTTCTGATGCCGATTATGTAATAGGCCGAGTTTATTATAGTCCGAGTTTGTTGTGGGCCGAGATGAGATACCGGGATACTTTCGATACATTCAGGCTTTTACGTCTTTAATAACATTGTAAAAATCGTAGTAAGCGTCGAAAAATGTTCATTCATGAAATATTTTAAACACTGTATTTATTTTCTCTTCAACCGGAGGACGGGAGGAAACCCCTGAAACCGGGATTATAGTACTCCCGTTGATATAGATCTCACGCATGTCTGGGGAATACCGATAAAAGCATAATGTAGAAACTTCTGTCTCGTGTAGATGTGTATTGATTTTACTTACCGCGCAGCGCAGATCCGCGAAGTAGTGTTTGTGATAGCTATAGCTTCAAAATGAAGTTGAATTATTTGAATTATCAATGAACATTCAGTACATTTTAATTCAAACTGTAAGCTAATCAAAATAGAAGTAACTCAAAATTTCAAAAGCATCTTCCTAGAATTAGTTGTCAAACGCCAGTACTACATTATCTAGGAGTGGAACACACATCCTAAAGTAAGATAGTCTGTCACTTCCGATTTGAGGCCAATGCCTTAGGAAAGTTTTTGTTATAGCAAACTTTCCAAAAACAATAAATACAATAGGTAGGTCCTGTAATAGTGGTCTATTTTGATATGATTAAAGCTTCCGATTTTGGTATTGAAAGTGATTAGACTTTATAGGTTTAAGTTTCGATGAGACCTGCTATACATTTTGTTTACTTAAAGTAGCATGCACAAAATTACCGTCTAGTATCATAAATAACATGTCTAGATCAAACTCAATTGGGGCGATTTGCTGTATTATTTTGGCTTGGAAGATAAATATTGGATTAAGTCTGTAATGTATTTCACATTAAAAAGATATTTCTATCAAACACTAGACTGACTTACAATTTTTAAAGTGTTAATTTGGATCCCTTAGTAGGGTGACCTGCATTCAACAGGTTTTTTTCTTGTCCATCTTTTACAACGTGCAGGGAATCCCAAAAAAGAGGTATAGATTTTGTGTGGGCCAAAAATACATCCTTAATAAAATAGAGAATGGAAATGGGGAATATGTCAAAGAGACAACAACCCGACCAAAGAGCAGACAACAGCCGAAGGCCACCAATGGGTCTTCAACGCAGCGAGAAATTCCCGCACCGGAGGTGGTCCTCAGCTGGCCCCTAAATAAAATTGTGTACTAGTTCAGTGAAAATGGAAGTCACACTAAACTACAAAACATAAAAATGAACTAAAATAAAAAAAAACATACAAGACTAACAAAGGCCAGAGGCTCCTGACTTGGGACAGGCGCAAAAAAGAGGCGGGGTTAAACATGTTTTGTGAGATCTCAACCCTCCCCCTATACCTCTAGCCAATGTAGAATAAAGAAACATATAGCAATACGCACAGTAAAACTCAGTTCAAAAGAAGTCCAAGTCCGATGTCAGAATAGGTAACAAAAGAAACTAAGCAAAATGACAATGATACATAAATGAACAAAGGACTACTAGCAGTTACTGACATGCCAGCTCCAGACCTCAATTAAACTGATTGAAGGATAATGTCTTCATCATATGAAAATCAAGTACAATCCCTCCCATAAGGGGTTTAGTATCATACCATCATAAAATATATGAGAAGAACATAACCTGTATCATGCCAATAACTGGTTTTAGAATAAATGTGTTTATTTCCAATGCAAAGACCCTATGAGTGAATCAATATTAATACCAAAATATGCAATCCTTAATGACTTGACAACAGTATCGTAACTATATCCTTTCCGAATAAGTCTGTTTAAAGGTTTGGTTAGCTTTTGAGGTGAATGCCGACATTTTTGTGCTTTGAGAAGAATATTACCATAAAATATTGGATGTGAAATATAGTTGACACATAAAAATAAATGCACTAATCTTTAAAACTATATGAAATCAAACAGTTTCACTTTTATGTTTGTGAATTAAGCTTACCCCACACATAATCATACAATGTAACATCAAAGCTCAATTTCTCTATCCTGACTGTCAACCTGAAGTTATATGGATCAATCAGACTTACCCCACACAATCATACAATGTAACATCAAAGCTCAATTTCTCTATCCCCACTGTCAACCTGAAGTCACATGGATCAATCAGACTTACCCCACACAATCATACAATGTAACATCAAAGCTCAATTTCTCTATCCTGACTGTCAACCTGAAGTTATATGGATCAATCAGACTTACCCCACACATAATCATACAATGTAACATCAAAGCTCAATTTCTCTATCCTGACTGTCAACCTGAAGTCACATGGATCAATCAGACTTACCCCATACATAATAATACAATGTAACATCAAAGCTCAATTTCTCTATCCTGACTGTCAACCTGAAGTCACATGGATCAATCAGACTTACCCCACACAATCATACAATGTAACATCAAAGCTCAATTTCTCTATCCTGACTGTCAACCTGAAGTTATATGGATCAATCAGACTTACCCCATACATAATAATACAATGTAACATCAAAGCTCAATTTCTCTATCCTGACTGTTAACCTGAAGTCACATGGATCAATCAGACTTACCCCACAGATAGTCATACAATGTAACATCAAAGCTCAATTTCTCTATCCCCACTGTCAACCTGAAGTCACATGGATCAATCAGACTTACCCCATACATAATCATACAATGTAACGTCAAAGCTCAATTTCTCTATCCTGACTGTCAACCTGAAGTCACATGGATCAATCAGACTTACCCCACAGATAGTCATACAATGTAACATCAAAGCTCAATTTCTCTATCCCCACTGTCAACCTGAAGTCACATGGATCAATCAGACTTACCCCACAGATAGTCATACAATGTAACATCAAAGCTCAATTTCTCTATCCCCACTGTCAACCTGAAGTCACATGGATCAATCAGACTTACCCCACACATAATCATACAATGTAACGTCAAAGCTCAATTTCTCTATCCTGACTGTCAACCTGAAGTTATATGGATCAATCAGACTTACCCCACACATAATCATACAATGTAACATCAAAGCTCAATTTCTCTATCCTGACTGTTAACCTGAAGTCACATGGATCAATCAGACTTACCCCACACATAATCATACAATGTAACGTCAAAGCTCAATTTCTCTATCCTGACTGTCAACCTGAAGTTATATGGATCAATCAGACTTACCCCACACATAGTCATACAATGTAACGTCAAAGCTTAATTTCTCTATCCTGACTGTCAACCTGAAGTCACATGGATCAATCTTAATTCCTATCTCTAAAGACTTTCCAAGTTCGTTGACATCCATACAACACTGAACTGCTGTACAGGACTGATCAATGTAACAGTTCATATTACTCAGGAGTGATGGTAGATTCCTCATCTCTTGTGGACAATCTATAAAAAAAATTCTAAACATAAAGATATATACTAATATATTAAATGGTCAATTCTACAGACATCATAAGTTGTTTTTTTAGAATGCATATAATGTACCAACACATTATTTGAAAAGATTTGGATTAGAAATAATTTAAAAATCAACACCACCTTTGACTAAGAAAAAGCCAAATTTGTTGTCTCTTATTTTATATGCAATTTGAACTATTTCTGACTAGCTTGATAAATTCTGATAAACAACAAGCCGATTAAATTTGTCTCATGCTATAACCCTCCATATATATTGGAAACATTGCTTTTGCCATTAACTCATAACAGCAACTGTTGATCATCGACTACAATATATTTATTTACTCTGGAAAGTTTAATATTCGAATTTTAAAATGCATGGAAGCATTCTATTTTAGTGTTTGAAAATGTGACTATGGTGAGTGAATAAAAATCATAATAATCAGCTGTCTGGTAGAATATATATTAATGAGTGATGCGGTAGAATATATATGACACAAGCTGGTGATATGTACAAATACCATGCAAAAATTTAGAACAAGTGAAACTATAGATGACTTATATAAACCCTGAAACCAATTTCAGAAATCCTTGTATTGTAGTTCCTGAGAAAAATGTGACGAAAATTTTCAACTTCGCTATCATGTGTAAAATGATACAAGTGTTCGGTAAACAGGCATCACACAGTATAGCTGACTTATATTAACCCTGAAACCAAATTTCAGAAATCTTTGTAATGTAGTTCCTGAGAAAGATGCGACGAAAATATTAATAGGACGGATGGTTGGACTGACGGACAGATGGACTGACGGATGGATGGACAGACAGACAGAGGTAAAACGGTGTAATAAAGCTGGGTAATAATTAAATTTTTTTTAGATCCAAATTTTCTGTTTTTAGAAACACTATCTATCATATATGTAGCTTTTCAGCATCTCTGTAATTCTTAATGGAAATAACAGTATATTGATCTGTAATGTTTGTAGCCATTAGACAATTACAGCCTTTTTACAAATGGAGGTAGGTCATCACAAATAAAAGCTCTCTACAGAAATTAAACTAGTTAAAAGATAATAATTTTTCTATAGTTACCTGATCTCCATCCATTGGTTGGTGGAACATATGGCCAGCTGTATCTCTGACAAGGACTGTCCAGAAGGAATGGAGCTATTCCTAGTATTTCTTCAAGCTTTCTAATCTCTACCACAGTGAGTGATTGTGATGGCTCAATTCCTACTGATGACTTCCATGAGGATAAAGAAAAATCTTCAAATATAAAGAAATTGGGTTATTTTAGACTTATATCAAATCTGTACATACATGTACAACATACAATGTAATAATGTACTTTTAAAAACTGTAACCCTGTAAGAGGTAAAAAAAATAACTTCTCGAGCTCACTGTGATTTACACGTCAAAATACATCCAAAATAATTAAACACATGAAAAAAATTGTAGAATTTAAGCAGATATATTTAATATTAGTAAAAGGCATAGATGAGTCATATTATAACTTATATGAAAGGAAATTTGACTGGTTGGTGCATTTTTTTTAACGTCTAATTACTGCTCCCATCCTATGTCACAAATGTAAATTTAGCACAGCTATCTTAGAAATGAAGAAAACTTGTGTCCACTGAGGGTATTTTTAGAAACTATGATTTTCTCTTAAACTTAGTTGCTGCAGTTGGGATCCATGAGTATAAGCCAGCAGCTGCTGCTTCTTCTCCCATGCTCTCTTTATTAATGTACGGGAAAAAGCATCCATTTAGAACATACATGTAACTGTTTTTTTTACAGATTATTAGTTCAATAACAAATACAAAGAAACCTACTTGAATTTTTAAATCCTGTCTGCCACTTGCATGGTTTTTTCGTCAGTTTAGTATTATTGAAGATAATCTGATCAAACAAACAAGGCTTGGAAGATTCAAAACAAATACTGACATTCATATTGACCAAGTAAGTACCATCACTCTCCAGATCATATATCAAAAAGCTGGTGAAAATAAATTAAAAAAAAGTAAATAAACTGCAGGACTGGTGAATAAAAAGGACCAAAAATTTGTATTTCATAGAAAAAAAAGTATCCAATAGATATAAGAAGATGTGGTATGAGTGCCAATGAGACAACTCTCCATCCAAGTCAAAATTTATAAAAGTAAACCGTTATAGGTCACAGTACGGTCTTCAACACGGAGCCTTGGCTCACACCGAAAAGTAAGCTATAAAGGGCCCCAAAAAATTACTAGTGAAAAACCATTCAAACGGGAAAACCAACGGCCTAATCTATATAAAAAATTTGTAAGGGTTCCGCCGAACCCAGTGTCTCGCCTACTTTTGCTGTTAATCGCAGGCTCAACAAAAATAAGGAGAAAAATTAATAAAATATATTCCTCTCCATACTATCTTTTGATTGTAAGTAGCTTCTGTCCAAGTTTGGTAAAAATCCAGGATAGTTTATGATTCTAAAAAATGTTTTAAAAACTTAAAACTGCAGACTGTATGTAATGTTAACTGGAAGAAAAAACGAAGTCCATTTATAAGTAAAATACGGAAAAAATTGAACAAGATTTTAACAAAATTTCCTTCTAGATACTAGCTTTTGATCATGAACAAGCTTCTGTCCATGTTTGGTACAAATCCAAGATAGTTTAAGAAAGTTATTAAAATTTCAAAAACTTTAACCACAGAGTGAATGTAATGTAAACTGGCAGAAAAACTAAGTCCATTTATAAGTAAAATATGGAAAAAATGGATTTTTTTTTTACAAAATTTACTTTTGAATATTATCTTATGATCATAAACAAGCTTCTGTCCAAGTTTGGTAGAAATCTAGGATAGTTTGAGAGTGTTATTAAAATTTCAAAAACTTTAACCACAGAGTGAATATTTGTGGACGCCGCCGACGCTGACGGAATGTAGGATCGCTATGTCTCACCTTTTCGACAAAAGTCGAAGGCTCGACAAAAACGAGAAACGAGAAACACTTATGAACCACATCAACAAACGACAACTACTGAACATCAGATTCCTGACTTAGGACAGGTGCAAACAAATGCAGCGGGTTTAAACATTTCAATGGTACCAAACCTTCACCCTTTTTCTGAAACAGTAGTGTAACATCACAACATAGAAAGACACACTATAAAATATCAACTGAAATAGCTTAACTCAATTAAAGGACATATTAACACCATTGAACATACACTGAACAAATAAATTTGACCTAAGACACAATGTAAATACAAAATAAATAAACTAAGGGTAGAATAATAAAAGTAACATGTTATATCGGTAAGAAATGTTAAACAATTAAAGAAAAACAATATGCTCGAACAATAATATCAGCCATTTGTAATAACTTTAAACACAGGTAAATGAAAATAATTTTGTTGTTAGGTATACGTGTACAGTACCAATAGAGAAAGGGAATATTTTTACAAAATAAATAATTTTGATGTTCATAGTACGAAGTGAAAATTTATAGTTATACCAAACACTTATCAAAGATGGTATATAGACCAGATATAACCCTGAATAACATTAAATAACAAACTAGAGGCTCTCAAGAGCCTGTGTCGCTCACCTGTATTTACTGATGCTTTGGAAATCATGTAAAATAAGGTTAAAATCATAATTAATAGTATTAGATATTAGATATTATAATGATATCTAAGATAATAACAAAAAACTGCAAAATTTTTGTAAAATTACTAACTCAGGGGCAGCAACCCAACAACAGGTTGTTGGATTCGTCTGAAAATTTCAGGGCAGATAAATCTAAATCTGATGAACATTTTTGCCACCTGTCAGATTTGCTCTAAATGCTTTAGTTTCAGAGATATAAACCAAAAACTGCATTTTCCCCTATGTTCTATTTTTAACCAAGTCAGCCATGATGGTTGGAAGGCAGGGTCATCGGACAAATTTTTTAAACTAGATACCCTAATAATGATTATGGCCAAGTATGGTTAAATTTGTCTCAGTAGTTTCAGAGAAGAAGACTTTTGTAAAAGATTACAAAAATTTACAAAAAATTGTTAAAAATTGACTATTAAGGGCAATAACTCCTAAAGGGGTCGACTGACAATTTTGGTCATGACAACTTATTTGTAGATCTTACTTTGCTGAACATTATTGCTGTTTACAGTTTATCTCTATCTATAATAATATTCAAGATAATAACCAAAAACTGCAAAATTTCCTTAAAATTACCAATTCAGGGGCAGCAACCCAACAAGAGGTTGTCAGATTTGTCTGAAAATTTCAAGGCAGATAGATCTTGGCCTGATAATCGGTTTTCCCCTTGTCAGATTTACTCTAAATGCTTTGGTTTCAGAGATATAAGCCAAAATCTACATTTTACCCCTATGTTCTATTTTTAGCCATGATGCCATCTTGGTTGGTTGGCGAGGTCATCGGACACATTTTTTAAACTAGATACTTGAATGATGATTGTGTTTAAGTTTGGGTGCATTTGGCCCAGTAGTTTCAGAGGAGAAGATTTTTGTAAAAGTTTACGGACGACGGACGCAAAGTGATGAGAAAAGCTCACTTGACCTTTCAGGTCAGGTGAGCTAAAAAGCAATACAATTAGTATCAACAGGTCAAATAAACAAGAAAGTACGATTTGAGAGTACTCGCAGTTACTGACAGCTAGTTAAAAGCCAAAACAATTAATAATAAAAAATCATGCATCAGAGACTAAAATCAACTAAAACACATCCTAGGGATTTAGTATTTTAACGTCATGGACAGTCAAAGAAGACATGACTAGTGCAATGCCAAAAATAAATGTATCGACAGACAGTAGAATAGTTAGGAGTTTAACCTCTTTATAGATCTAAACGAACGTGGGTGTGTCTTTATACATCCCGCTTGAAAAAAATACAAATTTAGTTATGTTTTAATTTGCTGATGACAAAATCGATATTAGTGCCAATGTAAACTATATTCAAAGATCTAATTACAACATTGGTAAGATAACCTTTACTAATAAGTTTGTTTAAAGGTTCGATGAGTTTACACGGATCACATAGTGATTTCCGCGCTTTAAGTACAATATTACCGTAAAATTAAGGATGTGAAATACCGTTTTTAATCAGTTTTCTACAAGTACAGCCAAATTTACTAATCAAATCTTTGTATCTATGAAAGAACTTAGCAAAAGTTTTACGTAATTTATGGTAACCAAATCCTTGATTTAATAATTTACCAGTGATACATTGATTACGTTCGTTAAAATCTATGACATCACTACACACACGGGCATAACGAACTAGTTGGGATATATAAACACCGTATGATGGAGCCAAAGGAACATCGCCGTCTAAAAAAGGAAAATTAACAATAGGGAATAAAAAATCGTCTCTTTTGTCGTAAATTTTCGTATGGAGTTTTCCTTTAGAGATTGAAATGTCCAAATCCAGAAAAGGACAACTACTGCTGTTTATGTTAGATTTAGTTAAAGTAAGTTCTATTGGGTAAATTTCAGTAGTATATTTAGAGAACTCTGGATTATTTAACGAAAAAATATCATCTAGATAACGGAAGGTATTGTTGAATGTATCAACCAAATGTAACAATGACGTGTCTTTACTGAGTTTGGTCATAAACTGAGATTCATAGCAATACAGGAATAAATCTGCTATTAAAGGGGCGCAGTTAGTGCCCATAGGAATACCTACTACTTGTCGATACACTCTATCGCCGAAACGTACATATATGTTGTCCAGGAAAAAATTTAAAGCTTCAACCATATCTTCACATTTCCAGTAAGTGTATCTAGCATACTTTCCTTTTTCATTAGTTTCCAAGTATACTAGGGCTAATGCATGACATTTAAAAAATGCCCTTCATTTATCGATGGTCAAAGTCCCATAACTATGGAATGATGGATGGATGGCTGTTTAACATCAAGTGGCAAATTATAGCAAGTGTATAGCCTGATTTTTAATGCGCTAAGTCTGCAGGAAATCATGTCACCCTACCCAGACACATTACTCTGACAATGAGTCTTTACTCTTACTCCTAAATGCTACATGCTTAGCAGTGCAATTTTTATGTCTTTGGTGGTTTGACCAGACCAGGGTTCATACCCACAACCTTCTATACCTTCTACACTCAAGGCAAACATGCTACACAAGACCTCCAAGGCAGTAAAAACTCTGGAATAACATATGAGAAATGCTTTTTAATCAAACCGTGTGTTATGTTCCTATTCCAATGTGTAAAGTAAATCACCCAAGCAAACTCAATTTATTTTTATTGGTTTATATGATTATGACCTTATCACTCCAGTTCAACATCTGTCTACTGTTGAAAATTGCATGTATATTGCCCTCTAGAAGTTTTTTGTCAAATCATTCTTTGGGTCACTGTCTCATAGAAGTATAACCCACATATTCTTTTATCCATATCGGAACATCTGGAGCAAATGAAAAATAGCCCATAACAGAAATAGCCATTACTGATTTCAAGGCATGTCAAACAAATGTTATATACCAAATATTATTACTTACTCAATACGGACAACATTTTTCATATACAGATTCTGTTTGACTCCTAAAATATAAAGAAAATTTATAATTTATTAGTCTACTGAAATAAATCCAACTGAATGTATGAATATCAATTTCATTATTTACAGATGAACAAATTATTGATTAACTTTTGAATCTATGTCAATAAAATTCTGCATAATGAATGTATAGAACATAAGAAATACTATAAAAGTGGAACTTTTCATGAAATCATCAATACTTTTTAAGTTTAAAGTGTGGAAGAAATGTTTTCTGAAATGTATGATTTCTTATTGACTCTTTATTAAATTTCCTTATAAAATTTCAGTTTACATTTTAATTTAAAAATTATCAAAGCATGAACACTTTTTTTTTTAAATATTTAATGTTGTCTTAATAATTGATCAGAAATTCCTCCAATTCTGTACATTAGCTAAACCATGCAATTTGAATTTAAAAAAAAATAATTAATAAAGATTGTCAAGAAAAACAATTCTCCCTGCAATAGTAATTTGTGATAGTAAAATTGTAATCATGTACAATCCAAATCCAAATTTCACATACAAAAAGCACTGAAAACAAAAAAATTCAGACAAATGTTTTCAAAAGGCCACTACGAACTAATTTCTTTTTTTTCCCAGACTGTCGAAAAGGAGGAGAAAGCTTGCAGAATTATGTTTCTTCCCTCAAAATTGGATTTTTCAGAGGTGAAAGAATGTTTTTCAAACAAGTGACATTATTCCTTTTGAAAATTTACGAAAGGAATTTTCTTCCCCTCAGCTTATTCAATAAACATGATAAATGACATTTCAAGAATATACTCAATTGGCAGTAAATTGTTTGCTTAGAAAACCCACCAAGACAAAAAATATAAAAATCATGACCTACAAATGTTTTTAAGCTTATATCTAGATCAATTCTACTGTCAAATAATACATTTAAATGATACTTCTTTCAATCCTTCAACTGAATTAAAATGTTTGCAATCTGTATTTTTGAATTTGGGTGGTTTGGTGTTGACATTGGATTTGAGAACAAATTGCCCACCTTTTCCACATGCTTTAAATGTATTTTCAATAACTACTGAATTAATGTTTAAGTTAACATGCTGTCTCTGTAAGCGTAAATTCATTCCACCGTGTATATATTCCGGGTACCTGTTTTTCACTAGAGAATATAATGGATGTAAATAGTGTGAAAGCGTTGATCTTGATATCGTTTTTTTGTTTATATAAGACCAGTTTATTGTTTACATAAATTAATGGGTTACAATTAATAAAATTTTCAAGGAACCAGTTCATCAATCTAGCATTTTATGATATAGTATTAAAAGTATTAAAAGTCGTACAACATATAATATAATTTGACGGGGTATTCGCACTAACTTCTGAAATGGATGATTAAAATATCATGAAGATTCAAGTGAAAATGATTTTATCTCCAAGTCGACCAAAACGCAAATGCATAGAAAAACTTCGGCAATCAAGTATATAGGAATATTACAATTAGTAACAATTTATTTAAATCTAAATTGTGAATAAAGCATTATTGTGTTATCATGTGTTCAAAATTAGTACTAAACACTTCATCAATGTTTGGATCTAAACCACTAGTGTAATCAATCCCGGTTCAAAATGAAAGAACCTTAGTGAGCGCGCTCACATACCCCACGTCCCCACATTGTCATTGGAGAAATAAAATAAGTCCAAGAAAAAAAAATTGAATCATAATTTCTGTCAATATGCCATCTACATAGTATGTCCTTATTATCTACACAGTTTCATGAAATTCTGTTGTGTGGTTTGAGAGGAGTTGCGATGACAAAAGGTTGCAGTAGTATATTGGGCAAATAAGTTCAAAGGGGCGTAACTCCTGGAAAAAAATTGAATCGTAATTTCTTGTCGATATGCACATCTACGTAGTATGTCCTTATTATCTGAAAAGGTTTCATGAAATTCTGTTGTGTGGTTTGAGAGGAGTTGCGATGACAAAAGGTTGCAGTAGTATATTAGGCAAATAAGTTCAAAGGGGCGTAACTCCTGGAAAAAAAATTGAATCGTAATTTCCTGTCGATATGCACATCTACTTAGCATGTCCTTATTATCTGAAAAGGTTTCATGAAATTCTGTTGTGTGGTTTGAGAGGAGTTGCGATGACAAACTGTTGCAGTAGTACATTAAAGTAAATAAGTTCAAAGGAGCATAACTCCTAGAAAAAGAATTGAATCGTAATTTCCTGTCGATATGCACAACTACATAGTATGTCCTTATTATCTAAAAAGGTTTCGTGAAATTCTGTTGTGTGGTTTGAGAGGAGTTGCGATGACAAGAAATAGGACTGACGGACTGATGGACGGACGGACAGACGGACGTGTCAAAAACATTATACCCTCCGCAACTCGTTGCGTGGGGTATAATAACTAGTGTAAGCATTCCTGGATCAAAATCTCTTGTGTAATCATTCCTGGTACCAAAGCACTAGTGTAATCATTCCTTGTTCAAAAACATTTGTGTGAACATTCCTTGGATGAAAAACACTAGTTTACTTTGTCCATTTTTTTTTTTTACATAAATCAACTATGCAAGTTTTAGTTAATTCAAATACCCCCAAAAAATATAAAGCCCCATTTTTTATATCTTTCCCCTTCAAAAAATCCTCTTTAGAATCTTAAGATGGGTGGTGGATATTTTACATTATTATACTTCATGTCAAAATGCCAGATTTTGATTGGTTAATACGAGGGAGACAATTTACTCTATCCTATGGTAAATACTCTATAACCCTTCACGGAGACGCTTGATCAAGTGTGCGCTTTATTAAATACGGATGGTTGTTATGTACAAGACGTCATAGTTTATTACTTTGAATTTGAAATTTAATAGACAGTAATAACAGAACATTCAGTATAATAAATTAAATAACACATATCTGAGAGGGTGATAGAGCAGATTGTTACCCCTCGAAAAGACATTGTCAACCTTGGCTTCGCCTCAGTTGACAATGTTTTCTCGGGGTAACAATCTGCTCTATCACCCTCTCAGCTATGTGTTATTTATATACTGGACCCAGATGAAAAAACCTAGTGAATTTTTGTTGATGGATAAAAAACACTAGGAATTTTCATCCTCCAAATAAAGTACACTGGCGGAATCAAACCACTGTTACATCTCCACCAATAGTTCTAGAAAATAGTTGTACCATGATCTTCAGTTTGTGTTTTATACATTAAAATAATTTGAATTATGGTAACTTACCCCATTCAAAATCATAAAGAGAGATGGCAATTGCAAAGTCTTCAATGCCAACCACGAGATTTTTATTACAAGGATCTAGCTGTAATTTAACATTGAATGAGTGATTTATTATATTGACATCAAAACAACAGTCTACTGTAGTACAGGATGATAACAGTACACAAGTCATTCCTGGATGAAGATTAGGAAGTGTTGTTGTTATAGGACAATCTGAAAATATAATTTGAAATCAGTTTATTAAAACGTTTCATGCATATTTTAACATCAATAACACATTTTCCAGATGGGAATATCTCCAACTTTGAAGGTTTAAAAAGCTGACACCTCACTTAATCTAACTTGTATATACTTTAATCATATACTATTTGTAATCTGTTGTACTGGGGATGTACTGAATTGTACTCAAAATTAATACGAAAACACATTATGTCGACTTTTTTAATAGGCTGCATATGAACATGATAAACAACAAACATTGTGCATATTTTTATTGCTCAAGTATTTATTTTACCTTTTTTCCAACCATTCATTTCAGGCTGAAAAGATGAGCCATTTCTGTCACATGAAGGATTCCTCAGGAACTTGGATATTCCAAGGTCTCTCAAAACTTTTAAAATTGCCAGCTCTGTGAGATTATCAAAATCTAAGCCTCTTACATGTGCCCAATTTTCAAGTGAAAAGTCTACAAAAAATATAGCAATATATACTAAGGGGTCATTTGCCATAAATATTAAAGGGGATCACTTATCTTTTCTTTTTAGTTTTAAAGCAATTAGTCTGTTTCAGGATTGTTCAGAATTTTTTTTAAATATCTTTATCCTTTTTTATCTATCTACTAGTATATGTTCTGTTTTCAGCAACAATAGCCACTATTAAGACAATAGGTTTCAATAAATCTGACTTGATTTTTTTGTTTGAACTTTTTTTCACATTGTCATGCCTGGGCCTTTGATAACTTACTATAAGGTATGGGTTTGCTCATTGTTGAAAGCCTGATGGTGACATTTAGTTGCTTATATCCATGTCCTTTGATCTCTGGTGGGTAGTTACCTCATTGGCATTTATACAAATGCATCATTTGCTAAAAATTTGTCAAATACAGGATTTTTAGTTTGTTTAATTGAATTTTGTTTATCTTACCATATTGTATTATTTTTATCAATAGCCACCATGTCAGTTTAACAGCAGAGACCTCATACATAAATTTCAAAGTATACCCATTAAGAATGGTGCAGCCCATGCTTTGTTCCAATTGCCCAAGTAGTTTAGGAGAATATTTATGAAAAAGTTTATGACACCAGATGATTGACACCAAAACAGTACCCCATAGGGCTCTTGTGTCAAGGAGAACCCCATACAAAAATTCCTTCGTTAAACAGATTTGTTACAACCTTATAATTATCAAAATCAATATTTTCAAATTACAGGTACAGGTCAAATTAAAAGTCAACATCATAATCATAAGTTATTTACTCTTAATTGCATATCCTTGGTCCCAATCACAAGATGGCTTAGGTAAGCTTGTTTTATCTGCTACAACTCTTTTTATCATACAATGGGGTTCTGTAGGTTCCAAGCATACACCAAGACTTAGAGACACTATATACTCATCTGAAGCTGGTAACTCATCAATGATATACCTAAATGTAGATGAAAATGTACTTATCATACAATAAGTGTATGTGTGAAATATTTACTTCTATATTATACTGGCATGTTATGAATTGTCAAAGCAAAAAACAATGAAGCAAACAGTTGAATGATACTTAACTTCTAAAAAATGCATATTTTAGAATTTTTTTTATAAAAATATTATATTAACCCTGCATTAACCATCCCTTGAAAATATAATTCAATTGCAAAATGACAAAGTTTCCTAGACATTGAAAATCATGACTTTTTTTCATCACAAGTGATCAGCTTTCCTATGTTGTGCAAAGAAGTCTAATAAACAATGAATGGAATTTGACCTTAAAAGATAGAAGATCAGTATATGGTCTAAACCTGACTTTGATCATGGCTAAAAGGAGATATGTTGGTTTAAGACCAGAGACAGCAGTTTAAAACCACAAATGACATCTACAATTCAACATATGTTCTTAAACTATAGACTTTTTATTTTAAGTCAATATCTAAGAGATTGGTTTGAAAATAAGTCCAAAAGTGTAGCTTAAATACCACCAGTTGTATTCAGTAAACAGAATGGAAATGTGTGTCAGGTGTGAAAATTGGTTTTATAGTGTAGCTAACCTTCATGAAGCTCATGTACATACATACATTTTCATTTTTACTTCTCTGTTAAACCCCAAAAGTCCCTGATAAATTGTGAAAGAGATTATCCACCTGCCAATGTAGTCTCAAAATGCTATATTAAACACAAAGGAGAATGTGTTTATAAAAAACTTACTGGACTAAGAAAACTCCTTTCAAATAAAGTTGATGCTGTGTTCCTGGAAAAAGTAAAAGCATCATAAAAATCAATTGGTACAATTTCATTTGATTTAGAAATCAAAATAATTAACATTTTAATTGGTTATTCCAATTTTGTCTTCCATGTCATCATTTATTGCAAATTTAAAGAATTTTTTTTTTACACAAAGCTAAAATGCTGCATCTGTTATTTTACTGTATTTACTGAATATTCTTACCATAGACATAATTTACAAGGGTTTCATTGTAAACAAACTTCTCAATACGAATGATTAACTGGAAGTTGCACGCATCAAGTTCAAAAGAGAAGTCAAATGATCTTCCAAGAGATAGTGCTTCCACACAACACTTTATTCCTGTACATGTATCCATGATAATACATGTACTCTCTGCACCATTCAAGTATGGAAGTGTTAAATACTTAGGGCATTCTGAAATACAAAAAGAGGTATTTATGCCAAGTAATTTGATCCCATCTTCAAGAAAAATATGTGACAGGCAAAAAGATGCAAAAAGTTTTTCTTGCTTTATGTATTATATTCCTGCTACATGAAGCTTATATATAGCTTTAATCATCTACAGATGTAAAATGTTGATAGATATGAATAAAAGGAAATGTGGAAAAACATTAATGAGGCAACAACCTAACATATATATACATGTTTCTGCAATTTATTTATGTATCTAACATTTTTTTCTGGACATTCTTAAGACATATCTTTAAATTGTTTAAAATAAATAATAATGAATACAAGATGTGGGGTATACATCAATACAACAGTTACCCAATATCACAAAAAATAAACACAAAAACAATAGCCTTTGATCACAAATTCTAAATGATTTATAATTTTGTTTTCTGCCTGCAAGTATCCTCATATGATACCCCTCCCCCTTTTGTGATATTTTCTGTGTCTGCAAGACATATAACTGCTCCCCCTTTTTCCAAAAGAGAAAACAGTTGATTCTGTTGTTAATTTATTCAATAGTAAATCATTCTTCCATGCTGTAAATTTTTGGTCTAAGCATATACAAATTTCTATATATTCTATAAAGATGTATGATTGATTGACTATTGCTAGTATAGAGAGTTGTGTAGGATGTATTTTATAATTCACATGCTGCTCTTTTTAACCTTCCAAAGGTACATTATATCCTTACCTTTTACCCAACCATCACTTGTTGGTCCCCATGGTGAATTCAATCTATCACATGAATATTCATTCAAAAAAGATGAAACATCAAGCTCTTCAAGAATCTGATAAATCATATACTCTTTTAACACATCTGTTAGAATTATATCTCTATCCGACATCCATTTGGTTAGAGAAAAGTCTGCAATATGATAAAAAGTAACATCAAGGAATTTCATCAAGTATATTGAAAAAATCTTGAAACTTGTACTTAGGTGAGTTTTTGCTACATGTTGAAGGCAGCCTTACTGTGACTTTGAATCATGAAGAACGGCTATAAAAGACATATTTGTCAACCACTGGCAATGAAAAGTCATGTCATCAGGGTTTCCACTGGTGGTTGCCATTTTCGCATTTTGCAAAAAAATAAAAATTGTGGCGATTAAAATTCAATATTGGCGAAAGAATTTGGCAAAAGAAATATAACGGTTCGACTTCGTCCATCTTGTTTACTTTTTTTCAGGTTTCATAGATTTTTTCCCTGATCAGACAATGCTGAACTCGTTTAGATTTTGACAGAAATTCAACAAGTGAAACTGCGAGCTACTGCTCATTGATGATACCACGCCCAAATATTTCGGTAAACAGGAAGTTGTTGAGTGATGAATCAGAAAAAGCATCACATGGTATAGCTGACTTATATAAACTATGAAACCAAATTTCAGAAATCCTTGTATTGTAGTTCCTGAGAAAAATGTGACAAAAATTTTCAACTTGGCTACTCATTTCTAAAATGATGTAAGTGTTCGGTAAACAGGAAGTTGTTGAGTGATGAATCTGAAAATGCATCACACGGTATAGCGGACGGACGGACAGACAGAGGTAAAACAGTATACCCCCACTTTTTTAAAGCAGGGGTATAATAATTATCAGCTGATAGCATTTTATAGCTATCGGCAACAATGGACTAATTAATAAAGGTATTAATGAATTGGTGTGGTTAAATGGCATCACATGTCACCTTATCATTTTATTTACAACTTCGATAGAAATAATTGTTTTACTTCCCAATCATTTTAGCGACTCACGTGTCTGAAGCATAGTCTTTTAACGATGGTATGGGAAAGAAAACTGTTGTTATGACGAAAAATGTTCAAAAGTAAAAAAATCTCTGACTTTAAACTTTATCCTTTAACTTTGATAGAAATAATTGTTTTGAAGTGGGTACTTAAGGTGGTACCCAACACCTTGACTAATATTAATTTGGCTCGTTTAATTTTCATAAAATTTTGACAAAATGTTTACCTTGACCCTTTGACAAAAATATAAAAATTTCAAAAAATTTGAACCAACCACTTTATCAGAAAAATTTCTTTGGTTATATAGCAATTTGACAAACACTAATTTTGATCATTGGGAAGCTTAATATTTCCTTAACAATACAACGTAATTAAAACGTTTAGCTGATTTTTACAGAGTTATCTCCCTGTAGTGTTAGGTACCACCTTAACAATCGTTTTAGCATTTTAGTGACGCACGTGTATGAAGCAGTTTTATGTCTTGACTTTTTCTTTTAAGAATGGTCCGGAAGAGAAAACTGTTGAAATATATTCAAAAGTAAGAAAAATCTCGGACTTTAGTCTTTATCCTTCAACTAGACAGGAAGTATCGGATAAACTTATTGAAGATTAATCCTGTGTTCCTAGAAGTCAAAAATGATGATTTTATGATCTTATGTTGCAATTTTACATATCTTTTAAAAAGTAAATGTTTGCTATTATTGAGTGTTTATTTATTACAATGTAAATTAATAAACAGATATGTAGAATTATAATAAACAAAACAGTGCAGCATTCTGATTTTTTTATGTAAGAAAGAAGGAACATTTTAAACGAAAAATATGTTTATGTGAGTTGGCGAAAAAAATTGAAAGTGGCGAAAAATATATTGTTTTGAGGAAAGAGGTGGCGAACACGAAAATTAATCCAAGGAAAACCCTGCATGTCATGAATGCAAAAATGAGTGTAAAAATGTGTGCCATGATTTTTTGCTCTGAAAATCATCTAAGAGAAAAGATCAGAATTATATGAAGACAAGTTACAAGGGTGAAAAAAGAACAATTTATTCGTCCCATGATCCCTTTCTTTTATTCACATTAAACACAGAATCTTCCAATTCAATTAACAAGTTTTAATACATAATTCATGTGTCTCACCTCTTACAATAAAGTCTTCAGGGAATTCACATTGTTGTTTTGGTAACAGAGCATCATTTAGAATATTCACAATTTCTTCATCACAAGTACTGTTAGCATCAAAACAAACTGACACATTCATACTGACGATAAACATCTTGTCATCTGGCAAATCATCTATTGTAAAACTTTGAAAGAAATATATTTTCAATTACTCAATGTATAAATAAAATGTAAGAAAAGTGATTTCAATTCTTATTGTCCACTGCAATAACTGTCATTGTGACATTTTCTTTCATTTGGAAATAAAAAGTTCAAAACACTTTGAAAATTGATTTTGCTTTTGAGTTTTAAAAAATATTAGAAAAAAACCTACTACATATTAATGATTCCCATCAAAGATACAGTTAAAGTTGTACCTGAAAAGATAGAACATAAAATTAATTAGTTAAATAATATATGGAAGAAAGTTATTCATTTCATAAAGCATTTATAATAGCACACTAAAACTTTATAAAACCTAAGCATTTCATTCTGCACACAACACTCTATACTATTTATCACGTTTATTCAGTATTTTTTTTTTTTTTTAATGAAACTTCAATATCTTACATTTTTTTTCTTACAAACTGACTAATTCAGAACATGCCATACTTACATTATTATGACCATATAAGAAATGTATTTGCTTACTAGGAGACAGATTAATAAAAGCAATGTTTGCTTGTTATCTGAATAAAATATTGTTTAAACTAAAACATAATTATTTTTTTTCTAAAGTCATAGAAGGTTTGAAATAATATTAATGAAATGCCATGATTTTAAAAAGATAATATATTAACATAAAGAAGTAAACAGCAGTTAATTGACCTTCTAGTATCCTGTCTGAACATTGTGTTATCAGCCTTATTCCACTGATCAATTTAAACGGGATTAGATTGAGAACTCACATAACTAGTTTGTCTTAGATGTGCATATATAATTGTCTCATTTGATGTATTTTATCAATGAATGGCAATATCTATTTTTTTTTTAATATATGTGACCATATATCCAAGATCAGGTTTACAACCCCAGAAATAGTATTTAATTTAGCATCCAGAAAAAACTTCCAGCAAATTTTTTTTTTTTAATAACTTCGACATTGGAGAAATTGACCTCAAAATCAATAGGGATCTACCTCTCATTATAAATGACCAGTTATTCAAGTAAGGTTGCAAATTGACAAAAAGTATTTGAGTCAGTATCTAGAAACCAAAATGACTAACAGACTGACTGACAAGTCAAAAACTACATTATACCAAATTATGAAAATAAAAAATTGCTTTGGAGATAATTAGTATATCTCTTACCCCAACTACAGTCTTGCAGACTTCTGTTAAACTGCATCTTTTCGATACCAACTGTCAGTCTATGGTAACATGGATCAATATCCAAGGAAATGTGGAATGATTTGTCCAGTACTTCAACATCCATACAACAATCTACACTGGTACATGTATCTGACAGACTGCAAACAATGTTATCTGGCAAACTTGTGACTGTGTTGATACTATGAGGACATGCTTAAATGTACATTAATTAAGTATATCAAATACGTTTTCTTCCTACTAATGCAAACTACTGAAGTATGTGTTGATTTTTAAACTTACTATGAAATAAAGTATAATTATAATCTGTTTTGATCCCCATTTTTCAATCAATTCAGTTTTATGACAATTTTTGTGTTGACACTTAAAATAACATTTTAAGCATTAAATGTCAAAATTATATCCAAAAAAAAAAGTCTTTTTCATGAAAATGATACAATGAAATATATTATTGGTTTTGCACTTTTATATATAATATGTACATATATTATGTACATATATTATGTACATATATTATGTTCAAATGAATATGACTTGACAGTGACTGCTTGCTCTAATGAATCTAATTTATTTTGAACAATCTTAGAAAACTGCTTTTAATTTCAAATCAACAATAAGGAAGAAGTTCATTATGTTTTAGTACTGTTATAGCTATTAGCAGAATATGAATATCTCTTACTACTGTTCCATCCATCTGTTGACCGTGGTAAGTACTGAGGACTGCTACTATTACACTGGTTATTTGCATAATACTTAGAAACACCAATTTCTTCAAGTAAATCTGTCAAAGCTTGTCCATGTAAAGTTGAATTTGCTGGGTATCCACTCTCAGTTTCCCATTTCCTCAATGAAAATTCTGTACAAAGAAACAACATCATGACATATTTCAAGTGAAGCATGTGAAGAACATAAACAAAATATGGTTTTGTTATAAAATATTCAAATCCTTGCTAACTACACAATGCCTATCTTATCTAACATTACAGAGATGCATAGGAATAACCTGTATGGATACCTTGATTCAGGAACAACATCTTCCATTCACAAACTTTTTTCTCCAGTATAACATTTTCGAGGACTGTAGTACTGTAATCACAAGCTGTTTTAGAATCCCAACATATGCTTATTTTCACGTTTATAATATAGCTGCTCCTTCCAGGCAAGTCTTCAAGTTGGAAACTACAAATAATAATAGATACTAACATTTATATTTACAGTGAAATGTTTAAACCAAAGGCTGTTTACAACTGAATCCTTTCAATGAAAAGTATTTGCTTAGTCAATCTTTTCAAACTGTCTAATGAAACAAAAACTTCAGTCCAAAATAAGCTAGGTTAAAACATGTTTCCCTATTATTAGCTATCAACTAAAAATCTGATTTCTGTTCCATGCAATGATTTACTTTCATTTGAAGCTTATACCAAACAAAAAGACAAATAAATTTGCAATTAACTCTGACACAGAAATACTTTTTCTACAAAACTCGTCAGAAATTTCATGGCATGTTCAAAAGTTTTATCACAAATCCTGCTACTAAACCATAAACAAACATGTGTTTTCTGATTAGAGTTATCTGTACTTGAAATTTAATGAAGTCAGGACAAGATTCAAAATAGACATATACAAAAGAAATTAATTTTGGAGTAAATTTTGCATAATAAGGCAAAGACAACTCACCTTAGTTGTAATATTCCTCCAAGGTAAACATCATACTGTTTTTCTAAAAAAAAAAAGAAAGAAATGTATACCCATATGAAAGTGACAACATTTTAACTAGAAGTTCCAAGAAGCTTGTATCATGTACCTTGATAATAAAACTTCATGATAATTTTTTTTGTCGTAAAGATTTTTTTTTTCTCTCTCAAAATTTAGCTTTAGAAAAAAAAAAAAGTATACCGCATATTGCATTGGCAAAGAAGATTGTTTATAGAAGACAGAATTTATAAATACATGTACAGCAAAATTCAAGATATAAATGTAGAGAAGCTGAGCATACAGACTGAATAATTTTTGTAAACTATAGTGAAAAAAAATACTTACTCCAAATAAAATCAAGAAGAGACTTTGAAAATTTATAACCTTCGATACCAACATCTATATTATCATTACAGGAATCTATATGAATGAATACATTGTAGCTTCTCAGGGTCTTCTTATCATAGACACAACAGTCCACAGAATTACACTGTTCATTGATATAACAGTTGACAGGTCCATTTAATGGTACCATACTAATAAATGTTGAACAATCTGAAAAGAAATAAAAATTATTATATAATCTATTACACCAAGATAGTCATGCCTGTTATGTTGCAAAAAAAACGTTTTGAAGAATGTAAAAAGTGGTTCTAAACCTTAAACAATCTGAAAAAATATAAAACTGAGCTGCAGACCAAATATGAAGTCATTCCATGCAGTAGTATTTAAGAAATAGGTAAAGAAATATTGTTTTACTGTGACTTGACTGTTAGTGTTGCTCTCCACCTATTGCAATTTATTCAAAAATTCTGACCAAATTGCAATTTGTTTTATAAAACCAAACTGTTCAACTGGTCAGAAATTTGAACAAACTGCTGTAGAAAACCACAGTCAAGTCGTGAAAGTGCAAGGTGATAAAATAAAGCATACTTACAATCCCATAAGACTTTAATTCCACTTCAATGTTATTATGAAAATTCAGTCTAACAGTTTGTATAGAAATTTTATTCATGATTGTAGCAGACCAATAGGTTTTGCAGTAAATGATTTTGCAGGAGAATTTGATAAACAAAAATTTCAAACAGTAGATGATGCATGCAAGTTAGTTTCAAAAAATTTTTATATGTCAAAAGTGGACCTAAAGGCCGCTTACAGATCTGTCAAAATAAGTGAACAAAGTAGAGAGGTCACTGGGCTTACATGGACTTTTCCTGATGGTCATGATTATACTTTCATAGATAAAAAACTTCCGTTTGGATCAAAATTAGCACCTGGTATTTTTCATAGATTATCTCAGGCAATTCGCAGAATGATGTCACGTAGAGGCTTCACCATTGTGGCATATTTAGATGATTTTTTTATTTGCGAGAAGACAAAGAAGCGCTGCGCTCAGGCGTTAGCAATTTTAATTGCGCTGCTCAGGAAGTTAGGTTTTTGTATCAGCTGGTCTAAAGTAACAGACCCCTGCCAACAGATTGTATTTTTAGGGGTTGAGATAGATTCTACTACTTTAGAAACTAGACTTCCTATTGCAAAATTGCATGATTTGAAATCAGAATTAGCTGAATTTTTATTGCGTAAGCGTGCTTCAAAAAAGCAATTGCAATCTTTAGCGGGAAAGCTTAATTGGGCGTCTGCTGTGGTTCGAGGCGGGAGAGTTTTTCTCCGTAGAATTATAAACGGCATCATGCGATTAAAGCTAGATTGGCATAAATTGCGTCTGACAGGCGAAATATTGCAAGATATAAAGTGGTGGCATAACTTTATTTCAACTTTTAATGGGAAGTCAATTTTACTTTCAAAGGTTCCTATCACCTCTGTAGCTACTGATGCTTGTAAATCAGGTGGAGGGGGTGTCTATCAAAATGATTGGTTTTATGTAAATTGGGCAGAAGATCACCCCTTTGCTTTGAAACTTCACATAAATGAATTAGAGGCTTTCTCAGTGGCGTTAGCAGTAAAGCGATGGGCCCCATATTGGCGTGGTCAGCGTATTATAGTTCATTGCGATAATGCGGTAACTGTAAGTTGCATTAATAAAGGTACATCAAAAAATGCTATTTTGATGTCCTTTTTGCGTGAGCTCTTTTGGTTATCAGCAACGTATAATTTTCACTTGATAGCTAAGCATGTTCCAGGCAAAACGAATATACTAGCAGACTGTATTTCACGGATGCATGATCTACCTTTCTGTGAACAATTTTTGCGTGATTATGTTCGACCGCCACTGTATTTACAGGATCTTGTTAGGCACATGTCTAGTAATGCCCTTCGTTTTCTTTTATTTAGGCTCACTGGTATCGAGGGAGGTGAGATCACTATATAGTATTGTTGCTAACTTTAGATGTCATACTTATGCTGAATCTACCAAAAAGACATATTTAAACTATTTCAAGTCATACGCAGAATTTTGTAGAAGATTAAATATTACCCTTGTTCCATTAAGTCCTATGAATTTAGCCAGATATGTAGCCTATTTATCTTCAAGGTTACAATTTAATTCCATAACAAATTATTTGTCAATTGTGCGGTTGCTACATTTAGAATCAGGAGTTGCATCTCCGATAGATTCCTTTTTTATGGAGTCAGTACTCAAGGGTGCTAAACGTGTGTTAGGTGCTGCCATACATAGAAAATTGCCTATTACACCAAAAATTTTGAATGAGATATTTACTTTACTGTCAGTCAGCAGTAGTAAGGACTTGTGTTTTTGGGCAGCCTGCTTAGTGGCTTTTTTCTCCTTTTTAAGGAAGTCAAATTTGTTTGCCCCTTCAATTTCAGCTTTTGATCCTTTGCGACATTTTACTCGTGAGGAAATCCATTTTCACTCAGATGGTGTCTGTTTAAAAGTACGCAAAACCAAAACAATTCAATTTTCAGAGCGTATATTAGAAATTCCCCTTCCTAGAGTGAAGAATTCTCATTTATGTCCCTCTAAGGCGCTTCTTTTAAATTTTAAACAGGTGCCAGCAGTGTCAGCCCCCTCACCTGTCTTCCTGTATTTAGTACGAGGCAAGGTTACCCCTCTTACATATACAGCCTTTGTAAAAATGCTAAAACAGAACTTATCTAGGTTGGGTTATGACAGCAGCAAATATTCGGGACATAGTTTTCGCAGAGGAGGGGCCTCCTTTGCCTTAGAATGTGGGGTTCCAGCTGATCTCATACAATCACAGGGTGATTGGAAATCTAATGCATACAAATCATACTTGGACCCTTCTTTTGCACACAGACAGGAAGTCATGAACAAATTTGCAGTTGCCCTGGGGAAATAATAAACCATTTAACCTACCTTCTACTGGTTACACCACACATGTTTGGGAAGTTTGGAATACCACAGATTATTAATTAATTAATTTGTGTATTGTTTTCAAACTGTACTGTTGTTTGTGTTTTATTAATATGAAATTTAAGCATTAAACTGTGGTTCTTTTCCCAAACATGTCTTTGTTTTACACTAGTAACCATCTGGATTCACAGGTTTCCTGACTGGATTCCGATCAGAGTTAGACATTAACATGCATCTGATCTGAGACTGGTCTAGATTCCAACAGCATATATACACATACACACTATACACATACACAGGGGGGAGGGAAATGGGTGGGGCCGTTTTCAAAGTGATGTGGATTAATGTGATATTTTTATTAACAAGAAAAATGGATTATTAATACACAGCATGTTGACATGTATCATCGCACATGCATTACCTGTCCTTATTGCCGATTGGGTATTTTATTTCAGCTTATATCTATTAATAACAACCAATGATATAAGGAATTCCCTACTGGCCACTCTTGACATCTCGCTCTCTATTATTGCTTTGTGAGATGTGGGAAGGGAACCAATCAGAACAAGGCCCTTATTTCAAATTATCCAATCGGCAGAGATAATTAATTAATTATCATCCTTTTGTTTTAATTACTGCGCGCCTCATTTAGGCATTCTAGATAATACAACTGCATGAAGCAGACGCATTGCAATTTGGCATTAGCGAATTTAAAATCCCATCCTCACCCACCCTATTTTATTTTTAATTTTTATTGAGATGTTTAGGTTGCTTCATCAACTAATTATAGATATATAATTGATTTAATTTAACTGTATATTCTATAAATGTGTAGAGTAGATTATATTACAAGAACACACAGTTTTGGTTTCATATTATAAATGTAATATTCCCTTGAGTGGAATACCACAGATTATTAATTAATTAATTTGTGTATTGTTTTCAAACTGTACTGTTGTTTGTGTTTTATTAATATGAAATTTAAGCATTAAACTGTGGTTCTTTTCCCAAACATGTCTTTGTTTTACACTAGTAACCATCTGGATTCACAGGTTTCCTGACTGGATTCCGATCAGAGTTAGACATTAACATGCATCTGATCTGAGACTGGTCTAGATTCCAACAGCATATATACACATACACACTATACACATACACAGGGGGGAGGGAAATGGGTGGGGCCGTTTTCAAAGTGATGTGGATTAATTTTATTGTTATTGTCATGCTAAAGGTGATAGGTAGTAATTTTGAATTGCTATAAAAATGTCCAAACTAAGCTTTTGTGCAATTTTTCTTTCGAAAAGTCTTCTATATTCATAAGAATCAGACATCATTTGAAATAAAACATCTTACATTCAGTAAAATATATGTGAAATTACAATACGTTGTTAATAAGTTTCCATGGGAGATAACCTAAAACATTATTCTTTTGAATATAGAAGACTTTTCGAAAGAAAACTTGATTATCTCCCATGGAAACTTCCTGACAACGTATTGTAATTTCACATATATTTTACTGAATATAAAATGTTTTAATTCAAATGATGTCTGATTCTGATGAATATAGAAGACTTTTTGAAAGAAAAATTGTATGAAAGCTTAGTTAGGTAGTAATTTTGAAAATAGCAATTCAAAATTACTACCTATCCCCTTTAGCATGACAATAACAATAAAATTTCTATACAAACTGTTAGACTGATTTTTCATAATAACATTGAAGTGAAATTAAAGTCTTATAGGATTGTAAGTATGCTTTATATTATCACTTGCACTTTCACGACTTGACTAGTTTTCTGCAGCAGTTTGTTCAAATTTCTGACCAGTTGAACAGTTTGGTTTTATAAAAGAAATTGCAATTTGGTCAGAATTTTGAATAAGTTGCAATAAGTGGAGAGCAACACTTACAGTCAAGTCACAGTAAGTACATTCAACTTATTCAGAGAATTTTCAAAATCCAATGCCATGTTATTTTATTGGTTCTAAGAATACATTGAATTATTTTAATGAGATTTGGTAGGAGCACACTCGAGATATAGTACAAAATATGATGGACTGAAAAACAATGTCTTATTACATCAGTCATTAAAAAAGTGTACAGAAATAACCTACTCGACTCTAAGATATAGTTATCTAAGCTGTCTGAGCATTTGTTCTCTTCTAAGTAAAATCCTATCCCAGTTTCCTCATTCAACTGTAAAATCAGGTCTTGGTCAGAAATATCGTGAAGGTTCAGCCTCTTATTCCGCCAATTACTGTATGCAAAATCTAAAAATTGAAGAAGTTCACTTCTAATCTTTGAAAAAGTTAAGCTATTATCACTTACAATATCTGTATACATTTTACGTCTTCAGGTATGTAACAGTAACCATACTTGGATAACTAAGGGCTCCAAGGAGCATTTATCACTCACCTGCCTTTTTGATGAATAACATTATCACTTTGCTAGAAATTAAAAAGAATTTGACATATTTTACTGTTGTCTTGCATAATATTTGGAAACACTCAACTTGTGTGTAAATATACTTCGTCTTTTTTTGTCATTACAATAGTTAAATAATTAAAGAACCTTAGTGAGCGCGCTCACATACCCCACGTCCCCACATTGTCACTGGAGAAATAAAATAACTGTAAGAAAAAAAAATTGTATAAGAAAAAAAAATTGAATCATAATTTCCTGTCAATATGCACATCTACATAGTATGTCCTTATTATCTACAAAGTTTCATGAAATTCTGTTGTGTGGGTTCAGAGGAGTTTGATGACAAACTGTTGCAGAGGTATATTGAAGCAAATAAGTTCAAAGGGGCGTAACTCCTAGAAAAAAAATTGAATCGTAATTTCCTGTCGATATGCACATCTACGTAGTATGTCCTTATTATCTGAAAAGGTTTCATGAAATTCTATTGTGTGGTTTGAGAGGAGTTGCGATGACAAAAGGTTGCAGTAGTATATTGGGCAAATAAGTTCAAAGGGCGTAACTCCTGGAAAAAAAATTGAATCGTAATTTCCTGTCGATATGCACATCTACGTAGTATGTCCTTATTATCTACAAAGTTTCATGAAATTTTGTTGTGTGGTGTCAGAGGAGTTGAGATGACAAACTGTTGCAGCAGTACATTAAAGTAAATAAGTTCAAAGGGGCGTAACTCCTAGAAAAAAAATTAAATCGTAATTTCCTGTCGATATGCAACAATTACATAGTATGTCCTTATTATCTAAAAAGGTTTCGTTAAATTCTGTTGTGTGGTTTGAGAGGAGTTGCGATGACAAGAAACAGGACTGACGGACGGACAGACGGACGGACAGACGTGTGTTGCGTGGGGTATAATGAAGTAATACTTACTAGGTATTGTGTAGTTCTGTCTCCAATCACATTCTTCTTTGGGCATGTCAACATTGTCAAGTATTGTTATATGGTGTAAACATGGTTCCCTTGATGACATGCATACTTCAAGTGACACTGATAATCTATACTTCTTAGCATAGCGTAAATTATGTACCTGATAGCTGAAGAGAGTATTTGAAAAAGAAATTACACGAATAACAAAAAAATATAAATTTTATTAAGATTTGAATCAAGTTGGGGCTGTCCCATCATTTATACATTGAATTGATTGATTGTTGGTGTTTAATGCCACAAATGGATGCACAAACCAGAAAAATAATTTCTGTGATGTATTTTGCTGCTTTCTGTTTTTTATGGTGATTATGTTAATGGTCATTATTTGGGTTATGAATTTGATTGTCCCCTTAGTATGCTATAACTTTTTTGAAGTAGAAATTGAGTAATTGACTTATTTTCATAACAAAAATGACAAAATTAACAGTAGATGTTAACAATACATTACTAAACAAAACAAACAAAAAATGTCATACATGTTACTCCTTAACAAATATATATAACTTGTGCACACATAAATTCCACATTTACTTAGTGACACTTTCTTCAGGTTTTTCCAATACAAAACTGGTGTTAATGTAAGTTCGAAATTTTATGCAGAAACAAAATCTAACATATTTAAGTATTTGTACTACAATTCACTTACTTCAGTCTAAGGATTCCATTTAACCAAAAGGAACTGTTTGCTCCCCATTGGTAGTTAAACAACATCTGAACATACTGCAGTTTTTCTATCCCAACAAACAACTTCAGGTTACAGGTATCCAGATATAAGAATATGTTGAAAGACCTTTGCAGGACAGGAACCTCTACACAGCAACTGTTGTTGGTACACGACTCATACAGATGACATTTTGTTGTGGGTGGAAGTTCTGGTAATTCTATAGATTCCATACATTCTGAAAAGAAAACAGTTATAGGCTTTGTGACTGTGAATATTCATTGAATTTATATCTAAAGTATCAGCAAGCAGAAAGTAGGTGTCTAGAAGATCCTTTAAGTGTACCCACCTTAAAACTCACTACTGCCAAATTGCTGACCAAATGTTAAGTCCTTCTGATCAATAAATAATTCCTGAGAAAAGTGATGAAAATATTTGTTTTCATTTAACATATTGAAAAGTCCAAAGTATTGGAAAACAGGAAATAGGTGTATGCCAGATCCTTTAAGCACACACATTACAATTCATCACTGTCAAGTTGCTGACAAAAGAAGAAGTCTTTCTGTTTAGTAGCAAAAAAAATTCAGGGGACATAAAAACATGAAAAACTGGGAATAAAAAAATAGTACATACCAGACATCCAGCTCTCTGTCTGAGTTGTGTTGTTTTCACAAATATTTGTTAGATACCATCCAATGTCCAAATCATTGTATAGTCTCAACAGATCAAGATTACTCAGTTGTGTAGAATTAATACTTCTCTCTGTAGCCCAGTCTGACAGGTCAAAATCTAAAAAGGATGAATCATTTAAAATGTAAATCTATTATGAGTATATAGGGAGCTATGGCGGCAAAGTGGACTAAGTAGTAAAACTACTGTATCACTAGCCTGTCAACACTGAGTTTGTGAGTTCCAATTCGGCACGCACCGTTCAACTTCAATCTTAATTAACTAGGATTGTCATTTTTCTACCGAAGGTCATGGTTATCTCAGATATTAATAAACAACTGCGCCACGAGCGCATGATACGCCCGTCGTCTTGTGTGTGAGGTTTTATGCAATAATCATAAATCGTTTTTGAGAAACAGCGCGACATGTGAAACCTCCCCCCCCCCCCTTTTCTTACAAAAAAACTCAATAACTCTGAAATAAAATTATGAATCATCACCAAAAAGTATACAGATCTTTAGATTAATATAACTAAGAAGTGTGTAAAGTTTTAAGCAATAATCATAAATCGTTTTTGAGATACGGCACGAAATGTGAAAAAAAACACCCCCCCTGTTTTAGTTACAAAGTCCCGTAACTCAAAAAGTTTTAATCTTATTTTCACCAAAATGTATACAGATCGTTTGAATATCATAAGAAACAACTATGTTAAGTTTCATGAAATTTGGATAAGTCGTTCTCAAGTTACGGTGAGACGGACAGACAGACAGTCGGACGCCGGACATTTGTATACCATAATACGTCACACCAAAATTTTGACAGGCGTATAAAAAAAAAACCACGAAATAGCACAATAGTGCTGAAAGTGACGTTAAACACCAATCAATCAATCAATATTATGAGTATATTTTATTTTTTCATAATTTCAACCTAAACAAGATTGAGAACATGACTGTCTTGTTTAAAACTAGAATATGTCTTATCTGACTTCCTCTCAACATTTTAATTCTTAACACATTTTCATAAAGGCTTGCTGTTTTTCATTTCATTCAGACTTTATTGGTTCTGTTATTTTTTTTTAAGTCAACAACACACATACAAAACTTCCTCCACCAATAAAAACTGACTGCCACAAAATAGCACAATCGTGCTGAAAGTGGCAGTAAACACCATCAATCAATCAATCATATACAAAAACAAAAGAAAAATGTGTTTGAGGACACGCATGCCCCTGCTCAAGCTTGCTTTTCAAACGAAAATGGGACGGACGGAAGGACGGTCAAGGGTAACACTTAATGCCCACTTCACCTTGTGGCGGGGGCATAAAAAGTGAACCAGAGGAAAAGAAAAGTTTGATTCTAATTTACATGCAAGTTTGCCCTAAATAAAAAGTGATCCAAAATTTATATAATGTACTGCACTCTCCAATGTAAAGGTAGTAGAGTTTATCAAAGTTCTTATACAAAACAATAAAACTACAAGTTCTGATTTGGAATGAATGGAAAATCAAAATAAAGACAAGAATGTGTCCATAGTACACGGATGCCGCACTCGCACTATCATTTTCTATGTTCAGTGGACCGTGAAATTGGGGTCAAAACTCTAATTTGGCATTAAAATTAGAAAGATCATTTCATAGGGAACATGTGTACTCAGTTTCAAGTTGATTGGACTTCAACTTCTTAAAAAACTACCTTGACCAAATACTTTAACCTGAAGCGACCAAAAACATTAACCTGAAGCGGGAGACGGACGAACGGACGGACGCACAGACCAAAAAACATAATGCCCCTAGGTGGGGCATAAAAATGAATTCACTTGAAAATTTTTTGCTATGATACAGATTATTTTTAAGCAGAGCACTAAAGTGCAGATAATTCCTCAATGTCTAAAGATTTTCTATCACTATCCAATGAGATGTATCATACTTACTAGTAATCCGGAAATCATTCTGTAGATTTCGTTGTTGCTTTGGAAGTCGTGTACTTTGCAGTATATAGGTAGACCATACACATGGTTTGTTACTTTCCCAGCAAACAGATATCTCTAGTGTAACCAAGTATACATTCTGACTTGTCAAATCATATATATTGTATCTAAATATAAATAAAATGTTGACAGCATGAACCATCTATATGTAAACCAATTATTTTGCAGCTTGTCTATTCTATTTTGATTTTATCAAGAGTAAATCTGAAGAATCATCAGGTGTTTAAGAGAAAAAACTGATCAGATGAAACTCATGCCAGAAAATTGTTGAAAAAGATGCTGAATTTTTTTCTTTAGATGATGTTTTGTATCTTAAATCTACTTTTTTTTTTTTATTACACAGACGATTCAAAACAAAGTATACAATTATTTACAAAATAAATGATGATAAATCATGGCAACATTTACAGTTTCAGTTGTCTTGCAGAAAAGTTAAAAATTTGAGTTCACAAAGTGATTTTCCCTTAATTATCCAAAGTTCATTACTTCTAAAATACTGATTCTACATGAAACTTTTTTCTTTCTTCCATATGAAAAGAGTGAACAGTGGAGAGTTTATAGGAATTACTGTCAAATGGGGGAAGAAAAAGGCAAAAAGAAATGGATTCAAGAGAAAAAGACAAAAGGGGAGTGAAAGGTCATCTTGTACAAACAAGTACTACTTGTAGGTCATCTATGTACTGTAAAGAACTTTATAAGCTATTGTAAGTAATCACATTCTGAAAGATTTTTATTAAACCTCTTATCCATGTAAAAATTACTGTTAATATGCAAAAATTAAAATGAATACTTTGATAAATAGTTACCTTAATCTGAAAACATTTAGCAGTCTAAATTCATGGTCAATTCCTGAAATAAAAATTGATGTTGTAGTAAACATCTGTTCTGTAATATTTAGTTATTACACAAAACAGCAGCATTTTGAAACATCAACAATGATTTAGCTTGTCAACTGATGTATAGAATCCTGGGTCATCTGATATATATTTCTAAATAGTGAACACCAGTTAAATTACACAACTGCAGATTGTCAAGAACTGAAAATTTAAATAAACTTGGTTAAAAATGTTATGTAAGCTACTCTTTTTAAAAAAATGTTTTGACATTTTTCGTAATTTTCGAGGCCTTTTAATAAATATACTTTTTCATACATACCAAAGTCGAATCCTAACAAAGACAACAATAGCTGGTGTTTGCCTATTCCAATCTCAAGGAGCTGCAAATCATTGTCAAGTTTTAGATGAACTTCAATGTTTTTTTCTAGGAACTCTACATTGAGACAGCAAGATATTTCTGTACAGCTGCTTTTCAAATGACAAACAAGTGGATATGCTGTTATATTTTGAACAATAGTATCTTCACTACAATCTGTAAAATAAATAAAACAAGCATTCTGTGAGTATTGCACGGCAATACATAGTCCCCTACCGGTTAAAAATTCATTGTATTGGAACAAAATTCTGACTTGATCTATAACTTGTCATGGTGTAAACTATATAACAAATATCAAGTCAATATCTTCAAGCATGACGAAAAAAAAGTGTTGAAAACTGATTATTATAGTGAATTTTCTAAGTCCAAGGACCATAACTCTGCACAAAATCATCAAACCGGAACAAAATTCAAACTTGAACTGTAACTTGTCATGATAAAACTATATATCAATTATCAAATCAATATCTTCAAGAATGATAAAAAAAAAGTGTGGAAAACTGATTATTTTAGTGAATTTTCTAAGTCAAAGGACCATAACTCTGCAAAAAATCATCAGACTGGAACAAAATTCGAACTTGATCTGTAACTTGTCATGATAAAACAATACACCAAATATCAAATCAATATCTTCAAGCATAATGAAAAAAAGTGTGGAAAACTGATTTGCCGGACTGATGGGTGGACAGACAAACAGACAGACAGACAGAGTGCAAACCTAAAGTCCCCTTCGACTTCGTCGGTAGGGGACTAATAAATAGCCCAGAAATTAAAATTCATGTTGAGGTGTAATACAGACTATTCAAAATAGTTATGAATGAAAGTTATCACTCGTTTGGAGGCAACTATGAGCAACAAGACCAGTGCCACATGGGAAGCAATATCAGCTCACCATTCAGGAGCACATGTGATCACCACCTCTGTTGACCTGATGTTTCTTTCATTTAAAAAAAAAAAAAATTTTTAAGCCCAAAGCACCCCCTTTAAGTCTCCACTGGCAAGACTATTATTCACGGCTCTATGTTTTTATGGGCCACTAAGTTTTCCTTGGATTCAACTTCTTCCCCTTTACAATTTGCTCAGACAAAACTGACTGAAGTTTTGAATAAGAGTACATGTTCATACACAACTTGAGGAGATCCAAGAAATGAAGGCATTATTTAACAAAATACAGCTGTGATAATTGATGGATGCATGGACAGGTGAAAACATACTACCAATGGAACTTTGTTGTAAAGATAATCAAAACTGTTAGTTTTCATTGATCAGGACTGATATGTTTTGTGTTAATGCTTAAAGTCCAAAGATGAGTTGGACTACAATTAAACGTGTCCCCTTAAATGACAAAAACAAATTACTATGTGAAATCATAAACATTTTCTAGCTACTTGCTATCTCAAGAATTCACATTATAGTTTCATCAAATGTGATCTTGTGAAAAAAGTTCATCAAAATGATTTTGAGCTGTGACTGAACAAAACTGCCATACCTTTTTTCCAACCATTGCTATCTACATCATTTAAGTTGATGTTACATGCTTCACCAATCAGATAACTCGTCAATCCTGTTTGCTCTAGTAGTTCTGAAACATAGTGTCCAGGCAGGATGGTGTCAGACGATAATGTTCTTTCTCTATACCACTGCTCTAAGGAAAATCCTACAAGGAAAGAATCAAAACAAAATATTATTAGCTCACAATTTCTACAACAGTAATAGCTCTCTATTTGGTGGTTAGATTTCATTTGAACATGCCTATGTTTTTTCCATATTTGTTGCAATCATGAAACTAACTAATGGCACCTATAAAGTCATGTTTTGGTGTCATGTTTTCATTTGCTTAACAGAACTATCTTGTTTAAATCATATTTCAAAACATTTTGGGTCAAGCATGTGGAATTTTCTTTAGTATGATAGCAATGAGTTGGGATGTAAATACACACAAATATACCCCAAATATGCACAATAATTTGTTGCACAATGATAAAGTTATTTTTCTTATTGACAGCATATTTAAAAGAACTGCATACCATACTATGGAAGGAATATTTGAGCTAAAAGATCAGTCCATTCTACACATGTTTACCTTTGCTTTGAAAAGATGTATCAGACTGGCACACAGGTTTGGGAAACACCATGTCTTCTAGAATTGGTATGACCAGTTCACATGGACCATTTGTTTCCAGACAAAAGCTAAATTTTAACTGAAGAATGAACATTTCCTGCTGTCTCAGATCTTCCAAGCTATACCTGAAAAATTCAAGTCAACAAATGCTAAAGCATTGATTGGAAAAACAAAATTTAATCAATAAAGATATAGGAAGTTTTGAAATATTTTGAAAATGGAATGATACCTGAAAGACTGTTTGCACCAGTGTCCTACTGTTTGGAAATTTTGAGCTCTCTGTCAGTAGACTATTCCTCATATGAAAATTTTAAGATGATGTTTGAAAAAAAAAACCCTAAAAAACTTAGTTTACAACCAATATCTGGAAATTTTGTGTTTATATGATGGAATTTGATTTAAAAATAAACCTCGTTGTCTACACAGGTAAAGTTTCCCATGTTCTATTTTAAGCCTCGATGTCATAACAAGAGTGCACACGCTGAAATGTCTCGCCTACTTTACTGAACATTGATTTTATGTTGATAGTCCTACATATAAAGTTTTACTACAAGTATCACATTAACATTTATGATCCAAGAAAATGAGGTCAAGGTCAGATAAACCAAGCAAGAAATACATGTACACCTTTAATACAATCCCTCCATACACAGAATATAGATGACCTATTGCTTATAGTATAAAAGAAACAACCAAACCATGGAAATTCTATATTGATCAATGAACCATGAAAATGAAGTCAAGGTCATTTGAACCCTGCCAGACAGACATGTTCACATTAAAATCATTCCAAATATAGTTGACCTATTGCTTAAGGTATCTAAGAAAAAAATTTAACCATGAAAACTGAACATTGACCAATCAACCATGAAAATGAGGTGAAGGTCAGATGATACCTGCCAGACAGACATATACACCTTACAATCATTCCATACACCAAATATAGTTGACCTATTGCTTAAAGTGTAAGAAAAACAGACCAAAACACAAAAACTTAACATAAGCAATGAACCATGAAAATGAGGTCAAGGTCAAATAAAACCTGCCAGACTGACATGTACATCATTAAATATTTCCATACACCAAATATAGTTGACCTACTGCATACAGTATTAGGAAAACAGACCAAAACACAAAAACTCAACATTTAGTAATGAATCTTGAAAATGAGGTCAAGGTCAAATAAAACATGCCAGACTGACATGTACATCGTAAAATATTTCCATACACCAAATATAGTTGACCTACTGCATACAGTATTAGAAAAACAGACCAAAACACAAAAACTTAACATTGAGCAATGAACCGTGAAAATGAGGTCAAGGTCAAATAAAACTTGCCAGACTGACATGAACATCATAAAATATTTCCATACACCAAATACAGTTGACCTATTGCATACAGTATTAGAAAAACAGACCAAAACACAAAAACTAAACTATGACCACTGAACCAGGAAAATGAGGTCAAGGTCAGATGACACCTGCCAGTTGGACATGTACACCTTACAATCATTACATACACCAAATATAGTAGACCTATTGCTTATAGTATCTCAGATATGGACTTGACCACCAAAACTTAACCTTGTTCACTGATCAATGAAATGAGGTCGAGGTCAAGTCAAAACTGTCTGACGGGCATGAGGACCTTGCAAGGTATGCACATACCAAATATAGTTATCCTATTACTTATAATAAGAGAGAATTTAACATTCCAAAAAATCTGCACTTTTTTTTCAAATAGTCACTGAACCATGAAAATGAGGTCAAGGACATTGGACATGTGACTGACAAAAACTTCGTAACATGAGGCATCTATATACAAAGTATGAAGCATCCAGGTCTTCCACCTTCTGAATTATAAAGCTTTTAAGAAGTTAGCTAACGCCGCCGCCGCAGGATCACTATCCCTATGTCGAGCTTTCTGCGACAAAAGTCGCAGGCTCGACAAAAATGTCAAACAGGTAACTGTTGTAAAAACACTGACCATTCTATCTCAAAAGGTGTTAATAATTGATTGGATTTCAATCATTGTCCATAGATTACATTTGGGGTGAATTTTAAAAACAATAACTCCTGCCAGAGACATATAATATGTCTCTGCTCCTGCTAATTATCGATCATTATCCAATGTGAACTCTCGTAATTGGGCTTGGGGTGATCTGCATTAATGTTAAATATTACAGGGCATTTATATATGGTTAAAGAATTTTATACATCAATCATTTATTTTTTAATATTTTATGAAAAGAGCATTTACTTCTAATTATTATATTTTCTCACTTTCAACACTCGTGTCCAGCAAATTACCCGTGCAGGGCCCCATTACTGCTTTGCATATACGAAACTAACGAGGTTAAATAAACAGTGTTACTTCACTGTGCAAGCTGTACATACTGCATATTAAAAGCAGTTCATTACACATCTATTGGTAAAATGATTATAAACTGTGTAGTATTGTTAAACAGTTTATTTTAATCAAAGCGTAACAATGTACATTGTACATACGGGTCATAGAAACAAATCTATTTTTAGAACAATTTGTTTTATTTTCGTATCCCTGTAAAGGAAACGTCGCTACGCAAATAAACTAAAAAAAAATGTGTTGATTATCTTTATTGAAAGAATACAAAATAAAATAACATGTATGACACTAGACATATAACTTTTATTAGAATAAATCAACATTCAATATGTTGTAAGTGGATTATAGACGTTCATCTTTCTTCAGGGATTTCCTTTACTGATCTGTTCTATCGATGTTATTTGACTCAGTAATTTGGCATTTCGGATATAAGCATACTCCTCATAATTTGCATAATTTTGTCCGACAAATAGGCTATGCAAATAACCAGAATCGACTGTACTATAATATTTTATATAAGAGAAGTACAGTAAAAAAAATTACATCCATGAGCACTAAATTTCAAATATGCTTTCAGAATTGAACATTCTTACAGTGAATTATACGTACATAAGTCTCAACACTCCAAACAGATTGAAATGTTCTGTCTCTCCAAAGGTATAATCCAACAGACTATACTTATGATACATCTGTTCTATTCCAACAGTTAAACTAGAGCGACAAGTATCTACATCTAAGAAAAAGTTAAACGTGGTCTTGTTTAGCAGTGGTATCTCTACACAGCATTCTATTTTTGTACAAGATTCAAAAATCTGACAGACAATGTTGTTCGGTAGTTCAGGTAAAGATATTTCTCTCTGACATTCTGAAATGAAAAATATGTTCTAGGAACAAGGTCTTTAAGTTACAGTAAGGAAAGATCAATGTGACATAAGGCTTAGATATTACACTTTTCATTCTTCTTAATGTTGTTTCTGAGTACTTTCTTGTTAGTACTGTGGATTCATTTATTTTTTTAAGAGTATACCAATTTTCGTGGATTGAATGCAACAGCAAAAAAATTACAAGAATACTTTTTTTGGTTACATTTTAATAGTTAAAACCAATTTCCATCACAAAGACTTTATACAGATATACTTACGGTTTTTCCATCCATTCTCATAAATTCCTTCTTCCATTTGGCAAGGTAGATCTAGCTGGTAGGCAGCAACATTCAGATCAGACAGTAACTGAATAACTGTGTAAGGTGGCAATGAAGGGACACTGGAAAAACCTTCCTCAAGTAACCAATTTTGCAATGAAAAGTCTGAAATAAAATATTGAAATCAAAATAGAAAAGTTTGATCTTCTGTTTGTACAGCCTTCATTAATTCATGTGCTTAGGTAGTTTGATTTAGGTGACTTTACTTAAGATGTCCTTGAGAGCATGTGTTGACTCTAGTATAGAAATATGGTCATCATTTGCCTTCTCCTGGCATAAATTCTAAGCCATGTCCCGTTGGAATAGGACCTTGAATCCAAAGCCTAGTGGTCTGTTGCAAGGCCAAATTTCTGCCCCTTTCCAATATACCCTCATTTTCAAATGGCAGTCCAAATTTCCCACCCATTAACCCCCAACATGTGTTTATATTTCTTTTTATGTTTTCTTACAAAGTTGTGACTGTTAATTACACATGTACAAAATTCTACATACAAATTATTGCATAAAGAAACCTGTGAGTGATCTCACAAAAGAATACCCTAGCCCCTCAAATTTTATCTCCCTTTAAGTGTGTTGCACTGAAATTCTATTCCTTTATACATATATGTAAACTTCCATCAATCTGTCCGGCAATTTAGGAGGATTTGTGCTTACAAGACTATTAAACATAATGAAATAATGAAGTAATTTAAATTATCTCCCCTTTGACAAGTAGGATGGGGATTATATTCCTTCATGCATATCTCAAGACGTGTTCTACAACTGGGTCAAGTTTCATCACTAGAGTTCTGCTGTTTATGAGTTGCTGGCAGGGGTATAAAAATTTAATTGAGCTCACCTTCAATAAAGAAACCTGTATTCCAGTTACATTTCTGTTTAGGCAGTTTATATTTGTTGAAAATCCGGATAGATAATTCACAAGGTATAGAACTGTCAGCTTCCATGCATACACTTAAAGTCAAATCAATGAGATAATGTTCTTCTGCTGTTAAATCAACCAAACTTAATCTGTGAAAAAAAAAAACAATTGTTATAAAAAAGATTTTCTCACAGAAACTATTTATATAAATCTCCAGAACAGGAATTTATATAGGGATTCATTGAATGTCTTCTCACACTTAATAAAGTTTTTTACATGGTATTGTTTAGAATGTAGCCTGTGTAAACAGGAATCTTAAAAAACTGTTGATAGTCATTGTACAATTATCTCAAGCCTTCATAGATAGAGGTATATCACATAGTGGGACCAAAACAATTGTATCAATTTTACTTGATCAAAAATTCCAACTTAGTAAATTTAACTGAATATTAACTTATTTTTTGTCTTGTCAGCCTTGTGGTGTCAATTTTGGCAAATTCTCAAAAGCTGTAGTTTATATTTAATACAAAAGCATCAATATATTTCAGCCAGCCAAAAATCAAATATGCTTCATATTACGTTCATCAAAAGTATCATAAACTGCCCAAATATATATAAGAAACCATACAGAAGGTCTCTGCTTAAGAATATACACCTTATAGCTATTTGTCCTCCATTACTGGACATCACAAAGGTTCCCGTAAAATTTTGATGTCATAATAGAAAACATCTGACGCCACAATGGAAAAGTGATTGTTGTATGACGTCAACAGTTCAAGAGGTGCAGATTCTCGGGTCAAGCGGCGCAGATTTTCAAATAGCAATAAGTTCTATTGAATGCTTCTTTTTTTGTTATTTTATTGGGGGGTAAAAGCACTGATCGAAGCAAATTTGTATAAAGTGTGGAAGTGCTTCAAACTAAAAATGTGTAACGGTTTATTTCTTCCTCTGTGATATTTTATCCTGGGGATAATTTGTCACCGAAATTTTTTTCCAGACATGGTATTTCACAGGTAGATTTTATCCAGAGGAGTGATATTCTATCTGTCTTATGAGGATAGTATTTACCAGTATATATTTTCCGTTCCAAATTTCACAGAACCTTGTGAAATATAGTCCCACTGTCTACTATGTAACGTACTCGCAATCAATATATACCTGACCATAATTATAAATGTTTCACCAAGGTAGAACATATTTGCATAATTTATCAATCAAAGGGAGGTAATTATGAGCCATTTATATTTTACAGATATTATATTCCAGAGACAAGAATCTATTTCATAGTGAAATTTTTCCTTTATTCTTAATTTTTTATATCAATTTATATAAAAAGATGACTTAAAACATGATTTAAAAAAAAACTATATTTCTACTTACTTTTTTATTTGTACTGAGATCTGAAAACAACTCACTTTTACCTGTATTTCACTTACCTTATTTTATATATTAAATTGATTGTGATATTATTTCACAATTAGGATCTGTGAAATTACTTCTGGTTTTGTTTCATATGTTTCATGATATTTGTCTTTTAAAAGAATGATATTTACTTTAAAATTTCAGGATATTATTTTCAATTATAATCTGTGAAATTATTTCCCATTATAATACATTTATTTGGTTTTTTATTTACTAATTTAGCTTATATTCAAATACACTATTATTAGTACATAGCATTTGCAAAGATTAAGTTTTTTTAATTAACTATTCAATATTTTAATTTCCCAGATAGAATTTCACGGCAATAGATAATATATCACAGTGAAATATTTTCCTCCGGATAAAAAAATATCAACAACTTCTCTAACATTCTTTCCCCCAGATGATATTTCATCCGGATAGAGTTTTGCTTTACACACACAATCTATGCATTTACAACCCTATAAAATTAGAAAAAAGCATTCAATTCTTATAATTACATTTCTATGCTACAACCCTGAAATTATGAGTTATAGCAAATATTTAGTTTGCTTTCCTATGCATTGTTGTGAAGCTGTCATGAGAAGCACATGCTGTCATAATTGGTGAATTTTAATTAAAGAGAAACACAATTTGATATTGGAATGTATAGCAATTGCTTTCAGCCAATCAAAAGTATGGATTCTTATGAAACATACATGTAATGTAATTATTGAATATTGACAACTCTTTTTACCCATAAAATACTCAACAGTATGAAAACAAGGAATACATACTCCATTCTAATGAATCCAAACAGCCAGACCTGGACAGGGTATCCCCATTCATAGTCAAACAACAATTTACTGAACTGTAGTTGTTCAATTGCAACAGTCAGTTTGAAGAGACAGGGCTCTATGTTAATGAAAGTTCCAAATGATCTGCCAATTTTCTCCAGTGTTATGCAACAGTGTACTGCATTACATGTATCCCCGATGTGGCATCCTACTGGTTCAATGTTACTTGGTAAAACTGCCATGGATTGATTGCACTCTGTAAAATACAAAAGCAATTAAATAAAATGTTCATATTCATTAATCGCAATAAATATTGATAAGCTATTTAACTTTGAAACATTAAGTAAATTACTAGCTTTTGATCAGACACAAGCTTATGTCCAAGAAGTTTGGTACAAATCAGGGATATTTTAAGAAAGTTATTAAAATTTCAAAAACTTTAACCACAGAGTGAATGTAATGTTAACTGGCAGAAAAACTAAGTCAATTTATAAGTAAAATACGGATAAACAGGATTTTTTTTTACAAAATTTACTTCTGCATACTATCTTATGATCATAAACAAGCTTCTGTCCAAGTTTGGTATTGCCATTTATCGTAGACATTTTTTATGTAGTGGTATCTCGGTAGAAAGAAAATTACATTGTGGTATTACGGATGTCAAGTTGGTTCAATATTCAACATTGTTGAACGAATGTTGAATGTTGAAATCGAATGTTGAATGTTGAAAACGAATGTTGAATGTTGAAAATCGAATGTTGAAAACGAATGTTGAATGTCGAAAACGAATGTTGAAAGTTGAAAACGAATGTTGAATGTTGAAAACGAATGTTGAAAGTTGAAAATCGAATGTTGAAAACGAATGTTGAATGTTGAAAACGAATATTAAAAACGACTGTTGAATGTTGAAAACGAATGTTGAAAACTAATGTTGAATGTTGAAAACGAATGTTGAAAGTTGAAAATCGAATGTTGAAAACGAATGTTGAAAGTTGAAAATCGAATGTTGAAAATGAATGTTGAATGTTGAAAACGAATGTTGAAAGTTGAAAATCGAATGATCTGACTGCTTCCCTATCAATATAACAAATTACAATGGGAGTTGCACTTTTATTATACATCATCAGATACTTATTTGATTGTCAAACATTTGAGAAACATTACTATAAAATAAGGCCAATTCAATTTCTAAAGCAGAATTTCATATTATTTTCTCTAAATTTTAATTTATTGGCCAACCACTACAAGAAATTTTTAGAAAAAAAACAGAAAGTCAAATGTATAAAAGGTACAAGAAAACAGTGAGAAGACAGAGTGACATGCATCCATGCCAGTTGAGAGGGGAAAAAATAGATAATTAACCTTATGGTCCCTCTTTTTAGAAATATTGAGAAAACTGACATAAAGAGGTCTCTATACACATTTTCCAGTGGTTTAAGTAACCAACTGTTTATCACTTTACCATTAATATCCAGTCTGATTTTGGTGGCTAGGATAATGATAGGGATTATATATTCATATTGAAAAATTGTAAACACAGTCATTTATCCATCTGAAGAATTTATCAAGCCAGATTTTGTGGCTTATGGTTATTGCAAGACAATTTTATATTTTACCATTTAGCCATCCAACTGTTGTACATTGCTCCTTCTGTAAAAAGTCTGTGATGCCAAGCGTGTCCATCAAATCTGTCATATCGTTCAAACTAAGTTCACTGTTTAAGGATAAACCCTTTCCATTCAAAAAAGTTTTGTAGGAAAAATCTACATAAAAAACATAAACATGATTTATAACAATACTATTTTACCAGTTATTGATTAGTAGGAAAACAGACTAAAATAAATAAACTTATGCCACAATATTACATGCATCCAGCCTACAACATGCCCAAAAAAGTTCATGCTTTGTGAATTTTTTTAGTTCATGCATGGTTTTTGAAGAAGGTCAAATTTCAATAGAGGAGGTAAAATAAGATCCATTATTTGGCCCCTGGTGTCATAAACAAAACTCGACTTCTTTGACATGAAATGGCTATTTTACACATAGTTTTTGCTCAAAATAGATATGAGCCAAGCTATTACGAAAAGAGATATTTTATGCACATTTCATCTTGTAGCCAAATCTCTTGTTGGGTAAACCTTGATTCATATCCAAATATTAATTATAAGATCTCAAACGAGGTTAAAGACATAAAGGTGACATACAAGCAACATGAATAATTGTAAGAATTACAAAAGTCTACCCCCCCCCCCCCCAAAAAAAAAAATATATATGTCCCCATTTCCAATTTACTCAATATTAAGACATAAACTTGAAAACACATACACAAACTCACACACTGTACAATTGGAAAATTAAAAGATAATAAAGGGAAATGGACAATAAGATTATATTGATGGCCATTAAATTTCATCTTTAATTATTATTTTCATTTTGATACAGTAAAATAAAACTTTCATAAATTACAAACACTCCTAAAACATTTGCATGAAAGCAAAACATATTAAAAACTGCTTTAGTAGCTGCTTTTTGACTAAATATTTTTCCCTTGGTACAATAAAATATGTGGTAAATACTCACTTGGATCAATGAAATCACTTTTCCACTCACATAAAGATTTAGGAAGAATGGTATTTTTCAAAATTGGGAAAGATATCATACAAGGTGAACTGGACTCAAAACAAATACTCAAATCTAATGTCACTTCAAACTGTCTTTCTGTTGGATAATCTTTTATCATTAGGCTGAAAAAGTTAATTATGATTACAGTAGAGTCCGGTAATTCCGCCCGTCCTGTAAACCCACCCACTCCCATTTACTTCCAAAATTGTCTCTTCCATGAATATTTCGTCTGCTATTTTATTCATAGGAACTGTACTTATCACCACTGCATGTCAAATTTTAAAGAAAAATCCTTTATTACAAAAATATCTAGTGATATATATAATACAGTTCCTAAAGCTAACGATAATCATATTATTGCTTACAAAACTCATTTCTGACTTGAATTTTTTTTTTGGATTATCTGGAATCCCTTTATAAGTGGTCTATTAATAAATAGATCACCTTTTCCTTTCATAAATTTGTGATGAACTGACCCTCATGCACGAAATTGTCACTTCAACTTTTAACAACGGCCATTTTCAAGTTTTTAACAACCAAAACATAATCATGACGAAAAATATGTTCAGTATTGCGAGGTCAAAATGAGTATTGGAGCCCGTTTGCAACTTAGATCGTGCAATAAGTGAATTTGTGAATTTCTCGTGTCCCACTCCTTTCATTTGCCATTTAAAACTGTATCATCAACTTATTTCTCCATGAATATTTATAATTTAGAATGTTTTCTTCAAATTTAGAGCGCAGAAATCCGCCAGTTTTTAATTGTCTGCTCACACACGGTAACTCCACCCATTGAAAACACTAAAAATGTTTGCACCAATCCAGGCCACATGCGATGTCGAAATCAGAATTTTTTAGGAAACTTCATTTAAAAGGTCACCTCCCTTGAGTGGTCACTTTTGATACCTCCCATGAGTGACTGCTTAATACAGGTTTGACTGTATATCATGTTTTCATGAATGCCAATACTGACAGGCTTTATTTGTTCACCCGATCTTTAAAAGTTGCAAACGCAAATCATTATGATGCATCTGAATTTCCTACTTTTATATCAATATCAGTATAATTTAAATGCATGACAGTAGGTTGACCTTCAGAAATCTTTGGGTTATTGTATCCTTAGGTTGCTGTCTCAATGATGCATACCCCACATATTCTTTTTCAATTTAAACAAATTTGGTAAGAAAGGATTTTAGATTAGAAATTACTTCCACAATGTAAAAATAAATGTATGGTGTATTAATTCATGACCAAAAGTCCCTGAATAAACTTGCCAAAACCAAAAGCAAAGAAACAGTGCAAAAACTCACTTTAAACTAGTTATTAGTTAGGCAAACTTACACTAGTCCCACAAGTCCAAATAGTTTGATATGTTCCTGTTTGCCATAGTCATAATCAAAGAGACTGATGTTAACAGTGAACTTTTCTATCCCTATACTCATCCTTTTGTTACAGGGATCCAGTGTAAGATATGTATTAATAGATCTGCCAATCATTTCTACAGTTGTACAGCAAGTTATTCCAGTACAGTAGTCATAAAGGTGACATGCAGTAGACTCGTCAAGCTCTACCATTGTTATTTCTTTCTGACAGCCTTCAAACAAAAAAAACCTTAAGAATCATTCTCATAAAGTTTTTCAAAAACATTATAAATTATTACTATAATAAAATTCCAGGACAATGCCAGTGCATTTGTCATGTTCAAAACTACTGTGACTTGACCATAAGTGTTGCTGTCCACCTATTGCAGTTTATATAAAATTCTGACCAAATTGCAATTTATTTTATCAAACCAAACTGTTCAACTGGTCAGAAATTTTATCAAACTGCTGAAGAAAAACAGTCAAGTGGTAAAAGTGCAAGGTGATAAATATAGCATACTTCCATTCCTATAAGACTTTAATTCCACTTCATTGATATTATGAAAAATCAGTCTAACAATTTCTATATAAATTTTATTGTAATTGTCATGCAAAAGGTGATAGGTAGTAATTTTTGAATTGCTATAAAAATGTCCAAACTAAGCTTTTATACTATTTTTCTTTCTGAAAGTCTTCTATATTCATAAGAATCAGACATCATTTGAATCAAAACATCTTATATTCAGTAAAATATATGTGAAATTACAATATGTTGTTAATAAGTTTCCAAGGGAGATAATCTAAAAAGCATTGATCTTTTGAAATATTGATCTTATCTCCCTTTAAAACTTCTTGAGAATATATTTAAGCTTCAAGTATATTTCACCAAGTATTTTAAAAATTAATTCAAAAAAAAGCTTTGTAGCATGCATAGAAAAACACCATTTTATTAGAAATAATTCAAAAACTTAAATTTGGACATTTTTTTTAGCAATTCAAAAATTACTACCTATAGTGATTAGCTGGGGTCATAAACTTGTCATAAATATGTCGACAGGTAAAATTATAGATTTATAGAATATGCTCAGAAAAACTTCAAAATCTGTAACCAACAATTTTTTCGTGTAGATTTTCTGAAAATTGGGATTTTGACTTGTTTTACGATCCCAATATTGTGATTCGAGTTGAGGCATGAAAATCGGGATGATACCGCCAAAATTGGGATAGTTGGCAGGTCTGCAGTTGAATAGTTTGGTTTGATAAAATAAATTGCAATTTGGTCAGAATTTTGAATAAACTGCAATAGGTGGAGAGCAACACTTACAGTCAAGTCACAGTAATAGAAAAAAAGACTTTTTAAAATTAAGTTTTGTTGCATTCATTATTCCCAGGTAAATCTTGAATGACTTCTGCAGATAAACACAATAAATTCAGATGTGAATGCCAGCATATTAATTGCATGGAAATGCATCAGGATTTTAAAAGAAGAATGTGTCTGAGGACACAAATGCCCCCGCTCAAGCTTCAAAGAAAAAAAAATGGGAGGAAAGGACAGATGGAAAGATGGAAGGTCAAGGGTAACACTGAATGCCCCTGTCGCCTACGATAGGGGCATAAAAAAAAACCAGTTAAATGAATAGTTGAAGAAAAATTTTAAGGTTTGTAATTTTAAATTAAAATTCATTTATAGCAATATACTAACCTATATTCCATCCATTCTTTCTTGGGAAATAAGGTAAGTTACTGACATCACACTGACTTTCCAATAAGAAGGGGGCAACACCAAGGTCATGAAGCAGCACTGATGTTATGTATGTAGAAAGTTGTAAGCCATTAAAAGTTACTCCCTTTTCTGATAGGACCTCTGTCAGTGAGAAATCTATAACAATACAGAAAAGAAGTATTACATAACGTTCTATAGAAAAGAAAATCAAAGATGCATAACTCTTAAACATTACCTTTAATTGTTTGAAAATTGACACTCTTAAATACCAAAGCCGTTTCTTACAGTTAACTCAAATGTTATCAACAGTAATGGATTAATTTAGCAAAACTTGAATTTTGTAAGAGATATTACTTTTGTATAAACACATGAGGCAAAAAAGTTAAATTGTTACAAAATGTGAAAAATTATAACATAATTTGTTTAGGGCTTTTCCATTAAAATGTATGTGGGAGGGTAGGAAGGGACTTTCAAAATATCCCTACAACCAAGAACCATTTTTTAGATAATTTTGCATAATGGTAATAGAGGCATACTGAAAAAAGACCCATGACCCACATTCAATAATTAAACTTCCCTTCCTACCCTCCCACATATATTTTAATGGAATAGCCCTTATGGAACATAATCTCACTTGGCATTTTAAATCCAGCATTCAAGTTACAGGCAGGTTTAGGAAGTCTAACATCTTTCATTAATGTTTGTTCAAGTTCACAAGTAGCAGCTGATTCTAAACATACAGACACATTTACACTGAATACAACTACACCATCACTGGTCAAATCCTCTATTATAAAACTGAAAAAAAACCACAAATACATAGATATAGAAGCTAATATCAAGAAACTGATATGGATGCAAAATTCACAATTATCTGTTTGTATAGAAAAGTTAGTTACTAATTTTCATAGAAAAACAAAATGTTTCTGTTTTAACTGCACTTTCCTTGTTTATTTTTTAAGTCTACTTATGCTCATTCTTCAATCTGTAATGATGCATCTTAAAAACCATAAACATAGGGTCCAAGAGATGGCAATCAACGGAAAGAAAAAGCCACATCAAAGCTGAAAATTTGGTAAAATAAAGTATCTTTTTCCAAAATCAGCATATGAATTCCAAAATCACAAATTAATCCAAATGATAAATTAAGAATTTCGATAAATTAAACACAACAGCAGTGGCCAACCCTGGTATCAATTATTAAGATTTTTTTTTCAAAGCAGATAACCTAGGACGAAATTACTTACATTTGGAGAAGACGAACACAGTCACAGCAAAGAATATGATTCATTTAAAATTTTGTCTTTAAAGTAATAGCATTCATCTTGGTTTTGTGGGTAGAATCATAATTATAAGCAAATTTGAAACTGAAGAGGACTAATCTAAGCCAAATTTGGATTAAATTGATAATAAACAACTTAAAGTGTATTCAGAGGAAGGTTTTATATATATTTTAATACTAATAGTTCAATGCTTCATAGTCACATTAATCTTAGGTCATTTATTTATCTATTGAACCTAATATTTTCAATTTTTTTAGTACGCATTGGGACACATAAAATTTTGGTCCCACTGAATTTTGGTCTGTCAAATTTGTCTGACCAAATGCCCAAGAGTCCTTAAAAGAAGAGCAAGGTCTGATCACAGAAATAATATACCTCAAATCAAGAAATCCATACAGTGAAAATTTCTTCCTAGATCCATATTCATAATCAACTAAGGTATATTCCAGTGTCACTTCCTCCAGTGTTACAGTGAGTTTATAGTTACAAATATCTAGATCAACAACAGTGTTCACTGTGATGTTTAGCAGTGGGGTATCTGTACAACAATATACAGCTGTGCATTTGTCAGGAATGTAGCAGGATGTATGGTTAGAGATTGGTTCTTCTAACACAACAGTTGCTTTTGATGAACAATCTGGAAGAATTCATACATTGGTATCTTTTCAATACATGCATAAAAAAAAATAAATAATATAATACATAAGCTAATGTGTACATGGGGATTCTTTATCAAATGTTGGGTACTATTTTTTTGTAAACAATCAAAAAACAAATTTTCTTTACCAGTTTTATGGACTTCCCTCTTTTTGAATTTACTTTACATCTTTGGTAATTTTGTAAACACATCTTTTTCCTCACAAAATGATATGTGGTGCTGACAAAAATATATGAATCCACAGTATGAAGACGGAATGGATCTTAAAATTATAACAAATTAAACAGTCCACATACTAACCTAAGGTTTTTTAAAGTGGCATTGTTATTTTTTCTTCGGCTTGTGAGTTTTGAATGTCCCGTTTGTAACAGTACCTTAATGGTTTTATACATGTACCACTCCAGTTAAAATGATAAAATATTTCTGATATCTCAATGTTTTACCTTTTTTCCAAGCATTACAAAAAGGTTGTGCTTATGGATCTACCAATGATACACTATTATCTTATACAATGCTAGTAAGATTGTATCAAGTGCATTGTTTGGTCAAATAACCTACACCATCAATGCCAATCAAACAAAACATAAAATACCTAATATTGAATTAATTTTCAAAAGAAATATTTTGTACCTTAAAAATATATTATGAGTTTATTCTGAACATATTGCATGAAGTATTACAAATCAAAAATTAAAAAAATTAGTCTTTTAAATCATGATCACTATTTTTTTCATGAAATCTTCAATTAAAAAGTAAACTACCATTTGACCATCCATTATTGTGAACTGTAAAAGGTGTTGCAGATCTGTCACAAGATGGAGACTTTAAATAAGATGATACTCCAAGAGTTTCAACTACATCTGATGCTGTCATCTGATTAAGCTGAGTCAGTCCTTTTTCCAACATATATTCAGAAATGGAAAAATCTGGAGAAAATCATGAAAATAGAAATTAACTACTATCAACAAAACATTCTCTTAGTCCTAAAGTAAACAAGTTAAGCAGAAAACAAAAGTAAACATAATAAACTGTGAGCAATTATGATACTCCCACTATAAGTATTTAGCAAACATGAAGTTGATGAGCAATGGATGTGAAAACTTGTCATATGGTAAAGCATGATCACATATCTTATGCTTGATAATAAATTTTAGAAATCTCTGATTTGTTGTTTCTGCGAAAAATTAGACAAAAATTCATACATGGCCATTATGTGTTAGAATATATAAGTATTGAGTAAAAAGGAAATTGACAAGTAATCAAGATGAAAAGGCATCAATCAGTATAGCATCGTCCTGTGAAGCTTGATACGAAATTTCACGAAGCTCTGATTTGTAGTTCTCTATAAAATAAACTGTTAACACAGAGATATGTCTCGCCTATTTGTTATTTTGATAATGCAAATGTTGAAATTAAAATACCAATACTTTAACATGTAAGCTATGCAAATATTCAAAGTCAATGAACCATGACTAAAGGTACAGGGCTAAACAATCTCCATGGAAATGAGATGTGCCAATGCTAATACAACTGCATACCAAATACCATTGACTTTTCATAAGTCGTTCCCTTTAAAGAAACCTAAACACAAACATTAACTTGTAAACTAAGCAAAAGTTTCAAAGTCAATAGACCATGACTGAAGGGGCAGGGCCAAATACTCTCAATGGAAATAAGATATGCCAATGTTTATACAACTGCATACCAAATATCATTGACCTACCACTAGTGGTTCCCCATAAACTGACCTAATCTCAAACTAATACATGAAAACTAAGCAAAAGTTTCAAAGTCAATAGACCATGACTGAAGGGTGGGGCCAAATAATCTCCATGGAAATGAGATATGCCGATGCTTATACAACTGCATACCAAATATCATTGACCTACCACTAGTGGTTCTCCATGAACTACCTAATCACAAACTTATACATGAAAACTAAGCAAAAGTTTCAAAGTCCAAAGACCATGACAGAAGGGGCGGCGCCCAATAATCTCCATGGAAATAAGATATGCCAATACTTATACAACTGCATACCAAATATCATTGACCTACCGCTAGTGGTTCCCCATAAACTGACCTAATCACAAACTAATACATGAAAAGTAAGCAAAAGTTTTAAAGTCAATTGAACATGACTGAAGGTGCGGGGCCAAATAACCTCCATGGAAATGAGATATGCCAATGCTTATACAATTGCATACCAAATATCATTGACCTACCACTAGTGGTTCCCCATAAACTGACCTAATCACAAACTAATACATGAAAAGTAAGCAAAAGTTTTAAAGTCAATAGAACATGACTGAAGGGGCGGGGCCAAATAACTTCCATGGAAATGAGATATGCCAATGCTTATACAATTGCATACCAAATATCATTGACCTACCACTAGTGGTTCCCCATAAACTGACCTAATCACAAACTACTACATGTAAACTAAGCAAAGTTTCAAAGTCAATAAACCATGACTGAGGGGGGGTGGGGGGCAAATAAACTCCATGGTAATGAGATGTGCCAATGCTTATACAACTGCATACCAAATATTATTGACCTACCACTAGTGGTTCACCATGAACTAGACCTAATCACAAACTAATACATTGTTGACACCGCCGCCGAAAACAGCATATCTATGTCTCGCTTTTTGACTCTGTCAAGGCGAGACAATAAGGGACAAAAACTTCATGGGATGGGTGGACAGACATAGGTAAACCAGTATATCCCCATAAAAAAATGACTATAATCTTATTGTCAACAAAGCATTTAAAAAAGCTGTCTCTAATTAAAAGAAAATGTTTAAGCAAAACAACAAGTTTTATTGTTTTACTTTTTGAATGAAGGAACCTGATGCTCCAATGAGCCTGAACTCCCCATCATGCCTTCATAGTTTGGTCAAATGCCGCACACAGTCATTATGTTGCACATAAAAATCACAATGTTTTTAAGCCTACATTTTCATCATGAAAAGTCTGTATTGTTCAACTTGCATCTATGTGCAAATCTGACTCTTTAAAAAGAGGCTTTCATTTTAACTAGACGGTATTCTGATTCTTTTGTAATGTTTTGTTCTTGACTTTCGTAACTATTTGCTGAAATACTGGTATAATTTGCAGTGTGGCACAAAATGGTAAATTTGTTTATCTTTTTTATCTTGTATTTTTATGATTTATTCTCCTGAGAGAAAAAAAATCAAAGCTTTAAAATGGGTATTAACAAACAAGAAGATTTTCTATATTCATTCACAAATATATATTTTTGTATTATATTTCTTCAAAGATTTTTACCTGGTATTTTAAATCCTTTATCCCAGTTACACAATGTTTTAGGCACTCTACTTCTATCAAGAATCTGTAATTCTTGACAAGGCCCATTATATTCCCAACATAACCCAATGACCATAGAAATGGCATATTGTTGTTCCGCATAAAAGTCATCTATCAAATACCTACAAAATAAATGAAAGAACCTTAGTGAGCGCGCTCACATACCCCACGTCCCCACATTGTCATTGGAGAAATAAAATAAGTGTAAGAAAAAAAAATTGTATCAGAAAAAAAAATTGAATCATAATTTCCTGTCAATATGCACATCTACATAGTATGTCCTTATTATCTACACAGTTTCATGAAATTCTGTTGTGTGATTTGAGAGGAGTTGCGATGACAAAAGGTTGCAGTAGTATATTGGGCAAATAAGTTCAAAGGGGTGTAACTCCTGGAAAAAAAATTGAATCGTAATTTCCTGTCGATATGCACTTCTACGTAGTATGTCCTTATTATCTGAAAAGGTTTCATGAAATTCTGTTGTGTGGTTTGAGAGGAGTTGCGATGACAAAAGGTTGCAGTAGTATATTGGGCAAATAAGTTCAAAGGGGTGTAACTCCTGGAAAAAAAATTGAATCGTAATTTCCTGTCGATATGCACATCTACGTAGTATGTCCTTATTATCTGAAAAGGTTTCATGAAATTCTGTTGTGTGGTTTGAGAGGAGTTGCGATGACAAACTGTTGCAGTAGTACATTAAAGTAAATAAGTTCAAAGGGGCGCAACTCCTAGAAAAAGAATTGAATCGTAATTTCCTGTCGATATGCACAACTACATAGTATGTCCTTATTATCTAAAAAGATTTCGTGAAATTCTGTTGTGTGGTTTGAGAGGAGTTGCGATGACAAGAAACAGGACTGATGGACTGACGGACTGACGAACGGGTCAAAAACATTATACCCTCCGCAACTCGTTGCGTGGGGTATAATTAGAATATATATAGACTGCAATTTAAATATGAGATAAACAAGAATATGTGTCCTAATGAAACAGTTCCTGCTCGCACTATCAATTTCCTTTTCCAGTAAATTGTGAATTCATGGTCAAAATCGTAGTTTGGTATATATCATCATACTGTACACGTGAATAACCTTAACCAGAAACATTAATATTACACACGATCAAATTTTATGTTCAGTGACTGTTTGAAAAACATAACTTTGCATCATATCATTTAAAATTTCATGTCATAATGAATATGTGTATTAAGTTACAAGTTAGAGTGAGCAAATATAAGATAAATATTCATGACCAGGACATCATGACTAACTGTAACTAACTGAGTTTACCCTCTTTAAATAAAGAATTTATTATTATTATTATATTATTTTGACATTCTTATCAAGAACATAATTCTGACTCCTGTCTTCTACTCCTTCATGCTGCCTGCTTAGCTGTCAGAGAAGGAACAACTACCAATTTTAGAACTATAACATTTAGAGCAGGGATAATATCCACAAATGCTTCAGCACAACAGGACTAGCTTGTTGGTTTATCAAATGTTTCAGTGTCTTTTGCAACAGAACAAAAGTACTACGTAATCATAAGTATAATAAAAATAAAAGAGAAGGGATGAGATTGAAAAATAATGGGTTCACCACTCATGTTCATGTGCATATACCCAGTTCGGAACCTTGTCAGTAATTGTTTATTTTATATCTTTGTGTGTTAGTCTTTGACTTTTACATAAATTAGGTAACAGTTCAAACAAAGACATTTCAACAGATCAAAATGCATTTCTAGACACATTTTTTTTTATCTCCAATCTTCAGCTTTTTTCTTAATGCTTTGTGCTACTGATGAATTAAAAAAACAACAATTCTATAGCTTTGGAAAGACCTTGGTATGGATCAAAGTCACAACCTTTGATAGAAGAAGAGAGACTGCCTAAAGCTAGTCCAAAGTTAGTTTTTGAACTCAACAAATTTCATTTAAATTAAAGACCTCAGAAGATAAAAGTTAATTATTAAAAGAAAATAAACTTTACTTTATTTTCAGTACTCCATACAGGTCCATTTCTTCCCATTCACCCCAGTGATAACTATTCAGCAAAATATCCATCTCTAATCTCTCAATCCCAAACTTTAAAACATAGTTGCAGGGATCAAAGTTTACAAAGAAATATAAAGATCTGTCAATTAAGTCCACATCAAGACAGCACTGGACATTGTTACAACTATCATCTAAGTAACATGTTATAACAGATGTGTCAAGATGAGGCAGTGAAATGGATGTTGATCTACAATCTGTAAAAAAAATATCTAAGTGAAAAATCTCAAGATGTCACTACATTTAAACATTATTGCGAACCCAATGAAAGTTTTCCACAGTGCCATCTCTATCTTGACCAGGTATTTAAAATTTTGCAAGTTCACCTGTCCTATTGAATGAACTTTACTTTATTTTCAGTACTCCATACAGGTCCATTTCTTCCCATTCACCCCAGTGATAACTATTCAGCAAAATATCCATCTCTTATCTCTCAATCCCAAACTTTAAAACATAGTTGCAGGGATCAAAGTTTACAAAGAAATATAAAGATCTGTCAATTAAGTCCACATCAAGACAGCACTGGACATTGTTACAACTATCATCTAAGTAACATGTTATAACAGATGTGTCAAGATGAGGCAGTGAAATGGATGTTGATCTACAATCTGTAAAAAAAATATCTAAGTGAAAAATCTCAAGATGTCACTACATTTAAACATTATTGCGAACCCAATGAAAGTTTTCCACAGTGCCATCTCTATCTTGACCAGGTATTTAAAATTTTGCAAGTTCACCTGTCCTATTGAATGAATACAATAGCTATTTTTCTCTGTGTAGTTTATTCACTGGGACCTTTAAATTTCTTCTAAGAGAAATCTATCATTCATTGATTAAATTACCTGTGTAAAAAAAAATTCTTATATATAGACAAAAATACTTTTTTTATACTCATTAATTGCGTGTGCTGATGTATTTATTCAATATTAATAATATATTTTCATTCAGTTTAATATAAACATTGATTCAATCATAAAAAGTTGATTTCTAACAAAAGTTTTATCAATGTTCCTATTGAAATTTGATTTTTTTTTGTTTAGTTATAGAATACATTTAAGAAGATCTTAATTTGAAACATCATTATTTTCAAGTTCTTATTCATGTCAAACAAATTTTTTTTTAAAAAGAACAATGTTGAAAGTTTTGTCAGAAATCAAATTTTTATGATTGAATCAATGTTTATATTAAACTGAATGAAAATACATTATTAATATTGAATAACTACATCATCACATGCAGTTAATGAGTATAAAAACAGTATTTTTGTCTATATATAAGAAATTTTTTTTACTCAGGTTATTTAATCAATGAATGATAGATTTCTCTTCGAAGAAATTTAAAGGTCTCAGAGAATAAACTACACAGAGAACAATAGCTATTGTATCTTTTCAATAGGACAGGTGAACTTGCAAAAGTTTAAATACCTGGTCAAGATAGAGATGGCACTGTGGAAAACTTTCATTGGGTTCGCAATAAGAATCCTTTTCTTTTCACATTCACATGCTCTAAGTTGATACGTGATTTGTGAAATACAACCAAAAATGTAATAATGTTACACATGAAATAATGTAGCAATAATTTCATTTATGACATGTTTTATGATAGAATTAATGTTAAAATGATTGTAATGAACTTCTAAAAATATTTCACCCTATTAATTCAAGTCATTATTAAACTCAGTATTACCTGTGCTCCAACCCTGGTACTGGGCAGCAAAAACAGAGCTAGGATCATGTCGACTGCATTGTTTCTCCTTCAGAAAAGGTGCTATACCAAGTGTATCCATTAGCATCAATATTGCATTTGTAGACAATTTTTCTGATGTGTCTATCTGCATATGACTGTACCATTCTGATATTGACCAGTCTGGAAACAAAAGGATATGCAGTTGGCTCAGTGATACAATACTGTAATTTCAGAAATTATTGTGAAGTTTTTATTAATGTCAAAAATGCAACAGTAACAGGTTGGCAATTTAAGAGAATGTGTTTCTCACCTATGTCTTTGTGCACCTTCAACAATGGACACTCTAGAACATTGTAGATTAAAATATAGTTCATGACAAAAATCTCTTTGTTGCTGATAATTTTTTCTGTTTAAAGTTTCTATCTTCTTTAATTTTTGTTAAAAACACAAAAAAAGTAAAAACTGTCATTTAAGGGCAATAACTCCTTTAAAGAGTCAATTAACAATTTCTGGTATTGTAAAAACATAAACACTTACTGTAAAAACACAGGAGCCAATCACTTTTTATTCTAAATATTTGTTAACCATTTGAAACTGGAAGCTCAGCCAAAAAATCAACCAAAAGAACATTATCCTGATAGAACTGCTGGCCTCTGAATATATATTCACTTACTTGTATTCCTAAACCCCTTTGTCAGGCCACAGTGTACTTTTGGTAATTCAGTTTTGGAAAATATTGTTGTTTGAAAAGCACAAGGTCCTCCATCATTAAAGCAAACTTTAAAATCCAGATCTATATAGTATGCTGATAAACCATTGAAGTCTGTAATTTTGTAACTGAAAAATACAATTAAACAGTCAAGCCTGTTTTTTTTTAATTTTATTTCAGAAAGCATATCATGAAAGTTAAAAATAAACTTGCATTTTATCGTTTGCATAAAATTACACACTACAGATTCTTGTTATTCATATTCTCTGTTGAGAAAAGAATAGTTTAACAACTTAACTTTTCAACCATATTTTTTGTTACCACTAAGTGTTAATTATAATTTTCAACTCAATAATCAGTATCACAACCTTTATCTGAAAACAACTGATACTGTACTATAAATTCAGACACAAGACATTTATGTCAGTACATGTATAAGAATGTGTCTGTTGTCGTGCTAAGTATACCCCTACTCCTTGCTCACACATCACAACTAATGAGCTCATTACTTTTGAGCTGCTGTCCATATATGAGGTCATTCTGTTCAGTATTTTGGAGAAATGTTTGGAAGAACGAATGGTGGAAAAGATGGACAGAAGGACAAGTGGATTGTAATATAAACCCGAGTTTTAGAGAGCGGGTACGATCATTTCTTTTTGCACATGCACTACAAACACAACTGACTTGCTGATGTCAAATTTTAACTGTAGGATAATTGTTTTTACCAACAATTCAGGTTGGTTAGATTTAAAAAAACTGAAATTTGGCAAAAATATTATCTTTCACAATCTTGTCATTTATTTATTGATAACATATGCTCACTTACCTTATTTCAATCACTTGTCCAATATGAAAATGTTTTTGAATGCCAAATTCAAAATCCATTAGAAAAAATTCATATTGATACTTTTCTATGCCAATGTTAAATGTATAACTGCAAGGATCTATTGTAAGAAAAAAATTGATATTTCTATTGATAAATCCAATGTGTGCACAACAGCTTAACCCAGTACAAGTGTCATCTAAGTAGCATGTCACGGATTCTGGTAGGTCAGGAAGGTTCACCTCTGATGTGCATTCTAAAAAAAATAATGTTGAAATAATGCTCAAGACATTACTTTACAATTCATAACACATCATAGCAAGTATTTCGACTTGTTTTTAAGAAATTCAAATTATAACATAAGCAGATATATAATGAAATAAAATTTTTAAAAAATCTACCTTTGTTGACATCGATGGACCATTATATTAAGGCAATATCAAAATTGACATATACTGATATTTATCGCTTTTTTCTCAAAATTTCCCTTGATCTTTTTTTGTGATAATATACCACATCACACTACTCTAGTAAAATTGGATTTTCTCAGTCCATTCAAAAGAGAATGTATGACGACATAAGCCTATGTCATTTATGTTGCCTGGGAAAATAGGGAAAAAACAGATCATCAATGGTCTTTCCAACTAGAGGATGTTTCTAGCTACATCTTATTTCAGGGCTATCGCCCTTGATGAGATTGTAGATAAGAAGCTCCCTCCTGTTTGAAGAAACATTGATAGTCTATAATAAGGCCACATCATTCTTTGATATATACTTATCTTTCAAATGTGTGCACACAGAAGTTATATTATATCTATTTTTTACAGATTGTAGCTGACCATGGTTTTCTGAGACAACTGTCTTTTGCTTAAAAACAGACACAACCAGGATATTCTGATTGGTTTCTTCCTCTATTTATACATATTGCATATTCTAATCTTTTTGTTTATTGTTTTTTACCTGAATTCCATCCATTGCCACTTTCAGTTTTGTATTTACTACTCGACTGGTCACATGCTGGATTCAACAGATAACCAGCTAAATTCAGATCTTCCATGAGCTGTGATGCAAGGACTGAGGGTAACTGTGTTAAGGAGCTAAGTAGTCCTTTATTACTCATCCAATTACTTATTTTGAATCCTGAAATACAAATGTATCTAAAAAATTTTCTGTTTAAAACTCAAGATGGTGGGCAATATTTCTAATCCTTACTATGTGAATAAAGGAAATGTTAATGAGACAACAACTCACAGTACAAAAGACATATAAGAAACAGAATCTTTTGACTCATACATCCTTGTGAATTCTTCAATAAAATTCAGCTTTTGTTATAAATGCAGTCATCCAAATCATATAAATTAGCACTATGCACAAAACAGTATAATATGACCATCGAAATATTAAGTGCCTAAAGATGGACAAACATATAATATAATACATTATACATATTTTATATGTTAGAATCTTGTGTCATTTTGAGATCACATGGCAACCTCAAAATACTTGCTACTGCAAACAAAGGGCTATCACAGAGTTGTGAGAAAATTAACTCAAATACAGCTATAAAAATATATTTCAAAGTATTTACTGACCTGGAATGACAAAGTCATCCGACCATGAACAAAGTAGTTTTGGTATCCTTACACTGTCCAAAATGTCAAATTTGTATCTACAGTCTCCATACGTCTCAAAACATACACTGATCTTAACATCAAACAGGAAAATCTTCTCAACTGTTATTTCTTCTAATCTGAATCTGAATTTTTCAGACAAATGAAATTTGTTCTGACTAAACTTATTGTTATCAAAATATTTGTCATCAAAGTAACAGAATAGTAAGCATGTCAGACATATAATTGATATAGATTGTAGCTTCACATCAGATTGATGAAATAATTTCTTAAGTCACAAAATTTTGTACATGACTGCCCTTCTTTAAATAATTAAAATGAAACTATTGTTTTTATTCTTTAAATTCAAAAAAGATAAGCATCCCTTTATAATCAGGGAATATATTTAAGAAATGACTGTAATATTTTTTCTGTCTATGAAGAAATAACATCAAAAATGTGGTGCACACTGAGTAACCCGCGTAGCGGGTTATTTTAAAGTGTGCACCACATTTTTTATGTTATTTCGAATAGACAGAAAAAATATTACAGTCATTTCTTATAATTTAATTCTTAATTCCATTTTAAACCGGAGTAAATCATGAAAAAACGTTGATGACGTCAAGGTCACATGACAAAATTATGTCTATGAGCTGATAAACAAAACAACGTCAGCCAATCGGAAGACGCGTTACATCCAAAATTAAATTATTGTTAAAGGGAAAATTTGTGATTTTTTAGTTTAAATATGTTCATTATAACATAAAATACATATTCACAAAGTTTTATAGCTATCTGTGCAGTAATAAAGAAGAAAATCAATAATTAATAATTGTTTTATTGACTACTTCCTGTAGTACGTGGCATTAACTCCTGGTATTGCATGCCGGGATTTAAAGTACTATCATTTAAAGTCTTGGTCTTTAATCATATTTTAACGTAATCATTAACGCGCCGATGACTAATTTTGATAGCTAATTACCATCCGATAGTAAGAAAATAAAACGAACAGACATGCAACTTTTTACATTCATGAGATAAAATTTTCTATGTTTACCGTATATATTTCGATTTTTGACATGTTGACAGCGCAAAAAATAAATCTTCTTTTAAATTTTCTTTTCCAACGAATATGGTGAAAAAAATTTAAGAATATAACTTTAACTGTAAGGACAATAAGTCACGGTATGTTTTGACCCTTAATTCAAGCAAACATTTCTACGCTAGGACTATGTTAATACAATGTGTATTATTCCCTGGCAATACCCATGGAAGGCTTGATATAAAATCAAGATAATGTGCAGATCGGTATTTAGCCGTGTCTCCAGGGCACACCGTGCCAGGTGTGAATGTCCTTTCGAATGGATTATAAGACAGAAGGTCGAGTTTAATACACAAAGTTAAAATACATATTAAAGGTGGTGGCAAATACAAATAGATCGCCGTGGTATATTAAATTATATTTAGGGTTAGGTCCGTTGTTAGCCAAATTATGATATTGAACATGTATTTCATATCATGTAGGATGAATAAATCCGATGTTATTAAAATGATAAATAATGTTCAAATTAAATCTAAAGGAGAAGTTATTAAAATCGAAATGATTTTTTTATTTGATCAGTTTAAAAACGAAGAAACAATCTTGGGGAAACTAATAATCAAGTGTTATAATAAATATATTTATTAAAGGTATTGGTCACATGACGTAGTTACGGTCAAGTGATTGTTTACTATAAACACGTGTGTGTGTTTACATCAAGCACATGGTGTGTGTTTATGTTCTATTTGATTGGATGGCATATACCCGCAATGCGGTTTTTACGGGTATATGCGCTCATGAGATTCGTGAAAAGCATGATTAAGTATTACTTAAGGGGTTCGTTTGAGAAAATAAAGTTATTCGAAGTTTGCCTATAGTTAGCGTAGCAGCAGTTCGTTATTGTGGTATGTCTGACTCCGAGAAACTTCTAGATTCTGACCATGAATCTTTGCCTGGTCCTAGTGTACATTCGTTGCCTGATGGTAGTTCTGCACATCATACTGGTAATAACGACTTGGTGGATACATTCTCGCTGTTTAAAACCTATCTTGACGGGAAGATCGCTACTCTTCACAAAGACTTGGCCGTTGGCAATGAGAACTTCGCTACCAAACTCAAGCAAGAAGTGTCAGTTAAACTTAAAGGTGAGGGTAATCAGATACAGTTCAATTTCAATTGTGAAATTATGGCCGACCTTGTTAAGCTTCAGAAGCGTATTCCTGATGAAGATGCAGCATGTCTTAAATTGGTATCTGGTGCTATCCTCAAAGTTAAGAAGCGTAATAAACTCATCCGCATTGCAGACAAATCCCCCGCAGGCTGGAAAACCGTCCGCGAATATGAGAGTGACGACCTTGCCTCCGACTCAGAAGATGAGAAACGCATTCGTTCTGCAGAAAGCCGTGCCATTAGGAGTATCAAGGAAAAGAAAAGACCTCATCCTTATAGAACCGTTACAGCTACTGTTTCTGCTCCTCCTGCTCCAATGCCCAATCAACACAACGTTCGACAAAACAATTATCAACAGCCGCCCTTTCGGACCAGCAGACGGAGGGAACCCTCATCTCATGACATCTGTTACAACTGCAACCAGATTGGTCACTGGCGAACTCAGTGCCCCCTTTTCAGTACAAAACCAGCTGTCCCAGGGACATCAAGGCAACAGAGTTAATGATAAGTATTTTGATACTACTTTTTTAGATGAAAGCAATCTTTACGGACAGTTTGAACTGTTTCTGTCACATGCTAAATATTTTGATAATATTGATATTTCATCTGTTGCAAAAGGGGTAAAATATAGTTTACGCAAGCATATACAATTCTGGAAACATATAGGTGCAAATGAATTTGTTATCAATACTATCCAACATGGTTACGTTATTCCATTTTTGCAGACTCCTACATCTATGTCATTTAAGAATAACAAATCTGCAAATGTCCATTCTAAATTTGTAAATGAAGCAATTTCAGAATTACTGAATATCGGATGTGTTATTGAAACGCCATTTCAACCGTTTGTTGTAAATCCGCTAAGTGTTGCAGTTCAAAGTTCGGGCAAAAAACGTCTGATTTTAGATTTAAGTGAACTGAATGTTTTTATTAAAAAAGAAAGAATAAAATTTGAGGACTGGAAAGTGGCTTTAAATTATTTCACAAAAGATTGCTATCAATTTAAATTTGATCTTAAGTCTGGATATTTTCATTATGACGTATGTACTAAACAACAAACATATTTAGGATTTTGCTGGAACGAAAAATTTTACTGTTTTACAGTGTTAGCCTTTGGTCTATCATCTGCTCCATATCTATTCACAAAATGTCTACGACCAATCGTAAAATATTGGCGAGAAAATGGCGTAGATATTGTACTTTACTTAGATGATGGACTTGGAATGGGTAAAAATAAACAAGAAGCTTCCGAATGTTCATCTTTCGTGAAAACCTCCTTGTTAGAAGCAGGGTTTTTAATTAACATGGATAAATCTATTTTTGAGCCAGTACAATGTTTAGAGTGGTTAGGTTTAGTTTGGGATTCGTCTGATTTTTCAATTAGTATATCAGATAGACGGATTGATAATACACTTACATCATTGGTTGATATTTTGAATAACTTTCCTAATTTCACAGCACGTAAATTGGCTCAGGTAACGGGAAAGGTAATTTCTATGTGTCCAGTCATGGGTAACATAACTAGTTTAATGACCCGTTATTTACACTGGGCAATTGAATACAGAGTAAAGTGGGATTTAAAGTTAATATTGGAATGTCCTGATTGTGTATTTAATGAGCTCACATTTTGGCTGAATAACATTAAAAGATTGAACAGAAAACATTTAGCAGGTTATTCTTTTCCTCACGTGCTTGTATATTCTGATGCCAGTAACGTAGCTGCTGGTGCTTACTCGATAGATATTGACTCTAATATTTTTCATCAGATGTGGACTTTACAAGAGTCCCTAAAGAGTTCTACATGGAGAGAACTTCAAGCTATTTTGTTGGCTTTGATGTCGTTTAAGAACCGTTTAAGAAATAAATGTGTTAAATGGCATACAGATAATAATAACTGTGTTTCCATTGTTCAGAAAGGAAGTGCAAAAGTACATTTACAAGAGATAGCTATTAATATTTTTAAGTTGTGTTCTGAATTGAATATAACTTTAGATGTTGTTTGGATCCCGAGATCTAAGAATACAAAAGCTGATTATATTTCTAAAATGATTGATATAGAAGACTGGGGAACAAATAAAGAATTTTTTAAATTAGTAGATAATATGTGGGGTCCGCATACTGTGGACAGGTTTGCGAGTAATTTGAATAAAAAATTACCAAGATTTAATTCCAAATTCTGGAATCCAGGTGTTGAAGCAGTTGATGCGTTCACGCAAAATTGGAAAAATGAAGTAAATTGGATTGTTCCTCCAATTTCCGTTGTCTGTAGAGCAATCAAACATTTGATTTTATGTAAGGCTAGAGGCACTTTGATAGTTCCAAAGTGGCCTTCCTCGTCATATTGGACAATGATTTTCAAAAAAGGTTCGCATTTGCAACCCTATGTAACTGATGTTTTAGAATTTCAACCAAATCAGAACATTTTTATTCATGGTATGAATAATAAGTCCTTGTTGGGATCTTCTGAATTCGTTTCTAGTGTTTTAGCTATTAGATTGAACGCTCAGTTCATGTAAGAATTTACGACAAGGCTGTTGAGCAAGGTCGTATGGTAAAGACAAGGCCAATCTAATGGCAAGGTCGTATGCTGATGACAAGGCCAAATTAAATAGGCAAGGTCTCACCTGACATGGCCAGTGTGAAAAATAAATATGGCAAGGTCATTTAAATATATTGTAAGCTAGTAGTAGTATAGTAGATTATATTTCTATTTGATATGCACGTTTTTCAGATATTTTTTCATGTGGAGTCTGGAAATCCTTGCCTAAGCCAGTTGACCAAGATTTATCATCTTTATCTAACTGCCTACCTGAGTTCTGTCTCCATTCGAAAGCCGAGAATACCAAAAGAAAATACTCTTATGCATTTAACAATTTCTGTAAGTGGTGTAATAACTATTCTTATGTTAAACCTTTACCAGCTTCAGATTTTTATGTTTCATTGTACTTAATACACATATCAAAGACATTTAACTCGTATGCTAAGGTTGAAGAAGCATATTATTCAATAAGCTGGGCTCACAAACTAGCTGGCTTTTCTAATCCGTGTAATTCACAGTTGTGTATATCGGTTAAAGAAGGAGCTCATAGAAAGATTGGACATATTATTGTAAATAAAAAAGAACCAATTACGCCAGATATTTTAAAGAAAATTGTTAATAAATATGGTAAAGAATGTAACAATCTTATAGAAATTAGAATTTGTTGTATGTGTCTTATTAGTTACGCAGGGTTTTTAAGATTTTCTGAAATGGTAAATTTAAAAAGATCTGATTTAAAATTTGCTGATACACATGTCTCTTTGCTCATACAGAAAAGCAAAACTGATCGTTATAGAGAAGGCACACAAGTTTTAATTGCTAGAACAGATACACAAACATGCCCTGTTAGTATGTTGGAGAAATATTTGTTATTATCCAATATAGATGCATCATCTTCAGATTATATATTTAGATCCATGTATTTATGTAAAAAATCTAGATCTTATAGACTGAGAGGTTTTAAACCTTTGTCATATACTAGAGTTAGAGAAATTATATTATCAGCTCTGGAATCTATCGGTTTAGATAAGTCAAAATTTGGATTACATAGCTTGAGATCAGGTGGAGCTACTGCAGCTGCATCAGCTGGCATTCATGATAGATTATTTAAGAAGCACGGTAGATGGGCTTCAGATAAAGCAAAAGATGGCTATGTAAGAGAAAATGTTAAAGAAAAACTGACAGTGTCTAAAAGTTTGGGAATTTAATTTTTATAGATATACTATATATGTGTATTATTCTTTGCTCAGATCTGCTTGGCTTTCTTTGTCTTTCGAAAGGCTGCTACACCTGTAGGCACACTTATCCTATTTATGTGTTGTTTTATTTATTAAATAATTTATATTCGTTTGAGCTGGCGAATTAGAATATAAATATATTTATTAAAGGTATTGGTCACATGACGTAGTTACGGTCAAGTGATTGTTTACTATAAACACGTGTGTGTGTTTACATCAAGCACATGGTGTGTGTTTATGTTCTATTTGATTGGATGGCATATACCCGCAATGCGGTTTTTACGGGTATATGCGCTCATGAGATTCGTGAAAAGCATGATTAAGTATTACTTAAGGGGTTCGTTTGAGAAAATAAAGTTATTCGAAGTTTGCCTATAGTTAACGTAGCAGCAGTTCGTTATATGTTTACCCACCCACCCACCCCTTTTATGAGTTGGTTATTGTTAACGTGGGCATATACATATATTACACTATATTAATATGAATTTTTCCTCTTTTGTAGATAGTTTTTGATTGTGTTACTGTATATTCTATTATATGATTGGATTGGTAGTGTGCTTGTCTGAATTATAGTGAAGGACTTTAGTTTGAAGAATTGTGAATGTAAATAATATTAAAGGCTGCTACACCTGTAGGCACACTTATCCTATTTATGTGTTGTTTTATTTATTTAATAATTTATATTCGTTTGAGCTGGCGAATTAGAATATAAGAGTATATCATTTGACTGATCAAAACGGAAAAAACAAAATTTTATAAAATTGGTGTATCTAAAGCTCGTTTGATTTACCTTATTGGTTAAAAAATGTATGAATCACTCATATCTAAATATTTGAAATCTTGGTATGTGTTACCTGGCCAAAAGGTTTTTAAGCAATATCGGAAACCATCTAAAGTCACCTTTGCCTATGTAGAATGGAACCAAAAAAAATACATAGTTCGCCATGGAAAATTTTTAATACTTTTGCTTCAATGTAAATATTCACATATATAAAACATTCATATATAAACATGTATAAAACCTCGTTCACACAAAATCATTTAACACTTAAGTAAGTTTTTATAGGATTAAACGCTTTTTTAAAGGAATTTATTGGTGTATAAACTCCACCAATTCACTCACAAACAAATAAAAGTCCGAAGAGGACTTTTATGATATGTTTGTGAGTGACTTGGTACAGTTTATACACCAATAAATTCCTTTAAAAAGGCATTTAATCCTTATAATTCTTTATAATTGGAGATAAAGAGTTTATTTTTCCACACTCGTAACCTCTATCACAGGTAAATTGTATATTTGTGTCATTGAATAGGCCTGGCACATGAATATATTTGTTGGTTAACGCAAAAATATGCACTCCATGAAATTTGCAATCTGATAAAAAATAAACTACACAAACTCTTATTATCATTCAAACGAATGTTTTGTGTTTATTATTTAATTTAACTATTAAGATCTATTAACGCGAATTGAAAATAAATTTTGTTAACGTCGATCCGGATTGTGTCATTATCGCCGCCATCTTGTTAACATTGGTTACGAAAAGAAGTTCGGTCAACGTCGTCTATCGAAAAATAAACAACATCAAGAACAACTACCGGAAGTCCTCTCAACCAATCATATCAACATATTCTCTTATATGCAAATCATATAAGAATTATAGATAATTAAAGGGAGCTCTTTTGGTGGAACGTGGCTGTATCTGTCCATTCTTCAGGCTACTTCAGCTTATGATCTTCCTTTTTTTTTATCCAATAGAACAAACTGTTTTTGATTTCAGAAATCTTTTATGATTCAAAACTGTTAGATATTCAATGTTTAAGAAAAAAAACCACTGTAACTATAACAATCAACTTCAAAATGAGGAGTTGACTTTGGTTATAAAAACAGAAGTTTTCATGATTCGAAAGGGTTATATTTTTTATATTTATTCAATTCTAAGTCTCGATTATAAATAGGAAATAAAACTGTAAATGTGGGTGTAATTAGAAATGTTTACGTTCGGCTGAAACGTGTTAATAATATATTATTCAGTGCAAGTAAACGTTTGTGATTTGTATTTAAGACAGACTGGAGGAATCGGATTTTTTTTGTGCTTTATATCTTGTACCTTTGCAAGACTTGGCATTCATTTCTTCAGTAGGACACATTATTCCCACTCTAAACAGACATGAATACTCCTTAATAGCGGACATGCAATAGTATTTTGAAATTTCTGTTATTTAATACCAAGTAAAAAAAAAACACCAAAATTAATTTGATACTCTGACAATATGTTTCCTTGAAAATAAACATATTCTCATTCGGTCTGAAAATAAAATATGAATTTGGTTTACAGAACATTCAGAAGAGTGAATGTCATAAAATCTTGTTATCTCAGGATATCCAAAATCTAACAACATGGTTATTTCAGCATATAAAAAAACACAAAAAATTTAATTTTAGTTAAATCAAACAAAGTTTAATTTTGGACCCTTCAAACCTGGACTAAAGATGGACTAATTTGAAAACAGGGCCCAAAATAAAAAATCTAAATGCACAATAAGATTCAGCATATCATAGAGCCGCAATAATTCAGTTTTTGATGTTTAATTTTGGACCCTTTGGACCTCAATGTAGACCAATTCAAAAATGGGGCCCAATATCCAAAATAGTAATACAAGGTTAGAACCCCCATAAATTAAAGACTTATATAATAGTTATTGAAGAACTGGTCATTATCGTGATATATGGACTGCCCACAGGACAGTGGTATTGACTAAGACAGCGATAATGACTGAGCCGTAAGCGAGGTCATTATCGCTGTCGCAGTCAATACCACTGTCATACGGGCAGTCCATGTATCATGATAATGACCATTTCTTCAAAAACTAATATGTTTATTTCATTGAGAAACCAAGTTTTTAAAATTCTCATAAATTCAAATTGTTCAAAGCAAACTCGAGTTATTGTAGGATTTCTATAGGAAAGAGTGAAGACCAGTCATAGTGATAACTATAAGTCACTGCCATTCATTTTTGTGCAATTTTTCAGTATATGAATACAAAATAAAGTTTTCTATAATTTTATAATTCTTGCTGCTCAGTAGTTTGTCTCTATCAGCATCGGAAAGTACTGCAAAACAATCATTTGAGTTGTCTGTAGCAGACCTGCCTTTCAGTTCAGCCATGTTCCATGAATCGCGATTGCGTTTTATGAAAGGGACATCACTCTAAACAGAGAAACCACGCCCCACTGGTTATTATCATGTAAAAATCCGTTAACAACCGGTTTTCTGGTCCGTTTTTTTTTTCTGTTAAAGACCAATGGAATTTTTTACTAAAGAATAAAGAATGTCATGTGGCCCCTTGTTATCCAATAAGAGAAGCTAATTCTTAACCGATATGAAATAATTTAAATTAATCCCATTGAAATTGGTTAAAAGATTTGTATTTATTTTCAATTGAAGATTTCTTGCTATTGCGCAATACTGTGCTGTTGCACAATACTAATAGTTAATCTGTTATATATAATAATTTACACACCCTGTTTGGTGTGTATCTTCTGCCATATCAGTATTTGTTGCTTTTATATATAAATCAGAAATAATCAATGTAAAAATGTAAAATTTTTGGGATAAAAAAAACAAAAAATTATGAAAAAAAAAATCCCCCCCCCCCATTTTTACAATTTCAGAGAGTTCCATAAACTTTAACATAAGTTATTGCCTGGAAACTAGAAAAATGCTTGTTTTTGGCCCATTTTTTGGCTCTAATTTCTAAATGTTTGGGGCAATTACCCCCAAACTCAATCCAAGCCTTCCCTTTGTAGTATGGAACCTTGTAGTACAATTTCAGAGACATGCATACACTTAAACACAAGTTATTGTCTGGAAACTAGAAAAATGTTTGTTTTTAGCCCCTTTTTCCTGAACGTTTGGGGCAATTACCCCGAAACTCAATCCCAGCCTTCCCTTTGTGTTATGGAACCTTGTGGTACAATTTCAAAGAGACCCATACACTTACACACAAGTTATTGTCCAGAAACTACAAAAATGCATGTTTTTGGCCCCTAATTCCTAAACTGTTGGTACCATAACCCCCAAAATCAATCCCAATCTTACTTTTGTGGTATTGAACCTTCTGGTAAAATTTCATAAAGATCTATTCACTTAAACTAAAGTTATCGTCCGGAAACCAAATGTGTCTTCGGACGACGACGACATGATAGCATTCTTCAAACGCAAATTTTTTGCGGTCGTATAAAAAAGTATTGAACGCCATTAAAAACGTGGATCTGATGGGACGGCACCTTACCATATACAGATAATATACATGTAGCTCTGTAATACCCGGAAATGTCAAGGTAAATCACTACCTATACAGAATGTACCATGTCAAAGAAATTCTTACGATTGTGAAGCATGACCATTATTGATTTAAGAGGGTCCTGGGTGGGGGAATGAGTTAAATTCTGACTAGATTTTTTTTCCCTCAACTTAAATCAATAAACTAAAAAAAAAAATTGTTTAATTACATCCAGGGACAAAATTCTTTTTGTAAATTCATAGAATACTCCTTAATATTGGCTACAGTACTTAGTCGACAAGCAGTATTTTTAAATTTTGTTTCCTTCAAAAATTACATATCCTCATTCGGTCTGAAAATAAATTATGAATTTGGTATACAGAACATGCAGAATTGTGAATGTCATAAAACCTTATTATTATAAATAGGTATTGAACGCCAATATAAATTAAATATAAACCTGTATATACGTGAGACATCACTGGACGGTACCTTGGCATATACAGGTAATATACATGAAGTTCCGCTGTAATACCCGAAAATGTCAAGGTAAATCACTACCTAAATAGAATGTACCATGTCACAGAAATTATCACGATTGTAAAGCATCACCAGTCATCTTTTAAAAGGTGTCCTAGGTGAGTTAAATGGTTTAAATTCTGACTATACATTTTTTTTACTCACATAAAATTTAGTTTTTAAATTACATCCAGGAACTAATTTTTATTTGTAAATTTACGTTTTTCATCTGTAACTTTCGATTTAAGTGAGTTGCTTTTTTAAATTCCTTTTTTAAATTTCCCAAGAATGACAATTATATATGAAATGATATAGTTGGTGAGACTTTATTTTCTACCAGATGTGTGTATTTTTTACATTTATATACCAAATGTGTTTATTTTTCCCCTACAACATTTGAGAAAATTCGTATACCCGTTCCTATTATGTACAGAAATATGCTAAATGTATGCAATTTATATGATTCTTTTCTCTCTTATTTTCAATATATATTTTAAATTGTGACTATCTATAGTTCCGTAACTTTCTATCTGTATAAACCAATGATTTACAAGTGCATACATTTTTATGAAATAATTATCGACAATGAGTATATACTTACATGTTTCCAAATTTTACCCTAGGAAGTATCTAAATAGATTTTATTTCCTCAAATCTTTAGCTGGAATTATTTAGATTTTCATAAATATCTTTCTTTACACCAGAAATGTCATTCATAAACAAGTGGTAGTGAAATTGTATACACGTATGAGTTTAGCAATGACTAGTATATCACTGTCGGACTCAAGACAAAAAATGTACACATGATGTATATTACATCTGATAGTTTTTAAATGGAAAGTTTCAAGTTACCGGCCGTGTACACTGATACGCTCAGCAGTGAAGCAATGTATGAACCTGCATTATGTAATTGTGCAATAAAGAGTTTTTTAGCCCGATAGGAAATCGCTTGAATACCTGGACATGTCACCTAACAATACCTCTGGCAATAATTTCCTTAGCCACGCTGATGATCAAATTAGAGAAGGACAGACTTGAATAAATGTATTGCATAAAAGCCTTATGAACAAATTAGATTTTTGAAAACAATTTTACACGGAACACCGCTAGTTAATTATGACTTTAATATTTGAGAGAATCCATAAAAGCCTTTAAGTAATTGCTCTAAAGTAATTCCCCTATATATTTACTTGTTTCATAACCTTAGTAAAAAATACAGTTTAAAATCGACAGACCATAGTTATTTAGGAAGAAAAAAAGATGTCCAATCGGCCGACTTTTCCAACTCTTAAACCTTTTTTTAAAGATTGTTCCGTTTCAAGTTAGTTTAAAAAGTTTGCCGATAGGTAGTACAACATGTTTGGTATAATTCTTTTTTTTTTATAGGGAAACTGGGATTGCTTTTGTCATTACCTTGTCATGTTAAAACAACTGTACGTCTGACAAGTGATTTCGACACTGAATTACGACAACGTTAGTCCCTGCTTGTTTTGGTACTTTGTGGTTTATAGATATCACATGGTTTTTTAATCGGCAAGCCGTCAAGATGGCGACATGTAGAGAATTGATAATCTCAATTTAAAATCGATGCTGATCTCTTATCTAGGGGAATAAAACGTTAATATTTATGAATTTGTGCTTTTTTATACATAATGGAAATAATATCATTTTTTTATTTTTTTGTGAAGTTTCCCTTTAATTTCTAGTTTTCCTTGAAATTTTTCTCTCATGTATATCCATCCCATTTCCGTCTTTCCAAACTCGATATAATTTGTAATCAAATAAAATTGATTTCTCATATTTTCAAATCTAAAAGAATACTTACTCAAGTCTAACCATGTTTCCAAGTGATACAGTTTTCCATGTATTGAAAGTGTAGTCAAACAAAGATTCATTGATGACAAGTTTCTCTATTCCAATACTCAGTTTGTAGGCACATGCATCCAATAATACATGTGTTTCAAATGTTCTTTGAAGAAGAGGTACATAAACACAACATTGTATGCCTGTACAGTAACTTGGTAAACGACAACGTGCATACACTGGTAACGCTGCTACTGTCACATCTGCTGAACAAGCTGAAATAGAGCAATTATATCTTGATACCTTTGTCTTAAGGTGGAAACTAAGTAGAATTTTGGCCAATAAAGACATCCTCATTATAAGCAAAATTGCACAATTTCTGTTTATGGGATAATATATTTATTGCAATACTTATATAGTAATAAAAGAACAGTATTTCAATGTCCCTCGCCTTTGCACATATTTTATCTTTCTAAGGGCAATGATTCCAAAGTTAATTTTTTTGGGGGTCTCTTTTTAAAGATTTTCTTAAATATCCTACAAGGAATGGCATGAGATTGCAAACAATGTTATTTTTCATATAATTTCTATTTCCAAGGGGCACAACTCCTGTAAAAATGTGATCAACACACATTCTTTAACCCTTCACAGACCTTGCTGATATAAACTTTTGATATCAATTTCATAAAATAAAGAAATGTAGGTGTAACAGTGCTTACATTGCAATGTTCAATGCAAATTACATTTCAAAGGGACATAATTCCCATAAAAAAAGTTGATCCACATTGATTTCAAACTCCTCCAAGACATTAATGTTATAAACCTTTGATAGCCTACCAAGAATTGTATATGTGAGAAAGCTTACAAGACCAGACTGATGCCTGGTATTTCTATGTCCCCTGGACCAGGTTGCCCTGGGGACAAAGAATTGTACAAGTATGTGCAAATTAACATGACTAAATTAGAGCCATACATATTGTATAGACACTTGTCTATCATAGAGGACTATATGTTGTCTTCTAGACGAATTTTGTCTAGTTGAGGTATACCCCCTATTTCCTTTTATTCATATTATAACTGCTTTCTGTTATGGTCAGTTAATGTCGTTTTGAAATTGTGAGATTATTCTGAAGGTTCACTATTATAACTGACAATGCACTAAAATTTGCTGAAGTCCATCAACTTATCATTCTGTCAAACATTTTTTGGGGACAGATTAATGCAATTTAAATTTTATGAGGAGACTTTATAAAAAAGATTGCTGATCAAAACAAAATTGCTCAGCGAGGTACAGATGCAAGTTTAAGGTAAAGACAAAAGAATTAAGTTGGTTAACCCGGGTAATTCTTATTTCATTAAATAAGAATTTTCTTAATAGTTTCAGATTAAATTTCAATTGAAGAAAGCAATTTCAAGAAAAAATGGATAAGGATGAGGATGTTTTTCATTAGAGATTGTTATGTCTAGTTTGTACAGAACAGTTAAAAAAAATTTGGACTGACCAAAAGATGATGCAAGAACACTGTTTAAGGAATGTTTAGCCAAAATTATTTTGTATGTTCATTCATTTAGAAAGAAAAAGGATATAATGTGTTACTTTACAATTGGCACTCAGTATACAAACCTGAAGTATTCCATCCTAGACTGTTGCTGTTATACATTAACTGAGAACATGCTGGATCTTGTAGATACCCTGATATTCCTAATTGATGATATAAAAGATCTACTGCAAACTGTGGTAATTCTTTCCCAATTGTTATGTCCTGCTTTTCTAGCCAGTTTGTAAGGGAAAAATCTTTAAAAAATCATTTAAACAATGTTTTAATGTTTGAAGAAGTGTATTTCAATTATACTAAGAATGCATTATAATTCATACTTCAGCAGTTTTCACATTTGTCCTTGTTCCTTTAAGCATAAAAAATACTACTAGAAATGTTAACCCCACACTAAAAAATATGATAATATCCCCTTATCCTCCAGTAGTTTAATCAATATGGGTCCTGATCCATTATAATTTACAGCTGTCTGAATATCAAATATAAAAATGTTGTCAAGATATTTCTGTGGGTTATTTTTTAAGACTTTTTAATAACAATAATCACCTTTTAGAAGAAATCCATTACCATAGTCACATAAAGGTTTTGGTAGCTTTGTATCCTTGAACAATACTTCATGAAGAAAGCAACCACTTGATTCAAAACACAAGCTCATGTTGATGTTTGCAACAAAAGTTCTTTCACTTAGGAATTCATAGATCTGGTAGCTATAACAACAAAAGTGGTTTATTTTTAAAATCCAATAATGGAAATGATTGGATATAAGCTTAATGTCCAGGATATAATCTTGGAAGACATGTCGCATAGACAAATAAATCTAACTCCAAGCTGACTTTCATTCCCTATCATTATTTTACAGGCCATAACTTTTGCAATAGTAGCACACATCAATTTTAAAATCTAGTTTGATCAAGCCATGGATTCAATTGTACAGAGCACCTGTTGCACTTGAATTAAGCATGCTCCCATCACAGACCACAAAGCTGTTATGGAAATGATCACAATAAGCTCCTACTAACATGAACAGTTTTGAAAACAAGATGTTCTTATAAGATTTACTGTCAGAAAATGAACATGACATGCTGCTTACTTGTTTATCCTGCAAAACATTTTAATCAAATCCATTTTAAAACAGGAGTAACAGACTGAAGGCAAAAAGATATTCAAATATTAACAGATTCTACATAAGAAGTTAAAAACTGAATTAATTTAAGAATATGGCAATTTTGAAATCTTAAACATAAAATAAATTACTCACTCAATTTTTAAAAGTCCAAGAAAGGAAAATGTCTGCATGGTTCCAAACTCCAAATTCAAAACTGAAATTGTTCTGTTTAGGTTTTCTACACCAATTGTAAATTTGTTATTGCAAGCATCCAAATTTACATAAAAATTCAAGGCAAGTCTAAGTTTCTGTATATCCATGCAGCAATCTATAGCTGTACAACTGTTTGTAATATGGCAAGAAAGACCCGACTGTAATGTTGGTAAATTAATACTTGTTCCATCACATCCTGTAAATTAACAAAATCTAAGCAATTTGTTTAATTTTCATATTTGTGTGTTAAAAAGGGGGAATTTTAAGCTTACTATACTGAAATTCTGAAAAATAACAGCATGTTTCGTAGGTATTGGAACTCAATACAATAATCGGGACTTAAACTTTGTCCAATTTTTCTATTCCTTTCTGTACATGCTTCATTTGCTCCATCAGACATCATGAAATAGAAAAAAACAAGAATGTGTCCATAGTACACGGATGCCCTACTCGCACTATCATTTTCTATGTTCAGTGGACCGTGAAATTGGGGTCAAAACTCTAATTTGGCATTAAAATTAGAAAGATCATATCATAGGCAACATGTGTACTAAGTTTCAAGTTGATTGGGCTTCAACTTCATCAATCAAAGCGTGAAAGCGCTGTAAAGGCAGTTAATTACAGGTTGTGTGTATTTTTAGTCCAGTTATATCATTATCTTACATAGTACAGTGTACTTATCAGAGGTGGCTTTCAGTATTTAAGATTTAGAGTTCTCTAATGATATTGAACAAGTTTTATGAATGTCATATTCTGAGCATTATATGAAGGTGATTGTTCTCACTTGTTTATTAACTAGTGCATTATGTCCAGTTAGTACCTTGTTTATCTATGTTTATAGTCAAATACTGTTTAATATAGTTGGGCATTTTCTTTTTAGTAATAAATACCAGTTATCAACTGTATTTTATTCAACTTTGCAAATGAGGATGGGAAACCTTTGACTTCTTTCTTTTATATAAACTTTTGATTCGGTACAATAGAACTATGTAGAATAATCCTGTTGAACTTATCGTGCACAGATGACTTTGTCTATCTATCATTTTATATATGTATGATGGTAACTGCTATCCTTGGATTCCACAGCTTTAAGAATATGGCGAACACATGTTTATATGCCATGTATATGCAACACAGCTCATGGTAAAGTATGCCTACAAGAATGTTGGTATTAAATCTCAGTGCACTTTGATGTTTATGAGCAATTTGTATGACTGTTTGATATAATTAACTCGCACATAGTATATGTGTGTATCTGTGGAGTTACATATTGGATATACCAAGCATATATTTTACATGGATGATGATAATAGATATTGTGGCATTATTATAAAATACACTTTATATGGATATGTTATATTAATTTTTTTTGTAAACTATGGTAACATACAGTCAATCTCAAGATATCTATTCTAATCTTAAAAGCAATGTAAATCTAACAATAGGGTACACATTGTCTTCCTATACTTAAGAAAATAAATTTGAACCTTGGTTATTATCACCGTATATATATGATTTTTCTGTACCTCGCCATGGTACGCACTTTTAAGACATAGAAGAACTTTTCCTTATTAATATAAATAGACTATTCTTTATTATTGAATGTTTAAGCATAGTCAATGACTTCCATCCTAGGAAAAGTAGTTCATCAGGGGCGGGTCCAGGTGAGGGCGTAATGGGCGTACGCCCTCCCTTTTTAAAAAAAAACACAAAAAAACTATCGTAATCTGCTAATATTGTATTGAATATGGCAATTTATCATTATTTTATGTTTTTAAGCAAAAAAAGGTCGAAAAAAAAATTTTCGCCTCGATCCGCTTGGCGTAAGATTTGATTCTACGCCCCCTTTTTCAAATATCCTAGAAACGCCCCTGCTCATAATGATTGCTTAGCTACTGTATTGTGTAGCATAATGTACGTTGCAACATGTCAACTCTTTCCATGACAATACTTTTTCTAGAACTATTACTCCAAGCAAAATTATTTCCAAGTATAAAGTAATTCCAAGTATAAATCCAAGAAACTTTTTCCAAGATAGATCAATAACTAGTGTTAGTTATTTTCAATACACCTTATCGCTAATTGTCTGCCATTACTGGACATTACTAAAGTTCCCGTAAAATTTTGACACCACAATGGAAAAGTGATTGTTGTATGACATCAAAAGTCCAAGCGGGACAGATTTCCAAATAGCGATAAGGTGTATTGTCACCTATGAGGATACCTGGTCCTATCATATGTTGTGTGTATACTTTAGAAAGACAGGAAGTTAGCACTTGCTACTAATCAATACTTCAATAGTACGCTTGTACTTAATTTACTCTCATTAGGAAGTTAGCAATGTCACTAGTCCTTTATTGGTATTGTTGTTGCTATATAAAGGCAACAGTAGTATACCGCTGTTCGAAACTCATAAATTGATAGAGATGAAAACAAATCCGGGTTACAAACTAAAACTGAGGGAAACGCATCAAATATAAGAGGAGAACAACGACACAACAAAAACAAAACATTAAAATGTAACACACACAGAAACGAACTATAATATAACAATGGCCATTTTCCTGACTTGGTACAGGACATTTTAAGAAACAAATGGTGGGTTGAACCTGGTTTTGTGGCATGCCAAACCTCCCACTTTTATGGCAACGTCAAACACAATACCAAAACGACAACATCACATGACAGGACCACAATACAAATAAATGGGAGAACATATAGGACTAAGAAACACTGGATCTTGGCATGTATTTCGGATAATTTGCATTCACGAGTGTGTGTGTATCAATTTAGGTCAAATTACATGTCTTGATGGATAAAAAAATACTAATTGAGCCTTGTGTAATAATATATCTTCTCTTTTCTAGTAACACTATAATTGTACTACACTACAGTCTACAGTATAGAATTGCTGCCTTCATAATAATTACACATTAATAAATTTTATGAGCAAGAGAATATCATTTCGCGAGAAAAGATACGTACATACAACCTGTGTTGATGTGTAAGATGAACATTGTCTAGTAAGACGACGAATAAAAAGAAGGAGAAAATGGTAGATGTATTGCATACGTTACTTTCTACATAAAATCACGTGGATATGTTTACATATTTAGACTTGACGCAGTTTGAACCATTGCAGTGTTTTGAGTTACCACCGTCATTTAGACACTAGAGTCGTGTATGATACAATATAATATTAAAGCTTCTTCTAATTGTGTGAAGTGAATCTTTTTATTTTGTTCATTTTAAATGTTTTTAAGTGATGACCTGCATAGAAGAATGAAATCTCAGGTCATAACGTGTACGAACTTTTTCAAGCTGAATTTCAGTATTTAGGGGACATTTTTCTTATAATTTATATCAAAGTTTCCAAAATATGTCCACATGGTTAAGTAATTTAAAATTGAACATTTTATTATTTCATTGCACTTGGAGGCCATTGATAGATTCGTGTTACAATGCCTTTATTCCTGTCAAATTGTGTTTTATGTGCATACATTTGTGCAGCTTTTAAACAGTAAAACATATTAGAGGTTGATATTAGAGTATAATAAAATAAAGTTAAACAATTAAAGGAGGTATAGATGAAAGAAGTAATTTCCAAATTTTTTTTTTTCTAATTGTTCTAAGGTAGAACAATAAAAAAAAGTATTATTCTGATATGTTTTTGCATTCAATTCATTTTAGACTTAATCTTTTCACAATAAAAAACATAAGTTTAAGGAGTATATTGTGAATTGACAAAAAAGGGGAAGTAACTCTAATTGTTTCTTTGAAATACACAAATTAATTACGACCTTAAGCTAAGGTAATTGGTGTTAATTAACAGTGTGTTTGACACCAAAGCTGTCAAGTGAAGCCATGCACTGAAATGGGTCATTTGAGCTGAGTTTACACAGCTAGTTGAACTTCTTGTCCAGGAAGAATTACGAATTTGCCGGTATTTTAAAGAAATCAGTTTATATCTTATCAGTCTGAAGGCTTAGGAATCCGGTGAAAACGGGTTATTTTCCGAATTCCCGGGTTATTTGGTCACCCGGCGGGTGTTCCGGGTGACCCCTCAGAATTGTGAAAATCTCAGGTCACACCCGCAGGATCTGGGTCAGTTAACAGGTATGCATAAAGGCATTAAAGCACTGCCTTTAAAAACTACCTTGACCAAAAACTTTAACCTGAAGCGGGACAGACGGAGGGACGGACGAACAGACGCACAGCCGAAAAACATAATGCCCCTAGGTGGGGCATAAAAATGCAGCATTTATTAACTATTCCTGATGGAACAATAATTGGATAGATTATTTTCTACTGTAGATAGTTCCAAGCAACCTATAAGCATTTAGTAACCTGCATCAATCAAGCGCTTATTCCTAGAAGCATCAAAATGATCACAAAAATATCTTAAATAGTAACTGTTCTGACAGTCTTCACGCTTAACTACAGGCCCACTAGCCAAGGCTGGTAAAATTGTTGTCGAGCCTGTAAAAATCAGGTCTACAGGCTAATAGAATCTAATTAAAATTATAGTAAAATTAAGTTTGGGTCCCTGGATTCAATTCAAAAGTTTGTCAGGAAAACTGCCGTTCAAGACTAGTGTAGTAGGAGATCAGTAACAAGCATACGATTTATGGTAAATTTGGCACAAATTTCAGAAAAATTCTAATGGTTGGCATCTATGTGTGACCTTGAGCTGTGACCTAGTGACTTCAAAATCAAAACTTCGTCATCCCATGGGGCATTATCACACTAAGGTAAAAGTTGGAAAATTTGGACAAGTAGTTAGGAAAAAAAAATTTGCCCAAATTTCAGTCTATCAATAGCTGCTGTAACCTTGATTTTTGACCTATTCCAACAATCAATTTGAGTGTTTCATATCAAACCCACTTTGGAAAAAGTTGTACATGTGCTTCAAAATATTTCAACTGGACATTGACCTTTAGACCTTCAAATCAACAGGATTCTTCCCAACTCCATGGGGCACTACCTAGCCAAGTTTGGTAAAGACATATTTTTATAGCTTAAAAGATCTTCCCCAAAAACTAAAATATTGACTTCCAGACATCATACTGTGTCACAACTCAGCTAAAAAAAAAAAAAAATTCAGACACTGAAGACAAATATATCCATAACTGCACAAATTTACGGTTATACAAATCTACAAATTGTTTTTGCTGATTTCAGTAAACTATAGCACTATTTTGCACCTTTTTCTTATTAAAATTTTAATTCATTTAGATTCAAAGAAATTTTCTTGAAAATAAGTATTCTTGATTCAAAGCAGTTTAACTGTTCATGTGATATTTTCATTGGGTATACATATATTTTTGACATACCATGACTAATATTCCACCCATTACTGTCAATATCAATGTAAGGCTCTGCATGTCTATCACACTGTGGATCTTTTAAGTATGTCCTTACTCCCAATTCTTCCATCAATCGCATCACCACAAAGTCTTTCAATGTGTTTTGGTCATTAAAACTGTTATCACTCAACCATTTATTCAAAGAAAACCCTGCAACAGATTTAACTTTCAATTCATGTCGACCTTTTACAACATGTGTGGAATCCGACTAACGAAATACTGATTTGGTATGGCCTTAAATATTAAGAAATTCGTAAAAATGGTGCAATTTTCTAACTTATAAGTCCATTGGATAATTACTTATGAAAAACTTAAAACAATAATATATTTAAGAAACAATACTTTTCTTTGTTTTTAGTAATTACTCCATGGTATTAAAAAACTCACAGAAAATGTGTGAACATGAGTACATTTAAATGTTCATTGCTATTGATGTAGAAACCTAATGAAGTGTTGTCTTTTTTACTGAAAGATATTCCCAAACAGCTGCATTGCAATATAAAACTCTTACCTGCAATGTGAAATCCTTTATCCCAACCACAAAGTGGCTTGTGAAATTTCTGTTTATTTAAGATGACAATATTCACAATACAGTTATTTGGATCTGAATATTCCAAACACAGTTGAAAAGACAAGTCCATTATGTAAACTTTTTCATCTACCAGGTCAAAAATCTTATACCTACAAAATAACAGTACAACTAATCTTACAAAAGGCTGCATGTGTCACCACTTTTGTTATAAAGTGTGCAGGTAAACATCAAAGCTTATTTAAAATGATTTCACAGAGTATACAAAAGCATGTGATCATAAAATGTTTTCCCCTCATCATACATTGGTCACAAGTTGATTTATTTCACTATATCTCTTCCATTCCATTACATTTAATGATGACAGATAGGGTTGTTATCATTTCATAGTTTCAAATGAACCTGTATTTCTCACATTTCATCTTTATATAAAAAGTATAGATGCATATACTAAATTCACAACAATAATCTTGAAAGTCACATCCAACCTATTTCTGAAAGAGAATCACCGTTTTGGATACCTGGAAAAGATGTGTGTATACTTTAAGGATATCTCTTTTAGTGTATCTTTAGACCAGTATTTGTATAGAAAATAGTCAATTGCAAAATAAACGTGGAAGCCATATATGATGAATCACAAATCAAAATTCCAAAAATAAAATGATGTTTCATGAACACAAAATATGGAAGCAACTTGAGTTCTACCGGATTTCAGAATTTTTTTATGGAATATTTTGTTAGATATTCATTTTTGAAACATATATTACTTTCATAAACTTTACTATGTCTTACTTCAGTTTCAATCCTCCTTGAAGAGAAAATGTTCCTTCATCTCCCCATCTGTATTTCAAAAGAGACTTTTTGACATGCAAAGACTCTATGGAAATCTCCATCTCATACAGACATGGATCTAGTGACACTTCCAGACTTATACTTTTTTGAATAACTGTTACATCAATACAGCATTCTATTGCCAAACAGGACTGTGGTACAAAACATGATACACCTGATGGCAGACTTGGTATATCAGTTAGCAAGGAACAGTCTGAAAATACAGAGAAAATTACCACTGTGCACAAGTCAATTTGTGAATCCAAAATCCATTGCCTGCTAGAAGCACTACCCCAGAACCATTTTTAACATGAATTCAAATGCACGAGGCCTCTTGTGTTCAAATTTGACAAAGGATTAGCAAAAGCTGTATCTTAACAACCTTTCTTGCATAATATATAGGATGAAGTGACAAAACTCATGTCTGGATCTTTAATGAGGTGGCCAAATTTTTTAAATGAATCTCTCAAAGATATTCTCAATGACAAAGTTTCATTCCTCTTTTACTGGTTAATCATTATCCCCCCTAGCCAAAAATTATAATCATAATATAACAAAAGTATTTAAAAATTTCTACTGATTAAATTATTAAACATTATCCTCCAACCATTTATATAAAGCTGTTTAAGTGAGGCAAAGTATTGGAGATAAAACACAAACTTAAACCAAAAAGGCCTAATAACTTTATAGTAAAAAAACATATAAAATGAGAATATTTGTCCAATGTACAGCATGACATGCTGGCAAGATCACATTTTCAAGTTCTGTGAACTGCAAGATCTGGATCAAAACCCTAAATTGCCATATGGTATTTCGAATAGTTCACCTCATTATGAACATAATCACTAAGTTTCAAGTTGATTAAACCACACCATCGTGGTAAAATACCTCTAACCAAAATTTATACCCGATACAGAACTTAGAGACTAATGGACAGACCAGAAAACAAAATTCTCTCTACTAATATATATATATAAAAAAAATTGCATACTTACTGCTTTTCCAGGCATTGTGATAAAATGGATATGAAGCTCTAGAACAAGTTGGAGAAAGTAAAAATTCATCAAGCCCAAGTCTATCAAAAATAGTGTTGATAATATCTATAGGTAATACATCTGTAATTTTCTCTGTCGTCTGTTTTAACAATGCTGTCAGTGACAATTCTAGAAAGAGTAGAAAAAAACAATATAAGTGTGCTATGAAAACCATTTTATCTTATTATAAGTCTCTTTCGTCAGCTTAATACTGATATCATTCTGGTGAAGCTTTTCACAGCAAAAAACATGTATTCAAGGAACTGTCAGGAATGTTTTCATGTCATTTAAAAAAATAATAAGAACCAAATATTAAACATACATAAAGTTTTGAATACTATTACAACAAAATGAACTTTAGCCACTAATGAATTAATCTTTTTATTTCAATTTAAAGCAGCTTGTCAAGCCAAAAGATGTTTATTGCAGATAATTCAGAATTTTCTGCTGTTTTATTATTGGGAAATTAAAAGATTGGATACCTATTCCAATAATACGACCTCATAATTCAAATTCAAACCTTCATGCAGTGTTTACTGAAATCACAACAATTAATCTTGTATTTTCTTTATTGATCAACAATCTGTAACATAAAATAATGTCCCCCATGAAATATTGTCCATCCGACAAAGTTGCATATAAAATATTGTCTGCAGACACTATTTCATAATAAAACAATGAAATAGTGTCCTTGTCCATGAAATTTTGTCACCTCCTTCTGGACAATATTATACTATGAAATACTGTCCATGACAATATTTCGCTGTGAAATTCTGTCTATCACAATATTTCGCTGTGAAATTCTGTCCATGACAATATGTCGCTGTGAAATTCTGTCCATGAAAATATTTCACTGTGAAATACTGTCCATGAAAATAGTTCTTAATTCTGTCTTCCCTGAGAAATCCTCTGTCATGAAATTGTGAGCGTTTCTGAATTTAAAAAAATATTTTTCACAAAAAGTATGTGTATAATCATAAATTGCTGCATAAATTAATTATGCAGGTTTGTTTGTTATTATCAATAAATTAAAACACTTTAAGGATATCATTATCCAAAATATTAAATGTTTATAACTTCCCTTTCATGAGACAAAATTTCACGACAATCCATCTATGAAATTTTGTCTCAATATACACAACATATTACCTTGGATAACCTCCCTTTAACAAGACAAAGTTTCATACTATCCATCTATGAAATAAAGTTTGTATATGGACAAAATCTCATATGGAAATTTGTCCTTCTCTGGACATTACTTCATAAATGGGGACAAAATTTCATGATACAAAGTCATGAAATATTGTCTTGAAGGACAACATTTCTTAGGACAATATTTTGCTTTACAAATCATCATAATAACTGCACACATTAAGATCTGAATTTACATTTGTCTAATGATAATTATTACCCTGTGGAAAACCAGATCCCCAATCACAAAATATTTTAGGCAGCATGGTATCTTTGAAGACTTCAATAGTTGTCAAACAGTCCTGGCTAGTTTCAAAACAGAGACTGATATTCAAACCGAACTGGAATTTTTTTTCAGCTGTAAGATCTATTACCAAATACCTATAATGAAAGTTTGAATGTTATTAACTTTTAAACTAAAGATAAATGGATATGTCAATTGACCTTTTAAGTATTTTGAAATCCTATAAACCTGTAAATAAAGTTTCTTATGCTTAAAATATAGGTCATAAAAACCAAATGTTATTAAATAGAGTTATTCCTATAAATTAATTATAGCAGTAATACATAAGAGATATAACATAATTAGTTTCAGAAATTGATAATGTTAAACTATAGGCCATTCTTGGCAGGCTTAAATAAACAGCTGCACCATGAGCGCATGATACGCCCGTTGCTTTTTAAAAGAATAAAGTTCAATAACTTCTCAATGTCATATCAGAAATTTATGAAAAACTAAAGGGAGGTTATCTTAATAGATATAAACCAGTCACCAAAGTTTCATGAAAACTCCTCAAAGCACTTTAAAGATATTGTCCGAAAACTGGAAAATCACCCCTTTTTTATGAATAAAATCCCACAACTCAGAAACGTAAAATCTAAAATTCATAATATTCAAAAAGGGAGCTTACGTCAATAGATGTAAACAATTCACCAAAGTTTCATGAAAACTGCTGAAAGCATTTTTGAGTTATTGTCCGAAAACTGGAAAATCCCCCTTTTTTTAATGAATAAAACCCCATGACTTGGAAAATTAAAATCAAAAATTTATAAAAAAGGAAAGGGAGCTCACGTCAATAGATATAAACAATTCACCAAAGTTTCATGCAAATTAGTTAAAGCATTTATGAGTTATTGTCCGACATGTTGATGATGGACGGACAGACGGACGGTATACCATAATATGTCCCATAAACGGGCGTATAAAAATATATTTAATTTCTTTTATATTCAATATATTAAAACTTACTCTATTCTCACAACATTCAAGAGGGTAAATTTCTGAATTGTTCCTGAAAATAGTAAAATAATATGGTCATGGTCACTGACTCATCAAAGAAAAAAATCCTGCCTTTTATAAATGTTTAAAAGACTTCACAAGTAATTCTTAAGTAAATGCATAACTGCCAAAGGGAATTATCTTAAAAATTTAAAACATTCTACTCAACATTAGAAATTCCAAGTTTTTTTTCCAGTTTCAAGGTAGATTGGGAATCCTAAAACAGACTCCCATATTACATTATTCAGTAATTATACTGCTGGTTTAAAATAAGCATTGAATTATAAATACTCAAAACTATAAAACAATTAAAAATACCGTATGTATAATCTGTCAAATTCAATGTCTTCTGATATCTGTCTATCTGTAAATGTAACTGATGATGGCATGTATCCAGTTCAAATGAGGCCTTGAATTTGTGCTTCAAGAAATCTACATCTAAACAACAATCAATGCCTAAACAAGATGACAAAAAATAGCACCTGGCATCAGCTGGTAAGTCTGGTAATATCACATCTTCAAAACAACCTGCAAATAAGTTAAAAGTCTTGCTAATTTTAAGCTTAATACATAAATTAATATAAGCTTCAAAACTAAATGGGTCTAATAGTACAATCAAAACTGTATTAGGTCAATTCTGCAAAGGGAATGGCAACATCAATTTTAATACAATTATGTACCTTATTTATTAACTAAAAACCTATACATCAAAATGTGTCAGTTGTCATGCAAATACAAAGTACTTGCTTCTCAAAAGATGGAGTGTCCTATCAACTGACATTCCAGCAGAAGCAGAAATTCCTAATGTTTGTAACCCTGCGTCTCGCCTACAATTGCTGCTGTCAGTGTAAAGGTGTAAAGCTGACTGTAAAAAGTAACGGTAAGTCCATTTGTCTATTTTGTATTAATTTGATAAAAATGCACCATGCTTTGAACAAAACCAACATTCTAACCTGGTATAAAGACATTCACTAACTGTTCATCTTTATGTTTTAAAAATGCTCATCATAGAACCATCTTTTTATAGTAATTTTTTAACATGTGGTCTGTCCTGGGAAGGGATCCTTCCCAAAACTTCCCCTACTGAGACAAGTTTGATATCAAGGTCAGTATCAGAAACAAATGAAGCTTCTTGCAGAAAAAGTTCTATCCATCATCCCTGGAAAGTATAATTAACATTGGAGAGGTGGTTTCAGAGAATAAGATAAAAATGTTTACAGACAATAATGAAGATGGATAATGATGGATGATAACTGATGACACTACCTCACCCCTTTCGGCAAGGTGAGATGAAAATAAATGTGTGTTAGCCTGACCCAAGTAATTATGTATTAACACAGGTTATCAATAAATTCTAACCATTTTTTGGTTTTAAAATACCTTTGATCCATCCATCTTTATCAGGCTCATATTCCAAGCTACAAGAGTCACTGTTTAGGTAAGATGACAGTCCTAACTGTTCTATTATCTTCCTGATAATATCCTCTGGCAGGATGTCATTGATGTCAAATCCTTCTTCTGCCATAAAATTTTCCAAAGAAAAATCTGAATAATCACAAATATGAATAATAAGTAAAACGTATAACTATACTGCACATGAATTCAATAGAGACCTGCATTTCAATTCTCATGAAATTCTGGTCCTGACCAAGCTTCAGGATAGATTTGCAAGATATTATCCAGACACCTTACAATTATTCATTGTCACGACAGTCAAGGGCTTCCAAAATTTTTTGAGCCAGCCGGACATTTCATATCTTATCCCGATTTTTTATCCCTTTGGACTTAGTAAATTAGGCAACTATGATAATCAGTTGGCCATCATATATGATATACATGTAACCATTGATTGACATTAAAACGATATTAAACTTTACTTTGATATAAATTCGATGTTCTGACGTAAAGTGTTAAATTGAAAGTGCAGCATTCGAAGTGTGCAACATCAGCGTACTAATTCTGCTTATTTCCGCTTTAGACTCTTTATTTGTGCAAAATAACGCTGTCAAAAGCTTTACTTTCGTTTTTAAAATCACATTTTCCTAATGCCGGATGTTGAATTGATGATGGTAAATCAAGGATCAGAGACGGATACGTAATATCCGTGTAAGTTTACAATTGAGTTAAGTAGCCTTTTCAAGTTATTTCTTCAAGAAAATACTCGAAATGAAAGTTAGATAAAGGTATCAATGATAATTTTAGCATTATTGAAGAATTAGGATGCATAATTAAATTTCCCACCAGCGAACAATAGACACATGCGCACACGTGTACTAGTTCAAACAACGTGGTTCTGACGATTATTAGTTTAAAACCTTGTCAAATTTTTCATCAAATCATATTTATTAACGTATTTCTTAGTATTTCAATCTTTTAGACTAAATTAATTAGATGCAACCCGCTGAAATGTAAGAAAATAACTTTGAATACCCTTTAGCGTACCCCAGTATTTAACACGATGTACAGTGTTTTTAAATATAATAATGAATATATACAAATTCGAATTCATTTATAAATATTCTTATTGGAAGAATTATTTTAAAATCTAAGGATACTTTTTTAAAACTGAATGCTCATTTACAATAATATCTACAAAGCGTAATTAAATACGATGTTGTTCCATACACGCTTACATGTTTGACCTCGTTTACCTGATCACCTTTATCACCTGTTTATGTTCATTGTTATGCATCATCAATTCTATTGATTAAGACAAGCTAAGGTCACCTCATCAAAGGTAATGACCTGTAATCAGTGAATGATTTATGGCTTCAATATTACTTATTGAAGGGATAATTGTTTGACAGCTTGTTGTTTTTTTAAATAAAAGAACAAAGGTTTTTTTCTACTTTTTATTGATGTACCAAGCCGTGCATTTGTGTACCCAGATGATTAGACTAACTGAGACACTTCACAGTATGAAATATGCTGCATCTGTTTAATTAAACCCAAATATGACCGAAATATCTTTGTGAAATAGATTGCCACAATTATAAACTATAATGCCCAAATGGACATTTTTATCGATCGATAGTTGGTAAAAAAAGTGAAATGACTGTTTTATGAAAATGCCTTGAATAACAAAAGTGGCAAACCTATGATATTTGACCGTTTGAGGCTGAGAGCAGCCGGACTTTTTATATAAATTTCGGTCAAGTCCGGAATATATGACAGTTTTGGAAGCCATGGTCAAGAGTGTATATAGCTAAAAAGGCTAAAGAACAGATACTCACCATTAGTTATATTTTAATTTACAACTCAGTTTGAAATATGATTTACATAATTATTTTAGTTATATTAACATGTTTACTTTTTGTAAAGAAAGAATCAGCTTCCCAGTCACAGAGAGGTTTTGGTACCAGGGTATCTTGGAATACTGTAAGGTCATATAAACAGGGTTTAGATGACTCAAAACACACACTGAGATTCAAGCTGACCCTAAGTTTCTTCTCCTCTTGAAGGTCATCAATCTTGTATCTAAAATATTTAAGAGCAATAATTCAACAAAGACATTTAAATTTGTTTCACTATTACACATCTTGTAAATGGATATGTTATTCCAATTGAATACTGAAATATATCAAAGCACTGTAAGTGCTGTAGGCAGTTAACCAAAAACCAAGGCAAACATAATTATGAAAACTGTGGCAGTGTTGCTTCAATTTTTTTTTAAGATTTGAAAGAACAAACATTAAATATTCGTATATTGTACATTTATGTTCATTAAATGAATTGATTATTAAGGCAAATTAATTAATATTTCATCAAGGTTTTCAAAAGCAACTCATATATCAATGTAAATGACCCCCATCTTCACCCCCAAGTGCATGATGTTATTCCATACCAAGTTTGGAATAAAATGACAGGTGATTATAAAACAGTTGGTCTAACATTCTCGGGCTTTACACTGCTTGAAAGATTTATATGTTTTCTTCAAAATGAGCGATAAATGAAAATTATTATAGGCCCAGAAATAATTTAATAAATAGTTAAAGTAAATTCAATTAGCCTAGACTCATTTTTTGCATCAATAAAATTTTATAATAAACAAGAAATAATTGTAACAGGATGCCGTTACGAAGTCTCCCAAACAAAGCCCCCATAATTCGTCATTCCCATGGTCTCCTGACATTGGGCAAAGTCCAGTTCATATTGGTTTGGTCTAGTACAGTGATATGCATATGTGACACCTAGGAGATTGACCCTGTATGTCATTCAAATCTTTTTGAAATGATGAACAGGAATAAATATGGTTTAGGTGTGGGTATCTCGACCGTTTACAAGTTCTCAAACAGGAGGGGGTGGGGTGACGCAAGGGGCTCCCCTATATTTCATTTGATTTGTTATATTGTCCCATACATGAATACATATGGTTTAGGGGTGGGGATCTCGACCATTTCCAAGTTCTCAAAACAGGAGGGGGGTGGGGTGACCCCAGGGACTCCCCAAATATTTCATTTGATTTGTTATATTGTCCCATACATGAATATATATGGTTTAGGGGTGGGGATCTTGACTGTTTACTAGTTCTCAAACAAGAGGGGGTGGGGTGTCCCCATGGACTCCCCCTATATTTCATTTGATTTGTTTTATTGTCCCATACATGAATATATATGGTTTAGGGGTGGGGATCTCCACCATTTCTAAGTTCTCAAACAGGAGGGGGTGGGGTGACCCCAGGGACTCCCCCTATATTTCATTTGATTTGTTTTATTGTCCCATACATGAATATATATGATTTAGGGGTAGGGATCTCGACCATTTCCAAGTTCTCAAACAGGAGGGGGTGGAACGACACCGGGGACTCCCCCAAATTATTTTCATTTGATTTCTTTTTATTGTCCCATACAAGTATATATATTGTTTAGGGGTGGGGATCACAACGGTTTACAAGATAAAAGTACATTTTCAAATTGAAGGGGGTTGGGATGACCCCCAGGGACTCACCCTATATTTTGGTTGATTTTTTTTACTGTCCTGTTCTCATTACTGAAGACTGCATGTGTCTATCACTTACTGTTTTCGAGAAATAGTCATTTGAAAATTAAAAAAAATAAAATCCCATAGGGTTCTATAGTAAACCCCTCCCTTCTTCAGGCCCTCCAAATACCCCTAAATAGACCCCAATGCACAAACAAAAGATTAATGGCTCCGCTAGACATGTTAGTCTAATATTTTATGAAACCCTAGGTAAATCTGACAAACGGTCAAAGTTGTCTTCTTAGACGGTTTGAGTGGATTCGGTCCAACTTGTCTCGGGGACGAGTTGTCCACATTACTTAAACATCCCATCAACGTCGATTTCTGCATCTGTTTCATGACTTCGTTTCATTCATAAAATAACAACAACCTTATTTGGCAAGATAAGTTAAAAATTACCGCCCACTTATATAACTTTATTTCCTCTATCATAGAGATTTGTTGTACATGAACAATATTCCTGCGCATTTTGCCATTTAGGAAATATAAACCACTTGTAATTACCGATTTTCAGAGATGAAATATTTCATACAATTGTTCTTTGACATCGTAGCCAAAAGCACAGGGGATAATAAACTACGTACGGATTTCTATTGAGCACTACTTCCTATGTGCAACTTCAAAAGTTTTGGGTAGTTCGACGATCATTTAAGGTTTTTCTGGTCATATTTTTTGTATTCCAGAAATAAAAGTATTAAAAAAATGTCCAATTAGTTATAAATAACATAATAGCCAGCTAGATAATAACAATCGCTCGTATTTCAGCATTTATTGGGTAGAACACAAATCTAGGGTGCTCGCATAAGGCAGCTTAACTGCCTAAAAATCAAAGTGCTTGTGAGCACTGAAGGGTAAAGATCGCTTTCATTTTGCAATTTTGTGAATATTTAAATAAAATTTGAATTGATTTTGCCAGACAAGTTAAAAATTTGAGTTGGAGTTATCTTCCTTTGTTCATGATTGCAGACATGTGACAGAGTTGTCAAGCCACAACTGGAGATTTGGAAATTTTCAGCTGGAGTTTGGGCTTCATAACTGGAGATTTTTTATCGACCTATTTATCGACCTACGCAATGGTTTTTTTGTGTTTAAACTGCATGTCTTCTTTTTTTGTTTGTTAAAAGAACAATAATTCCATACCTATCAACAACTCCATATCCATTTTTACTTGATAAAAATAGAAGATAAGGGGTTTTCAAATATTTATTCATAATATATAATTCAAGATAAAGCGATCAGCCATCATACAGAGTTGGCAAAAAGTACCCCTGATTTAGCTACATTGTCAACTTTGGTACCACTACTGATCATGCTTGTAACAGAAGGTGTTAAATTGATAGAGTTGTAGGCTTGCTGGTGGGTAGCTGTCCCCATAAGTTTGGTCAAATCATTAGGGCCACCACAGTCAGCTTTGCATGAAGTGTAGTAAGCATGGTCTTGACCCTTGGTACTGAATCTGCATCATTTGAAATCAGATCTCCAGGCAGAGTTGAATTTGGCTAGATACTTGGTCTTCTTTTATTTGCTGCTGGGGTATTTGGTGATATAAAAATACGGTTTGCATTTTGTCAAATTCTAAAATTTTAGAATAGTCCAAGACAACTGTACTTATATAGGTATTCCATTGGCTAGGATAGAAAACAAGCCATAAATATCATATTTGAGTTGATTTCATTTGTCTTTGAGGTTCAGTAAATGTTCCATGTTTTCAACAGCATCAAATTAAATCGTTGTTTATACAACTTGTACAATTTAATCATTGTCAGTATTTCACTTTTAATCAACCTGGCTTGTGTCTTAAACTAGCTAGTTGATCACTAGGTAATTGCCTATTATCTTTTATTTATTGTTGTACAGCCCTTTGATGGTGTAAACTTCCCAAAATAACGTGTATGGTGTAATGGTGTATGACATATGGTGCAATGGTAGAAGGTGTATGGTGCTATGGTGTATGGTGTAAGGGGAATGGTGTAATGGTGTATGAGGAATGGTGTGATTGTGTAACGTGCGATCGGGAATGGTGTGAATGAATGGTGTACGACATTTCATTGGTTGAAACCGAAGTTCATTTTATTTTAATTTTTCGGATTGTAAACATAAACAATAATAATAATCCTATTGTTCTTTTTTCCCAGTAAAGCAAATTACTTTACTCGTTAGACTCTATGTCATATATATTTAATATACACATATTAAAAAATCTTTTTTTTTCATATTCTTATTTACATTAAACAATGGTTTTAAAATTACACACTTGTGATCACATGCAGTTATCATAAAAGAAAGGATTTTATTTAAACTAGAAGGCGGATAGAAAGGTTATCCACGCATCGGAACAGTATTTTTATATCACGGGTTATCAACATCATTTTTAAAGTTGCTTCGTTCCCCACTTTTGACAGTCTCTTTATAAATATCTTATCGTCATTCACCTATGTTTGCCTTGGATTTACGATTCTGTTTTCCAAAAAATTTTCAAAGGAAAATTGTACAGTGTTATTGCACATAAGGTGTTGTATAATTATGAACAATCTCGTCAATTTCGTTAGATTTGTCTTTACGGATTATAAATGATATCTTGAACGTCCGAAAAAATATACTTATGTGAAACGGAATGAAATATTTGCCACTTGATATTTAGCCACCAACAAAATCAACCAACCGACATAATATACTAACAGTATACTTTTCCTAGAAGAGAACTTCTCATACTTTTCATTATAAAGTACATATGAAATCTGTCATGTCAGTCACACTGTTGGATGATGAGGTGGAATAGTTTTATTATACAAACCATCCTGAACTACTGAGTTTAAATCATCACACCTCAGCAAGCACGACTAATTTATGCGCAGACCAACCCATCACACAATAGCCCAAAAGGAATTTGTGATGTCTACCCGTCCATATTCAGAAGTCATGGAAGTGGGAAATACAGATACTGATACTGACTTTAGTGACAGTTTTATATAACGAATACAGAGATGAAATGCTGGCACTCTAAATTAAAGCGGACAAGATTTTGTTATCATTGTATTGCAATGTTGCTGTCATTTGTATTATACAATCCATCCTGACATCAAAATATTGCTGATTTACTATGCGGCTGCCGCTATATAGATTTACATAATATAGTGCAAATATGGTCAGTTTTGTTTGATACTTTAAAATAGTTTTGTTATACGAGTCAGCCTGAGGTATCAAAACTACTGAAATTTTCTTGCGAGACAATATTTTTAATAAAAAGAGGACATGCTGGCTATATATATCTAGATTGATGGGGACAAATTTTTGTTGTCATTGTATTGCAATGTTGCTGTCATTTGTATTATACAATCCATCCTGACATCAAAATATTGCTGATTTACTTTGCGGCTATATGCTGATTTACTATGCGGCTATATAGATTTACATACATGACATAATAAAGTGCTAATATGATCCGTTTTGGCTGATGCTTTAAAATAATTTTGTTATACAAGTCAGCCTGAGGTATC